TCCCCCCCCTTCTACTGGCACCGGCGAGGACGACGAGGAGAGTTCTCACGAAGACAAAGATTTCGAGCACTCTGCAGCCGTACTCGCTTCGGAAGTCAGAGTGCTCAAGGCTGGCATCGGACATGCGCATGTACTCACTTTGGAGAATCGCGGCTGCAACATTTCATCCAAACCCTGCACGCAGTCTCAATACCAACATGGAGTCTGCCTGTTTGGCTATTAAGCCTGAGGATATTGCGCGAGCGCGCAAGCGTCTTGCACGAGAGTTTCAAGATCCGTTCTGAAGCCTTATAATCTAGTCTGAACAGACTGGCTGACATATATACCGGCCCATCTTAAGGTCGAATTCTACAGTCCGATTCCGCAATCCTTCATCGACCGAAGGATCCGATACACCCAAGACATGTCCGAGGCACACAGTCGCGTAGTGTCTTTCCAATTCCGTCGGGGGAGTTCTCTTTCTTCTGGTGAAACGGACCCTGCTGCTGAAGAGGGATCCGCAAGCCTCTAACGGCTGGAAGCAAAACCATTCCGCAACTGCGAATAACTGAACAAGTGGAAGAAGAGGCTGATCGATAAGATCATACTCCAGCTTCAGAGTGGCGGCCTTTTAAGCCTACAAGGCCTGGCGCATCGGGCGGCGACTCGAGCTTGGTAAGTTGAGTAGGATCGGAGGAGGTGAGATCAGCTTGGGGGTGGATTATAGCAATGCATTTCGATAATCATTCTGATGGGCTAAGCACTTTTCCTCCGAAAGTATTTATATACAGACTTTTCACCAGTCGTTCGACTTCTTGAGCTTTTCATTCTGGATGATCTCAACCCAGTACTCATCGGGGTCGAGGACAAAAGCAACGTTCTTCATTCTTCCGTCAGTCAATCGCTTCTTCCAATTGACTCCTTTCTCCTCCATAAATTGACATGCCTTGTCTAGATCATCGACGCTGATGCAGATGTGGCCAAAGCCCTGTGGCTGGTCGTTGCCGTTGTGGTAGACTTTGCCGTCCTGCTTCTCGGTGCCGTAGTTCCAGGTCAATTCTAGGAGACCCTCCTTGCCCGCCAATGGGTTGACTCCATTCGGAGTATCTTCTGGTTTCGGGATGGCGAAGTCGCCTGGATATCCGAGGAAGTATAATGTGAAGCCCGCCTCTTTTTGCTCGGATGTCCGCAGCAGAGTCATGCCCATGACCTCTTGGTAGAACTTCAAACTCTTCTCCGGGTCCTTCACTCTGATCATGCTGTGGTTGAACCGATATGCTGATGTGTCTGTCGTCTTGATATCTTTTGTCTCGTCGACGTTCTTTTGCCCGATGATTTCGACCCAGTACCCGTCTGGGTCGAGAGCAAAGGCAATACTCCGCATGCGCCCATCTGTGAGTTTCTTTTGGAACTTGTAGCCCGCATCCTCGATCCGCTGGCAAGCGGCTTGGATGTTATCCACGCTCACGCAGATGTGACCGAAGCCCTTGTGGGGATCTTTGTTGCCATTGTTAATGGTGAAGTTGGGGTCGCTCTCCGAACCGTAATTGTGGGTGAGTTCGAGGACGCCTTCGCGGTCGGTCCAGTGGTTGCCGGACGAGGCTGAATGAGGCCCGTCGTACGCTGGCAATCAGATGGATCAGCATACAGCGCTCTGGAACGACGGGAAGTAGTTACCAAGAAAGTACAAGTCGAACTTGTTGTCTGGGAATTCAATCTTGTTGACCAGACTCAGTCCGAGCAGCTTGTAGTAGTCAAGAGACTTCTGAGGGTCCTTCACCCGCAGCATTGTATGGTTGAACTTCCATTTCGAGTGGTCCGTCATAGTTGCGTATGCTTTTGCGGTTGCCGGTAATTGGCTTGGTGCTGGTCTGAACGAAGGAATTCGGAATTGGTTTGCTAGTTGTTGCAGTCGAGACGTTACTCGAGATATCATCAGGTCTTAGGAGGCTATTGTCAATACAGAGAAGTATTGGTCATCTAAGATGAGCACGAACGCAGAACAAGACTGGCGGAGTATCTCCGTGAGTGGACATCTGTCTCATCATTGGATCTTTTTTTGCTGGTGGTGATGAAATCAACAATGACGTGGGGCAGGTAGAGGGCAAGGAGGGGTAAGAGCTGCTGAGGATGTCTGACAAAAATCTTGGCATTGCTTATTATCAATCACTGCGTGAAATGAACCATTTACTTGGTCAGACAAATCAAGTACTTTCTTCACCAAATCCATGACCCTCGATCGGACTTCTTCCCCTCCAGCTCCTTCTGCCTCGTATTATCATTTGCCGTATCGCTGTTCTCCTTTATTTCCCTCTTCCGGTGGAAGTCTTCGGGCATTATTCGTAGGGGTGATTCTGTGCTTCTCGGGCATCGAATCATGCCTACTGAGAGCTTGGCTAGGCTTCAATCAAGCCCAAACATGGACATCATGGCCCTGGTGTCAGTGAGTTCGAGCTCCCACTTCCCCACAGTACCAGACCTCGGTCTCCCTCCACGTTTCCGTCCTCGACTCGTCAGTCCCTTTCCGAGACAGTAGCTGCTCCTCGGTCGCGTTCTGTTCGTTCTTCTATATCTCTGAAGATTCATCTCCAGCATTATTTCGTGAAGAGAAGCCAGAGGGCGGTAGTCGGGCTGGTGAATGTGAAGAATCTCCACACCTAACAAACAACCTGCCTGCGCTCGTGACAAGAACCCAGCAGCTTTATCCATCAATTGCTCTTCACAATCCTCAACATGTCCTTCTCACCCGCAATCCGAGTCGCAAGGACAGCCGCTCAGAGATCAACCTCTCTGCTGCGCGCCATCCAATACGGGCACCCTCCGAGTTGTCCTTGCCATTCCAACCCCAACCACCACCATGTTCCATCTGTTTTCGGAGAGGCCAAGAGACGGTTGGCCACGCCGATTGATCATTCACGCACGAAAGACTATGCCTTTGAGATGGCTGCATCATCCATCCGTTTCGGACCTGGTTGCACGAAAGAGGTGGGCATGGACATGACGAACATGGGCGCAAAGCGGGTTTGCGTGGTAACAGACGGGAATGTCGCCAAGCTGGATGCCATGAAGCAGGTTATTGAAGGTCTCAACTCAGAAGGCATTGAGTTCACAGTGTACGACAAGTGCCGGGTCGAGCCTAAGGACAGCTCAATCAAGGATGCCATTGCTTTCGCAAAACCATACCAGCCCGACGCTTTCGTCGCGGTAGGAGGTGGCTCAGTGATTGACACGGCGAAGCTGATGAATTTGTACACTTGCTACCCAGAGGCCGACTTCTTAGATTTTGTCAACGCTCCCCTAGGCAAAGGATTACCTATTGGCAAGAAACTGTTGCCTTTGGTGGCTGTGCCAACCACGGCTGGAACAGGTTCGGAGACGACTGGCACGGCCATCTTTGATCTCGTGGAGAAGCGAGCAAAGACTGGTATTGCGCACCGCAACCTAAAACCTACTCTGGGCATTTGTGATCCTCTCAACACTCGAACAATGCCCTCCGCTGTTCACGCTTCTTCTGGCTTGGATGTGCTCTGTCACTCCTTAGAGTCCTGGACCGCCATTCCATACCATGAGAGATCTCCCAGACCGACGAACCCCATCAATCGGCCGGCTTATCAAGGTGCCAATCCAATCTCAGACATCTTTTCGCTCAAGGCGTTGAAGTCAACGGTCAAATACTTGCCACGTGCATCAAAGGACCCTGAAGATTTTGAGGCCCAAAGCGAAATGTTACTGGCTGCTACACTGGCTGGTGTTGGATTTGGAAATGCGGGTGTACACTTGTGCCATGGCATGAGTTATCCCATCAGTGGACAGAATCCAGGGTACAAGCATGCGGGATATCAAGTTGAGACTCCTATCATTCCCCACGGTGTCAGTGTTGCTGTTACTGCGCCAGCGGTTTTCAGGTTCACTGGGCCCAGTAACCCTGACCGACATTTGGCGGCCGCCGAATGCTTTGGCAAGGATATCTCAAACGCCAAGAAGGAAAGCGCGGGAGAAATCCTTAGCGAAGCTTTGGCTGAGTTCCTCATCAAGTTAGGAGACCAACCTCGAGGATTGAAGCCACTGGGCTTTACCAAGGAGAGCATTGATGATCTGGTCGAGGGCACATTGCCCCAGAGGAGAGTGCTGATGCTGGCACCAAACTTGAGCGAAGAAGTCAATCGTGAACGAGAACAGTTGAGAGGATTGTTTGAGGAGGCTCTGGAATATTAAGCTTAAGCAAAACTGAGCATCTGTTAGGGTTATCAGCGAAATGCAAAACATCTGGGTCTGGAATATCCGTACTGTGTACGGAGTACTCGTGGCATTGTTCTTCGAACTCGGCTAAGTTGCATCTTCAGAAGCTTCAGCCCCAGATTAAAGGCGAGGCACGTGATGAGGGGGAATCGTGGGGGATTTCAACCCCCTTGATGCGACTTCGGCCAGTCAAAACCCACATCCTCTCGATTCCTCCTATGATCTGTTCTGTTTTGTCTGCAGCTGATGCGAATTTTCCAGTCGACGAATCAATCAAATTTGTACCGTAAGCTTGGCTACCAGCCATTCTGGGGAAAAGCCTGTGACACAGCATCTCTCACGCACACCGTCTCAAGACGGACAGCATTGGGACAAAAGGAATACAAAATTCGTTCACACAGATATCTTCTGGTACTCGTTGGTTCCATTCTTCTTCTGTTATCGTCCTATACTCTTAGATTTTGTGAACACGGGTTTCTGCATTTCGACGTGTAGGTAAGACATATAGACGAACCCAACGCGACATTGACACCGCCATTTTCTTTCCAACCTTTCAAATTCGCCAACTACTACCATGGACACCCCAAATGGCGCCGCATCACGGCCCCGCGTCCTCTGTCCCGAGAAGCTCTCCCAGGACGGCCTCGCCCTCTTGCGCAAGACACTAGACGTCGACGAAAAGAAGGGTCTTTCCTCCGAGCAACTCATCGAGATCATACCAGATTACGACGCGCTTCTGGTCCGCTCAGAAACGAAAGTCACCGCACAGTTACTCAATGCCGCCCGCCGCCTCAAAGTCGTTGCCCGTGCGGGCGTGGGCGTCGACAACGTCGATGTGCCCGCTGCCACGAGGCTGGGTATCGTCGTCGTCAACTCGCCGAGCGGGAATATCCAGGCTGCCGCCGAGCATACCATCGCTTTACTGATGAGCATGGCGCGTAACGTGCCCGATGCATGTGCGAGTCTCAAGGCGGGCAAGTGGGAACGCAGTCGGCTGGTGGGCGTCGAAGTCAAGGGGAAGACGCTGGGAGTGGTTGGACTAGGAAAAGGTACATCCTGCCATTCAACTTCTTTTACTCCTCAAGAAAAGCTATAGTCCAGCCTTGCACGTTACACGGAAGCAGATCTACTAGCAAGGTGGCAAAGACAGGAGAAATGGAACAAGTACGCTGACACTGGTCGATCGATAGTTGGCCTCATCGTTGCGCGAATGGCTCGTGGCTTGGGCATGAATGTCGTCGCTGCCGACCCGTACGCCTCCGCATCGGTCGCCGCGGCCGCTGTACGTACTCTTTTCTCTGCTCTGAGAAGTCCATGAGATCCACCCTCTGTCTTCAGACGGCTGTACCGGTCCACCTCTAACAGTCCTCAGAACGTCACCTTGGTCGAATCTCTATCCGCCCTGCTCCCGCTCTCCGACTTCTTAACGATCCACACCCCCATGCTAGCCTCAACGCGGGGGATGCTCTCGTCGTCCGAACTCGACACGATGAAACGAGGATCTCGCATTCTGAACGTCGCTCGCGGCGGCATCATTGATGAGTCCGCGCTCCTGTCTGCCTTGGAAAGTGGCCATATCGCAGGTGCTGCGATCGATGTGTTCACGTCGGAGCCGCCAGCCGGTGACTCTGCGGCTGCGAAATTGATTGCCCATCCGAAGTGCATCGCGACGCCGCATCTCGGTGCGAGCACGGTCGAAGCGCAGGAGAATGTGTCCATCGATGTATGTGAGCAGGTGCTCCAGATTCTGGCGGGTGACCTGCCGCGAAGTGCTGTCAATGCGCCGATTATCTTGCCGGCCGAGTATAAGACGTTGCAGCCTTTTGTTAGATTGGTCGAAAAGTGAGTTCCTCTGACAATCCCTTGCGAACGAGTATTATTGTTTGCAAGCTTGGCTACGTCACCAAGTAGAGTCAATGTTCTGATCGTGTTCTTGGTATGCTGATACAACTATCATAATGCAGAATGGGCTCCCTCTACACGCAACACTTCACCTCCCCAAATCAACCTTTCGGTCGCAACTTCAACACATTCGACCTGATCTACGAAGGCGAGCTGGCGCAAATGTCCAGTACGAAACCGCTTTTCGCCGCGCTGATCAAAGGGCTTACTTCACCTATCAGCGACGCCGAGGGGTTCAATGTCAATATAGTCAATGCCGAGATGGTGGCCAAAGAGCGTGGGATCTTCGTGAATGAACAGAAGAGTCGCGATCCGAGTACGCAGGCATATAGCAGTCTCGTCACGCTGGTAGCGCGCAGTGGGTCGAGAGCCCCGAGCTTGAGTCGTGCTACAAGCGCGAACGACACCAGGATCACAAGTATTGCAGCGACGGCGAATGCAGGGGCTTTGGGAGGAGGAGGACAAGGAGATGTTGGAACCCAACATATCATTGCGGGCTATTGCAGCGACAATACGCCCTTCATCTCACGGGTTGACCGTTTCGCGACGAGTTTCGTGCCCGAGGGAACATTGCTGATCTGTCACAACTATGACTCGCCGGGAAAGATTGGGCTTGTGGGGAGCATCCTAGGCAGGGAGGGGGTGAATATCAATTTTATGAGCGTGGCACCGGCAGCGCATACGGCAGCGAACGTGGTCAAGGGCGACGGCAAGGATGATGGAGCCTTGGAGACGAATGAGGCGCTTATGATTTTGGGCGTGGACAAGGAGGTTGGCGAGAATGTCAAGAAGGAGCTGGTCAATGCCAAAGGCGTGCTGAATGTAAGTAGTGTCACGTTGTGAGTGGGAAGGAGAAGCACCGGGCCATTGGGCCGTTGGACACGTGGGAAATATGAGAAAGGGGCTCGACATCTTACCGGGTGGGCGGCGTATTGGTACACAATAGGTGGTGGAATGGAAATTTCGTGGTCGCGGTGGAGAAGAGAATTCGTGGAGGCAACGAGATCCCTTGGTGGAAGACATATTCCACGGACGCACCCTGCAGCGACAGGGTGTATACATACGAGTACGAGAGAGTGGTGAGGTCCAAAGGTACTTTCAACAAGCCGGATTATAATGCTTTAAAAGTTGGTTTAAGTTTAGAAAACCCGTGGGGCCGCCGTCAAAATGCCCAGCACGTTTCTATCGGAGTGACACCTCATGGGAGACTTCGAACCACCATTAGATCATGAATCGTACCCGGTGGGTGCCAGGTAGGTTTCCCACGCGGGCCACGGTACGGTGTAACCTTAACCTTGCGGCCCTGATGGATTTCTGCGTTCCGTGGTAAATTTGCCGAACCGTAGTCACAACCGTCACACCTCCGACTGATTGGCTCTGCATGAGGACCTCGGCACGTGACTGCATAGTTTAAACAAGCTTTGCAGCGGCGCAGAAAAGTGACGACATAGCACTATGAACCAATCAGAGATCCGGAGCCCTTCTTGCCCAACCACCAGCCAAACCTTCAACGGACCTCGACTTTGATTTCTTTCTCGCTCAACCGTCCACCTCATTCCTTGCCAGAATACTACCGACACAATCTCTGACAATACAGAATCCTGCTCAAAGCTGCTCTCAAACACCACCGTCGTATATTGAGAATGGTGCCCTGGCAACGCGGAGACGCTCGCCCCGAGAACAACATCCGAGGAATCTGACCCTCAGACGACGATCTTGGATACGATCGTGGTTCCGAGAACTCCATGCAACCCCATCCAATCGCGGATTATCTTATGTCTGATCAATCGTACAAGTTCTCCGCTGTTTGCCAGAAATCAGCCTGATGACGCCCCAAGCAATCACGATCGCTGCCTGCAACGGTGCCAAAGTCAATAAGCCAACCTTCGTTGATTGCACCTGGCAGTCTAAATGAGAGAGACTTCTGGCTAAATTGGACATATTTCGGCTGCTGCAACACAATATTTGTCCGCCATGTTGCCTTGCAGCAATAATCGCCGGTAAGGGGAAGATCTCTTCCTCACAAGACTCAACATTGCCTCCACCACGCGATGTGTTGCATGTGCAAATGTCCTGGAGCAAACGCCAAGTGACAATCCGTGCCTTGTCTCCAGTTGGCTCCGAGTGAAATGCTCCCCGAGGAGATTCATTGGCTGATCCCCAGCGTCATGTTGCTGACGTACTTCGGTTTGCTTCTCCGGGCTGTGTAATGTCCCCCATGTCAGCTTCCTTCTCCGTATCGTCTCGGTATGTGCTATGCCCCTCAGCCATGATTGGGTACGCTGTGAGTCCATCGCTCCCTCACGGCGTGCTTACCGTGATCTTCCTTGTGTCAGCTCTGGGAGGGCTATGTTCTCTCAGAAAGTGCTGTCGAAAGTTCCCCCAACATTTTTGATATATATTAATGCCCCGCCTTGTACCTCTTCCTCGCTTTATCTTCTGTTCAATACCTACCATGCGCCTTGGCCTTTGAAAAACGTCACCTCCTTACCCAGTCTCATCTGGGCGAGAGCACAGCAATCATGGACACACCGCCAGCCACACCAGAGTCAGTCACACCACCGGCTCTTCCATGCGGCCAACGTCTTATTGTCGTTTCCAACCGGCTTCCAGTCACTCTCAAGCAGAACTGTGAAGGAATATATGACTTCAAAGAATCTTCAGGTGGGCTTGCTTCAGGGATGAGTGGCGTCAAGCGCCATGTTGAGATGCTGTGGTACGGCTGGCCTGGGATGGAGCTTCCCCAGTGCGAGGAAGGAGACGTTGCTCGAACCCTCAGAGAAAAACACAGTGCAGTGCCTGTGCCTGTGGCTGATGACATCGCCGAGCTATACTACAACGGGTTTTCAAGTAAGCCCAACCTGACAAGCAATTTCCAAGTTCAGATGCTGATCTGAGGCTAGATTCTACCTTGTGGCCGTTATTACACTATCAACCAAACGCCGTCCGGTTCCATCGGAACGAGTGGCAGGCTTATCGCAAAGTCAATCGGTGCTTTGCCGATAAGCTAGTCGAAGACGTCGACGATGGAGATATTGTCTGGGTCCACGACTACCATCTCATGCTCTTGCCGACAATGCTCTCCGACGCAGCACACAAGAAGGGTAAGCACGTCATCATTGGCTTCTTCTTGCATACACCCTTTCCAACGGGCGACATGTTCAAGGTCCTGCCTCATTGGGAGGAACTCATCGAAGGACTTCTGCGGTGTAGCCTGATCGGCTTCCACACTCAGACATATGCGCAAAATTTCAAAAGGATGTGCGGCGACTATCTTGGCTTTAAGCAGTTCCCGGCAGGGATTGAGAGAAGCGGCAACTTCATCAGATTAGGCGTCTATCCAATCGGCATTGACGTTCCGAAATTTGTCAACCATATGCAGAAACCCGAAATGGAAGATCGAATCCAACACTTCCGAAGCCAGTACAAAGCCTCGAAACTCATCATTGGCGTGGATCGCCTTGATTACATCAAAGGTATCCCGCAGAAACTGAACGCCATGGAGCTTTTCCTTGACAGACACCCGGAATCAGTGGGCAAAGTAACAATGATTCAAGTTGCGGTCCCCAGCCGAGAAAATGTCAAAGATTACAAGGATCTAGCAGACGAGCTCCATCGGCAAGTTGATCGCCTGAACAGCAAATATGGTAATCTCACAACCCCCTCAAAAATCGACCAAACGTAACTGATGTTGTGCCAGGCTCTGACGACTATGTGCCCATTCACTTTCTTCACCAGTGCGTTCCGTTCGACGAGCTAATGACCATGTACGCCGCTTCCGACATCTGCTTCGTTTCTTCGATACGAGACGGCATGAATTTGGTGTCTTACGAGTACGTGGCGACTCAGAGGGCACGACGGGGTGTGCTGTTACTGTCGGAGTTTGCTGGTGCTGCTGAAGTCTTGAAAAGTAGCGTCCTATTCAATCCCTGGGACATAGGTGGCACCGCCGAAGCACTCCACAGTGCGTTGACCATGGGACCTCACGATCGAGCTGTCAAGCACCGGGAATCCGAAAAATATGTGATGGAGAATTCCAGGTAAGCCTTTGTTGATATTAGACATGAGACACGTGGGCTAACCTCTGCTTCAGTGCTGCATGGGGCAAATCCTTTGTTTCAGATCTGCAGAAGGCGAGCGCCAGCTACCTCTCATCCATCTCCGACTCCCGGGAGGTTGCTTGCCACGGTTCGAAGATGCCCTGGAAAGCCAACCCATCTCCCGACTGTGGCCCAATCTGGCGGAGGGGCAGCATCCTTTTACGACGCGAGACGAGCTAGAGCCCGAGCAGGATGCCAGTTCACGATACTCGATGATGAACTGCTCTCACATGTCACGGGGTAAAAGGACCAGTGGACGTTTGACATTCTTCAATCTGTGGCCAGGATGGAAGGATTCGCGGAAGTATAGCCGTAACACGAGCAGGTGCCGATACGGGTCAGGATTTTGACATAATAATGGGAGGTGGATGAAGAAAGGTCTGGCGTATTAGACAAAACGAACAAGGGTTCTTGCTCGCATGGCGCCAAGGTGTCAGGGGATTGGAACATGCCTGCAGCGTTATCTAGAATTGGAGGTCTCGGACAATTTTCTGATGGTATGGGGTGTCTGAGCCCGTTGATAGGCTATGGCTCACTGCAGGGCACCGGCTGCAAATGGCCTGAATGGGCGTGGCGTTGGTGGACAACTTGGTAAGTCTGTTTCACTCCCGAACGTCCAACTTCGAAGGTTCCTTTAAGTCGAACAAACCGATTCCAGTTTCTTTTGTATGGCATACTTCTATACGACACCTCTATACGGACACTGCCGCACGCCGCACAGTTTCGAGCCGTGCCTTCCTTTTCGGACCTCCTACAGCCAGCTGAGTTAAATTGAGAATTGAAGAAAGCTGGTCTAACAGAGCCTATATCCCCCGAACCCCCCGAATCCTAGTCCGTTGGGGCAGCCCTCTTACTGCAATGGACACCCATGCCCAGACTTAGTGCTTGATTGGAGCAATGGACAACCTCATCGCTTGTTCTCCTGAGAGGAAGATCCTGGTGCGGGGTTCTGCGTCGTCGACTCCGGCTAAGAGCTTCCTATCGTGCATACCAGTCGGAGGGGAAGCCGAGTGAGCGTTACAAGTGGAGGTTTACCTAGGTAGTTTGCCGGATCTTGACGGAACTTGGTAATTCATTGTATGTCCCTGTACTTTATGATGTATGTACCACAGCATCTCCCAATACCTAGTATTTTCGTGGAGAGTGACGAGACCACAAGATCAGTCACAAATACTAGTCGAGTTATGCGACGTTGGGATCAGACCGTTACTAGTAATACTTAAAGCAAGGGAGACACGATAGATTAACACGGGGTACTAAAGTACGAGGTTAGAATTAGGCTAGGGTTTATCTTTCTTTAATAAAGCCATTGTAAGCGACCTTGGCGAATAAGCTATCTTAGTTGTGCACTAGTGTAATAGGTAATTTCGCTAGCTTGTACTAGCTCAGGCTAGCTCTCGCTAAGCGCTCTGTTTTTCAGCACCTCTTTCCAACCCCCGCTTCATACCTCGTATCCTCCTCCTCTCCCAACAGCCCCTCAGCCTATACTATTCAAAACTCTTCGATGATCGCCCCTCCTGCCCTGTATCAGACCATCGACTACGGATTGACCTGATCGGGACGAGACTCTTTGATGATGAAGGTGTGCAGGAGTGAAGCATCTGGCCTGATGTTTACTAACCCATTCAGATTCACAGGAGAACCTGGTTTCCGCTGATCTTTCCTACACGACCTCAGTCACCCACTTGCTGAAATCAAAACTTACTCCGCACGCCCAGTGCTGCTCGGCGAGCCCCGAAACGAGCACAGACCTCTGCCACCTTCTTGGTCCATGATCCATGATCCATGATCCATGATCCATGATCCGTGATCCATGATCCATGAAGCGTGGACCCTGTCTTCGCGACTTCCCCGAAAGTTAGATCTCGCAGGCTCTCTCCTCCCTTTGCGCAAGAAGAACCCTCTCTCGGACATCAAAGCGACTGTGTCAAACTCCTGTCAGAAGAAACCTACCAACCACACGCTGATGAAGTTATCCTCCGAAGGTCTGGTTGCTGAAGAATTCAGGCAAAAACAACCGGCGACCCTGCTCAGCCTTACACCGCATAATTATTGTTGGCCACCTTTGACAGGGTACTCCATGGGCCCCTGCCTCAGGCGCAGAGCGATGTTCCGCCTTTTTCTTGGAGAAAGATAAGCCAAAGCCCCGCAAAACAACGTTGTCACCCCAGGAAGGATGCTGCTCATCGTCGTTGCTCAGATTTATATCTAAACATTGTTCGTCCATCATCGTGCAAATACTGGCTATACAGCAATTCACGTTCAGCCACGACCAGACCACGGCCGTCAAGGCAAGAGGCTAAGCATGGATCCCTCCTCCTCACCTCACAGCCAGAATTCCTCCTCCAAATCGAGCTCTCCCGTCATCACACCCATCAGGACCGGCAGTGCTTGCCAATCGTGCAAGAAGAGAAAGACCAAGGTGGGCTATCCTTGGAAGTATCGAGGTTTCGTATACTCAGTGCCATCCAGTGTACCGGCCAACCAGGGCCATGTGCGAACTGCAGCAAGACAGGAACGTACTGTCATTTCGACATGAAACTGGACGGCAGACGAAAGCATTCCTACGAGGCAACCGACATTCATTATCGGCAGCAGTTCATTCTCGATGCACTGCTTCGAAGCATCAAGTACAACGATGCCGATCTTGTGCAAAGACTTGTGGAAGCGATCAGACTCGGCAGACCGTTGCTCGAAATTGCCACTGCTCTACAGGACAACATTAGAGCTTTACAGGGCAAGATGCTGTCAAAGGAGAATCATGTTACTCTCTCGGACATGATCTCTCTGGCACTGAACTGTCTATCAGATTCCGACTTTCGTCCGCATGGAAACAGCAGAACCTCACTCCCACTACACCAAACCTTTGTTCTGGGAGATTCCTTCCGGGTTACCAAGAATAAAGTGGTCTTGGATGGTGCCAGAACAAGTGCAATGAGAGACATCAGCATGGACCAAATGAGCCGACGATCCCGTAGGAGGTCACAAGCGTCTGGGGCCCAAGAGAGTTGTCCTCGTCAACGTTACCCAGATGGAACCAAAGCCACGTGTGACACCTGGGCAACGGGCGGATCAGGTTCGCCCTCCACCACTGCAGCTTCTTGTGTGCATATGCCTTCAAATCTTCTAGAGGATTGGCAGGTGCCAAAGAGTAGGTCAAGTCTGTCGTTTGCGTTTTCACGTCTGATCCATCATTAGGCCCACAAGCAAAGCATAAATGGTCGGTCGCTGACGATTACACTTCGTACGCTCCTCAACATCAACACCAAGACCAAGTACATGCACCGACAGACCCAGGATTCGCATCCGATAAGGGCCCAACACACGGATGCCAGCCGCCCCTTGGATACCTTCCTGAATATTTTGTGCCACCAACCTACATCAACGAGCAATTCACCACATGCTCAGACCACTGCGATGCTGCATCGCAAATGATGCGCGAAATCCCCAGGCCTCGGTGCGTTTTGGGCGCCCAAACAGGGGAGGATATCTCATGGCAGTGGTGGCCGTCGTCTCAGCCGGGATGGCCACTTGCAGCTTGGTCTTCTCTGGCATGAGAATGGGTCTCTTCTTGTACATTAGCTTCAACACCCACCCCATATCGAATCAGCAGGCAACCGATATGGGTGACTACCGAGGTTAATTGCAGGTTGACAATTACAGTTGGGAAGGATGGAACAGCTGGTCGATGCACGTGCTCCATCTTGATTTAATTGTGAAGGATTATGGCCAGCGCAAGGTGCATGTTGTCTTCAGGAGAGGGGGACTGTTTCAAGGTCCCAATCGAAGATCATGCTTTCTTGGAGGTGAACCTTTGCTCCATAATCACGGTCGAGCTCCTTTTTCTCTGGGAAGGACGTTGGTGGCGGTTCGGCACCAGCCCAGGGTCTGCCATGCATGGCGAATAACATCAGGTCGATGGGGGTAAAGGTGACCGGAATGGCAATTGCTCAGGGATGGAGCATTAAGTTGAAGGGCATATCTCGTACCATCTGCAGAGGACGAAGCCTCTAACCGAAAGATCGGAACGATCAAGTCTGCCTTGATCGGCAAATGAGGTGCTCAGCGCACCCTGCATGCGGTGGGCACTGCTAAGGTAGGCTGAAGAGCTCGGCGTGATCGTGCTGCAATGTGGGCAGTAATTCGCTGGGGTACTTCATCACTGCAGCCACGTTGTCCCCGGTTCCTGGCACCCACCTGGAAGGAGAAAAAGATGGAGGATTGCCGTCAGCATGCCTGATGCACAAGCTATACCAGACACAGAATTGTTCACGTGCATCATGGCATCTACTGTGTAGAGAAATCACCCTTTTGCTCTTGTCCAGTGTCGACACGACGACCCTATGTACTCCTATACTAGTATTGGTCGTCGTCCTCGAGTGCCTCTAAATGGGCTACAAGCGGATGATGTCTTGCGAGAGGACAGCATTGTGACCCTCTCCCTCCGTCACCTGGTGGCTGGGTCCATTGCACGTTTTGTGGGCAGGGATCTGGGGCAAAACATTAAAGTTACTAATAGTTCAAAAGATGAGGACCCCCCGCGATCGCCCTTGTCCGACGTTGGTTTTGTAGATGCTCCGCCGAAGACGAACTCCTAAACTCTACTTTGCTACGGAGTACTCGTTAAGTAAATCGACGATGGGTGCGGTCGTGGTTGATCGAATCTGGCAAACGGTATGACTATCCGGGGTGGTCGAGGAGTGTCCGGGGTGTGTGTCCTGCGACTGTGTCCTGCGACTGGCCTAAAACGGCGAAACGGGGGGTCATGGTCATGACTCGCTACCGTCATGCGGGCGCGCCCCCATGCAGGTCGTCTTTCAAATCACTAACATTAGGCCCCATGCGACGAGTCACGAGTCACGAGTGGCACGAGTGGCACACGGCTTGCAGATTGTTTTCATCCGACTGCTCGTGGTTGGTAGTTAGTTACCTACTATGTAGAGGTAGTGGTTTACGAGTAAGGTAATCGCAGAAGAGGCTACCCTTTTTTTTTTGAAACTTTACAACGGCTGCAGTAAACTACTACGGTAGTGGTTAGACCCAGTCCAATGCTGTAGAGGGAGACAAGAAGCTCTTTTCTGGTCATATGAGATGGTTAGTAGTGGTACTGTACTGTACTGGACTTACCGGGTATTGAGGCACATGGGCCAGGTAGGGGTGCGCGCGGCGACAAATCCAGAGCCAGCACAGCACAGCACAGCACAGCACAGCACAGCACAGCACAGCACAGCACAGCACAGCACAGCACAGCACAGCACAGCAATACCTTGCCCTCATCCTCGTCCTTTGTAGCTGCTAGTACTCGAGCATGCCCATGGCCATGCAGGGTTCATCTCATCTCATCTCATCTCATCTCATCTCATCTCATCTCATCTCATCTCATCTCATCTCATCTCATCCCTGCTCATGATCTCGGTAAGAGAGGCACTGGACAGGGGCCCATCGTAAGGCTAAGGAACCAAGGCACCGAGGTGGCGGACCATGCAGTCCTACGAATCGGGAGATTGTTTGCTACTAGCACCTCATCAACCCAACGAGGCCAATTACCGTACGGAGAGTACCGCGAAGATACGCGACGGTGCGATTTCGGTGCGATTTCGATCATGGGCATTCCACGGCACTCCCTCGAGATGAGATGACAGATGACAGATGACAGATGATATAGGCTTACCACAACCTTACCACCACTTTACGGAATCATATCCCTAGTCTTTTCTGGCTAGCCGAAGCTGTAATTTGCCGCAGTACTACCTACCTAGCTAGGTAACTGCATTCGTGATTCGACGCACAAACACTTGGGTGAGAGGGTGACTTCGAGCCTCAGCCTCACCTTCAGCCCCCCGAGGGCAAGAGGGCACACTCAAGCGAGGGAGCGAGCGAGCAGATTGGAAAGTCTAGCCTACACCTACACCAGCCTCTAAGTTCCTACCAAGTTACTGGGCACCAGCCGTCTTCAGTTCTAAATGACCAGGGCAGACCAGGTAGACCATGTCAAACAACACCGATGCCATGCCAATGCAATGCAATGCGACGCCTGCCTGATACTGTATTATACTACTATTCGACTCGGCCATTGGCAACAATTTCATGCTCGATATCATACACAAAAGCCCAATTGAATGCCTTCGTAGGACAGTGAGCCGCTTCCCATTCCATTCCAGACAGAACCAATCAATGATCAACCCAATACACCGAGCCTTATGCCAACGAATACTCCGACCATGTCCACCCACATCCAGCAGGTCTCGTCCTCACAATAACAATGACAATAAGGCTTACCCCTTTGGTGGTCTCACGTTCATGCAAGAACTCAGCCCCAGACTTCAAGCCAAGTTCAGACTTCACTTGAGACAGACTTCAACCAAACCAGGCTGAGAGTCTAACCTTTCACCAACCCCTCCCTCCACCGACCGATATCCTTGGTCTTTTTGGTCCAGAGCTTCTCAATCTTTTCCATCTCTTTTCGCGCCTGTTCAAGCTCCTTCTGCTTCTCCACCACGCGTTTCTGCAAGACATCCGATTCCAATGCGCGCAGGTTCACGTTCACGTTCACATTGGCATCGACACTGCGGTCCACGTTTTCCTTCGGTTGCTGCTGCCCCGTAGATGTCGGAGCACCCACCTGTCCAGGCATCCTCAAAGGCGTGGTCGTCTTCGAATGCGGCCCCAGCCCCGGCAAGGACGTGACTCTCCCACTCGCCGAGCGAGGCGGATTATCCCATGCACCCGGCATGTTCACCGCATCGTGGAACCCTTCCTCGGCCTCAGCGTCCAGCACATCTTCGTCGAACTCCCCTTCATCGTCATCACTAAAGCCGATTTCGCCGTCGAGTTCGCCGTCATCGCCATCATACATATCGAATTCATCGTCCTCGCCCATATCACCGTCATCGCCCGTGACCCAGATTACGCCGTGCCTTTCACCATGCCTGCTGAGTCTGTCCATCCCCCCACCGAGGTTCGTGTAGTCGTCCGCCTCGAGCACGCCGAGGCCGTCCATCGTGCCCACTTCGCCGAATTCTTCCATATACATCTGTCGTCGCTCCTCGAGATCGAGCACTTTCTCAACCTCGTCCGCGCTCAGATGACGCAGTACCCATCCATTAGGCGTCACGAGACACCGTCTGAGCAGCTCATCCTTGCATTCACCTCCATCAGCGATACTAACTGCCTGGCCATCCCGAAGAGCCTGCTTCTCCTTGAGCGGTAGGTAGACGTATCCGAAGGCGTCGGTGGCGCTGTACCCGTTTCCATCCAGATACTCTTGGCCACGCCTGGAATCGGGTGCGAGCTTGTACGCGGCTGAGGAAAAGTTGGGTGGATTAAGCCACGGGTGATCTTTGGACAGGTCACCCGACTGGATCAAGGAAGAAATGATTTTAGGCATCGATGAGACGTGTTCGCTTAGTAGTTTTTGTATGGCACTCGTTGTGTCGGCATGTTCCATGGCGTTTCCAGCTTCGTTGTAGAGATCACGAAGTGTGTAGGGTGCTTTGACTCGTTCTTCAGCCTTTGGTGGCGCCTCTTCTTTGGGTGTTGCAGGTGGTGAACTTGCAGATTGCTCTGGCCGTGGGGGCCTACTGCCCTGATCCTTCTCCAGTGCCTTGGTCGATGCCTTTCTGGCGGCGCTCTCGGCTCTTTGATCTTCAGCGTGCTCCTGTGGTCTTGGACTTGCCGTCTCGTCTGCACTCTGCGCCGTACTGGTATCGACTTTCTTTTTCTGCTTTTTCTGTCTGGCAATGACCGGAGCGACCTCTTCAATAACAGGTGTCGTGGAAGTGCCGGCAGGTTCACCGATTTCCGACACCTTTTTCGCCTTGTCCTTCCGCTCCTTCTTCTGCTGAGCTTTGCTCTTGATGCGGTCGGGAGCCGAACCGACGATACTTGGAGGAGGACTACTCGCTCGAGAAACATCTTGGGATGGTAGCTCTGATATTGCCGGTGTAGACGGTCTGCTGTGCTGGGCGGAAGACAACGATGGCCTCCTTGATCCCTTCTTTGCAGAAGAAAGAGGCGGAAATGCGCTCGACTTCTCGGGAGTCGCTGATGCTGGGGTCGATTCCGCCACTTTCGTAGTCGTGACTGTTGTCAAACGTAAGGTTCTTGGTTTGGGCATAGATGCTTTAGATGGCTCCGAAGGAGTGGTCGCGGCCGGTGTCGCTGGTCGGGAGCTCATCGTCCCGGGAGTTCCCACAATACTTGAGTCCAGTATCGGCGTCCCCGACTTCTCTAACGGGAAGACTGCCGAGACAGCGGTCGGGATGGGAGGAATCGCGATCTTTCCAGGTCTCTGCTCCGCTGCTTTAGTTTTGGCTTTTGTGTCGACAATGGTGGAAGGCGGGTTATCCGTCTTTGCCGAGTTCTCTTCAGCCTTTTCAGACATGCCACGCGGTTTGTCAATATCATTCTTCGATCGCGAAGAACGTAGCTTTGGTGAGCCCAAGCTAAATTCACTCGCATCAGTTCTCGTCTTCCGAATCTGAAGAGCGGCGCTGTCGTTGTCGTTCAGGGGCTCGCTGTCTTCCTTCGGCGTTTTCGAGGCCTTTGTTTTTGGCGTACTTGAGCGAGGACCGAGGGGCAATAACGGCACAGCAGGTGCCATAGCAATCGAAGTTGTCGACGTATTCCTAAGGGCCGGTGTCTGCACACCGGGTGTGTCATGCCGAGAGGGTGGCGGATGGCCATGAAGGAGCTCGAAACCCGGAGGGATCTTGGGAGTGGAGGTTCGTTCGAAGCCGGGAGGAATTTTCGGGGTTGACGATCGGATACCCGACCCAAAGCTATGGTGAGACGACACTCGTGAGTGCAAAGGCGTAAGCTGGATCTCCGAGCGAACAGGCAACGGTGGGAAGTTCGTTTCGTCCACTGTAAAGAATTAAGTCAGCGACCGAGTTGAAGAAGTAACGCTCAAGATAACCAGAATCCTCAGCACGGCGGCAGGTACATATAACGGCGCGAAGATACGGTCAACAGGCTTTCGCATCATGAATCTCGGCTCGTCCAGCAGAAGGTCTACATAAATCTGACACAAGCCCCTGAATACTGTGTAAGAACATGTTTTTTGATCTGCCTGACTCTGTAATTCAGCCAGGGAAGGGTACTAACATACATAAGATTCGTTGATTGTGGACTGGGACGAGTTGATGCCTGCTGGAAGAGAAAACCTGATGCCGACAGAATGGGTTGTGATAGCCTTTCACAATTGCTGCCCGATATGACCGTGACCCATGCCGTGGACTCCGATAAGCTTTCGCCATCCAGCTACTAACTTATGCTTTGCTCGCTGTTCCGAAAAACACAGAAGTTTCAACCGACCAACGCCAAACAAAACCCATCAATGTGGAAAAGGAAAGCCGGTTGCGAGAAAAGATTGGTCAAGGAAGCCGTAATCACCATCGACTGTACCCGCCGCCGCCGCCACCGTACATCAAACTCGACTGCTGGTACCCACCTTGTTGACCTCCAAAAAGCCCCTGCCCTGTGGTGTTGCCCTGGTGAACTCTTGTTGAAACGATGCTCGGGTCCGCAAGATGCTCTACACCACCTCCTGAAGAGGAAGTGTTAGCATGTCTGTGCTTCTTCCCCTTCTTTCTTTGCTTGACAAGTCCAGGGTCTTGATACGCTCCTTGATATTGGCTATAGAGCGGATTGAGGACGCCAGGGGCAGGGGCCGACAATGGAGGTGAACGAAGGGGGTTGTTTTGCAAGGAAAGGAGCAACTCACGCTTAGACATGTCATGACCTTGATTGGTCCCACTTCGATTTCTCGAAAAGATCTCAGCATTCGCGTCTTTCGACGAGCCAAAGCCAGGATTGGTGAAATTTTGACCATGAGCAAACATGCCGCCGCCACTGACAGGGGGCGTCCCAGCAGTTGGTAAGCCGGGAGGGGGGCCTTGTACACCGCTGGAATAGAAGGTGGACTGGCTTCCTTGGAAGCGGTTGGCATTGTTGGCATTGTTGGCCTTGCCGTCGTTATTAAAGTATCTTGAACCGTGGCGTTGGTGCGCGCTGATCTGTTCGAATTGAGCTTGACTGTATTGTGGGCCTTGTCGATCAAAATCGGACATTTCGAAGGCAGTGTTCTGACCGAGGCCTGGTGCTTGGCTGCCTCCAGTATTGAGAAATGCAAGCTGTTGTCGTTGTTGAGGGGTCAGACTGCGAGCCGTTTCGGACATGCCTTGTGATGGACGACCAATCGCTCCACGAGCAGAAGAAGTTCTGGGGTCGTCCTCTGGCTCTCCACCCAATGCGAGACTTCCGGCGACAATGTTGTCTTCCTCGAGGGCATCCTCTGCCGTCAAAGTTGCCTGAGCTTCCAGTTTGGCCTTTGCTTCTGCTTCGAGCTTGGCGCGTTCCGTTTCCTCTCTCTCGCGCATAGCCCGGCGTTTGGCGCCGCCATAAGGATCGATCAGAGGTGGCATATCATCAATCGTAGCTCGAACCTCGGGGCTGAGACATGAGTCATCATAGACAAAGCGAAAGTGTGGTGACACGCTTCGTAGAACTGCGTCAAATTGCTGTTGTACATGGTCCACTGGTTTGGACCGGGGTTTGGGGATCGTGGGTTCAGATTGTGAGGTCTGCTTTTTGGAAGTTGAGGTTGAAGATGGTTGACTCGCAGCTTCCTTAGATTTAGGGTCCTCTGGTTTTGGAGCAGCTAAAGGAACTTGCGTCATCTGAGGGCTGGGAGTGCCTCTGCTGTTGGCTTGACTAGCACGCCGGGTCCGGGCGACGGGAGCATTGGCATTCGCCCAACTTGCTGTAGATGGTAGTGCCGAAGCATCGTGACTGTTCTTTCTGCTGATGTCTTCCTCTTTGCTGCCCTGCCGAGCCATGGGTTGGGTGGTTTGAGTGGCAGACAAAGGTCGGACAGGAGGCGCAATCTGGCCTGTGGCTGGCTTAGGTTTCGTGCTATGCGGCTCATTCTGCAAAGAGGTGTCCCGACCCTCTTCACCAGTCTCGTGAAGGAAGCTGCAGCTTTTATTGGTGCAAACTTCACCACGAAGATAAGCGGAACAATATTTCGTGGTGCCAAATTGAGCTCGTAAGACGCGGTCACCGTTAAGGGAGCCGTCAACTGTGTTTATGCATAATGCAGCATCCTCTTTGCGAGCATATGTCACGTACACACCGATCCCTTGGCTTGTCGTTCCTGGCTTGGGCTTACTGACAACAATTTTCTCGATGTCGCCGTATTGACCGAAGTAATCTGGGCCGCGAAGGGTCTGTAGAAGCGCCTGCTCATCTTTGACCTGCGGTATCAGGCCAATGACATAGACAAGATTCTGCTGTTTGACACGGACGCCAGCCAAGTTTCGTCGCGATGAGGTTTCGACCTCGCGCTTTTCGGTTTCTTTTCGTCTGGCGGCAGCCTGCTTCTTGTTCTTGTTCAGTTGATCGAGCTTGAACTCCTCCGCTGTCGGGATCTTGTACTGGATTGTCTTTTCATCGTAAGGCCGCCGGCAATTCGGACAGGTACTCTTTTCGTAGGTGGTCTTGAGACTGTTGAAGCAGAATTGGCAGATCTGGATGGCGGCTTAGCTTCGAGCCCACAGAGTGACACAACAAGGGTGTATGACACGTACCTGATAGCCGCAAGGACATGGTCTGAAATTCTTGTCGGAGAGATCAAACTCTTCAATACATAGCGGGCTATTGTATCGGTCAGTATCGAGCTCCTCACCTTGCGAACAGTATGCGCGACTCACCATGTCTCCTCGTCATCATCGATGACGGTATCCTGCGACCTACTCATCGAGGTGAATGTGATGAGTTTCTGATGATGTGTACCGCCGCCTCTTTCGACACCTGCACCGCTCGTCCTGAATGAGGAACGTTCTCCATGCACTATTTGGTACTCTGAAGTTTGCTGGCGAAAAGGCGCGGCAAGGTATTATTGGTCCCGTATGGTATGCGAGTAAGAATTCTGGAGGTGCTCGGCGACGACGGTTTGAGATGAAATGATGAATTGGTGAATGGCAAGATTGCAGGTGCTTAGAATGTTCTTTCCGCAGCCAAAGAGCGAAATGTCCACCTGACCACCCTAGGCTTGATTAGGTTAGCTTGGGCTATTTCTTGGCCGCGGCCGTGAAGCTCCATGACCTCAATACAGATCCTACAGTAAAGCTGAGGTGATGAAGTGAATCAGTGCTCACCATGGCTTCAACGAAGACAGTGTTGCGCCTGGCAGGCAAGAGACCTCTTGGTACAGCTGCTCAATTATCAAGAGGTGCACAGCGGGCGTCGCTTTCGCATTCATCCAAGAGATGCGCAGAAAAGGATGATACAGCCCAGAGGTTGAGAGAAGCCGCCCCAGATTTGCTTTCAGAGCTGCGAAAGGCTCCCAGGCGGCGTGAGTCTCCTCTTCTGGAGAATCCTCATGATCAAGGACTGACCGTTGTATAGCCATGGGCAAGCTCTCTGCTCCGATCGTCAACGATGCCGACAAGTACGCGGACAAAGCCACCCCCCTCCACCAATATGGCCAATACCTCATGTCCTGTCTTCCCAAATACATCCAGCAGTTTTCAGTATGGAAAGACGAGCTCTGCATTTATATCACACCGACGGGTGTTATCCCTGTCTTTACCTTCTTGAAATACCACACTGCGGCTGAGTACACCATGGTCTCAGATATCACTGCAGTCGACTTTCCTACCAAAAACTACCGATTCGAAGTCGTTTACAACATGCTCAGCGTGCGACACAACTCGAGAATAAGAGTCAAGACATATGCGGACGAAGCCACCCCTGTCCCCTCGATCACCTCCCTTTATGATGGCGCAAACTGGTACGAGCGTGAGGTTTACGACTTGTTCGGCGTTTTCTTCACTGGTCACCCTGATCTTCGCCGTATCATGACCGACTATGGCTTTGATGGACATCCACTACGCAAAGACTTCCCTTTGACTGGCTACACTGAGATCAGATGGGATGAGGAGAAGAAGCGAATTGTTGTGGAACCACTCGAGATGACACAGGCGTTCCGAAACTTTGAAGGTGGCACAAGTGCTTGGGAACAGGTTGGTACTGGTTCGGACAGAAAACCTGAGCAGTTCAAGCTACCAACTCCAAAGCCAGAAGAGAAGAAAGAGGAGAAGAAGTAAGATATCCAAGATAGGCGGGGTGTGTCAGTATGCTGGGGACTAGCTATCAACCAGTGGTCGACGGACTGACTGCTCTGGCGTCGGGTTGTATATATGAATGGAAGAGACAAGTCAAGCCAAAAAGGCCAAGGAGCATTCTACACTGATTCTGAGGCCGACTCTGTCAATTCTTTCTCGTGATCATTCTTGGGAACCTGGAACTTGTACAAATATCAACCCCGGCGGTATAGACGATGTCTTAACCAACACTAATCTTGATTCTAGATCCCGATCCGTCATGCACCTTCATGTGTTATGCAGTGGTATTCCTCATCCTTCACAAGGCGCTTTCGAGATGCACGGCCCGCCACCTACAGTACGGGCCGAAAACTGTACCTAAACCGAAGTTGGACGATGCTGAGAAATGCCTCTCAAATATTGTCAACACGCAAATGCTCGCGCCGAATGACTCCATTCCCCGATAGTCTTCGCCGTGTCCAATATGAATAGGAACGGCTACGAGGCTGAGTGTCGCGTTCTGTCGGGGTTTACACGACGATCCAGCTTACCAAAGCAACGTCTGCGATCCGGTTCTGGACCGCACAAGGAGCATCACAGGCAATACAAGCAGGTCTTCACGTTGGTGGCCGGTAAAGTATAAGATACAATAGCCATGCTTCATCCGGCTGTCGACGATGGTTCTTCGTTATCAACATTCCACCATCACGCTTCCCAGGTAGTCGAATCCAAATGCCCGCAGACCTTGTTGAGCTTGACTCTCTGAGCATCACAGCAATCATCAACGATGAAATTGACTTGATTTCCCCTTCACGACATCCTGATGTCGAAGTTCCCGGTTCTTTTGCAGGTGTTCCAGTCCAATTTCACCACGGACAAGAATGGACAGATGCACGCGGCGGCGCGAACGCAGAGATGCGTATGGACAGTATCTGTTGCGGTGCTCACGGATTGAGTCTGCTAGTGGTAAGCCACCAATATCTCGCACTTACTATGTATTGCCCCACGCTTTTCGCTCCTTTGCTGAGCTGAGCCTTGACGCCAGACTGCCACAAAAGGCGAGACAACACACACCCTACTGTTTGATGCCGGACCCGAAGCAGAGGCATTCGAGCGCAACGCCCGACGACTTGGTCTGGTCGGCGACAATGCTTGCATATGCAATGTCGAAACCATCGTCCTGTCCCACTGGCATCGAGATCACTCCGGCGGGCTGATCAAGGCCATTGACCTAATCAATTCGACAAAGGCCCAAAGGACATCTCACACGGCAGCAGAACCAGGGCTAGTGGTCGATATCCCTCCTGACCGCCCTCTCTACCGCGGAATTGCGCATCACAGCGGCCCAATCTGTCTCGAAGCCGACCCGACACCAGACGAAATCACGGCAGCTGGCGCCCAAGTAGTCGAGGATGCTTCAAGTCACGGCGTCTTGGACGGCTTCTTCGCCGTGACAGGCGCGATACCGCGGCTTACGACCTATGAAACGGGGATCCCTGGAGGCGTCAGACTTAATAGAGTCGACGACCCCGAGCGGAGATGGATCAAGGACGAAGAAATCAAGGAAGAAAGGGTTGTGGTTTGTCGACTGAAAGGCAAAGGCCTGGTCATTTTCACGGGTTGTTCACATGCGGGCATCGTCAACATTGCCTACGATGTCCTGCAAGCATTCTCCTCTCCTGCAAGGCAAAGCGACGACTTCTACGCACTAATCGGCGGATACCACCTCGCAGATGCTTCCGAATTGCGGCTGCAGAATACATTGACCGACTTGATCGACTTGAATCCGAAGCTGCTAATGCCAGGACACTGCACGGGTTGGCGGTTCAGGGCTTTACTTGAGCAGTCCGCCTCAGGGTCAAGCAGGAACCGCATTCCACAGAGCGCTAACAACACTCTCCAAGGTCGGACGGTCCCTATCTTTGCAGGGAACAAGTACCGCCTCTCTGGCATCTAGAGGCTGAGGCTCTTCTCTTAAGTAGTGATCGGCCCAGACAGAAGACTACCTCGATGAACTTTAGATACTTCTAGTCTGCAGTGCGCCGTGAAGAATTCGGTCAGCCTTGGGCAGTGATGCCAGTATTAGCCCTGAAACCCCCTGATCGGCGGTGGGCTGTGGACAGCAAGCAGTGGGCATCACATAGTAGATAGATCTCGCTGTCAGTGATACTGACCATACCTCCTTCTGGTCTACTTTCTACTGTATAAAGCAATGCCAAAACGATCTCATCTCAATACTACCTCAAGGTAGCATGCACTTCCCACCTTCACACCTTCATGGGCAACTCTACCCGTACAGTGTCAAGACCAACTCCTCTTCCAATCCTCCCCCGAAAGCTTCCTCTTCTTGGCCCTGATGCCTTCACCAATACACTCGACCACATCCGCAACATCCGTGCCTCTCTTCCTACTCTCGACCCTCTCCTGGCCCAGCACGGTATCATCCGCAATGAGCTTATATATCTCCGCCACGCCCTCGAACACACCTGCCGTTCCAACACTCACACCCATACCCGCACGCCCCTCCTCGGCCGCAAGCACATCCGGACTGAACCCTCCTTCCTCCACGAACGTCTCGTTGATCTGCCTCATCTCGTCGACCCAGCGGTATGCCTTGGGCGGCATGCCGGTCAACCCATGCTTCGCCGCCGCCAGTGCGCCCGGGTTGAATTCTTTCAAATGCTCTTCCAGCGCCGGGAGAACGCCCGCTTGATGCGCCGTCGTGAAACTCAAAATACTCAGCGCGATCATACCTTTGCTGAGGCTAGCGAAGCACGCTTTCAGCGCCGATGCAGAGCCTATGGTATCGCCGACAATTCTCAAATTCAGAGTGTCGAGGAAGTCTCTCGGCAATATCTTCGAGTGTCGAGGTCCCGATATGACGATCGATGGCCGTTTCCAGGTATTGTCTTCGCGTAGTGAGGGCGGTCCACCAATGATGCCGCCGTCGAGAAATTCGATCTCGATCGGTTGCAAATCCGGTTCCGACTCGGATCTGTGGAAGCTGAATGAGCGGCGGGTGATGCCTTGGGCCTTGGAAGGTGACGGAGACTTCGCACTGCTGAATAGGGCGCTGATGGATCTCGTACTGTGCGGGCTGATGGCGTTCAAGTCAATGTAGACTAGTCTCGACGATGGAGAGGTCCTCTCATTCCGACGCTTGATTGCCGTATGAGAATTGCAAGCGTGGTAAGCTCGGTGCGCTGTAGCGACTGCATCTCGTGGAGGCACGATGCTTAGGATGATATCCGACTCGGCGACGAGCGCTTCGTCGTTATCTAAGGCTTTTATCTGTGCGGATTTGATCCGGTCGAGAGTGTGCTGGCTTAAGGATGTCAACGGCCAGACTTTGGCAGGCTAGAAGGTGCCTACCTTCTTCCTGCACCTACTGTGTAAACGTCGTATTGATGATGACGAAGGAGCCGGGCCACTCCAACGCCCATGTCTCCGATAGATAAGATACCGACATTGGGTTTGGGAGGCGACGACGAGGTCGCCATTGCACGAGAAGTGGTACGTAAGGATGTCGATATCAGATTGGGGAAGAAAGAAAGGAGATTGGTAAATCGAGGCGTGTACGGAGTAGTAAAGTACCTTAATAAGCATCTCCATGGATAAATAAGAGCCCATGATGGGCCCCTCTGATGGTCCACAGGTGAAGGGCTCGGCCCAGAAAACAATTGCCGGCCTTCCGCGCGAGCAAGGATGCCTACCTAGGTAACTAGAGCGACATGATGGCGATGGCGACTATGCTTTATCCAGTATGAAAGAGGCTCAGCTAGCTGGATGTACAGTTCTCCTGCATGTTATACATTGAGAGGAAACTCCAAAAACTAGCATGTCACATGAGATCCTACACCTGGCTGACTCCTGTAGCTCCGTCTACCACGACCCGACTATTGGGCGGCAGCCTGACCCAAGCCGGCCTTGGTCAGCTTCCTCAGTCATCTACCTTCATGGCGCGAGCGGAAAGAAGCTTCGGCGGTGATGGTTGATGCTGTTACCCATGCAGTGTCATTGCGTGGAAAGCACAAATTCGGTGCCCGGCGTTAGGCTGACCCAGACCACTTCAAGGTCACGCCACAAACGATATCCTATTTGTTGATTTATCCCATGAGGAGGGGGATTTTGATTCTGAATACGGAGACGTGCACCAAATGTAGTTGCCGCGCTAAAGTTGAATGACGAGGACGTCAAAAGACCATTTATTTTCTTTTCCTTTGCTCCGGAGAACGGTCCCCGGAGATATCGGAGCTCGTTCCTTCGCCTCTAACTCTCGTTTATTCTTTATCACTAAGTTACCTAAAGTAGATTATCTTTAGTTAAAACTTTAGTTAAGGCTACCTAAAGTAAGAAAAAATTTATCGTTAAGCTATAATTCGAAGAACGGTCCCCGGAGATATCGGAGCTCGTTCCTCCGCCCCTAACTCTCGCCTATTCTTTATCACTAAGTCGCCTAAAGTAGATTATCTTTAGTTAAGACTTTAGTTAAGGCTGCCTAGAGCAAGAAAAAATCCATCGTCAAGCTGTGATCCTGCGTCATTCAACTTTAGCGCGGCAACTACATTTGGTGCACTTCTCCGTACCTCGGCCAATAAGGTACTGCGAGAGGCACCACTTACAGTCAACGTTCATAGATATGACGTCCTCAGCTAAGTACCTGGTTGTTACACAGTAGGCTTCGGTCTTCCTGAAGTGATTAGATTCACAATCTCTTGCAGTCTTGAAGTGCATACTCATCTAGACTACGACTTTCCATCAACATGTCCCCGTCAGCCTAGACCTGTGGTCTAGATATACTGTACTCAAAGGGCATGGGTTCACGACAGAATGCACCACGGAGATCGTCATGATACGACCCGAAACTGCTTTTCAACGAGAAAGGTACTTTAGCCAGCCAGCCAGATACCTTAACACCGAGGTCGATGGCGCCAGAAAGCGTGTACCAGACCGTCCTCGGAAGGAAATCTTAGGCCATGGGCGGCCGAATCCATCAAGAGGCTGAGCGTGGAGATGCCGAACATGATTGCATGGCACCACCCAGAACTTTTTGATGGAAAGAAGCCAACCTTGAAGTTATCAAGCCGTACATGTAAGCAATAACGCTTATTCGTATCAAATGTACGGCTCTAGCTGGCTTATTCAATCTATTCAATTGAGAACTAGAATCCATTCACATATTTCAAAACAATTGGAATCCATTGTCAGTGTTTGTCACTGCAAACATTCACTGTGTACCCTTCAACGCAGTGACAAGGCAATGCCTGAAAAGATCTGCCTCCGCATTCAAAGTACTTCAGAGACCTTTCATCACCTCAAATCCCGCATCATTCCTTTTCTACCACCCTGGTTAACCTCAGTCCAGATCGATAGCCATGGCCAGTCCAACACAGTCCTTCGAACACCTGGGCGGGGATGGCGATGACAACTTCTTCAACATTCCCGAGAATGTGCTCAATTGGTTCTCTGTCCCTCCCCCGAATCCACCTCAAGTCCGCTCAATCCACGAATGGCAAGAAAAATACACACGAGAAGTTCAGGTCGCTGTGGCATTCTCCAACCGCAATACCAATAACAACTGGTCGCCTATGAAAGTCGGGCCGAAAGGTTATGCCTTCCTTTTCTCCATCGTTGGTGGTACATGCTACCCAAGATTTGTGCTCAAACTTGCTTTACATCATCCAAAAGGACCTCAGTTCAATGTTACCCTCAGAGCTGTCTTCCCTATATATGGTGATGACGGCCTAAATTACGCAAGAGATCCGCTCCCTGTCATTCAAGCCCAGCCTCTTCGGGGGTCTACAAACAATCCCTTGAATCCGGACGGTTCTTGGATGCTATCAAATGCTATGATGAACCTCAAATATGGGCGATATATTGTGGACCAGCAGGGGACAGCTCAAACAGGCATAAAAGTCGGCAGTGAAGTTGAGAAAATCTCTTGGTCTACAGAGATTGGACCTATAACAACACGATTCAATGACAACTTAGCTGCGGCTGGTTTCACAAACGAACAGGTCAACATCGCAACCAATTTCTGCAAGATCAAAGCGCCAGAGACAAAGGTGGACATCCGAACGGCCAAAGTTGCAAATCTGGACATGCAATACCGACTCATCATTGCATTGCCCTCGCCAGTGCCCCCACCATTTCCCACCATTGACGCTCGATACAACTCCGGGTTGAAATGCCTCAAACCTATTCACATCAAGAATATACCCAATGTCTTCAACACACCAATCAAGCACCTCAATCATTTCGCTCTACGCAAAAACGGATGGAATCAGCAAAACAATTTTCCCAACTCATTGATTACGGCCTCAGACGAGAGAGCACTGATACCGATGCCTTATGATTGCCGTTTCGATAGTACACGGCACTACGAAGCCGTACAAATGCTTGGTCTAGCACGGGAGGTGCAAGCCCAGCAACCGGATGCAGCCAACATGTTCAATCGACAATATGGGTTTGTCTTGGTGCCAGTCCCAAACAGTTTCGACAACAGCGAATTCCTGATCTTCTTGAACGTGCGTCCCACACGCAGAGATCTATTCGACACACAAATGGCCCCTCCGGAGCCGGGTTGCAAAGTCAAGATAACCATACAACAAGGCCAGCTTCCCCGACCTGCTTCTCCAGAAGGTCCTCTTCTTGGATCTCGCTCGGCTTCCAACGCGTCCCAAACATCCTATGCTCGTCCCGGCGGACAATCATCTCCAGATCTGCGCTCCCGCGCTCTGTCAATTGCATCTCAGCGTTCCATTCTGGGGCAAGCCTCTGGCACAGCACCTCCCAGTACACCTGTACGCTCCCATACGCGGAACACCTCAGGCGTGTCCGTGCGAGGTAGTCCAGCTTCTCGTCCAGGCACTCCGCCACACTGGAACATCCCTAGTCCTCAGAATCCAACCTCGCCATTTGGCAGTCCTGGCCCTAATTCGCCTCAAGGCTTGCACCATACTGCAGGTCTTGATATGCCCAACATTTCTTCTCTGATTGTTTCATCAGACACAAACACTCCTGGTAACGTTGACACCTGGCACGGTCCCACAATTGCCAGATCTGCCGACTCCGTCGAATGGGACGGCCTTGTTGTTCCCAATCCCGAGAAGCGGGTGGATGAATTCGAGATTTGCATCTACCTTCGCGTACCCAGTGCCGCCAATCCACTGGGGGGAATGGTCACCGGATCCAGACATGGCGATTTCCGCTTCGGGAATCCTAACGCCGGTGTCCACGCTCAGGCAGAGCAGGCTATCCGGCTCGCGATGCATGGAGACATGAGCTACTACGGTATTCCGCGCCAGAACTGGATGCAGGCCCTCCTCTTCGCTCGCGAAAATCGCTCTCTGGAACAGCAAGGCCGTGGTCCGACTCCTAAGGACGGCGCAAGAATCCCGGACTCTCTCAAGAACAAATTAACAGCAAAGCAGAAGGAGGCACTTGAAGCAGCCATTTCCAACAACACAGTGAACAGCAACCAATTGAACCACTACGTCGTCTTCGTCAAGGGCCCACCTGCGACTGGGAAGTCCACAGTATCACAGTGCATTGCGTGCCATTGCTACAACTTCGGTGAGAAGCTATTGATTGCATGCGGCACAAATCGAGCGCTCACTCACCTCGCAAACAAGATACTGGAAGTCCTGCCGAAGTCAAATAAGTCATGGTTGGTAGAGAACAGTGTTCCGGGTGTTTATCGCCTTGAGACGGATTTCGACGAGTCTTTCCAGCAGATCGATCGAAATGCCCACGCCTACCAGCATGAATGTCAGGGGGAGAATGAGCCAAGAGTACACAACCCTGAAGTCCGCAATTTGCGTGGCACAGCGATCTCCGAGGCAGAGTTTCAATACGTGGAACAGTATGTCAAGCGTCGCGTTCTTACCGGGCGACCACTGTCTTTGGGCGATCATATTCTGGAGCGCTTGAGAAAGGCCAGAGCGCAGCCTGCACAGTCGGTGTGGACATTCGAGGATTACTCTGAAGAAGAATCCAAGAAGGAATTCGACTTGCTCTGGGACTTCATTGCTCTCCGTCAAGCTGCTGCTCGGCACCAGGTTTTCTTCGTTGAGCTCGTGGGCGAGAGCGAACCACAGCGACAAGCTCGTTTCGAAGATCTCGACAATGTCCAGAAGAATATTGTTAATGAGACAGGCAAGGCATGGCGCAACCTCCAGTCTTTCTACATCAAGAACGCAAAGGTGGTGCTGGTAACGGCGCAGACAGCTGGCCGCCGCATCCTGAAGTCCTACCGCGCAGATCGAGTTATCATAGAGGAGGCCGGTCAGTTGGATGAACCTAACTCCCTTAATGCATTTGTTCGATCCTACAGCACATTGAAAAAAGTGATATGGACAGGCGGTAAGTCTTTCAATTTTCTTCTGCCTTGTCCCTCAAGTGACAAGTCCCGGCTCTTGCCCTCCTCATGGTTTGAATATCCTGCTGATTAAAATTGTTGAATACTTCAGATCCAGACCAGCTTCCACCCACCACACTTTCCTACAGCTTGAATGAAGCGAGCCTCTATCGAGCCAAGAGCCAAATGGAACGTCTGGTCGAGAGTGGTGTCGAAGTCATCGAACTCGACAAGCAATTCCGGATGCACCCTCATATTGCCAACTTTATTAGCCGCGAATTCTATGGCAATCGGGTCACAAATGGGCCTGCTGTGGCCACCAGAAGTGGCACAACTACCTTCCGTAACTGGGTGCGAGATTATGCCGCCCGGAATGACCAGAACATCCACAATCCAGCAAATTCATTGTTTATCTCTGTCCGCGGCGCAGACGTTTACCCACGAAAGCAGGCAACCAGTCTCTGCAACCCAGCTTATATTGAGCGTACTCATGATGTGGTAATGGATCTCCTTAGATTCATCACTAGTGAGCTCAATCTTACGAACATTCAGCAGCTTCGGGGAAGAATGAACATTGCTGTGGCATGCTATTACACCGAGGAATTGTCGCTGTTGAAGAAATGGCTCTACCAGATCGAGAATCTGGTCGGTATGGTGGAAGTCGTGACAATTGATTCGACTCAAGGCTGGGAATTCGATGTCGTGATTCTGTCAACCACTCGTCCTGGTGGCCAGTTCGGTTTGGGCTTTGTGGCTGATCGAAAGCGTCAGAATGTTGGTCTGAGTAGAGCCAAGATAGGCCATGTCACCATCGGGCACAAGAACATGGGAGATCCGATATCCGATAAACCTGGTTACAAAGGTTCGAAGGGCGGCCACGGATTCTCCGCCTGGGAAAGATACTGGAAGTACCATTTCGAGGAGTTGAAGTGCTACATTGAGGTCCCAGGGCATTTTGCGAAGGCGGCACAGGCGTTGAATGTCAATCCCGACAATTACGAGGTAGCTACTGACAAGAGAGCAACACCTGCCTAGGGTGCTTCGTCCAATGTCACTGCTTGATGGATGTGCCATGGACTGGCTGTGCTTGAAGTCTAAAGTCTTGTTTGGGGAGCGATTTGCCAACCGGCCGGCATATTTTGGTTGTTGCTAGTTCCGATTCGAGGACCGGGCTCCGGCCTGTGTGGTGGAGAGGATTGACGACTACTGGCAGGACATGAATTAGCCGAGCTCGCCGACTGCTCCAATCTTGAGTTTGGATATCTCGGCACACAAAGAATGCTGTGATGACATCCAAAAAAATATGCACATCCAAAAAAAAAAAGGTGTGTTCAATCGCGACGACGGGAAATTGAGCCCGCTTAGAAATTGTCAGTGGTTATATCCATGTGTATTGATGATGGTTGAGACTTACACGTGGGCTGAAGAACTGTTAGTACATATGTACATGGATATGAACAAGAGAATATCTTACGGTCGAACCCACAGCCTTAAGATGTACACTCTTAGATAAGAGTCTTACGCTCTACCGATCTGGGGACTTGTTAGAATTGCTGTCCTGGCCCATTGAAGACAGGAGGAAGACTCACTGAGCTAGCCGGGCGGCCAGATTTGAAGCAATTTTTGTGCAAATGATGTTATATTCCACGAAAAAAAAGAAAGCCAGTTGGAGTGCGGGCCAGCCGGGGGCCTGTACCAGTCGTTTGATGAGCTGTGGGACACCTTTGCAGTGCGTGCACTCGGTAGATGCCGGCCTATGCCTATCTACGGACCAAAACCCACGTCAGTAGGCCTCCAAGTCAAGTTTCTAAACTACGATGCCAGTGTTTCCTTTCTCGAGTACGGAGCATATAGGTACCATACCTCGAAGAACGACCTACACACGCCTTTACTCTGAAATGACCCAGATAGTAATTGACTACCAACACTCGGAGGTTTTCCGCACTACCAGAGTCTGACTCCAGAAAGGACCGCGGCAACTATCCGTCCGGGCATGATCGGGCATGCCCCGAAACCCCGCTCGGGCAAGCAAGCCCGCATATTCTCCAATGGCCATGGACGTGATGACAATTACCGGGCATATATAGAAATGCAACATCTTCCTGGCGGTCCAGATGTTTGACTATGAGTGTGTTTACGTTTAGGTAGGTCGGCGGTAGTATAAGGAGCATACATCTTAGATTACGACATCCAAAGGCACATCCAAAGGCACATCCACAGACACATCCACAGACACATCCACAGACACATCCACAGACACATCCAAAGAGACAACACCATGGCGGCAAACGACGCGGCCAACGGACATACTACTACCAACGATTCAGTAGCCGCCGACTACAACCTCTCCCAACCCATAACATCCACGTCAGGTCTTCGCGCGGGCCTGACATCCTACGGCGACGCGCACTTCTCGCTCTTCCTTCGCAAAGTCTTCATCAAAGCCCTGGGCTACTCCGACTCGGCCCTATCATCCCCCATCATCGGGATCATCAACACCTACTCATCCTTCAACCCGTGCCATTCCAACGTCCCGCAACTCATTGAATCCGTCAAACGGGGCGTGTTGGCCTCGGGCGGTCTACCAGTCGACTTCCCCACGATCAGCATCCACGAGAGCTTCGCCAGCCCGACTAGCATGTACCTGCGCAACCTGATGAGCATGGACACCGAGGAGATGATCCGATCGCAACCCGTCGACGCCGTGGTCATGATCGGCGGCTGCGACAAGACCGTCCCCGCGCAGCTCATGGGCGGCATCAGCGCCAACAAGCCTGTCATCCCGCTCATCACGGGTCCCATGATGCCCGGCTCCGTCGAAGGTGTCAGGGTTGGAGCATGTACCGACTGTCGAAGTTACTGGGCAAAGTACCGTGCTGGAGGCATCGACGTCGAGGACATCATGTCCGTCAACGAGGAGTTAGCACCGACGGGCGGAACTTGCGGAGTCATGGGCACGGCGTCGACGATGGCATGTATCACTGCTGGTCTAGGTCTTCTCGAATTGAGAGCTGGGGCGACTGCCGCTGCTGTGAGTTCGGCCCGTTTACGGGTCGCTGAGCAAGCTGGACGGAATGCAGTCGCAATGCTGAAGAAGGAGCAAATGAGACCACAGGATTTACTCACCCGAGAAAGCTTCCTCAATGCCATTATTGTGTTGCAAGCAATCGGCGGAAGCACAAATGCCGTCGTCCATTTGTTGGCCATCATAAATAGGCATCCCAAGGTGGCAGGCACCATCGACCTGAAGACATTCGACGAGATCGGCAGGAAGACTCCCCTTCTGGTCGACCTCAAACCGAGTGGTGACAATTATATGACCGACTTCCACAATGCCGGGGGAATGCTGGCGCTCATGCACATACTGAGACCACTGTTACATCTCGAAGCGAGGACCATCACTGGCCAGACTATGGGTGAGCTGTTAGACAACACCCCCTTCAAGTCCTTCCCATACTCAAAACAGATAATCCGGTCGTTGGAGGACCCCCTTTACGAAAGGTCAAGTCTGGTCGTACTGTACGGCAATATCTGCCCGAACGGTGCGGTAATGAAAGCGTCCGCATCCAAGAATCGAAAGCTACTGCATCATCGAGGCTCAGCGTGTGTTTTCGAAAACACAGCCGATCTGGCCAGGCGGATCGACGATCCCGATCTCGAAGTCGACGAAAACTCCGTCCTGGTACTCAAGAGCATAGGTCCAGTAGGAAATCCAGGCATGCCTGAAGCCGGGCTGATCCCTATCCCACAGAAGTTGGGTAGGCAAGGTGTGCTCGATATGCTCCGGATAAGCGACGGTCGGATGAGTGGCACAGCTGGAGGAACCATAACATTGCACGTATCGCCAGAGTCTGCCGACCTTGATTCAGTATTCGGGGTTGTACAGACTGGCGACAGGATTATTTGCGACGTAGACAATCGGGTCCTGTCCCTTGATGTCGACGAGCAAGAAATCGCCAGAAGAATTGCACAGCGCAAACGTCGGACTCAAGGAGATCCATCTTCTGCGGGCGGTGAAGTCCATCCAGAACCTTGGATAGAACGAAGTGGTCGGAGAGGATATCGTGGCCTGTACGAACGAGAAGTCAATCAGTCTCATTTGGGATGTGACTTTGGATTCCTGACAGCGAATGGACCTCTCGGTAAACAATGACTGGTTAAATCGCGGTTCCGAACCAGCTCTGCGACGGCGGTGATGCTCTGCTCATCACAGTGATGTGTCGGTCGAGGGTGATCGTGGTAGGACCTCTTTCCACGAAAGGAAATCGCTTTATGCAAAGCCTCTGGCGAGATTTCAAGCGTCAAGACTGACTTGCAGGAGATTGAAGGCCTGAATGCAACGCCGTATGTCACTGGGACTAACTCAACAGAGCAATGTTATTGCCCTCTTCGTCGATATTCAAGATTCCATGAACCAACATCAAAAAAGCTGCTTCCAGTTTGGGAAGTGAACCGGTCACTCACTCGTAAGAAGCCGTCGAATACGAAAAGCACTTGTCTGTGCTCCAAAAAAAAGTTCGGATGAAACCTAAGCAGCAGTACGGAGAAGTGCACCAAATGTAGTTGCCGCGCTAAACTTGAATGACGCAGGATCACAGCTTGACGATGGATTTTTTCTTGCTCTAGGCAGCCTTAACTAAAGTCTTAACTAAAGATAATCTACTTTAGGCGACTTAGTGATAAAGAATAAGCGAGAGTTAGAGGCGGAGGAATGAGCTCCGATATCTTCGGGGACCGTTCTTTAAATTATAGCTTAACGATAAATTTTTTCTTACTTTAGGTAGCCTTAACTAAAGTCTTAGTTAAAGATAATCTACTTTAGATAACTTAGTGATAAAGAATAGACGAGAGTTAAAGACGAAGGAACGAGCTCCGATATCTCCGGGGACCGTTCTCCGGAGCAACGGAAAAGAAAATAAATGGTCTTTTGACGTCCTCGTCATTCAACTTTAGCGCGGCAACTACATTTGGTGCACGTCTCCGTAGTCGACAGGGCTCTGTTGGCGGGGACTCAATGCAAGGGATGCATGGCATGGCGTACAGCAAGAGTGTTATTTTCCGGCTGTGATTGACCCGTTAGCCACCCCATGTATACGAGGCATTTGTCTTAGTAGTATGCCGGTATGTGGTGGACCATTAAGCGGACCACGGAGGTCAGCTATTCATGTTCAACCATCGACCCGTAAGGCTGCAGTTGATTGCCGCCCATTACCAGACATGGCATTTGTTCGTCGATAACCATCTTGCAAGACTTGACTGTCTTTGCAGCTCCAAGGGGACATGCATCTCAAGGTTTGCAAGCCCGTAGCATTCTTCAATCGCGTCCTCCTTCTCTGTGAGAGCTCGCTTCCTGCGGCGTTTGAAGGCGGATGTGTCAAGTCCCCGTCTGGGCTGGTTTGCGGCATCCCAAAGAGGCAACAGCTTTCTTCTTTGCCTAGCAAATTCAAGTTCCGTTGCCGTTGACACCATGACATTAATTGCACAAGCTTTTTTTCTGACCTACTGTCCGAGACTGTCCTCCGTAGTCCGGAGAAGCACGAGTTAAAGCTACTACCACAAACAGGCTGGTTCCAGAAACAGCCCCCCATGGTTGGCACATCCAGCACCCGGCTCAGAAGCGATTGCTCCTTTGAGGAGTCTGGGGAACAACCTGCCAACTGTACTCCGTATGCCAAGTTGCCAACAAGTGCTGCTGATCACGGGCAGGATACTCCCGTGAATTGATTGATTGGCTTCTCGGACAGCCTGCGCCTGGCTCGCCTGGCTCCTGGGTGGCTGTGGCTCCATTTCTTTTTTTTTCCGGCAGAAAATCATTACGGAGCAAACCAGAAGGGGAAGTCAGTTCGGGACAAATCCAAAACAACGCCCGATAAAAGATCGAGATTGAGATTTGATGGGCTTGTGTCAGCGAACACGGAGTGACGCTCTCTTTTCTCTTCTCATTGCCTCCGAATGGTCAACGGTTATGGTAAAGGTCTCTGCACGCGTATCGTGTAGAACGAGGCCGAAGCAGCAAATCACTGAAAAACACAGAAACAAAGAAGTGCTCCTGCCAGAGGAGGAAAGTGTTTTGAAAGCCAACGCTGGCCCCCTTCGTAAGTATCAGTTGGAGGAAGCGTTTTCAAAGTCGTGTCGAGGCGCTAAAAACAACTCAAATGTTGTCCTCAGTTCTGCTCTTGTTCGCCGCGGTCTGAATCTCTTGAAGCTGGCCGCAGACGATCAAGATGTTGGCGGATATCCTCCTCCCAATCGTGATGGCCATGATACCTCAGTATATGAGGGATCCAGTACTAGTAGTCTATGGAACGGATACACGACCTGTCTCGAGTCCATCGATCAGGTAATTGCTGGATGCGATGCTACTAGTAACGCCATCACACCAGCCTTTGCGAAGGGCTCTCGAGAGCAGTACTGCAACAGATTTCGTAAAGAGTCTTCTCACATCAACATGATCGCTCACTTGAACGCTTCGCTTTCCTTCGCGCCAGGTAATCTATGAGCAGGGCAAACACTTGCAATACTTTCTGAAAACACCATCAACTTCCCTTTTCCGACTGACTTACGGCAACACCCTCTCAATCCTCACATCAACCGGCACTCCAAACCCATGCTCGCCACCGACTTTATTCTTCTTCTTCCCCAGCTTCTCAACCGCGTCGACAAGCGGATTCAGCCCAGCGGGGGTGGTCAGCACATCTCTATCCTCCTCCCGTTTGCATTTCACCTCAAGCACCACGCCCTGATTCATCCCTTTCTTTCCCAACCCGTCCGCCCAGTACGCTTTCAATTCCAACCTCTTCTCCCTGATCCGTCCAGCAGGATACACTCCGCCAACCAAGGCGGCCACTCGACCAAGATATCCCGCCCACCAAACCTCCTGATTCGTCAGTAAGCCCTTCAAGCGCCTCTCAAGGTCAGTATACGGTGGCGGTAGATCGCCGCCCCATCTCGTGCACAAAGCCAACGCCAACACCGCCCTTTCAGAATGGCTCACACCATGAACACCTGCGAGCACCCCCGTGATAGGCACACACAACGCACCGACCGCACGTGACTCTTTGTTTCCCACCACTCCCCCAAGGTACATCGAGTCCGCCACGGACCGGACCAATCCTTTACTGATCGTCGCCGGTATCTCTCTGCCCAGACTATTCTCCCCGGGCATCGCATTCCACAAGATCTCGCCAATGTCTTTTGCACTCTCACTCCCGAAACTCGCCGTCGCAGCGGTAAGCGGGTCCTGCGCCCGAACCTCCTGCGCGAGGCTATCAAAGAAGAACCCCTCCCGCACGCCGCCCTGGCAGAACCGCACATTCGAAATCATAGGCAATGCATCAACAAGAACGTTCACCAAGAACGCGACGGCCGGGACCTGTGCGACTCGACGCTTCGATATGCGAAACACGCTCTCCTCCGCCGCCACGACACTGATCTCTCTCGTCTGCTGAAACTCGCGTTTCTGCGCCGCGAAGCCGTTGATGATCGGAATCGGATAAGGATGCGTCCTATGTTGGGACATCAACAAGTATCCCCATCCTCTAAACCCGCCACCAGACAGATACAACGTCAGACCGCCGTGCTTGGCCTTGTGCCGCAAAGTCTCGGGCATGTCGTGATGGAGATCGGCGTAGGCTTGGCGGAATTGGGCTTTCATTGTCTCTTCCAATTCCTCTTTTGTCGATGGCGCGGCAGGGGTTGATGATGCGGACGAAGAGGTCGGCGATTTCGACTTGAACAGATTCAAAGGCGAATGCGAGCTGCCGCTGTTGTTCTTGTGGGGTTGTTCGAGATCGGCTAGAAGGCGCGTCATTGCTGCGGCGCCGTATGGGAAACTGATGCTGCCCTTGGGGCTTGTTTTGATGGAGTCGGCGCGTGATATCATCCACGTTATTTGAGTGCTTCCACCTACGCCATGTCAGTACTCGTGTCATTCTCAATGAAATAGTTGCCATAAAAGCGCCGGTGAATTGCAACAATCACGTAGTTGGTCCAATCTGACGGCTGAGTACCGGCAAAGCAATAGCATGGCCCGACAAGCATTGCAAAAGCAATAGGCTAGGGTCAAGAACAAGGGAAGAGGAGAGATAGCAACGAAAGATAGCAGACGTACCACCCAAGTCCATGACCAACCCTTCAACCTCCCTGAAGCTACTCGCGACGCCCATTGCGCCGACCCTCCCCTCCGCCTCCTTAGGCAGCATATCGACCTCCCACGACGTCGCATCCTTAATCTGGCGTCGGAAACCCTCGCTATTAACAGCACTCCTAGTGGCCTCGGTCGCGAGGATGCGGATGTTGGTCTCGGGAACGCCAAAGTCGGCGCAGACTGTCTTGAACTTCAACAGCGAGCGTATGACATCCTCAATGACTTCCTGGGGGATCGGGCCCTTGACGCCGGTGGAGTATTGCGCATCGTAGAGTGATATGCCTTCGCGATCGGTGTAAATGGTGGGTAGGTATCGGGCCGTGGAGGGCGAAAGGTCGGTTATGGAGAAGCGGATGCCGTTGCTATGTGGAACGGTTAGTAGGGTGTAGGGAGTCAAAGGGCGCCGGCCCAAAAAACTGTTCAAACATATCCCACGTCGATCGCAAAGAAGATGAGCAGATCAGATGAAGGCGGACTGGGTAGAAAGAAATCGATCATCGCCAGCTAGATTATATATCCTCCATCACTGACGGTATTTCGGCCGAGGTATATTGCATCTCTTCCCAGCAACCATCTCATTTATATTCTTTTGACCATGCAACAAAACCATTCAACCGAACGAACTCGAAAGGCGAAAGGACGTACCTCCCCATATCAACCAAGCCATAGAGACTGCTTGGCGCCGGGCTTCGTAGTGACATGATCAATGGTCATCAAGCGGGTCGAAAGCGGAAAAATTGTCCGCAACCAAGTTGGACTGTAGATGCTGTTGGCGTCCGCAGACCGGCAAAGATTGTTGTTTCGCGAGTCGTATAGAGTTTGAAGACGCTGGAGATGAAGAAGGCACAAAGGGCAATTCCTAGAGTGACAAATAAATTATTCTACGAGTAGTTTGTAGTTTGTGTTGATTCGTGTGAGTGAAGAACATTTCTGGAGCACGTGGGCTGCTCGACTAAATCTGGAGGCACCGGACTCGAGATACTCGTACGATTCTCATCAAAGCAATACAACGTGATATTCTTACAATCGGAACACATCGCTTTCCCTCTTGCGCAAGGATGGCATGATGTCCTAACTATAGTTACATTCATGTTGCGTCTGATCCTTATCCAGAATCACGAGCAGGAATGTTCCGAGACGAGCCCAACCATGCACAATCCCGCGTAGCTACCTAGGTGCCTAAACTCACGACATGTCCTCGTCTTCAGGAGGATGAAAAGCATCTCCAAACGCCGAGTCCTCCATATTATCCAGGTTCAAATCATCACCCTCATCGCCATAACTCGCGAGCGCGTCCCCAGCAGTGTCTACATCGACATTGTCAAAATCACCACCCATATCGAAATCAGGCGTGCTCAGCCCGGTACCTTGAGGGGCCGATTGCGTTTGCTCTTGTTGCTCTTGTTGCTCTTGAGCATTGGTCGCCGTCGGCTGGGCCGGCGGGTTACTATCCTCTCCGGATGCAGCTTGCTCTCCATGAGAGTCGCCCTTGGTCGGAACGTCTGCAGTGCCCATCCCACCACCGGTTTCACTGCCTTCTTGGTCGACCATCACCCATTCATTGCCTTCTTGTTTCTCAATCTCGGCTGGGATAGTGTCTTCGAGACCCCCCATATTGACATCCATTCCAATGTCGTCCAGTTGAGGAAGGTCAGCCGCTTGATCGGTGGTGGCCTCATCCTGTTGATTCTGCTCACCGCCTTGATCTTTCTGCGCAGTGGAAGGCGTAGAGCGAGAATCTACACCAGCACTCACGCTGGGCTGTTGCTCGGTCGATGCTGCAGCCAGCTCTTTCGCTTCGGGCCTTACTTCTGCCGCAGGTACAGGTTGCTGTTGTGCTTGTGGGCCTTGCGGCGGTGCAGGGCTGGAAATTGGTGGAACCGCGGCCTTTTCTTGAGTTGCTTGGGGCTGAACAGTAGCTGTGGCCGTGACTGGCGTGCTCTTGACCCGCTCCTCCAGACCACCGCGGGAAACCGTAGTGACAGTCTTAGCACTCATCACCTTCATTCCCGTGCTTGTCTCCACGGAATGGACGATCTCATCAACCGCGTCACGAGAACCTTCCTCAAACCCATGAGTCTTGCTGTTCGAAGAGCCGCGTCGTTCTGTGACGTTCGGGGCCGTCCGTAGTTTTTTCTCAGCCACGCCCAGCATAGTGGATTGCTGGATCTTCTGCATTCTCCGTGCGTGGCGCTTTCTCATCTTTTCCAGCTCTTCCTGCATGTCGGCCAATTTCTTCGTCGCTCGTTTGGTGAACTCATCCACTTGTCCTGGTGGTAGTTTGCCGACCCGAGGAGGCGGTCCGCTGTTAGGCTCCCGCACCGCAGATACCGGAGCATCGAAGAAATCCTTTGTCAACTCTTCCAATGGGCCTTTCCGTCCCAGTCCAAGATCGCTTGGTATGATAGACAGCGTAGGGTATGGTGACTCGAGGATCTCCTCCATCCACTCATGATGCTGCTCGTAGCGAACGCGACTGATGTCCCTAGGGGTCATAAAGTCGAGCAAATCTCCTCGGGAGACATCCTCCTCCTCCTCCAGTGTTGTCTCCCCTGTAACGCTTGCACCCCTTCTATGTCCTGCACCTGGCGGCATCTGACCAGGTGCACCAGTTCTTGCCATTCCTGGGGGGAGATGTATTACGGGCCAATTTGATCGATCATGCAGCATGAACTCTTTCCGCGGTAATTGCCCTTGGCTCTGAATCAATCTTCTTTGCTGGATTTGCGCCTGCACAAACGGTGAAATGGGGATTGACGCGGCAGGAACGTGGTCTCGAGCGGAGGCTTTCGAGTAGTGCGTGAGCCACAAGCTAGGGTCCGGGTTTGGTAGTCCGTGACTGGGATTTCCCGGGAGTAGTCGGTAACGTTTTCTGCTGTGAGACGCCATTGCTTCGCCCGCTGCTCGATAACCGGATCTTTGGACGAAGATCTCGAGGGTCTGGGTGTCGTTAGTCCTGGCCTGCCTGAAAAGCGTGCAGCACTCACATATCCTCTAACCTCCGATGTAAACCTGTGTTCTGCATCTGCCCAGATGTATCCATCGCTGGCGAAAGTAGTCGCCATTACGTCGAGTGGTTGCCATGTGAGCATGAGGGTTCCATCTTGAGGAGTTTCAATGAATTGCCATTGCATCGGTTGCACTTCGCGCACGATCTTAGGGGCTTCCAGAAGATACCCAACGATGGTCTCGAGTGACGGATTGCTTGTGACTGGATAACGATGCTTGGACAGCAGATGTAGATGAGGCAGCTAATGGACCTGTCAGTATGCACAAAGGAATTCAGATCTATGCCCGTACCAGTTGCGCAGGCACGCCGGCCGCCGGATCTTTGAGCATATTCATCTTGCCGTCGATGCGACCACAATGCCGCCTTTCGAGATGCTAGAAGCAAAGGATGATGTGCTGTTCTGTCCAGCGCAATCTGTGGTGACAAAAGTTCAGGCGCGACTGCGGGCGAGAGACGCGCGAATCGGCTGGAGGAGCCTTGGCGGCGAGGCTGTTCAGGAAAGTGAAAACTGCGCTTAAGCGGCGAGCTTGCCTCACTAGTCTGGGCGCTCACCCAAACCGTGCCGCTTTAACCTATAAATCCAGCTCAGCCCGACTCAACCCTCTCACCCTCCACCTCACCCTCGCAGCGGCAGTTTCCGACCTCCCCATTCCAGTACGGTTCCTGCCTCCAGGTTTCCATAATCTTCAAACCATATCCCACGGCTTCCAATCAATCTCACACCTCTTGTCTCTCTCGGGCAACTCTGCATTATTGAAGAATCTGCTAATAACACCCCATGTACACTGACTCGGTATGTTAACACCACTACAGTGTCCTGGTGTTTCCTGAACCAATAGGCCCACGCCTTTCCCTTCATGGCCTTCCGCCATCTTGTAAGCATTCTGCAACGGCGTTACTGGGTCCGCTGTGTTGCCGATGAACAGCATAAGGCCAGTCCCATCGTCTTTTCCAGTGCCTCGTTCATGGGCTTTGGTGCCGAAGGGGCCTGTGAAACGGTTTCTTGACGACGGGCGTGCGGATTTGGGCCAGCTGCGGCAATGGAGTGTGATCTCGGCCCAGACAGGCCCGATCAATTGTGACTGGTCCAGTAGCTCGTCGAGGTAGGAGAGATAGTCTGATTTGGATTCGGAGGTGATGTCCTCGCCGTCGCCACAGAGAATTGCAATAGATGCTTCGAGTCCAGAGGGATACGAAGGCGGGTAAGGAGCCGAGTGGTTGTTGAATGGATTAAGAAGCTGGAGTGGCGGAAGATTGCTAGGGCGAGGTATCCAAGTGCTGAATTCGAACAAAGATGTAAATGTTGACGTGTCGCCTTGGATGAGTGCTGCAAGACCTTGGGCTAAAAGAGGCCAGACTTGCCATGGCGCATAAGAAGCGCTGTGCATCAGTTTTTCGAGATCAAAGTAGCGCAGGAGGTAAATCCTGTGTCGGAATACGATGGAGAGCGGATTGGATTTGAGGTGATTGAGAAACTTATCGACTTTGGATTCTATCTGGGTCCATTCTTTCGTTGAGTTATCGTTCAGTAGACATCTTGGGCCAGCCTCGAAACACCATTGATGGAAGAGTCTCCAAACTTTATGATTGTCTTGAAGATTGGTGCGCCAGCCGCTTGCTGTGTAGTCTGAGGCATCAACAACGCCGTCGAGTATCATACGTCCGATACGATCTGGGAACATGCTTGCGAATGTATTGCCCAGGTATGTTCCATACGAAAAGCCCCAGTAGTTGAGCAACGGTTGGGGCTTTGTCTTCACAATCTGCTGTGCTGCTTCGGTGACGACGCCCACCTCATATCTTGAGAGAATCCGTTCTTCTTCAATCACCTCAGTCAAATGAAGCATGTCATACGCTACTTGCAAGGTGCTGACATATTGTCTAATGTCGGTCCCATCTGGCCAGACACCAGCGTCAGTGGAAGAGCACAACTTGCCTAATCCTTCAGCCAGGGCCCATTTTGTGTTGAGTGATGATGCTGAATCTTCGACACTTCCAGCAGACACATCTACTATTTCAAAACGGCTCCGAGCACCATCTTCTTCGAAGCAGCTTGCCATCGGACTGGTGTGATGAATGCCTCGTGGGTCAAATGAGAGAATCTCAAAGTGTTTGTCTCCATCGACTATTTCCTGTATGCCGGCTCCGGACCACATCAGCAAGTCCACACCAGATCCGCCAGGACCACCCGGGTTGATAATGATCGTACCTCCGAAAGTTGAATCTGAAGGATCAACCTTGGCTGCCAGTCTTGCAACAGCCAATGTGACTTGTTTGTCGGTGGTCGAGTTTTGCCAATCCAGGGGAACAAGCAGGCGAGAACATTCTAGTCCGTCATAGCAGGTCGTGTAATTCAGATGCGAAGTAGGCTCAATCTGATTCCAATTAAAGGAGTCGGGTAAGGTGTACGCCCAACTCTGCGAAGCGAATACTAGAGTTAAGAGCCACCTTCCGCTATGCAACAGAAGATTCAGAAGAGTACCAGTCATCATGAAGCAAGGTCGTTGACAAAATCGATTTCTCTTAAGATGCGAGTCGCATCCTCCGTAATGAAGGGAAGAACAGGCAGCATCATCCAATTTTCAGGATGGGATGGAGAGAGATCGTTTCATCGCAGATGATGTTGCCAGAGGTCTGACCGCAACAGAAGACCGCTAAGCCTGAAAGAGCAACGTGGCTATCACCTACCGTACAGTCCGTACCTTATCTGCGTAGTAGGAAAGCAGGAGGAAGGCGCCTAGGGACTGCCGCCGGACTCGTTGACCAACGAGCCGGAACCAGCTAACCAGCTGCTTCAAGCAGAAGCGATCTTGCGGCATTTTAGGTGGCTCAAGTACGGCGAGATGAACGGACTGATGCGCGAACATCAGCTGGAGTGGAGAAGGGAGAGGGATCTCTGGATTAACGAATAAGGCCCACAGGTGGATTTGGGATACATCAAGGACTACTCTCACCACAGCGGTCAGTAGTCGAGGAGAAGTCGTTGGACGAAATTTGTAGCCCTGCTAAGTGCATAGTAACTTAGTCTACGGAGTAAGTATTGGTACAAAAGGGTTTCGGCATAGTCTCAGAGACGGCTCGCGCGAGCCAGGAGTGAGTACCACAGTACAGGGCGGCATCACCCTCGTCCCAATCAGGCATCTTGGCGGTAAACGTGCAGAGTCAGTCATAGTATCCAGACACCATCAAAAGAGCCCAAATCCACGGGCTACCACAAAATCTGATCTCACAAAATCTGATCTCATATTCTAGATCGAACAAGAAATCATGAAGAGCTCAGGTCCTCTGTGGAATTCATTTTGATGGCCAGTGATTGTAATACACCGGAAAAAAGCCATCTGGTACACACCCGTCGAGTATGATTGTACACTTGGCCCCTAGCTAGCAAATACCCACGCCATCATTCACAGTCCGCGGACTCACTAGAGCTCGCTCGTCACATTGGAGAATTCACCCTTCTCCAGCTTCGTCTGCCAGAAGATGGGGTTCGTGTCGGAGAAACCGTGCTTGACCCATCCGTCCTCCTTCACATGGTACAGGTTGATGTAGCCACCCGAGTATGCGTCCCGGTGAGTTGCTGCCAAAATACTTCTCCTGCCCAGTTCCAACGCTTCATCGTCTTCGAGGTCGTACTTGTAGAGAGCATCTAGCACACCGTAGGCGAATGTCTGACCGGATCCAACACAGAAAAGATTGCCTGATAGTCTCGTTCCGTCTGAATCGATGTAGTACAGCGCAGGTCCTTCTTGAGGTGTGACTCCAGTAATCATCGTACCCATTGACAGCCCCATTCCCTTGTATGAATACACCAAGTTGGCCAGAATTTTTGAAGCAGCAGCCACCGAGATACGTCGCTTGTGTCGAAGCTCATGTAGACGGCATTGGATACCAAGATAAGCAAGCCAGTATTGACAGTCCTGCATCGTGTCAGTTTAATTCAACTTGTCTCAAGCTCAAATCTGACGTACAGCAGCTCCTCCCGCCATCGTCCCAAGCAGCATAGGGTTGATCTCGATGACCTTCTTCACCGTTTGCGAGGCGATCCAATTTCCAGCTGTTGCTCGCGAATCCGTTGCAACAATGATACCTCCTTTGAATCTGAAAGCTAGTGTTGTTGTACCGTGTGCGATCTTGATCGGGCAGTTCGGGTTGGCGTGGTCGTCTGTGGTTGCTCGCAAGAATGCAGAGGGTCGAGCGACTGGAGGTAAGGCAAATTTGAGGGATAGTGAAGGTACTGTGTCGGTGTAATCATTTTGTTCTTCTGAATCGAAGCCTTCGCTGGCAAAGGGAGATTGAGTGTATTGAGCAACGAGGGCATCCATGATTCGGAGGCCAATCGGCAAGACTGTTCTTGGTTTGGGAAATCGACGGTCGAAGGAGAATCTGAAAAAACACAGCAAGAGAAAGAGGTGGTGTTACAGTACGTCAAGAATTAAAAGCGACGATGGATTAAGCAAGGCAGAAGGTGGATGATGAGAAGCAGAGGATGGGCTCGTCCGCTTTGATGATGGATGATACAATGCGCGTCTTTTGGCGCCTTGCAGCTGCAGCTACTAGTGCCGTATTTAGCACGGTAGGCTGAGCTGATCACGTGCGCCACGATCGAGGACAGCCTTGTTGCTTCGAGCATCACTTAAAAGACTCTATACAGTATGAAATCCTTACAGATGATATAACAGAGATTGGACGTTGACTTAAAAGCAGCTTCAAGTCGACAAAGTGCGGGTTCACAGGGTATTTCATGACTCGTCTCATTTTGTTTTCGCTCCTGTGTGCCTTCCGAAATTCATACAAGGCTCGCTGCTTTTTGCAGCTGTTCCGCGAGAATCCAACAGTCACGGCTGGTGTCATGATAGCTAATACAACAATATACAAACAAGTCGAGATTGGCATATAATGATCGATCATCAACTCAAATTTCTCTCATGCTCCCGTTAATAGGTTTTCTGCCAACTTGCAGGAAACTAGGCGGTCTTGCCTGATATTGCTGCTGTCCATTGTACGGATCTGGCATACTGATTCGGCTTGGAGGATAATCTGTCGGAGCCTCGTATCGTGTGCTGATGCCACTCGGAGCATATGATGATGGTTGATGGGATGGATAGGGCTGGTGGTTGAATTCTGACGTATTTGGACTGGCCGCCATGGCCATGAACCTATCAGACGTGATGGATGGTGCATTTGAATGTGATCTGTAAGTTGGCGGGGGACTTAAGGGAACGGACTGGAAGTTGTTGTGTCCATGGGAATACATTCGTTGATCCCCAAGGTCGGAGTTGGAGGATTGGTTGTTGTCAAAGTATTCGCCTTGCGGATGTGGTGCTACAGGCGACATTGGGCCATTAGGTACGCTGTTGTAGCCACCTCTCATCCTCTGTTGCTGTGACGCGAGTCTCCCCATTTCCAAGTCTCCTTCCTTGCTTGGGTTGAGAGGCTCACTCTGGTCCTCTACCCGTCTCTTGACAGCGGTGTCCCAGCTGGGCATGGGTGGAAGACTGTCTTCATTGATCTTTTTGTTGGGTTCCTCAAATGTAGCGAACTGTGGAGTGTTGGGGTTTGCAGCATATGCCATGGGTGCTGGAGGAGGTTGGTAGCCGCCGTACGGAGTGGGAGGCATTCGAGAATAGTCGTCTTTGAACTTGGACCGGTCGCGTCTGCCGCCGGAAGGACAGCAACGACAGCAGCATCCGCAGAGTTCGGCACCGCAGCAAAGGCATCGAGCGAAACACCAGATAACGGAGAGGAGAATGAGTGAACCAACCACGATTCCTATGATCGCAGGCCACCTTTTGCCATGTCAGCCAAAGCCGTCTGCAGGGAATGATCTGATGATTGGCCACATACTTGCAATAAGCCTTTTCCATGCATTTATCCCAGCTGCTGAACGTCTCGGGGGCGGACTGCACATCGTTGATAATGTCGCGGGGAAGTAAATAGTGAGCCATATTTGATCATGAAATAAGGACGATTCGTTTGAATTAGGCTTTCTTCCAGGTCGTGTCGCAGACTTGAGTGTATGCAAGGGTGGCCGATTATTCGCACTTGTGATCCGAGGCTGCCTTCTATAGTTCTTTGACGGTCGGTGTCTGGGTTAATGGAGGTTGGAAAGGGTCACCAAGTGAAGGCCGGCCAGCGGACAGTGCACCAACGAGTGACGTGTTTGTGCAGAATGGGCTGGTTAAGAGTTGGAGAAGCTAAGGTAGAGTGAGGGCACCTAGGCAAAGAATATCAAAAGGCGAAGAAAAGAGCGACTGTGTTGACTTTGAGGAAAGAGTGACAATCAGGTGTAAGAAGGATTGTGTAACGAGGGAGGCTGAGCAAGATAGAGCAAGGCATTCAGTCGCAAGCAGTTCAGAAAAAGAACGCGGAGAAGGCGAGAGGCGAGCAATCAATGGGGGCGAGCAAGGGGCACGCTAGGCATGCGGCATTAGGCCCATCCAGTGGCCATCTCAGTGAGAACCCCTGCCCAGGCCCGTCATACCTGCATTCTGCGGGCGCCCATTAAAGGCTGAAACACTGGCACAGTCAATCAGTCTTGGCCGTGATTTCTACCCATTGATCGCAGGGAAAGCAAGTTCAGCAATTCGGCCGAAGGCGATCTCTTCGGGAACATGCATTATGGTTATACCCTTACTGAATAGGACGACCTCGTTCTCCTTCGCGTCCACGCATCCCCAATAGTAAACTTATGCTCCACCAGCCCATCCATAGTTTTTCCAACATTTACCAAGCGCCGCATAAAGTCGTCCAACCGTGGATGACTCCCTAAAGATAAGCCACAAATATGTTCAGTGTCGCTCTTAATTCTTCGCCGGTGGAGGTCCTGGGGGTGGTTGATAGACGTCCTCCCCTCCACGGTAGGTATTTGAGGGCGGCTGCATTTCCACGTCCGTTTGTCTGCCTCCGAAATAGCCCTGATTTTGTCCATAGTAGCCACCGGCATTTTGACTGTAGTTCGGAGGAGCCTGAGGTCCCTGGTTGTAGTTCGGTTGTTGCTGCGTCTGGTAGTTGGGATTGTATTGAGCTTGACCGTGGCCCCAAGGCGTTCGTCCTGCCCAGCCAGTGCCGTAAAATGGTTGTCTACCCGCGCGACGTCGACGGCGAGCACTAAGGCATCTGAGAGTGGTCAGCATAGAACCACAGGCATGCGGCTCGGCGGTACTCACGATAATAAGAAGAAAAATATGAACGCAGCCACGAGGATACAGGCTAGAGCAACCCATCTTCCCCAACTAGACCATGTTGAATTGCATCGATAGGCTCGACCATTATTATCATAACATCTAGCCATTGAGAAGGTGCGTTAGTCGTGTGGGTAGGTTTTTAGAGAGGAGAAGTGTTGGAATGCGCTTGATCGTAGTGAACGTGAGAGGTCTAATGCGTATGATACACAAAAGTGATATGGATAGAACTCACGTATTATAGTAATACCTCGCGACAAGAGTCATGACTGTGAATTGGGAAGGGCGGTTGCCTGTGGAGTGATGTCAAGGGTTGCGACTGCGCAGCTTGGCCGAATGAAGGACTCCGGAGGCAGTGACTGGTGATGATGATGAAGCGCTCCCTGCTGCCAAGGTCTCTTAAATATATTATACAAATCAATCAAGCTGTGGGTATACAAGTATACAAGAAGAGTGGGCGACGGCGACAAGATCTTATGGTCAGAGAAAAAGACTGGCTTTAGAAGGTGGACGAAGCAAGGCGCAGCAGGGATTGAGGATGTTGGTTGCATCATTCATCACCATCACCATGCGCCCACCATGAAACCCCATCACGGTGGCGCAGCAACACTGAACAGCTAGCTGGTGCTCCGTATGCCACTATCGATTATCTAATTGGTCTGTGCCATCCCACTGAAAAGGTCGAGGTCCTCGGCGGTCCTCGCATCATGCCTGCACATTCAAAGCACCTGTCCCCTCGTCAAGCATCAAAAGGCGAAGCCAGCCTCGTGGATATGCTCTTAGGTTCAGATAATCCTTCGCATCTGGCCCTCACGAGGTTCGCTTGAGCTCTTTATTCAACTCGCCCTTCGATCGCCAGATCAAATGTTCCGGTCATCGCACCTTGGCATGGCGCCTCTATTCCGTAACCAAGAAGAGGCGATGCTCTTGGCCAACGCGTCACAATTCGCTGTGCTCCCCCCGTAAGCCAAACCGGTTCTCCTCGATATTCCTCGGTCGGCCACCATGATCACACCGTCCTCGTCTGACCTCGACATGCAAGTTTAATGGAGAGGATGTCGGTTAGGCGGCATTCGGTAAGCATTTCAGGATGCTGTCTGATGCTGTGCTTGTGCCAATGTCCTGTCCTTAGGCATGCAAATGCGTATGCGTAATCGTGCAAACTGGTCGTAATTGCCATGACTGGTGCAAGGCTGTAGCCTGAAACATAACGAGAATCCCATCATCTTCTCTCACTTTCCTGACCGTGCTACAAGCCATTGAAGTACTGCTTCCAGGTTCGTCTCTTCTTTGGCACTGATTCCGTAACAGCTGATCTCGCGATGAACGACCGACTTCAGGTCCAGCTGGTCTATCAATTCGTCGACCGACAGCTTATTCGGAAGGTCTGATTTGTTGCCGAGCACAAGTAGAGGGATTCCATCCAGAGTCGGTTTGCTTAGAAGTGCGTGCAGTTCCTCCTTAGCAACAGGTATGGCATCTTTGTCCGCAGCATCGACCACAAAGATGATAGCGTTGACTCCTCTACAGTAACGCTCCCACATAGATCGAAACCGGGGCTGACCTCCGAGATCCCAACATTTGATAGACACATGGCCTTTTTTGACCTCTTTTTTGTTGAAGGCCACCGTCGGCAGCGAATCGACGGTGAATTCATTTCCCTTGATATGTTCAACATTTGCTTCAATAACAGAAGATTCGGGTTTATACGTACCGCAAGGACTCTCACGAGACTCGTCTTGCCAGCGTTCTGTAAACCAACGATCGTCACATCCATCTCTGTAGCCCAGAACATCCATAGTAACCAGTCCCATAGCCACGTAAAGATGCCTGCCATATCGTGCGTGTTGATCAAAAAATATCCGTGTCCAAGGCCCGATTATTGCTGCACGGCGCATTCGATCAGGATCAAAGGCGGACGATCGTGATTCGGCCCATAACAATGTCGATGCTCGCAGAAGACTGGAGCTGAGCGCAAGATGACGAAACAACAAAACCTGGAGAAAGGGCATGACTAAGCGACATACGTGGCTGTTAAGGAACCACAACAGCCACACACTGTGGCTAGAATGCACTCAAGGCCTCTTCACATTCCGCTTTCAACAGCCAGCCCACCTTCCATCCCGCGTATCACCCACTAATTGGCCAGCTTGAGCAGTGACTGAGACCATCCTGGCCCTAGACATGACAGAAACGATCTCTGCAGCCTTCAAATCCTCTTGTCGACTCTGCATTGGTATTCAGCGCGGAATTCGCGTCGCCTTACTCTACAACAAAAGCAAATGTAATGGCACGGGTGCGATAGGAATGTTGGGCATGTGAGCAGTCCTTGTCCGCTCAAACCCCTAATCACCATGAGCACGAGATCACGCAACGGCTGCATCGATTGTAAGAAGGCCAAGGTCAAATGTGATGAGGTCCATCCTTTCTGTGGCACATGTGAGCGTCGACGCCGCCAGTGCAGCGGCTACAATCCACCTTCACGACCTCACACGGCTATTGATGATGCCAGTTCTCGAAAGAGTCCGGCCACCCCCAACGCTCAGCTTGTCGCTATTGCATCTCCTTCGGACTCTTCAAGGCTGTCCAATGGAGGTTGCTCCCTAGACGCCGCTGCTGTTCCAGTTCGAGCGTTTAGCCCCTTGATAGGCTCCTCAAGCGGCCCATTCTCTCCAGGCGCGACAAACAGCTCCCTTACGATAAACACTCATGTGCCCAGGAGTGTGTCCAGCATCCCTCCGGGCGCCATCAATCCTGCGGACGAGCCATTCATCGAGGTATATTTTAGGCGACACCCAAGGGAACTGGTTTTTGGTCCCGAATTTGTCAACGAGATGAATTCAAATGTGCTCAAAGTCTTTCAGAATAGCCCTTTGGTGGTCGGTGACTCGTTGTCTGCTATTGGAGAAGCTTACTGTAAGGACAGCGCTATTGCAGTGGCTCTTCCTATTGCCAGCAGAAAAGCAAGGATTCTCGCTCGCTTGCGGACCATGGACAGTCTGGGAGTGAGCATGGAGCTCTTGCTGTCAATAATCCTCGGGTTATGCGCAGTAGAGGTATGCAATGATTCACCGTTCCTCAGACTTCCACTGACATATCCAGCTCGTTGATGCCAACGACGAGCAGCACAATGTTAGCAGTCTGCCGACACTTCTCGACAACCTTTCTATGATGTTGGATCACCATCTCCGCATAAGCCACGAACTCAGCCAACTGGCTAAATATTTCCTCCGCGCATTGGCCAGACAGGATATGTTATTGTCCCTGACCAGACTCCACCCAGCCAGGATCCCGACTTCGTGGTGGTTGGACGACTATTCCATGACGCATGCTGACCGCTTCATGGGCTATACTACTACTCTGATGCCACTATTATCCAAGTTGAGCGGTCTGGCAGCGGATGTTCGGGCATACGGTCTAGAGATGCTGGCCAGCGATAAACCAATCGAACCGACCTTCCCAAGGCACGCCTCGAACCAGGCCGATTTGCTGGATCGTGCTTCCGTGATCCAGGACGAGCTACACTCATGGCATGCCACTGTCGATCCAACACTCTCCTTCCAGGCTTCCCGAAAGTTTTTCGTGCATGCCCATTGCTCACGCCAAGCCGCCTTGCTGTATCTGCATCGTCTCTTCAACCCTCCTAGCAGCTCGATAGAAGCGGATCAAACGGCACTCGCCATGGCTTATGAAGTAATGGCCCACACTACAAATTGCGCCGAGGACATGAAGATGTCTCTGTGGCCTGTCTTTGTTGCTGCATGCGAAATGCACAGCGAAGCAGACCGGCTAAGTGCGTCGGAAATATTCGATTCAATCTGCAGTGGTCGCAAGACGATTACAGCATTACGAACGAGGGCTTTCGTTGCCCACCGAGTCTGGGCTGCAAGGGATGCTGGCCTGAATTGGGACTGGATGACACTGAATCTCCAATATCCAAATGAACTGCTCCCTATATGAAGCACTAGCTCCGCTATTGTCCAAAAGGGACCCAACTATCCGAGGCGCTCATTATTCCAAAGCACAAAGTCTCCACGACTTTCTCGGAGTCATGAGTTTCCCTTGAGAACAGCGTCAATGAGCTCCACATCCTTCAACAACTGCTCGTCTCCTAATCGAGCGCCGACCAGTTGTAGAGCCACGGGCGCTCCGGCCATGAGTTTGGGATCATCTAATGCCTGTTAGCAAGGAGAGACGTCAAGGAGAGAATGCGAGGCTAGAAGGGTTCGGAAGTTGGCCACTTACACAATGCTTGCACCTCTGCGTCGAGATCGTGCATAGGAAGGAAAGAGACATCTTCCAGGTCCACTTCCGGATTTGCTGTGGTGTATGGTATGATCACAGCAGGATACTTCGAGGAACGACTGGATTAGTCCCATATCCTCCGCTCGATGGAAGCTTGGGGCCGACTTACGTCTACCGCGTTCCAGCAAACTGTGTATGTGTCATTGTTCCAATCGCCAGGTAGCACTGCAGTATGAGGCCCGGCTGGAGCGATCACGAGGTCCACCCCTGCTGCCTGCCATCGATCCAGCATGTCCTTCTGGATTGCCAGTTTCTTGGCGTTGAAAGCCCATGCTTCTTCATGCGATTTTCTGGGTATGTTCCAGAAACCGATCTTCTCGACTGAAGGCACTACCGGCTCACCCGCTTTCTCCAATTGACCGCGCTGATAAGACAATCCGTCTAAGGTGAAGAGCTCGCGTGTGATACTGCGAATTTCTTGGAAGTCAGGAGGTACGAAGTCCTTCACCACAAAACCTGCAGCCGAGAGCTTGTTCGCCGCCTCTCGTATCGCTCGTCGAACCGGCGGATGTGGTGTCAAACCGCTCTTATGGATCACTCCGATCACAGGCTTCCGAGGCTTTGTCCCGTTCTCCATGACTTGTTGGATGACTGCAGGATCAAATTGCCATGGCTTAGCGTCCCGGGCAACTCGAGCAAGCAAGGACAGGTCACGAGCTGAATGGGCCAAGGGCCCGGATACAGCTGGAATACCCGTGTTTGCGCCACTGTAACCGGATGCCGCATATCCTATCATGGGAAGGACACCAAAGGTTGGCTTGTAGCCATATACTCCGTTGGCTGCCGCTGGAATACTACACGCCTATCAATACTGGCGGTTTTGGGACGAACAATGTCACCTACCGGATTGAACCGCCAACATCGGTACCAATGCCTAGAGCTGAGCCTCTGAATGCCATGTTCGACCCCTCACCTCCGCTACTGCCTCCGCAGGTCAAATGACTCACGACGGGATTCTTTGTCTGTCCGAAGACGTTGTTGTGGCATTCTGCGACTAGCATGGTTTGAGGCGTGTTCGTCTTTGCGATGACTACCGCGCCCCGGGACTTCACAAGCTCTATCAATGGAGTCGTGTGAGTCGATGGGTCGAATGTCCTCGAAATATAGCCATTACTAGCGTCGTACCCCTTGACATGAAAGCACTCCTGGATGATACTGTCAGCATCTGATTCCCTGTCAAGGGCAACTTTAGGATGATCCCGATCCCTCCTACCTTGAAGGTCATTGGCAAGCCGTGAAGTGGTCCAACTGTCTTACCAGTCTGCTGGAAGACCTTGTCCAGATTCTTGGCATCTTCGATGGCATCCCGGAACATGATCTCGGTGAGATTGTTGCAAAGCTGATGCCCTATGGCCGCCCGCTTGCAAAAGGCTGTCACGACTTCCTCAGCAGAATAAGTACCGGCTGCAATCGCTGCAGCCAATGATGTCGCATCATGTTTGTCACCAGTAATCAGGAGTTCACGTTCTGAGAGGAGTCCGGATGAGACAGCGATTGGACGTAAGTCGGTGGTATCGTCTGCTGCAGCGAGGACCTCTTCCTTCAATTTCCATTCCTTCGGAATTCTGCGTCCTTGTTCGGTCTTTTTCGCAGCAGCTATCTTTTGCCAATCTTCAGAGCCAGTGGCTTCTGGTTCCTTGGCGATCATGTTGCCTCTATGAAGTCTGGCATTAGTATCTGAAGCCACCTCGAGCACAGTCGAGCAGCGCACTGAAGCAGATTTAAAAGCTTGGTAGCGGATGATGTTGACCCTGAGTGTGTGGGTTTCTGCAATAAGCTATCTACTGCAAGGAACAGCTCCACAGTCATCGTTCCAGCTCATAGCAGTTTCGTACAGGCCCTCGGCTGGAACATCACCGTGGAAGGTACTGGGGCAAAATGATCGTCATTGTACAACGGAAGCTATTCAACTCATGGGGCTTACAAAGGAATCGCACAGAAGCAATCGTTCTATACAAAGTTCCCAATGATACAATCGACCTCGGATTTGCTCGGCCCTTATCACGCCATTCGACTTGACTTGGGCAGAAAACGTGGATGCATAGCGTATGTCGCCATGCTTGAAGGGCCTCGATGACAACAATTGCCTGCCAAGCAATCTATAGGCTATCAGCGAAGAGAGACGACGTTGATAGCATAGGCCCCCGATACCCCTGCCACCCACCTGCTACGAATACGGAGTACAGCACACATACTCCAGGAGTCCCAGTATTTTCTCCAACAGGCCGCTTCCGACGAATCATTCGGCTTTGCGCCGCCTCGCTCCTGACGGTCATCTCCTGTTGATATGCGAATCATCTGGAGAAGATAGGCATTGATAGCATGCTGATCGTTCCAGTCCAGTTCCTGCTTCAGCGCAAAACTCCGGGTTTAGCGACCACAAATCGAGGGCGATTATCTTGTTGATCAGCGATTCCCTGAAAAAGGAGCACGCTGATATATCTTGTTGCTTCGCATGGTACGGCATGGGTAGCGAATCACACCGCACCCAGTCTCTAAAGTATGCACGTCGCTATCTCGCCACGAGCCGTGACGGGAGATAGCTACCTATCTTTGATAAAGAAGGTCCAGACCTCCGCATACTAGTAACGAGCGACCCCGCGCAGTATATATATCCTGCAGTGTCGGCGCTACATGGTTCTGTGTCCGCCTTGCACATTGCCTCGTTTGTTACTCAAGTCCATTCCATCCATCTGAGCATCCGTGAGAATGAGTGACATTGAGAAAACGGCCGCTCAGGTGACGCAGCCTCCACAGATGGAGGCCGCGTCTCCCAGAGCAGGCAGGATAACGGGCCTTATCAAGGGCACCACTATCAATGACCTCAATGTTCTGGGAAAGGACATGTTGCAGAAGGCCCTGGAATATGACGAAGCGCAACTGGAACGGGATGCCGTCAAGGTTCGGAAGAAGTTGGATTTCTTGGTCCTTCCGATGGTACATATCTCACTTACACCGTCACACACGCGCCGGCTCACTACGAAGATCGAAGACCGTGGGCTGACACTACATTCTAGATGATGTGTACGTACATGCTAAGCTTCCTCGACAAACAAACGTGGGTCTACCCAGGGTGTAGCGAGCGGCGCGACACAAGTGCGGGTTGCTGATCCCTTTCTTGCAGACTCAACTACTCCAATGCCTACGGCCTTCAGGTAGACACAAATATGAAAGGGGATGACTATTCATGGGTCGCTTCCGCCCTGTACTTTGGCTGGCTGATAGGAGCGTACCCCTGGAACATTGTGCTGCAACGGTACCCCATCGGCAAATTGCTGGGCTGGATGCTGTTCGTCTGGGGAGCGGTCTGCATGCTCCAAGCCGCCGTCTTCAATTTTGCGGGATTCTTCGCCATCCGCTTTTTCCTCGGTATGCTCGAAGCATGCATCAGCCCGGCATTTGTCATCCTCACCTCGATGCTGTGGACGAGAGAGGAACAGGCCCTGAGGACTTCGTTCTGGCTTTCGACGAACGGTGTCTCTTCGATTCTCGGTGCTTTGCTGGCTTACGGCTCGGGTCACGCCGACAACCTCGCCGTGCCGAACTGGAAGTTGATTTTCCTGGTATGAACATATCCCTCAAGGACTTGTGCGCGGAGAAAAGTTCAGTCAGTGCTGACCTTGAGACAGATCGTGGGCGCGTTGACTTTCGCTTGGGGCTTTGTTATCCTCCTCTACCTTCCCGACGGTCCCCACAACGCCAAGATGCTCTCCGAGTACGAGCGCATGGTCGCCGTGTGGAGAGTGTCGAAGAACCAGATGGGCATTAAGCACAAAGCGTTGATCCCTTATCATATCAAGGAGGCCTTCTTGGACGGCAAGACATATCTGCTCTTGCTGATGGGCATCTGCACCGGCATCCTCAACGGCGGTGTCGCCAACTTCGCCTCGGCCCTCATCAAGGGGTTCGGGTTCGATGCGCTCCGGACGAGTCTTCTGCAAACCCCCGGAGGCGCCTTCGAGCTTATCGGCTGCATGGCTTTCGGCTGGATCGCGACGAGGAAGAACATGCTCGGTCTCACCGTCATCAGTAAGTTTTCCGGTTTCGTCTTCCTTTACCCTGCCCCCTCCCCCAAGGTCCAGATAATTAACACCCATGTTTTTGCAGTCTCCTCGCTCCCGGGCATCGCCGGCCTAATCGGCCTACTCACAATCAGCATCAAACATCGGTACGCCCTAGTCGCCATGTGCTGGCTACAAAACGTGCTCGGCGCCCCTATCATCTTGGGCTGGACACTCCCCGGCGTCAACACCGCCGGGCACACGAAGCGCACGACCGTGATCGGGCTCTTCTTCTGCTTCTACTGTGCCGGCAACATCACGGGTCCGCACCTGTTCTTGGCCAATGAAGCTCCGCGGTATTTCACCGCGATCAAGGGCCTCTTGGGCACGTACTGCGCCCTGATCTTTTTCCAGGTCATTTACACGGCATGCTGTTGGTTCGATAACAAGGCACGCGATAAGAAAGGATTACACGCGCAGAGGGAAGAGGAAGAACTGTTCGAGGGGTATGATGACTTGACGGATAAGCAGAATAAGCATTTTAGGTACAAGGTCTAAAAAAAGGAGGAAGACGAAGAAGACGAAGAAGAGTAAAGAAGGATGTGATGGTGGCTATCACACCAGTGAATCATATCAGCAGAGACAAGACCGTTACCGACCAACGAACAGTCTATCCTGAATTTTGCAGGAAGAGTTGGTCTTTGAGCCCAGTCGTTTAGTTTCTGGCCGTCCATAGCGAGAGTAAGCATGCCAATGCAATCAACTAACGATGGACAGATTTCTGGATTCTTGCTCTAGAAGACCGTGTCATCATTGGGGTTCGGCTACAGTGTAGCCAAAAGCCGCCCGGAGCCCGAATCGCGGCGAGTTGGCCGATGCGGACCAATGACCTCCTTTTCTCGGAGTGGTACCCCTGTCGAATTGTTGACTCCCGGCATGGCCTCAGGCTAACATCGCGAACGACAAACGTAGGCTCCCTTTGTTGTGAGCTTGTACTGTTGGTTGGGAGTGAACGACAATTGCGAGATATAGTAATACCGTGTGCCATCGCTTGTCTTGTCCCGCAAGCGGTGAGAATCATCGGATCTGGGGACTCGCCCGCTTCCGATGTGGTAGTTCCGGAGTTTCGCCTGGGTGTGTGTGAGAGAAGACATCGGATTTCTTGCGAACGTGTTTGTAGCAGTATCTCGTATATGAGGACCGAGTGTCATGATCACATGAGCATGAGCGATGATACGTCTGCGGTGGAGTGATATGGGCTCTCAGATCAAAGTGTCCGATATCCGACTGACCACAGGTCAAACCCGGTGGTTGAGGTCAGCCCACGACAGCGCCGCGTCACGCCCCGAAGACGCACAAGGCAGAGGCGCTGGCCTTCTGCTGATGAAGTGTCTCTCTATGCCGACGCTAAAAGGGTCGGCAGATCTTCCGCAGCCACCGAATCTTGTCGGTAGACACGTAGTGTAGCGACTTGGGCACATTCAGATGGGGAAGGTGCCATTTTCCGTCAGGGCAGTTGTCAAGACGTACACCTGAAACACCTTCGTCCTCGCGTTTGGAGAGCCTATGAAGTTAGTGTTCCCGGGTGTCAACCCACTTTGTGATATGCTGATGATGAGTCTGTGAACCGACAGGGATCGGAAGGCTCATGGAGATATGCCGACTGCCAGTCCTTGTTCCCATAGGCTGGCTTTGCTCCTTGCGTCGAAACAAGCATCAAGCAAGGGAAGCTTAGCTGGAAGTTTGAGCACACCATGTCTGTGCAGAAACCCTTTTGGGTCTTTCGCAGATGTAAAGGAATGCTTTATGCGTACCATCCTGAGGTGGCGTGGGACAAGCATTGGTGGTGTGCCAACGTAGTCCCTGATCGACAATGAAATTCTGGATCCGCCGCGTCTGTGTGCTTCGCTCCTATGGCGCAATACGGCTGCCAAGATGCGAGGTGCTCAAATGAGTCCAAGAGCTATAGCAGGACATTCTTGTGAGGCCGGGGAAGGGCCAGAACGCCATCAAGACGGTCTGTCGTATGACAATCAGCCTGGTGCGGTCTCGCTTGTACTGACTAAGAAAGTCGAGGACGACAGTGGATGACAAATATTCCGACACTTGCGAGTACCATCGGGTGTAAGACTCCCGTACAGCTAGCTAAACAGCCGAGCTTGACAGCAATCTGATCACACGCAAGACGGTGGAACTCGATATCTTGGAAACAGCTTCGCAGGTCATCAGCCAAACAAAGTTCCCGGGAACCTAGCCTGAGCGGTCAAGAATAAAAAAAATACGGCAAGATATTTGTTTCCTTGGTGGGCAGGATTGGGCAAAGCATGCCTTGATTCGACCAGGAGCGACGGAGGTAGCGACGCACCACTGATTGTTCGTTGCCAGAAATGCTTCAATGGAATGTCCGAGATGGAAGTTGTGGTCCATCGGCTGAACCGTGCGTCCGACCGCCAGGAGAATAATAGAACCAATCAGTAAAATGCGTTTCTTCTCAAAAAAGAGTTTAGCCCGTATCAACTTCAGCCACGGATCCTTTCGATTGGATAAGGATTGAGAGGTGGTTCCTGACGCAGATTCACACCTCGACTGTGGTTGCGGGCTCGACAATCATTATTTGATTGGTTTCTGGACCAGGTACAGTCCATGGCGTCTCCTAGCCGTGCTAGCAGATGTAGCCTCGGTTTTGTTGTTACTCGGGCAGTGACCGGAGACGCTGTGTCAATAGGGCTTATATCAACCCAGGAACAACATCGAGGAGGCGGATCTCAACTGTGATAGAGACAGAAGTGCTCAAAATGTCCAGCAACACGCCCGACGGGCTAGCATTCACTTTTGTAGATTACGACATCAATCGGACAGGCGTGACCAATATTGCGAGAGCTCACCTGATGAAACACCGTGCGAGATCAAAGCGTGAAGCGAGGTCGGAATGGATCTCTCGGAATCAATTCTCTCCGCTGCGATGGATGCGACCGAAAGAGGAACACGGCAAGACAGGTCCAGCTGGTATGGCTGGAGCGTTGCAGAGTACCGGCGAATCAACAGCGATGCTAAAGACACCCATGTTACATTATGCAGCAGTCATCGATTTCAAGAAAGACAATGTCACAATCGCACCACTTACGAAAAAGCCACGATCAGTGTCATCCCAGTCAGCAGCAAGTCCAGAACGCCCGGTGATTCAAAACCTGAAAGGTCAAGTCGGTGCCTCGGAGAGAGGTTCGAGCAGCAATGATGTCGACAGCTCCCCAGATGGATCACCGGGCCGCCCAGGTCCGCCGAGATCTGAAAAACGGGAACTGAGGGATTGTGTTGCCACGAAGACCGGTAGCGAGCGTCAACAATCGCGACCAGATCCGAGACAGCCGAGAGGAAGCCCGAATAGTGGTTCGGAATTCAAGTTATCTATGATAGAGGGCCTCAGGATCAATACACTCCTCCAAGAACCGTCCGAGCTTCATTGGACTGCTGACTTTGACGAAGAACTGCCGAATGACATATTTTCGGAGCTGCAATACCTGGTAGAGCGGACACCAATTCCGCTGATGCCCCCAGACCGCAGTCTAATTCGATATTTTGCCCTCAATGCAGGGGTCATGCTTGGCTTCGACAAGCATCAGGCGCTGATGGAGGAGCACAACCCAGTACTGACTTTATTCGTCCCATTTGCCCTTGCAAGTCAGTGGTGCTTCGAGACCATGGTATTGTTGTTTAGTGCATACCATCGCCGGGATCGCGCTTCGGGGCTCGACGCAGAGTTACCGGATGCAGAGAAACAATACTTGGCTTCGAGACAGAATGGCGTCCTTGCAACAACTCGATCGAGGATTTCCGCTTTGGCCAATGCAAGAGATTCAGCCGATGAGGATGTAGTTGCTTTCCTTTTCCTGGCTGTGTCGGAATATTGTGCCGGAAACCGGGAAATTGGGGTAATGCATTTCAAGGCATGGAGGGAATACTGTGAGATGCGACGAGAGCTCCGCATTCCGCCTTGTGGACTGCCCTGTAAAACGCTCGTGTGGTGGTGCGTGTCGATTCTGGTTGGGGATGATGTCTTGTTGCACACGATACTGAACCCAGTGACAAAGGCCAAAATCAGAGAGGAACCTGACAGGCTCTTCAAATATTTCGTGAGTTATACCGTGGCGGATGGAGTTGGAAGAGTTGGGTTGGAGCACAGGGTTGCACAGACATGTTCCATGTCGAGGAAGGATTCATCCCCGTTGTTGACAATATGACCAGCTTGTCCAAATGAAGGCTTTTGCTCGTTCCAGTGCGCAACGCGAACCACTTCGCATTCCTAAACAACTCAGATGACGATGAGCACCATCAGAGTGTCATTTAATTATGGTTTCCTCGTTCAGCAGCAGCTGAGTGGCACCGTCTTCTGAATCACATCCTTCTTCACGGCGCTTCAAGCATGCTCCAGACCTGTTGGACTATTGAAATGAATGAAGGCGTAGGAAATCAGGAGAAGGAGGTCCTGCACCTACCTCCCTTGCCCTGCAGCAGGACTTGGCGCCAAGCAATTACAAGGCTGTGCAAGGCTGTAGATATCCCGTATCCTTCCACGTGACTATGTACCTCACGAGACACCTACGGGACCACGTGACCTAATTACGAGTTGACTACCATATAGCTTGGGTTAGCTAGTTAGTTAATGTCTTCCGCCGCTACAACCACAGGGCGATCGAGTGCATTCCATGGCGCTAACGGTAGAGCTGACTAGCGCACTTTTCGCGAGAGCATATCACGTGAATACTTAGAAGCAGGAAGAGTCGCTGAAGTCACGTGCTGGAGACCAGGCCAGATTTGACGTGTGGGGACAAATCGGCTAAACGTCGCTACTACTTTTCTCCAAAACATGCGGCCATCTTTAAAGAAATAATTTCAGAGGGACTGGAATTCTCTACAGCACATGCGCTAGACCTCAATGCAAGATGAAAGGTTTGAAGGAGCAGGTGCGAGACTTGGAGTCTAGTAGAGTAAAGGGTTAGTATAGGAGTCCTTCCACTCGTCTCACATTTTTGACGAAAACCAGACTTTGACCCGGAGGACGATTCCGCTCGCCGCGCAGACGAAGACGACTCCGAGATTGAGGAGCAGGCCAACGGTGATACCGGTCGAGAACACTACGAGCCCGTCGGAAAGAGCAGCCTGAGAAAACCAGAGAGCCTTCCGCTTGATGCCAAGTATGGAGGTGTCGCAATCAGTCGGAAAGCCCTAGAAGATAAAGAGGAAGACAACCCATTTGCGCCGGTGGAGGAGTCCGACGAGGAAGATCCTTTTGCGGCGCGAAACGGAGAGACTAGAGCAGGAGAAGAGTCATACATCTCTGTCGATGGGAACGCCCAAGAAGTAGATGAAGACGAGGAGATCGACAGCGACGAAGCATTGGGCGAAAGCGATGTTGAACGGTTCAAGGATTTCACGTTTCGAGGCAGCAGAAAGAATCGCATTGAAGCACAATCCCAGGATGATCTCTCAGACGAAGAAAATGAGTCTACCGGGTCGGAAGAACAATCTACAAGTGATACTGATGTCGACATGGATGACGAGGAGGAGGAAAGCAACGATGGGTTCTCCATCTCTTCTGCGGCCACACAACAATCAGAACCTAGCAATCTCCCAAGGAATGCCGATCGTAAAGAGTTGCAACAGGCCGCTTTCTCAACAGCTGGCCTGGCGTCTGCTTTGTCCGCAGGCGCCAATGCCGACATCAAGAAAGGTCGGGCTGTCAAACAACAACGCCAGATATTCGACCGCCTGCTCGACGCACGAATCAAACTACAAAAGGGCGTGACAGCCATGAACAGCCTATCCGAAGCGGGTATATCAGAAGACGAAGTTAAACAAGCCGCCCAACAAGCCGAAGACGCAGCACTCGCTCTGTGGTCAACGATCGACTCCATCCGCTGCACGATGCTTTCTACGCAGGACATGCCCACGATGGACTCGAAAACATCACGAAAACGACCATTTACCGCCACCCGCTTTACACCTCTCTCTGAACTCTGGCAGCAAACCAACGACCTCGAATCCACCATCAACCCTCTCCGCCGCAGCACACTGGACAAATGGCACGCCAAAACCCAACCTGCCATTGACACCGCGCCGCGCTCAAAACTCTTCAAACCAACACAGTCATCCCGCTCCCGCCTCACCGACGTACTGGATGCGTACCTCGCGACCGAATCGTCCAAACTCACTACCTCATCCACACCAGCACCGGGCATTTTTGACGACGGACCATTCTACCAATCCCTCCTGCGCGACCTCATCGCCTCACGCAACGCCAATAGCGCGAACGCGACAAGCACCTCGGAACCGTTCCTCCCGACAAAACTACATCAAAGCGGCAGTAAGAACAAGAAGGTCGACACGAAAGCTTCAAAGGGCCGGAAAGTGCGGTACACGGTGCATGAAAAACTGGAAAACTTCATGGCCCCAGAAGACAGAAGCACATGGGAGGACGCGGCGAGACGGGAATTCTTTGCGAGTCTGTTTGGGAACGTTGGAGCCCTGGACGAGGGTGCTGGGGATGAGCAGGCGCAAAGCGACGACGAGGGAGCTGAAGTCGAGGCCTTGAGGCTGTTTAGGAGTTGAGGTTCAAATACAAGAATAGACGAAGGAAGGCCAAGACCGTTGACCGCTGGTTGGAATAACGATGATGGACATTTCTCATTCTACCATAAGAGCGCTACATTCTCTTGTTCTGTGGTCCTGCATTTTTCTTTTGGCTCAGTTCAGCTTCGGCCGGAGGCACTATGTTGATAACATCTACACCAAACTGAAAAGGATGCCCTCAATTCATCTCATCCCCTTCTTGTATACCCCGGCACCTGGTATGGCTGCGGAACATACCACTTCGGTATGATACCGGCCTCGTGCTGTCGATGGATATATGCCGCCGTGACATGTCCATTCTGTGTAAAGTTCGACTGCGTGTCATTGTTGAACCCTGGTATAGGCGAGTATTGCCTTTGCAGCGGCGGTGGATTTGGTGATGATGGAATCGACACGGCTTGTGAAGATGGTATGGGACTCTCCGTACCGTCAATGTCGTGTGCTTGTGAGTGGGATTGTGACATATATTGATTCGGTGAGTCGCTTCCATCATCGTCACCCGCAGCTCGTGGTGTATCTGCTGCCCCGCGGGCCCTGCTCCGTTGGGGGTTCGCCAGATCTCGATCGTCAAACGAAGTCTTCTCCGGCCGTGGTGACAATGATGGCGGATCGAGGTCAAGATCTCCTTCATCTTCCGAGTCAAACACCTCATTGACACCAAGGTCGACGTTGTATTGTGATTGACTTCTACCTGCATATTGTGGCAACTGACTGATGGCGACCGGGTAAGAACTGGAATCTTTGATTGTGATCCTATCGGGCCTCTGAGTGATTTCCGCATCAGCTCGCTGTGGGTAAGACGACATATTGGCGAATGCTTGTGTAGCTTCCTGGGTCGACATTTGTGACGGACGTGGCATAGAGGCAGGATGGATCGATTTCTGGGTAGTGGCTTTGGCCGACAATAGGGGCGAAGACGACAATTGCTGAACTGTATCATTCAAAGGTACTTTGGTGATTGAGACATGAGTGCTAGAACGATGAAGGAGTGCTGGCTTGGGTAAGGCAACCTCATCAGCATCATCCCCAAGGTCCATGTCGACAGCTTGAATCCTCATAACTGGTGATTCGACCAGCCTGGGAACGGGGAGCGGTGTCTGCGGTGGCTCGTCTTCGTCCCGCCGTTCGGTCTGAGTATCCATTCGATGCATAGTTCGGCGGCTGGAGGGTGTGGGCGAAGAGCTTGATAGAGTGATTGCGTTGACCATTTTCTCTCCCTTTCCTGGTGTCTGGATAGCATGACGAGTCGGTGAAGATACACGATGCTCAACGTCAACGTTGAATTGTGTGTCGTTTGCTATTGGGGAACCAAAGTCGACCTCATCGGGAGCTGCTGGCATGTCTTCACCCGAAGCTATCTCCCCGTCAGGACACACATCCATACTGAATGTCTCGTTTGCAATAAGGCCGGAGTTTTTCCCTGCAATGATGGTTATCTCGGGTTGTTGCACCGCAAAATCTCTCACAAGCACGGGAGATTCGTCACCCGGTTGTGGCATGGCCGGCGGTGGGTTTCTGCTCGCTTCATCGCCTGTATCTCTGGCGGCTGACCGCCCTCCATTCACGAGGTCCGCAAGACTAGGCAAGCTCTCCTGAGTCGCAGCTGGTGGGCTCGATTGAAGATCTGGCAGTTGGCTGGTCGCAGGGATTTCGGCCTCATCTACCGGTCCCTCGCCCACCGTTTTGGCTTGGCCTGATGGCTCCTTTACGTCAGGCCGCCGTTGCAATTGAGGTGACGATGAGGGAATCGACCACAAGTTGACTTGTGAGTCTTCAATCCGGGTGATTTGTCGGCCTTGCCTCCGTTTGGGTAGCTTGAACACCACGACCTTGCTCTTCCTGGGTGAATGCTTGGGTGCGCGACGCAATTTGCTAGCAGACTTCTTTGAAGGAGTGTCCACGGGGACATTTACTGAACGCTCAGCAAGTGGCGTTAGTAATGATCGTGCTGGTGTGCTAGGCAACTTCCGACCTTTTCGAGTACTGGGAGGCAAGCTTTCTGGAGATTGGCTGGACAAGATTATCGACCGAGCTTTCTTTGGTGTTTGCAGCAACCTGGACGGGCCTTCAAGACCTTGTACTGGCATGATTTCCTCTCCTTCATCGACGGACTCCTTAATTTCAAGTGGCCATGGTGGCTGCCTCGCCGGGTTCCTCTCTGCAAAAGGAGCCGCAGTGACACTTAATGCTTGCTCGAAAACCTGCAAATTCTCGGCAGGGTCCGAGAACACTTTCCTCCTGGATGCAATCCTCCCCGAAGTTCGCCTCGGTGTATCAACGGACCCAGCTTCCAGACTGCCTGCCTTTATTCTTCTTGTGCTCGGTCTATACTCTTGGCTTTCTCGATTCGGGGTGGTGATCTTTCGCTTCATAGACCGTCCAGTGGCGGGTGGGGTTGTTTTACGCCTGCGCGGACGTCTGGGGCTCTCATAGGTGCCATCATACTGGGGAATAGTCGGGCGTTGTACGTCCTCCTCGGTTGTCGGAAGCATTGCATCCTCAAAATCATCATGGTCTGGTGGTGGAAAGCTCAAGAAGTCCATCTGGGTCAAGGTGGAATTGCGCTTTTTCAGTCCCGGGAGAGATCGTCTTGAGGGGGCGGTCTGTGGTCGCGGCATCGCTTGTAGCATATCATCTTCGTCGAAGCTTATGGGAGCAGAAGTCACCCATTGAGCTTGTGTGAGAGTTTGTTGACTTTTTGCGCGTTTATTGGCATCATTCTCGACGTCATTAGGTCGTGATCGCTTTCTGGGTGCAGGTGTTGCGGATTTCGTCTTCCGTTTCGTGCTGGTAATGGCCCATGCCTCTTTGGACATGACTCATGTGGCTGAAGGTGATAGCACGTAGGAGCTGGACTGAAGCAGGAAGGGCTGTAGTGAAGGTCCTGTCTGGAATGGCGGTTCACGAAGTAACGGCAGCGCCCAGCGAGCCCAAGGAGCCCACAGAGCCCAGGGCGCGTCGGAAAGGCTCAACGCGTCGAACCGCGGTGTCACCTGAGCACGAGAGGCGAAGAAATCATGTCTGACAGACACACCAGATCCGCAACGAGCGGCTGAAACAGTGTGAAGCCGTGGCGAAGCCCAGTGTGGTCGCCTTCGTCTGACATCGTCATTTCCAACTCTACACAATTTACGAGAACACGAGGTATCTCAATGATCATTCAGGGGCCAATATGTTCCATCTCACACAAGTACAGTATCGCTGCTACACTGCTCAACTCGACGATATGATACGTCAAAAGACGAGATTGTTGCATCTGTCGTGTCAATGTATCTGATCAGGCAAATTGCACCTTTGGTGTGATTCGGAATAGCAATCCAGATACTCAACGTCTGATGGCAAATTGATGAGAATCGCTCTTTGAACAGACGCCGAGGACGAGACCCATCGGTGGAGTAAAAACCCCTCAGGCAGCTTACCTCAACGCTGCTGTGCGAAGAAGCATCCTCAGCAAGTCTCGACTATGCCCGGCTTACTCCTCCGTTTGGTGACCGCACTGGTCTTGGTGATACTAGTTTCAGTTGCGACCACCATTCTAAAGCAGCTCTTCCGCCGCAATGTCCACAAGCCGCCGGTCGTCTGGCATTGGGTGCCATGGATAGGTAGTACCGTCGACTACGGAAAAGACCCTTACAAGTTCTTTTTCAAGTGCCGAGAGAAGGTGGGTAACATTGAACCAGTTCTTTCGCTGTGGTGTCTTCTTCCGCTGACTGAATCCCTAGTATGGCGACCTCTTCACGTTCGGTCTACTTGGAATGAAAGTCACGGTCTTCCTTGGAGCAAAGGGCAATAACTTCATCTTGAACGGCAAGCTCAAGGACCTCAACGCCGAAGTAGGTGCTTATGATGCCTATTCATGGCAGAGACTGATGTATCGGGCCAGGAAGTCTACGGGCCTTTGACAGTACCGGTCTTTGGTCCGGGCGTTGTTTACGATGTAGAAAATGCTCGATTTATGGACCAGAAGAGAGTATGTGCAGCGTCCTCACCTCATCGACTGATCTTGTCTCATCTCCTTCATCCTACAGCTTCTGAAAGAAGGCTTCTCTAGTCAAAATCTGCGCGCCTATGTTCCCGAGTTCGTCAAAGAAGTTGAAAACTTCATCAGGACCAACATTACCTTCCGTGGCCAGAGCGGAGTGTGTGACATTTCCTCGGCGTTTTCGGAGATCTCTTTATACACCGCGGCGGGCTCTTTGCAAGGTCAGGAAGTGAGAGACTCATTCGATGCGAAATTCGCCACGTACTATCGTCATCTTGATGACGGTTTCGCACCTATCAATTTCATGTTTCCCTGGCTGCCCATACCGATCAATCGCCGACGCGACCATGCTCAAAAAGTGATGGCTAGTCTATACATGGACATCATCAAGAAACGGAGGTCGGAAGGAAACAAGGCCGGCAGTCATGACATGCTCTGGGCTCTAATGGACGCCCGCTACAAGGACGGAACTCCCATCACCGATGAAGAAATGGCGAACTTGATGATAGCTCTGTTGATGGGTGGGCAGCACAATACAGCTGTAAGCGGAAGCCAATGGTCCGAAGACTGAATGTTCTAACCATCTCCCTTCAGGCCTCGGGAACCTGGGTCATGCTTCACCTGGCACATCGACCACACCTGATCGAAGAGCTGTACCAAGAACAAGCGGATCTGCTGGGCGGCCAAAGCCTCACTTATGAATCGTTACAGAAACTCACACTTCACAACAATGTGATCAAAGAGACACTCCGCCTGCACAGCCCCATCCATTCGATCATGCGGAAGGTCAAGCAGCCAATGCAAATTCCAGACACAGGTATTGTTGTCCCGGCTGGCCACATCCTCCTTGCTGCACCTGGGGTACCTGCTCGAAGCGACGAATTCTTCCCGAATGCCATGGACTGGCAACCTCACCGGTGGGACAAGCCTTCGGAAAATGAGCAGCAAGATGAAAAGGACGGGAATGACACAATTGACTATGGCTATGGCGCGGTCTCCTCCAAGGCTGTCTATAGCCCCTATCTCCCATTTGGGGCCGGTCGACACCGCTGTGTTGGAGAGACGTTCGCCTACGCACAACTTGGAGCCATCCTCGTTACGATGGTGAGACTTTTGCAATGGGAGCAAGTCGACCAAAGAGCTCCCGTCCCGGAAACCGATTACTCTGTAAGTATTTGTTTCCAATTCTACCATCCACCTGAGCTGTGAGATATTTCGCAAGCTCTCTCGTCTCGACGTGGCCAAACAGATCCTACTAGGACGTGCTGACCTGTTTTCTCATAGTCCATGTTCTCCCGACCGATGCACCCTGCTACCATACGCTGGAGGCACCGTCGCTAAACCTGCTGCTCATTATAAACCGAAACGTCCAATCTATGTTATGACGGCGATCCCCAAAAAATACAACCGAGGCTTCTAGGCTTCGAGGCTCTTGCTGGAAGCTCCTTGTCCTTAACAGCACAGTTGCTTGACAATTTCGTGACATGGAACTCTTGCTCCGACCATGGCCGATCGTGTGAGCGACAAGGAGCCCACAATAGAGCCAAGAGCACTTCTTGCTATCGAGGCCAGCTGGGACTCATCTTCTACACTCAAGGACACAACCGGGGGTACTAGTAATCTGTAATTAATATTGCCGATCATCTTCTCCTGCTTTCCGTAGATTCATGGATTCATGTCATATCCTTGAATAGCTCTTGTGATTCAATACTATCCCTTGCCGCGAACGGCACGGCCTGGGGAACTCCTTGCCCCGAAACTGGACTAGGCTATAACTCCATAGAGCCGAGCCACAGGACAAAAAATAGCGATGCAAAGCACAAAATTACGGAAATAGAAGGATAAACTCAGGCAGTTTCTCGTCTCGGAGAAGGCCCTCTAGGCAGAGTTGTGGAGTTACTGGCTAGCACATCGACTGTACTGCGCTTCTGGTCTTGAATGGGCTTCCGCATCCGTTCGGCAGGCGGCTCAGATGACTGTTCTCCACCAGTAGCCTGTGCTCTTTCGTCTGGGTCGACAGTCATAGCGTACAGATCTTGCATATTCCACAGTTGCAGAATCTTCTGCTCAAAGGGTTTCATTTCGTCTTCCATCAACGACACATGATGCTTCTCACTCACCCACTGCACGGCAGTTTGCCTTCCAGGACCTTGGGGCAGTGGAAGATGTGAAGTGTCTTCGGCATCATGTACCACAGGACTGCTAGGCTCAGTGACAACGGCTTTCATGGCGAAGTCGACCAGGCCTGCCTTGTCATAGTCGTCTATGTTCTTCGTCATCCGTTCCCGAGCAGTCCAGTGAATCGTCTCAAACGCGTTTTTCAGCCGATGATCCGTTGGCTCCCTGGTGAGTGGGTTGGTAGACGTGAATGTCCCGGGCACTCGACAGTAGACGCCACCGAGCACAAACAGGCCCTTCATCGAGTTGTGGAGACGTCCGATGAAGCTTGGGGATGGCCCGGTGCCTCGCATAAATTGACCAACGGCAAGCGGATTGAATTCGAGAAGTCCGGCCACCTGGCTCAGCATCCAGCCCAGCGGGACTCGAGAGGCGGCGTCATCCTTCTGACCACCGCCAACATCGGAGTGGACGCCTGGAAACCAGCACTGCTTCAGCACGCGAGGCAGTACTTGTCCACCTGACTTCTCCCAAAGTGTAGGTTTGAACTGTCTCCGACGCTCGTCCAAGGCGAGGGCTTGATATGCATATTCGACGTTGGGCAGGACCTTGGTGTCGACGAAAGCCAATTTTCTCCCCACCGGTTGTGGAAGGAAAAAAGGTCTCGGAAGACCCAGAGATCCCACCGTCTCCCACACTGCACAGACTTTAATTGGAATCTTCGGCCTCGTCCACTCATTGTGCAGCAAGTCTCTGAAATAGTCCTTGACTTCTTGATCGTCCCCCAGTGGACCTTGGGACTTCTGTCGCTCGTTTTGCTTCTCCCATTGCTCGAACACGGGACCAAGCTGAGGCCTTTGTTGGTGAGCAAGCCCATCTTCCAGATGAAATGTGCTATGCTTCGGGCAGTGAAAGCACCGCGAGAGAAGCCAAAAAAGAAGATCTCATCTCCATGCTGATAATTCAGACAAATGAATTGATATGCTTGCATGATGTTTTCGCGAACGCCTCCGCCGGTAGCGCCTTCGATGGCATTCTCAATTCCTCCGAATAGCCACCCTGCGACTGATCCGACGCCATGTTGATAGTACACGACTTGTTTGACTTGAATCTTCTCGCCTCCTTGTGTTACTTCAGCCTCGGGCTGAATGCAACGGGCGAGTTTTGCCACGTTGGTCGGCACTTGGCCCGAGCCATCACTATTCTTCCAGGTGCCGTCGCAGCAGACGATTATTCTTTTGCGTGGCATTTCGCTGGTGGACCAAACATCCCTAAGAGACAAGGTGCGGAAGCCGGTCTTGAGTGCTCGAGAGTATGGCCGCAGAGACTTCTCATTTAGCTCGCGCTTGATGAGGCTGCGAGGCGCACGTCAGTCGTCCAGTCCGAAGCCGTGCCATGACGACAAGTAGCCAGGCACCATGGTAAACCCATTCAGATGACTGCAGGTGTTTCAAAATTCCAGCTACATGCACAGCCTGAGTGGCCGAAATGTCGCGGACTTGTGCCAATGACGATCTCAGCCGAGTCAGCTGGGAGCAAGGAGGAGAAAACAGTGGAGGCCAGGAATCTTGGAATATACTGTAGGGTCCAGCCCGCTTTGTTCGTCCCGCTCTTGGGAGAATTTGAGGCTGATCTTCATGACCAACAACCCAAGCAAACTGTTTGATATCTATCCCGTTGAACAAAGCACCCTTCACGATCTAGGGGCCAACCCAGGAGGAGACGACCGGATGCTTTCACTGAAACCAATCTTAGGGATAAGTTCTGAGGGATAAGCACGCATTTCTTTCCTCATACGCGTTTGAATGCCTCTTGCGTCATCTCATATCTAAAACCGTGGAGGAATATCAGAGATACTAATGCCCTCGACGCCGCTCTTCCTAGTATGTATACACTCGGTGCTCGGCACCTCGCTTTCGAATCCGACCAGATCCCATTGCGGCCTTCCCGTCAGACCTCGTGAGCTGATTGAGGGTCTGCTGAACAATAAGCCTTCATGACACTATGTTCCCGCCCACATGTCCACCTGGCACCTGGAGTCGCTTTACTCCGTACCAAAGGGGCGATTACCTACCTAGGTAGGTAGTAATCGGGCAAGGAGGCCGGAGCCGCGTTACACCACCATGCCTACTTCGGCAGCTTTTTTCGAGATATCAATAGCCTGCAGGACATGGTGCCTACTCCGAAAGATGCGACGATGATGGACCATCAATCTCATAGCTGGCTACACGGCGAGACGACAAAAGGGGGAGTCGGGCAAGGCTGGATGTCCATTTACCTTCGGACGCCAAGAAATGCGGAGTTCAAACAAGAAGGGCCGCAAGTTGTATTCGTACCTTACCTAAGACATCGGTGCATTCTGCTGGAGTCCCGAATTGTAGGTCCATAGACTCGTACAAAAGACTACGCCAATATAAAATGGAGGACTTCTCGCAATCCCGAGGCGACGATGATCTCTTCGACGACGAGATCATACCGTTGGAGAAACCTCCGTCTCCAGAAAAAGTTGCAGCGCAGCTCGAACAAGTCTCACTAGAATCAACACCGGCACCCGCGCCTGCACCGGAACAACCACGCGCCCCGATTGCCGCACCCACGCCCAGAGATTCAAACTCACCAGGGTACAGGGGAAAGTCAAGAGGCAGAGGCGGCCAAGGGTCTGCACGAGGCGGCACCGGAGCAAGAGGCGGACTCGCAGATTCCAAATGGGCTCCAAAGCCAGCGAAAGCTGCGGAGAGTACAAGTACCCCCAAAGAGGAGGAGCTTGTCACGTCTCCAGATGCACAGAAAGATGCTCCCACAGACGAGACACCCACTACCGATATGCCAGCCCAAACAGGTGAAGCAGAGTCTTCCACGACAACGGTGGCCAACGCAACATCAGCGCCCGCAAATGCTCGGCCACCCGCCGTCCGCGGCGACAGATCCGCCACAGGCGGCATGCGCAAACCCAAACTGACCGAGGAAGAGTTGAGCGCCAAACTCGCCGCGGCTAAGGAACGATCGCAGAATCTCGCGGCAGCACATGCCCGTGCACAAGCTGATGCCGCGAGCTTCGAAGAGCGCGAGCGCATTGCGAATCAGAAGAGAGAGAAAGACCGGGTACAGAGGAAGGTGATGGACAAGGAGCGCGAGAAGAACAGACAGCGCAAGATGGCCGTCATGGGCGGGCGTGAGTGGGACGCCGGCAAGAACGAGGAGGATTTCAGCAGGGCCAACGGGCGCGGTGCAGGTGGTAGGAGAGTATACCAAAGTGGGACGACGCCAGAGCAGCAGATCCAGGCGGAGATGGACGATTTAAAGCAGTACGAGTGGCACGAGGATCGGGGCCGTGGCAGAGGGAGAGGGAGAGGAAGAGGGGGCCGAGGCCGTGGGAGGGGTGGTGGAAGGGGAGGAGGATTCGGGCGTGAAGGCGATGAAAATGGTACAATTCAGCCGGATGTGGCTGAGGATGAGGATTTCCCTGCTCTGCCTCCTGGTGCAGGGAAGAAGGCTGCCGACGATGGTGGTGGTGTGGTACCAAGACCCAAGACGTCGAGATGGGGTTCTGAGACGTTATCACCCACAGGAGATGGCGGAGGAGGGGGAAGTTGGGCGGAGCAAGTTGAATCGAGTGAAGCTGTTGAGAACAAAGAGACACGGGCCTGAGGTTACGGCGGTGGTTTGGTTTTGGAATCATGGCATATTGAAGCGTTCAAGCGCTTGACATAGTCTTCTTGATTGGGCATGACTCTGTCTATAGGTAGGGTTGGGTATCGCTGACATGTCCGTTCATATAACATGGAAACCCTACAAAACCTTCCAGCCTTGACGGTCAATAAAATTCCTCCAAATCCAGAACGCCATCGACGCCGTCGCTATGCAGCTCATCGGGAAAGTTGAGTCGTTTCTACCATCTCGCACTGCCTCGTCGGCCGCTTGGTCCGCCCGGATCACTGACTCCCTCACGCTCCTTCCTGTTCTCGATACCTGTCGTGTGGTCGATGAGATGGCTGTCCTCTGAGTTCACTGTGTCAAGAGAGGGGACCTGCGAGTGGTGGTGCTACCACCGTCCTCTACCTCGTCGGCTGTAGCCGCCACCACCACCGCCTCTGTATCCGCCGCCTCGACCACCGTATCCTCCACGACCACCCCAACCACCGCCATCGCCATAGCCGCCGTCATCATACCCTCGTGGACCGGCGGGGCCGTTTTCCTCTGGCCTTGACGGAGGAGGTCGACCCTTCAAATCCTTCTGTAACTGTTCGTAGGTCTTTCGCATCTGTGCATAGCCGAGGTGCATTTTGCCATAGAAATGGTCGGCCAACCGTCTGTCGTTGTCCAGCCTGGAGAGATACGCGCCGCAGACATCGCAGACCTGCAGCTTCTGATGCCCTGAGGGTCCACTCGTGTCTGAGAGTGATTTCAGATCCCTTTCAGCCTGCTCTTTCGCGACCTTTGCTGTCCGGACCTTGTAAAACTCGGAGCAAGCTAACGACACCGAGCCAATACCCGCGAGGCAGTTCACCTCCAGAAGACCTGTGTTGATTGTCTTGGTCAGGTCTGATATCGTTTTCAGCAGGTTATTGGTCTGTCGAATTTCGTCCGGTGTCTTTTCTAGCCTTCGCTGCGCCTGATCAATCCTGCGATTGCAGTCATCGATGTACTTCTGCATATCCCGTAGATAGTCGTACTCATAGCCATATTTTTGTTTCTCTGCCGGTGAGAGTGCGTCGTATTCCATCTTCAAGTGTTCAGGGTGTGGTTTTGGGCAAGGACCGAGATCTTGCTTCGTATTTGTAAAGAGATCGTGAGGGCATGTGCCCACAAGGTAGGATCGGCATACGTTAGGGGATGAAAGCGTGAGGTTTGCACTTCTTGAGGAAGCGCCGCCCATGAATTGTTCGCCCATCAGCTGCTCGAGCAGCTTGCGCTGTTCGGCCGCCATGTTGCGTTTCGACGTTGAACCCAATGCCTTGATTCGAAAGTGACGTGTCAATAAAGTCGTGGTAAAGGGTATGCGCTACTTGAATTGCATGGAAAAGAATGTGGCTGTTGCCCGCAAATGCAGAGACAGAATAGGCGGGAGAAGTCTCGAAGTGTCGGTTAAACTGCGGTAGATTTTGCACAGGACCACAGTGTTGTCTTCTTTCAATGTGCCTGTAGAGATCTACTGCAGCAACACCACAAACCCAATAGATTATGGTGGAAGACGCACTGAGATGACGCCGGCATGTCCCGGTCTCTGTTATTCCTACTCAGTCTTGTCCTCCTCGTCTTGAGTGTCGCCGCCTCCGACTACGACGAACGACTGACTCTGACACCACTCCCCCTTGGCTCTCTCCTCGCTTCCTTCGACTTCCGCAGCAATGAGACGGTGACGGACTATGAGACACAGAACTTCAGATTCTTTCCTCGCTCGCTTGGGCAGGCTTTGCGGCATGCAAGCACGGAAGAACTACATTTGAGGTTCACGTCAGGTAGATGGGATCCAGACACATGGGGAGCGCGTCCGTGGGATGGGACCAAAGAGGGGGGCACGGGTGTTGAACTATGGGCATGGGTCGATGCAAGCTCCGAAGAAGAGGCTTTCGAGAAATGGATGACTTTGACACAGTCTCTGTCAGGCTTATTTTGCGCCTCACTGAATTTCATCGATTCGACGAGAACCACCAGGCCGATCCGCTCATTCCAGTCTCAAGGGACAGTCAAGACACAGAACGGAAACGGCCTTCATTTCCTACATGGAGTACTTCCTGGTGAAGTGGTCTGTACAGAGAATCTAACACCGTTCCTGAAACTGTTGCCCTGCAAAGGAAAGGCGGGTATTTCGAGTCTGCTTGATGGACACAAGGTGTTCGACGCCTCATGGCAGAGCATGTCCATTGATGTGCGTCCAACGTGCATTCTTGGTCTTACAGACTGTCAAATGGAGATCAGTCAGACGATCGATGTCGTCCTTGACATCGAACGCTCAAAGCGGCCCAGGGACAATCCAATTCCACGGCCTGTCCCTATTGAGAATCTCATCTGCGATGAGACCAAACCGTACCACTCGCAGGATGCATGCTATCCCAAGGACATGACCGACGAAATGGCGTGGTCGTTGAGTGATCTCTTCGGACGCGCCATGGCCGGTTCCTGTCCCTTGGCTGGCGAAGATGCGAAGCCAGTCTGTCTAAACGTGCCACACGAAAGAATGGTTTTGGCGAGCCCAGGCGTTACAGAATTCAAATCTGAGCCTGGTCCTCTGGAGTCTAGATGCTACCACATGATGCCAACGGAGGAATTCAACCTTCAACTCACCCAGCAAGATATGAGCGCCAAGCATGAGCTGGGTCATGAATTACTTCGAGCCGAAAGGACCATCACGGGTCACGGTGCTGCTCGAGGTGGCATGCGCACGATCTTCACTAACCCATCTTCGACGGAGTCGGTCGAATTTGTCTACTTCGAGAGCCTGCCATGGTTCATGCGCCCATTTATGCACACCTTGAACGCACAAATCACCAGCCCTGGGTCTATACACGATGGCCAGATCATAACCGACATGTACTACCGTCCCGCTATCGATCGGAAACGGGGGACACAACTTGAACTTGTCATGACCGTACCTCCAGCAAGTACAGTCATGCTGACTTATGACTTCGAAAAAGCAATACTTCGATATACAGAGTATCCTCCTGACGCCAACCGTGGCTTCAACGTCGCCCCAGCGGTGATAAGGATCTTGAATGAGGTAGACGCGACTGGCACGCCGAAAGATGTGTACATCAGGACAACGAGCTTGCTCCTGCCACTACCAACTCCAGATTTCAGCATGCCGTACAATGTCATCATCCTCACGAGTACTGTTATGGCTCTTGCTTTCGGAAGCATATACAATCTGATCGTCAGACGATTCGTGGGCGTAGACGAGGTTGGCGACACCAAGCTTCAGCGGCTGGTCAAAGGTATTTCGGGCGCCGTCGTGGCAATCAAAGATAGAGTGGCAGGCAAGAGCCAGAAAATGGAATGAGAATTGATGTACCCGTCACTGCCTTACATGACCCTACCGTAAGATCATCCTCTACCTTCCTAAGGGACCATTTTTGACTGTGAGCGCCATGCCTTCGTATCAGTGTCCTCCGCTGTAGTGAAGTGATGGTTCCAACTAACCTCCTTGGCATGAATAACTACTCTCCCTTTGGTATGTTTATAAGTGAAACCCGTGAATCAAATTATCAATTCAGCAGCCGTAACGGCTTCTGTGGTGCAAGTGTTTCAGCTTCCGACCGTAACGTCGCTAAACTACCCCGACCGTGATGTCGCTAAACTAATGCTCAAACTTCTCGTGTCCCTGTGTTGTTGAACCCTGTTGCTCCGAGGGGTCATGATACCAGGGGGCACGAGTCGTACGTAGAACTAACCATCGGAGCACAAGCAGACCGAATCGGAAAAACCACCTATCGTCGACTAGGGAGTTTTAGCTCCCCACCACGGTCTAAGGAACCCGTTCCTTAGACCCTGGTGGGAAGAGTTTTTGCCATTTTTGAAAGAAGTCGAGGGTTCGAGTTCGATGTGGGCTGGGAATCCCGCAGCATTTTTATATTAATACTCGTTGCAACTTTTGTCGTGTGTGCGGCAGGTGAATAACTCACTGTGGTAAAGTGATTCCCTCGATGTTTGTAAAGCCTCGTCACCTGGAATAGGACTAGTTCAGCCTCGCGCACTCTTCTTCCTCGCTAACAGGTCGATCTTCCGTGACACATTCCCCTTTTCCACTTTTCCAAATCTACAGGGTACAATGACGTTGACATTGATGCTCTACTCCATTCATTTATTCGCAATGACACCGGGCTGTTTGATGACGCCGGTTATACCGATGACGAGGTTTGTGTCTGCGACCGTCCGGCAACACAGTTGACAGTTGAAAAGGGCGTGTAACAGCCTGCCATGGCCAGCTCGATGTTCTTGCTGTGGTGTCTAGCCTTCACATCCAATCTTGAATACCCATCATGAATCTCTACATTCAACTCCTCGTCTTGGTAGGCATAGCTTATGCTCAGAATGCAAGCCTCGCGCAAGACAACACAATCGCTACGCAAGGTCTTGTCTCGAATACCTCTCGATTCAACACTATCCTCCGTGTCGACAATGGGCCATATGGCCCTATGATTGATGAAGTCCACTACTACTACGGCTACTGGCCTATTGGCCTTGCTGTGTCCAGCGAGTCTCGGATCTTTGTCTGCTACACCCGGGGGGACTATGACTACACTGTGAATGAAGTGGTCAATATGACCTCGGAAGCTCCTTATCCCTCTGCTGGCCTGAATATGCATCCGGACTCTCTCAACACAACCTTCAATGGGATTCAATTCGGCAGTGCCAACTCTACAGGATTGGTCTCTGTCCAGGCGCTCTACATCACACCGGCGACGTCATCACGATCTGAGACGCTCTGGATGCTTGACACGGGAAGGCCGACTGTTCAAACGTCCTCAGGTAGCTACAGTATGCCATACGCGCAACCAGGCGGACCGAAAGTCGTTGGAGTCAACCTATCTAACAACACGGTCTACGCCACATACACCTTTCCGTCGACCGTACACTACCCAGATTCGTATATGAACGATATCCGCTTCGACCTTCGCTCCGGCCGGAATGTCGCATACATCGTTGACTCCAGCAACGAAGGCCGGAACGGCTTCATCATGCTCAACCTCACAGATGGCAGCTCCTGGCGCCGCTTAACTCAGCACCCTTCTGTTCTTCGGACATACAACGCCCTGCCAAGTTATCAGGGCCATCCGTTCTACTACCGAAATCCCGGCATGCCCATCTCGCACCAGCCGGAAGGTCTGGACGGCATCCAGATCACCCCCGATGGCGAATACATATATTACTCCCCTCTTACGTCGCAGAACTTGTACAGAGTCCCGACCGCTAACCTACTGGCGCAAGACACATTGGCTGAACAAGCCGCGTCGAACAATGTCTCCTGGCTAGGGCAACGGGGAGGCGAGGCCAATGGGTTTGAAGGCGATAGCAATGGACGCATATACATGCTGATGCCGACGCACAATGCGATATACTACTACGATCCCGCCGACCTGCAAATGCACGGGTTCGTACGTGATCCGAGGATATTATGGCCTGACAGCGCGAGTATTGGAGCGGATGGGTACTTCTACATGAACATCAACCAGCTGCCGTACCAAGATCAATGGAACAATGGTGTCGATTTGAGGCAGAGACCAGGAGCGATTTTGAGGGCGAGGTTGCCGGATAATGGGACGAAGATTTCGACCCTTTGATAGCGGAATATACTGCACCTGATGGAGTCTGGAGTCGTATGTGGTCTCAATACTAGCATACGGAAATTTCAAGCCATGCGGCATTTGAATCGATCGAGGTTCATATGTCTGCCCGCCTCTTACAACCTTCTCTTCAGTCACCGTGGCTAAGTTACTGAATTGCCGTGTCTGACACGATATAACCTTAAAAGGTCAATGTTCTCCTTTGGATCCCTAAACCTCAGCATGCCTCCAAAAGTGAACTCGCGCAATGAGTCTGTGTCTCCTTCTGCGCCATCTGTCTCAAAGACCCTTCAGATACTGGGTATGGCCTGCTGAGGGCCAACATATCAACCATGTATCGCGTTCGGTCGGGATGTGCCCACTTGTCAGACAGTGCCCCCTTTTGCCTTGACGACGCTAGACACTCCACACCGCTGTACTTGATTTCATGCTAAGTGAATGCACTCTGATTCTTCTTGTATTTGATCCTTCTCGACAGCAATAGCCACCTGAACGTAGAACAGAGCCAAGCAACATGAGTCCGAAGCGCCCAACTATACAACCGGCCAAACTGCTCTCCTCCCGGACTCACCAAATCCCCGGCAAACTCCTGGTCACTGAGCTATTCTTCTCCGTACCCCTCGACCACTCGAAGCCCCACGGCGAACGCCTCAGAATATTCTGTCGCAGCGCGCGCAAATTCGAAAAGCCCGCTGGTCCCAAAGCTGCAAGTGCCGACGACAAATTGCCATGGTTTGTCTACATCCCAGGCGGTCCAGGCTTTGGATGCCCATCGCCGCAGAATCTGCCTGAATTTACGAATGAAGTTCTGTCCAAAGGGTATCAGGTAAGTCCTGCTTAACTCGGTTCTCATCGAGCCTGCTGGCTCCAACTCCCCTCTCTCGCTCGTCGCTCTTGTCTCAGAGCAAAGACTGTCTTACGTATCAAGTCGATTACTGTCAATCAATATACTATTCGCAGTTTATGCTGACAAATGGTAACATAGTTCCTCGCCTTCGACCACCGGGGCATGGGCCTCTCGACGCCCGCGACAGCCGAGACAATCACATCCAGAGGCTCACCTGCACAACAGGCAGAGTATCTGACATTCTTCCGCGCCGAGAACGCCGTGCGCGATCTCGAAGCGATCCGCTTGTGCTTGACGTCCGACTATCCCGAGGACAAGAAGAAGTGGACGATAATGGGCTCGTCGTACGGCGGCTTCGTCTGCCTGAACTACCTGTCCTCCTACCCGGAGGGCCTTCGTGAAGCATTCCCCGTCGCCGGAATGGGTCCGATCACCCAGTCCGTGCCGGATGCGCCGATTGAAAAACTGTTCCGGAAAGTACTCGAAAGGAATGCGAAGTATTACGAGAAATACCCTGAGGATAAGGAGAACGTGCGCAAGATCCTTGGTCTCATCGCTGACAGTGGTGTCGGTGGGATCAAGCTCCCCTGTGGCGATGTCCTAAGCGAGGCGAGGTTTCTTGAGATGGGATTGTACCTGGGCTTTCACGGCGGAATTGATGCGATCCACGCAATCGTGGTACGGGCGGCAAATGATATTGAAATATTCGGCGGTTTAACGAGGCCGACTCTGTCCGCCATTGAGGGGATGAGTGGGTTCAACGATCATCCACTTTATGCGGTGTTGCATGGGAGCTTGTACGCGCAGGGAAAGCCGGCGAAATGGGTGTTTGATCGAGTGGCTGCCAAGTTTCCCGAGTTCAGCACGGGATTGCAGAAGGAAAGGCATGAGGGGCCCCTGTTCACGGGCGAGATGGTTTTTAAGCGCGCCTTTGAGAACCACGGGGAGTTGAAGGTGTTGATGGATGTCGCTGAGATATTGGAGACCAAGCAGGATTGGGACGAGCTGTATGATCTCGAGCAGCTCAGGAGGAATGAAGTGCCCGTCTACGCGGCCATCTTTGTCGATGACATGTACGTCGATTTTGAGTACAGTTTGGAGACGGCGAGGATTGTCAAGGGGTGCAAGACATATGTGACCAATACCCTGTATCATGATGCGCTCAGAAGTCGGACGGGGGATGTACTGAGGGCGTTGTTTGAGCTGAGGGATGATAGTATTGATTGAGCAGCGCTATTCCGTATGTCATTGACTTGAATAGACGGTCTACCGGATCATGGGCTCATTAGGCTAAATTCATTCCTGATCTGCCCAAATCTCACAGGCGGAATAAGTCTGCAGACTAAAATTCGACCGCGGACTCACCCTCTCAGCGACGTCTTGCTCCTCCACTTTCCGTCGCGCGATCAGCCATGTTGACAATCTCGCCAATACCAGCTGCTTCCTGCTCATCTTCCAGATTACGGATTTCTTCACGGCAATCCCACCATCTCTCCTCGGCTTGTTCGAACGCGGCTTTGCGGAGTTCTTTGACGGAGTGGCCTCCAGAGGTATTCTGAGCTTCGAGCACGAGTCTCTGCCAGTCTTCCGACGTGCGCGCGTAGAAGTCGCGCAGAGACTCGAATGGGCGTGGGAACGGTCTTGAGTCCTGTGCCGCGCTGGTTTCGGGCTCAGTCTCTGTCGCCGTCTCCGCTTCTGCCGGAGGAGCGGTGACCTCTGTGGGTGTTGTAGATGGTGCATCCACGGATATGGCATCGTCGTTTTCTTCATCTGTGTCCATTTCGGAATCTTCGTCGTCTTCGTCCTCGTCCATTTCTTCGTCGCTGTCTTGAGTGGCGACGTTCCAGTTGACGGGTTCAACGTAATATAGTTCCTTGACTCCGTCGAGTTTGCCCAAATCGACCGCATATAGGTCTGAGAATGTGATTTCAACGTCTTTCTTCTCGAAAGTGCCGCCAAACATGTACAATACATCGTCTTGAACGGTCAATTGCGCGTTGAAGCGCGGATGGGGCATTTCGAAGCGTACGGGGTAGACCTTCTTGGTGGGCTCTGGGTCATTGTTGGTTTCGTCATGGCTGTTGAGTTTCAGCTCTTCAATCTCGGATATCGTTCCGTTGGTTTCCAAAGCTGCAAGGTTGCGTAGAAGCTCCTCTTCATCGGCTTTGCCTCTGTCTCTTCGTGAGGCTTGGACTTGTTTCTTCGCACCAGTTTTAGGTCGTCTTAGGATGAGCGGGAAGAAACGGTTGCGATCAATATTCCAGATGAACATCTCGTTGAAGAACTCGCTGTCGATGCCTTCCTCGCTTTCTTCGACATCGTGGACACCACCGAACATCACGCCCCGACCTTTGTGAAAGGACATTGTGGCTCCAGCACGAGGTGGGTTCGGCGCGTTCGCGGGTCTTTTGCGCCGCTCCCAGCGTAGTGAAGGAGCCGTGCCGCTAGGAGCGTCTGTAGATGGTGGAGGGATTCTTAAGAACCAGGTATCTTGGTGGACCATTGGTTTGAGTACGTTTCGAACAAGCGGTCCTCCACCTTTGCTTTGCTTGCCGCTTGTTGCAACGGCTTTGACCCGGGAATAACCACCATACAAGACAGCTCCAGACTCGTGGGGGAGGAAGCTGAATGATGATCGAGGGTCGGGCTTTTGTGTTGCTGGAGGAGTTTTCATTTCGTACCAGATGTTCTCTTTGCAATCGTAAATCCAGGTATCATTGAGATATTTGGTCTGCTGTGAGGTATCCTGGAAGCCGCCGAAAAGGATAATATAGTTCTTGAAATAAGTCATTCGATGGCCACTTCGGGCCGGTGGGCTTTTGCCCTTCCCTCTGGGTTCTAGTTTGGTCCATTCCCGACTGTCGGTGTCGAGATGCCAGAAGTCGTGATAATGGTAGAACTGGTTTTGCTTCGGCGAGGAAAATTCGCCGCCCGAGATGTAGATACCTCCAGTGTTACCCCCTCGACAGGCGGCATGGCCGCTGCGAGGAAGAGGGCTGTTGCCAGAACTCACTTGATGCCAGTCACCTCGATCGATGAGATAGATAAAGAGGTCGTTGTAGAAAGATGCAGTGGTACCATCATGGTACTCGCCGCCAAACAAGAAGAGCTCATTGCGATTCGATGGTGATGCTGTCAACGTACTGGCGGATCTCGGTCCAGGAGGTGCGCATATTTGTTCTGTGACCTTGAGAAATTTAGCCTGCTCTTCAGCATAGGCTGCCAGCACCGCATCGAGATCGACGTCGTCATCGACATCAGAGTCAGCGTTGAGCGTAGCCGCCTTAGCTTTATTCTTCTTCTCGCCCTTTGAGGCTTTCTTGGATTGCTTTGCTAACTTCTGAGCCTTTTGTTCGGCAGATTTAGCTTTCTTCTTTCCCATCGTACCTTAGCAAAGGTACTCGAAAACCTCGACGGGAGCCAACTAGTGGTGATGTCCGAAGGTCGGGTGATGAGTTGGCATTGACTACAGAGGTCTGGCAAAGTCTCTTCAATGCTGGGTCATCTTTCAGAATGCGTCAATAGTTACCACAAATACCTGGGCTTCATGCGTGTCTTGTCTGATATGATGGTGAACTTGGCCAACACCATGTAAATCGAGTTGAAAATTGATATCACGTGCGACCGCATCGATTTCGTAATTACATAAGCTTGGCCCTTCAACGCGTGTTGCCGCAGTTCACGCGTCGTTAGCACTTCGATACCCTGCCAGCCTGGTCTGCCTGGTCAGTCGTCGATAACTGCGCAGACAAACACCGCTTCCCACCATTCGCTATCAGCGCCTCACACAGCCTGCTCAGGACGCTCGGTATAACAAAATGCGACGCCCCTATGACCAAGAACAACCTTAGCCAATGTCTTGCATGGCTTCTGCAACATCCACACTCTTTTGGTCCTTTAGAGCACATATCTGTTGCCGCCAACACCGCAGTTGCACAGTACGATGAGCCAGCAAATGATGACATGGCGAGATTGCAGTTTGCACCACAAATCCAGTCCCGGTCGAAATTGCTTCTTCAACCGAACCACAACAATGCACTGCCTACACCAGAACCCTCTCGAGCTTCCGAGGAACGTAAACCCAGTCCGAGCCGAACACGACCAAAATTCGAGACCCCTTCTGCCCATCTGCAATCTCCTCGACCACGGACACCGGTGGGAACTTTCGAAAAGTCGAAGGATATCCTTGACATTGACGAGATCGATCTAACTGGTGACATTACGACTTCATCGTTCGGAGATTTTGGCCCACCTACTCGCTTGTGGAGGGAAAGCTCTGCTTCAAGGGTAGAGCCAGTGTCGAAGAAGAAAGGGAAGAAAAGAAAAAGTGACGAATACCAGTCGGATCTCTTCTCCCCTAGCTCGGCCCGCAGTACAAGTAAGCGTGTCAATAAGGCCACGACATACCGCTCTGCTGGGCCATTTGAAGGCAGTCAAGGTCGAATACTTGAGGAATACCAGGACGAAGAAAGAGATAGCCCGACACAGAAGCCCAGGAGAACGGACGTCAATGAGGAAATGAAAGAAGAAGAAGAGTTTCCTGATGTTGGTTTTGAGGAGGACATGGAGTTTTACGATGCTGTTGACGCCGACATCGATCGAGAACTTATGCGAACGCCTCTCGAGGACACCCATACCCGCAGAGCGCGAAAGGTTGTGCCGGACTCAGATGAAGAAGATGTTGATCTCGTAGGTATTAAGATCCAGTCGCAACGTCCAATCAAGAACGAGTCAATGGAGAACTATCAGCAAGATATTGGTCTTTCTCCCAAGCGGTTCGAACCGACACAGCACAAACTGCAACTATCTCAGCCGGACAACTTCCTGAAAGTTTCGCAATCACCTTCAAGGACGGTACTGCCTACAACAATCCATCCGGGTCTTGCTGGATCTTTTAGCCCGAAGCGTGAGACGACTTTCAAGAGTAGTGGGAGCAGCATCGACCACAACAAAAATCTGACCGAGGATCAGCAACGCGTCGTTGACAGCTTCATCAAATCGGGGCTTGAGCGCTGTCAGGGTCTCTTGGAACGGCTGGAACAATCTAATCGTTCTGTGCGAAGTGCAATAATGGATGCAATTATCTCGGGTGACGGTGCGTCTGAACAAATGCAATGGACCTTAAAGGACATTCACAGCAAGATCACAGCTACAACCCAATTGCTGGAGGAGCACGGTCTTCTCAAGAAGCTTCTGGACAAGCAGAGTGAGCTATCGAGGCAGCGTTACGAGCTTGAGGCATCCAAACAGGAAATCGACTTCACAGATCCCACAAATGCGTTTATGCAAGTATCCAACAACATCAGAAGGACGAAGCTTGACATCGACAGCCACCAATCGACAGTGCTGAAGCTCTTGGAAAATTCCGGGGTAGCTATGACGAGCGAGCCAGCACCGTCGGCTTCGACCAACAACCCTCCTTTGTCTCCTTCGACAAGCTTGGCTAGCAAAAGTGTATTGGTCGCTTCCACGCAGAAAGTACCTCAGCATGTGTCACCACGCAGGAAATATGACGATGCACAAGATCTTGCGCACCTCTCAACGCAGTCTGTCAGACAGACGCCGGTCTCGCAACGAATCACTCCCGTTGACAACAGCTTTGAGCCACAAAGTCACCGTTACGCTGCGCCACGAAGCTCGCCTCAGCGTGCAAGCGTCCCAGTCAAGCCATTGCAGCGTCCTATGTCCACAAGGACCATCCCAAATGTTCCCGAATCACCACGTCGATATAAAAACACTTCTTATGAAGACGACGACGCCTATGATAGGGGCTTCTCCAGGACCATGGGTAGTCCTCCTGCAGACTTTGCGTTCAATGATGATGACTTTGGGGACGATTTTGACGATGACGAAGAGATGTACAAGGCTGCAGAAGAATTTGAGCAAAATCTGCCCATGGTGCGAAGCACGCCACCTTCCTTGCGTGGTCGAATGGCCCTTGGCGAGGTCAGCGAAAACATCCGCAGAAGGTCCCCCCAAAAGCCGACATCTAGAGGCGACGACTCACCTCATGCCAGACTCATGCAATATCCATGGTCAAAGGATGTGGCCTCAGCATTGAAGAAGAGGTTCCATCTCCAGGGTTTCCGCCACAATCAGTTGGAAGCTATCAATGCAACTCTGAGCGGCAAAGATGCCTTCGTGCTGATGCCTACAGGCGGCGGAAAGTCTCTCTGCTATCAATTGCCATCAATTGTCCAAAGCGGTCACACCCGGGGCGTCACAGTAGTAGTGTCTCCGCTACTGAGTCTGATGCAAGATCAAGTAGACCACTTGAACAAGCTCCGAATTCAAGCCGTCCTGCTCAATGGCGATAGCAGTAAGGAGGCTCGAAGTTACCTGCTTACAACCCTGAAAGGCCCACATCCGGAGCGATTCGTCCAGCTTCTCTACATCACACCCGAAATGTTCAACAAGAGTCAAGCCATGGTCAGAGCATTACAAGATCTACACCAGAGACAAAGACTCGCTCGTATCGTCATCGATGAGGCACATTGTGTCAGTCAATGGGGTCATGACTTTCGACCAGACTATAAAGCCCTGGGTGAGCTCCGCAAGCAGTTCAAGAACGTACCGGTCATGGCTTTAACTGCAACCGCCACGGAGAATGTCAAAGTCGATGTTATGCAGAACCTGGGCATGGTTCATGCGGAAAGGTTCACCCAAAGTTTCAACAGACCGAATTTGACTTACGAAGTGCGGCCTAAGGGTAAAGGCCCAGCTGTCCTAGAGAGTATCGCCGACCTCATTCAAACGTCGTATAGTGGGCAGGCCGGCATCGTGTATTGCTTATCCAGAAAGAACTGTGAGACAGTTGCCGAGAAGCTTAGGCAGCAATACAACATCAACGCTCAGCACTACCATGCAGGAATGTCTTCAGACGAGAGGATCGATATACAGAAGAAGTGGCAAGCAGGGAAATTCCTTGTGATCGTGGCCACCATTGCGTTTGGGATGGGCATCGACAAGCCGGATGTTCGCTTTGTCATTCACCACACGATCCCGAAGAGTTTGGAAGGCTACTATCAAGAGACAGGTCGAGCTGGACGTGACGGCAAAAAGTCGGGATGTTATCTCTACTACGGATACGGCGACACCATGTCCCTAAAGCGGATGATTGATCAGAGTGATGGCAGCGATGAGCAGAAGCTCCGACAAAGACACCTGCTTCGGAATGTTGTACAATTTTGCGACAACCGCAGCGACTGCCGCCGAAAGCAGGTCCTGAACTACTTCAACGAGCACTTCGATCCGATGGATTGCCAGAATGGCTGCGACAATTGCAACTCCACCAGTACATTCGTCACAGAAGACTTTTCTGAGCACGCTCAGCATATTGTGCGGCTTGTGCGGAAAATACATAGTGCTAACGTCACTTTGCTCCACTCTGTCGATGTCTATCGGGGTGCGAGGCTCAAGAAAATCGTCGACCTCCGACATGACCAAATTGAAGAGTTTGGCATGGGCAGCGACCTGGTCAGAGGCGACGTCGAGCGTTTATTCAATCGCCTGATCTGGGAGGATGCGATTGGGCTGTCCCACCAAACCAATCGTTCCGGCTTTACGACTGAATACGTCCAGCCTGGACCAAATGCCAGCGTATTTGAACAGGGACGGAGGCCACTGAAGATCCAGGTGCTTGCCTCGCCGCGCAACAAGGCACAAGCTCAGATATCAAAACCCCGAAAGACGGCCAAAGGTAATACTGGCGTGGCGGCGGCGGCGGATACTTATCCGGCTTCGACAAACGTGTCGTCGCCGATGCAATCTCGGCCTTGCCGCAGGGCAGTTGCGCGCAGGCAGACATCATACTCCTCTGATGACGATTTTATCGCGCAATCTAGTGAGGAAGAAGACACCATTGCCAGTCGCCGGGCAGTCAAGAAAGCCAAAGCGGACTCACGCAGCGCACCAATTACAAGCGACGAAAGTATCAGCAACTTGAACGAGATCCATCAGTATATCCTAGAAGACTTCGTCGAGAGAGCCAAAAAGGACATTGAGCGTATTGTGATTGCGAAGTCCCTACGGCGGAAGCCGATCACCGATCAAATGCTACGAGACATTGCCATCCATTTCTCACAAACTGAGCAGGAGATCAAGAAACGGACAAGGCTAAATGACGACATGTACAAGATTTTCGGACCGATGCTGCTTCGACTGATCACCACTGCCTACAATAATTATGAGGCCATGATACGGGCGCAAGAAGACCCACCGGAAGATCCTAACCACAAGACAGTGGTGATGATCAGTGACGACGAAATTGAGGGTGACGACGATTTTGTGGAGAACGACGTTGACGTGGATGAGAGTGAGAGTAGTCACTACTTTAGTGTAGCCGATGAAGTCAGCCAGTTCAATCAGCGAAGTAAGTGTCCCCGTAACTGGAATGATCGTCCGCATCTAACGAACCACAGTGACACAGATACAAACATTCGACAAGGCATCAAAACCTGTGTCGAAGAAGTCTGAGTCGCACTCAGGATCGGGTTCCTGGAGTCGTCGAGGAGCTCGAGAATACAGACGTGGCGGCGGTGGTAGTGGCAATGGCAGTGGTCCTAGAACAAAGTTGAAAGGACCAACTGGCGGTGCGAAGAAGAAACGTGGCGGTTCTAGCGCTCGTTCAAGTACCAGCACTGCAGGGTTTGAGGCTTCTGTCTACAGAAACGGTAACAGGATCAGTCGGGGTGGAGGGGGCATTGGGATGATGCCTACCTGAACCAGGGATTTGTGGTTTGTGGATGGGAAAGTATCGATAGAGCAGCTCCCAACGACACGGTTGGTATTTTCTCTTTTATGTCTTATGTTTATGACCGCTCAATGCGTTCTGATCAGTTCAACATCTGGAAACAACTTAGAGGTCGAATACACGCAAGGGGAGTCTCTCACTCCTGCCATCTGAATACCGGGTGACTGCTCTTTCCACACTCGAAGCGCGACCTTTTCATTCACATCGCAACTTCATCTTCAACCATCACACTTCTCACCTTCGGACAGGAAATCCCTTCTCTTCCATCTGCAGCCCGAGACTCCTGTAACACGCCCGGACTCCTCTCACCTCATTTCGCCTTCGCCCTCTCTATTCGCAGCCCGGAGTCCTCCAGCAGCCGCCATCAGGCATGGCACTGATCCAGTCGATATGCCGCTCGAAGAGATCAATCCCAATGTACAAAGACGCGCCTCTCAGAATGACAGCAAACCAGACATTGTGGCTTCTACAACATCCACAGCCTCATTACGGTCCAGTGCCGTTCAATCCATGCTGAGAACAGCCACTGAGCTGGGTGACACTGGACAGTTCGCTGTACGACCACCAAGAATTCCTCGTTCCGGCTCCCGCTTGCAATCAACCAGACCACGCTCTGGCTCCTTCGATGCCTCCTTTGCCTCGCAGCTTCGACATCAACGATCTCCTCATCGAAGGCAATCTCATCGCCGTCATGGGCCGCGGCCAATTCCATCATCTTCTGGTTTGTCTGGCCGTGAAACAATACACTCAAACTCGGCATCACATCATTCTGGGTTACGGTCGAAAAGAGCAGGTCATCTTCATCGTTCTCAAGGTCTTCAAGGGCTCGGTCATGGGAAACATGGACTATACACACACCGATCGCTCATCACGCTCCGCAGCCAACGGGATTTTCAAAGTATGCATTCCAATTCGCCAATGTTAAACACTGTCCATCGACGAAGAAATGGCCACCGGACGTCGTCCCCTGCTTTGAGCGAGTCACAGTCTTATCGGCATGCAATGAGACCTGGTTATCCAAGAGTAACAAGCGCATTTACTGTCAATTCCTCGCCGAGTATGCTCTCCACACGTCCACGAATGCCAGGATACCGACCAGAGAATAACTCTTGTTCATCCTTCGCACGATTCCCTTCACCAGCGGTATCCTCAATGACAGTTCCGAACGCGTATCCCAGTCATATAACCAACACACCCATGTCCATTTCTTTGCAAAACGTTCGAGGAACGTGGAACAACAGTCAAAATTCACTAAGGGGGCTTCCAAAATCGCCAACCGAGTCCACAGGTCCCCATTACTATGACTACTCGGAGTCTTTCCTTGACGAAGAGGACTGTTTCTCGCCTGTTGCCGAAGAGACCGTGGCCAATCCTCCCTTCACTATGGATCAGACAATCTTGGAAGACCAGCTGGGACCAGACCGCCGCCATGCACAGTCGCCCTTTGGAACCATGCAGGGTTCGGTCTTCAGACCTGCCGAGCTACCAACCAAGCATAACCGAAGAGCAAGTGAACAGTCCAAGTATAGTTACGCTGGCGTGATTCCACCACGGAAGTCCAGCCTTGGCGCCACCACAACCCCGATCAGAAGTGGAAGTACATCTCAAAGAGTGAGTGCCTCCTGAGATCTCCCAGTCAGTCTTCATTTACTGACGACATGTGCTCTTAGTTGATTCAAAGGTCGGCAACAGCGGATCCTACAGTTCTTGGGAGAACCTCAAAGGAGGAGAACTACCATCCCCGAACATCAACCGCTTCACGCCGCACTGTCGGCTCCACGCATGCCAGTGCGTTCTTTCCCAATGCTTGTCGAAGTCCCCGTGACCTCACTACGCTTGCAGCTCGGGTTCACTCGCCAGTCTTTGATGAGAAACCTGCGACCCGCGCCATATCCGACACAGTCCAGGCTGGCGATCAGCCTGACCACAATACCCAGCCTAACGTGAACGACGTTCACGCTCAGATCCAGCCAAAATGGGAACTGCCCTCTTTCAGCTTCCGACCTCTTTCCTTTGTTGCGCATGCAACTGAGACTCGAGAACGGCCAAAAACCTCTAGCGCTGCTCAACACAAATCGACGATCGAAATTCTGTCTCCGATGCCTGAACGCCCTATGTCCTCTCAAAGCAGAAAGAGGTTCAGTCGCATATTCGAGATCGAGGAAACCTTCTCGGCGGACAACGACAAGGTAACCTCCACTGCGCAGACATTCGCCCGGCTCAGCGCTGTAAAGGAACAGCCAGATCTTCAGACTCTCGAAGCCGCATCGGCTGCGTCACCAGAGTCTGAGAGTGACCGCATGTCCGGCCTAGATGACGAGGACGTGCAGGCTCTACCGGCCGATCAAACGCATCCGGGAGTCAGTGCAAGGTCCAATAATGTAACCATACATGAGAGGTCGACCGTCGAGTCACTCTTAGACCAGCACATCGAATGTCTGGGACTGAACGAAGATGCGACTAGTCAATTCGAGACTAGCGATGAATCTGAACAATCTGATGTGGCCGGCGAGTGCATTGCCAATAGCGCGGTCAAAGTGTCAGCCATCACCTTGGAATCCACATCCTACCCAAGTTTCAGGCCAACAACCTCAAGTTCGTGTCAACCTTCTAGCCTCACCAGTTCGGAGAGACGGAAATTGGTGCCTCGACGTCTCTTTGCCAGTATGGATTCAAGACTCTCTCCTGGAGCCGCGCTGCAAAACTCCCCAGAGACGTCTTCTGGGCAGTTTTCCTCCGCCATATCCTCCAGCATCACGACCGGACACATTTCTTCCGGTTGGCAAACACTTCCTTCGACTAGTGGACTCGCCTCAGCTCAGTCGGCTACTAAGGCTTCCTTGACATCAGGAGATCTAGCAGATATTGACTCGGATCCTCCTCTCAACAAGTTCAAAGTCAGGAGAATTTCTGACATGAGCGCCAGTACTTCTGGCTCTACAAAGGAATTGCATGATGAGGATGGAAATTTGAGTCCTCGCAAGACCTGCGCATTTCATCGAAGGTCCAAGAGCGACATGTTTGCCAGGCAAGAATCTCATCGTCGACGTCGAGCACGAATTCTTCTTCAGGCTAAAAGAAAATCCGTCAGCCTCGGGCACCTTGCGGACGACAATTCAGGTCAAGATCAGCCAGAAGCCCTCGGAGCAGATGAGGACTGGGAAACCACAGAGTCACCAGAAGACATCACCATGAATTCCCCAGTGACTGGATATGCTGAATTGAGTGGCGACTCGATAGTTGCGCAGCCGCCCACAATGGTTTCCGCGGGAAGTGTTCTGCTCCCATCATCGGTACCGAGGAGATGGACTAGCATGTTGGCTGCTATGCCTGAACCGGTGAAGAAGAGTATCGACGTCGTGAGGAAAGCTTCGGTCCGCACTGTTCGTTCCCACCGGAGCAATACCAGCATTACCAACCCTTTGAACAGTACTCGAATGAACTCACAACTACCACGTTTAGGATCGGTTCCCCAACTAGCGCCTTCAGATTTTGGACCACCTTTGACTTCGTCCAATCTCGATCTCAGCCTGCGATTGCCAGAGCCGCCTCGGATTACTCGCCCACCATTGCGGCAAGTTCAAAGCTTCTTCTCGGACGACAGCTCAGCTCGAGGCATGAGGCATGGGACAAGGAAGCGGTTCGATCTCCACAGCCTGCGGAGTGGTTTAACCAGATCTTCTGGCATGTTAGGGACTCGCGGGAGTACCGCACGACATACCCATACTGAGGTGAAACCGAGCCAGTCGTGCCAGATCAAGAATCGGAAGTCATCTGATTATGCGCAGTCCTCTTTGGGGGATACGATTCCCATGACTGACTTCGCATACAAAAAGCGCAAGGTGTTGGACCGCTTCAAGGACTGGTGGAAAAGACACGCGTGCAAGAGAGGCATCCGTAGGGAAGAACGGCGCGGACATCCACAATGATGTTTATGCATTGAGGTGAGCCTTCGCTGTACGGCGGCTCAATGTAACGTCAAAAGGGGTGGCTTCTGGGATGTACAAGTGTAGAAGTAGGTTGTATATCGTACTCGAGCTTGCCGCACGAGGAGTCGGCCACAGCGAGACAAAGTACGTAAGTAACTGGCTAGACTCAACTTCTGTCCGAAACCCCTCATACCATACATAGTCAACACCAGTGTTCGTGCTGCGTGGGTTCACCTTGAGATAAAGTCGGGTGTACAATTCTTTTTTGAAGTCTCCGCAAGTAACGGATATGCTCCCTGCAAAGGGGCGCTGTATGAAGACTAGTAGTAGCTCACCGAAAGAATTCGACTATTCGACTTCTTCTCCATAGTCGTGCTCAAGGCACGAAACCCACGATGAAAAAAAAGAAGCGACATCAGGAATTGGCTGATGCGCCGTGGACCGTGCAGCAGACGTACGGACTCGACAAGCACGATCCGAGACAATTCGCCAGCGAGTCAAGAGCATAATGCGCAATGTAATTTGCAGCTGCAGCTTGACTGTTGAAGGGGTTTGCTTAGAAAGGAGCTTGTCGAAGTCACGTACGCTGAGCAGATTTTTCTTGTCAGTGCCCCAGATCCCACATATTCAATGAGCCGAAGGATACTAGGATCCATCAACTCGTGTTGAACGAAATGAATCCCCCAGAGGCAAGTATATCCCTCAGATGATGGAACGGTAAGTCTAAGTCAGTACCTTTGGGTACGATTGAAGGCCCCCCGGATCCCACGTCTCACGCCGAACGAAATGAGCTAAAGCACCTCAGATCCCACATAACAAGCCACTCGTGAATGGAGCGGTGTTTAGAAGCGTTCGAGTTCGTGATGAAGACCTCTGAACAGATCGCCTAACCAGACGGTGCTGGCAGGATGTACGATTATACCGCATGTTGCTGCGTTTGTGCATGCCTCTGCGGAGCGTGTATGGTCGTCTCACAAAAGGCTTACGAGTTCTTGACTCTTCGAGTTCTTGACTTCTTTGAGTCTTCTTACTCTAGTCCTCTGCGAAGCATTTGTGCTTGTCTCACAGGAGGCTTTCGAGTTCTTGACTTCTTTGAGTCCTTGACCTGTCTGCTGATGACGTCTCATCGCAAGGTCTTCTGACTTTCTATGAGTCACGTATCTTCAGACTTTCTCTGCGGCGTGTCTGTGCACGTCTCGCAGGTTCTGATGCTTTTTCACCGGCTCTGCGTAATTCCACAGCAAGAGCAGTCGGTGTTCGTCTCCAAATCCTCCGGCGAAGTAGGCCGTCGGAATTTGCGAGATCGGCTGTCTCTGCAGTGCTTGTGCAAGACCAGATCGCACCAAGTCCATAGGTGATCAGCCTGATAGACTTGAGAATCGAATAATTGACGACTGGCTTGACTCGGAAATGGACAAAATAGTGACAACTTTGACGTTGAGGGTGTGAGTTTTGAGAGACCGAGCAACCTCCGCAGTCCGAAAGATATTGCCTTGACGTAAAGTTTCCGGTACTGGCGAAGTCCCATATCGAACTGGACGTCGGCTTCCTAGCAGAAGAGCAAGATCTCCTCACGGCCCCGTTGTTCAATAGTGACCAAAATTGACTCTGCAACGATTGGTGCTTAAAGATTGAGTGCCCAAAAATTACAATGGTTGTTCTTGAAGGCAATGCTGCAGCTAGTTATGCTTTCGCTGATTGTTCTTGACAGGCGAAGACCCCCCAGCTGGCCAGGCCGGTCATATCTTCTGGTGCCCCGTCGGTGGTTTTTAACTTTGTGCATCAGGCCTTTACATATGGCGTGGCAAAACCGAGACAACTGCTTTTCACACTTGCGTGGAGCATCGACCACCTTCAAGCTTTGACCCTCGACGATGTTCGACCACAGGTGGACCCATTGTCTCAGCTTACACACGTGACTGTGGTGACACGTGTAGACGTGAAGCTCCCGCGTACAAGACACGGCATGACCCTGTCTGCCAGCTCCGCAAACGGCCTTCCGCTCATTTCAGGTAATTTGTGAGAAGCGCTTGAGCTCCACATGAAGGCGGTCGCTGCCCAAGCAACGGTTCTTCATGACCAAATGATCACTGCCAAACTGTCTCACCACTCTTGAGACAAGCCGCATATAGGATGAACCAGATCCTCAGAAGTACTCGCCATCAACATAGAAGGTACCATGTGACGACAAATAAGTCTGTACATCCAATCATCCTAGCTTCAAGTGTTGTATGAACCCAGCATCTCTTCTCGGTAACTTTGTGGGAGAGCAGTATGTTCTTAGTCACCACTGGAGGACAGCAGTTCCTCTTAAATCGAAGGAGGATGGTCCGCAGGAGTTGGCCTACGAATCGCCAACGACTCAGAAGAACTGCCGGTCCTCACTCGATTGGGGAATCGAGCTGCGTCTGAGGTATCGAACTCTCTGGTCTCCCTAAACTTTTTGACAACATGCACATGGGGATTCATGTTGTCACCCTTAATCGAGGCCCCGTGAATTGTGCCGAAAGAGATGGAATCGGAGGAAAGGAAGGACTGTATGACGAGATGGAAGGCAAAAGAGCGGAGAGAAGACAGATTCGAGGTGCGAATCGGCTGATAACCTGGGCACGAGTGTGAGGAAAGAGAAGGGAAGTCGGAGAGCGCGAGGAAAATAGGAGATTGATAAAGAGCAGCTCCGAGCCATCGTCTTGTCTTGGCACCGAGAACTACCACGATACTGCACCTTTCGAAGCCAAGTACAGTACTCTGTAGTGGAACTCTGGTATTCTCCTAGCAAAAGGGTGCTACCAGACTAACAAGGGTAATTCCAAAGGACTCGTGGCGGCTCGGGCAAGAAGGCTCGACCGCAGCTTCGAGATGCACCTCACGACAATGCATTGCCCAGATTCAGCCTCACAGTATCACAGCCTGACAAGGGTGAGTGTCTGCCTATCGTGTCGAGACATGATTCGCTGTTCAAGATACGAGCAGGGCGCTCTTCTTCTGTTTCTTCCCCCAGCGCACCTCCTCCATCCTACTTACCCATAGACATGCAATCGCATCAAGCGTAACGTCCAATGTCGCTCCCGGATTCTATCACTATTTCGACCGCTGTTGTTGTGGAGGATGAAGCGAATCCTAAGGTGCACGTGGCATCAGGCTGTGAGCCGCATCGGATACCTCCAGACTCGCCCGAGCCTTGTCCATTCCGCCTCTTCAAGATCGATGGCTTTGCAACGGACAGTACTCTCGACCTCACCTTATTGGAAGGCGAGCCTTGCCACAACGTGAAGGAGCATGCAGCTCTCTCATACGCCTGGGAAGGGCAGACGCGCGACCGCATTGTCTACTGCAACGGCCATCAAGCTCTTATCACCGAGTCACTGCGGGCGTTTCTTACTGTGTTACTGGAGAAATACGGGCCCAACAACTTCTACTGGGCGGATCAATTGTGTATCTCTCAAGCAGGATCCAGTGACAAGGAGCGCCAGATACCATTGATGGATACTTATTTCTCCCAGGCGCAGGAAATTTTGATTTGGCTCGGGCCATCCACTACCCTGACAGACCTGTGCTTCGATATGATGACCGATGTCGTCAAAATTCTTCACAAGCCTATAATCAACCCAGATAGCTACATTGATCGACATTTCCTAGGAGCTCTGGGTTGCCGACCGGAAGTGGAGGATCGGTTCTGGCACGGAGTGAGTGAACTTTGTAACCGGGTATGGTGGCACAGGGTGTGGACGACGCAGGAGTTCATTTTAGCCAAACGAGCAGACTTCTATTGCGGATCACGCAGTGGCAATGTCAAGGAGCTTTTAGAGGCTATCATCGAAGCCAATGATAAGCGCCCCATTTTGGCCTTGATGGATATTGAATTCTCAGTGATGTTGAATGTTCTCCCTTTGGGCTTGCTGGGCGAGTTCCAGCCGCGCAGTTTGGGTTTGGGCTTGCCTGTGGAACTACCTATCTGGTGGCTTATGCAACTCGCTCGCGGGAAAAAAAGCTCCCAGGAAGTCGACAAAGTGTTCGGACTCCTCAGCATCTGCCGCACTGCTGCTCGAGATAATCTCAAGGTGCGGTACCAAGGAAGAGGATATTGGACTACATGGATCCGGTGGGCTCATTATGGACTTCAGGAGGATCGGGGATGGAGGCTTTTGATATCAGACCCGTGGCTAAGACATCAGCACCTCCCGTCGTGGTGCCCGAACCTTAATTCGCCTCATTCAACCACTGAGGTTCTCTATTGGCATTTCCAGGCTGGTGACCCAACCGAGGTGAAAGACGAATCTTCGCAGTGGCCGTTCCCACTTGCTGTCACCATCGATGAGAAAGGGTTGATTTGCAATGGTCTACTTGTTGACACAGTCAAGGAGGTCACTAGACTACAAATTGGAGAGAACGTCGACGGTGGTGAGCAATATGGACCTCGCGATGTCGACGAACCCAGAAGGTATCAGGCAAGCAACTTGGTCCCGTATTTGCAGCGAGCCTGGGTCCTGGCTCACAAGCCGTCTGATAAGACCGAACGAGCATTCACTGACTATTTGCGTACCATCACGAATGACCGAATCCGAGATCCGGACCAAACCCGTCCAACTGACGCCGAATTGGGCCAGGCATTTCAAGCACTTATGAATGACGGAGAAGGCACTGAGAAAGAGAAACAGATCAGAACCCGTGGTATCATAGGTCAGATCGAATTATCATGTAGGGGAAAGTCTTTCTTGACTACTGAAGACGGCATGATGGGCATCGGACCCCTTGACATTGAAGCAGGTGACTTGGTATGCATTTTTCCGAAAGTCAAAGTACCGCTGATCGTGAGACGTGCAAACAAAGATGTGCAAGGCAAATCCATCCAGCCGATCCAACTGGAGGCAGGGAAGGAGCATATTGGGTGCATGTTTCTTGGTCCTGCGTTCGTTCAAGGAATCATGTATGGAGAAGCATTCGAGTTATGCGAAGAGAGGGGCGTCCAAGATCAGTTCTTCACCATAATTTAACAGCAAGGACGGACAAGCGAGACAATCCGAGAAGATAAGTGCGCAACGTCATGAATTCATCATGAAGGAAAATGTAGGGGGTATCAAATATCTCACATCCTCGTCTGCATCTCCGTCCTGATAGTCTCACACTCAAGAACCCGAAACCACGAACGCCAGGCCTTGTCTCCCGTTGCCACTGCACCGGCCATATCTCCTTATCACTCCCAATCCTCCTCATCACTCTCATCAATCTTTCCGGGGCTCTTGCCCACATCGTCCTTGGGACTTCCCGGCGCTCGACTCGTCGCTCCACTGACAAGGTCATAACTCGCATCACTGTCCGCCACGGACTTTTCATCGTGCGATCTCCGTCCCTGGCCCTCCGGCTTCAGAGAACTTGGGTCTTGTGGGGGCGGCGGCGTCTGATGCAATGTAGTCGAGCTGTCGTTCGTGTTCTGCGCAACTAGGACTTTGGGCGCTTGTGCCGTCCTTCGCTCCTGTTCGTCGTCCGAGTCCTCATCCCAACCGACTTCCTCTGTAACGTTTGTCGACGCTGTACGTGATCACTGTTAGCAAAACACAAAGAGAGCCGCCATAAGCAGATCAAGACAAGACCACAAAAGGGAAAGACATACCTTTCAACAACTCGCGCCTCTTCTCCTCCTGCACCTCAACCACATGCCGGAGAAAGTAATACCGCGCCCAGAAGTCCTTATACTCAACACTCTCCGGCACCAATTTCTCCATCGCCTGCCTCAACTCGACATATCGCTCTAGATCACCCGCAATCCTGCCCGTCATCTTCTCCACATCGAACCCCTTCTTAAACTCTTCCCACTGCCCACCATTCGTGCTGGGATCTTCCGTAAAACTGGCGAGTGTGGTATGAATGACATGCAACTGCGCATCGAACCGGCTCGTATGGATCACCCGCTTGCCCGACTGATCTCGACTCTCGAAGAGCACTTCACCAGACTGCTGCTTCTCGTCATCCTCCGGCGCCGACACACTCACAGCATCGCGAAGAAAATTCCGAATATTTGTGCCAAATCTCAACAACGCCTCATCTGCGGCATCCTCAGCTCGCTGCACCTCCTTAAGACGTTTCGCAGCCTCGTGCTTGAACCGCTCAAGGAACGTCTCAGTCTCTTGGTCTGTTTTGTTGTGCTCGGTCTCGCTCGCTCCCGCCTCGCCTTCTGTTGTCGGTTTCTTCTCCCTCTCAACTTCATCTGCAGCCGAACCCGAAGCTGTTCCCGCCTCGCCATCTTTTGCATTGATATTGAATCCTAACCCCACCACCTTCGTCCTCAACGCCTCGACTTCATTCACCATCTCGGCCGCCTCTTTCCGCGCCTCCTCGTACACAGTCTCCCCTTGTTTTCTCACATTGCCCCAGAACCCGCCCAGTCGCGCTCCCCACGCGGTATTGCTAAAGACTTTGACCGTCTCTTGGAACTCGGTCTGGAGGGTGCTGGCTTTAGGTGTGGAAGAGCCTGCTGTTGCTGATGTCGCATTTGGAGCGGCGGGTGTCGGTGTTGTGGCGCGGTCGCCCGGCGTGAATGTCTGTTCGGCTATGTGGTCGTATGCGAGATCCATGGTGTTGCGTGACCAAGTGGGGGAGGTCGTAGCAGAGGAGCCACAGGGGAGATTTCGAGCACTATTGTGTCGAACAGTGACCAGCTTCGTTGGATTTTCGAACGTATCAGCACATTGGCAAAGCACCTGAGGGATAGACCTGAGTTAAGGGCGAATATGCTGACCGTCGAGGAGGATCAGGGGGTCGACATGTCACTCGAATGACGTAGCACGTGATATGGCCAGGAAATGTCATGCCGCTTTATTTCACCAGGTCTCGAGGTCTGTTTCATTACATCGCGAAGCTCCATGTTGTCGATATGTACTGTTGGTATGCTCAAGTGTTATCTACGGCTCTTACCGAATGTTCCATAGCTCTGCTTTGTAAGGTAATACTATATCAATGCAATTGTGTTGCTCCTTCATGAGCAGGCTCGACTGTAGTAAACATATCTGTCATGCATCTAATACTCGAAATCGTCATCAATTCCTTTGCTCTTGTTCTCCTTCGCGACGACCTCTTGCTTTCGGTACATCTCAGCAATTGCCATTGAGGTGGTTGCATCTTCAGGCTTCTTGTCCTCCCTCTTGTGGATGAACCGAGGAAATCTCAAGCTGATGCCGTTCTTTCCGCCCATCTCATCCATCGCAGCGCGGTAGCGAGGACTCAATGTAAGGTCCGCTGTCTTGACTTCCCATACGAATCGAGGCTCAAACCATACATCTGGCTGGTCGTTCTTCACAGTCGAATGAGAGTAGAATGGCTTGGGCCTCTCGATGATGATATCAGACAGCTCCTTGTGGAACTCTTCCAGTATTGCTTCCGAAAAGCCTGTACCGATATTGCAGACTGATTCAAACATCTGAGTCTCCGGGTTGTACGCAGCAAGTAGGAAAGCACCGAACCATGATGTTCGTTTACCCTTGCCGTGATATGCGCCAAGCACGACCAGGTCGAGAGAGTCACCAACTCCGTTGAGGTAATCCTTCTTAACTTTGAGCCAATTCCGAGAGCGTTTGCTCGGCTCGTAGCCTGATTCTTCCGTGTCCAACATCTTCACCATCAAACCCTCACAGGATGCTTTGACGGATTCATCCAGGAGGTGCTGAATTTCCTCGACGTCCTTGGCGTCACCATATTGAGCGAATGCAAACTCTCCCTCAACTGGCTCAAAGGCGTCATGGAGTAGTTCGCGTCGCTCACGGAACGTTCGCTTGACGAGTGGCTCGCCATTGAAGAAGAGCATGTCGAATGCAAAAACGCAGACCTTGACGGTGACTTCGGAAGTCTTCACATCCTTCCGCTTCCGAGTCATCAGCTGCTGGAACGGCAACACTTTCTTGTTCTGAGGATCCCATGCCACAGTCTCGCAGTCAAGGACGAAACTTTTCGTAGAGGGCTTGATCCAGGAGTTCAACTTTTCCAGAATATCAGGATACTTCTTGGAAAGGTCTTCGGAGTTCCTTGAGAAGATGGCTGCCAACCCTTTGAAGTGCTTTGGGTCTTTAGACAGAGTGTTCGCTGCAGCTGGAAATTCTGCCATTGCTTCAGGCGCCACGTAATGTATCTGCGCTCTCTCGCCATCGTATTTGTATTCACAGGTGAAATTCTTGCCCTCAAAGCGATCAAGGACCTCAGTGATGGATTTGGTCGGTTTGGCAAGCATAGGTTTCAACGGCACGCCCGGTTGTAATTTGCAGCTTTCATGAAGGTTGAAGATGCCGTGTTCTAGCATGGCCGGGATGATGACTTCGTATGAAGGCAGCTCACTGTATACGGTCTTCAGCTCAACTTCGCCTTTGGCTAGCTGGTCTGTGCTGGGAATCTTCCCATTCTTCGCAGCTTCGTGAGTCACAACCGCCTGTGACAGTGCTACAATGACGGTCTTCTCTGCAAGCCCCAGTCTTAATTTTCCTTCGAGGAACCGAACAAGGAATTTGGCTTCCGACGGGCCACCTTTGTCTTTAGTGATATCGACGGTCTTGCTTGCAGAAGAAACATCCGCAGCAGCCATCAACTTGTTGATAGCTCGGACCTTTTGATCTTGCGAGCCATGTCCTTCCATCTTGGCAATGTCCAGGAGTCCTTGATGGACGCCTCTGACGGTCAGTGCCTTTGGTTTGAACATCTGGCCCTGCTTGGACTTGCTCTTTGCAGCAACCAAGCCCAAGTCACCGATTTTCTGATGATCTGCTTTGATGACTGACAGCGAGCGACCGGAGCTCTCTCCGATTGCTTTCATGATAAGAGACTCCCCAATACCAAGTTCTATACCTGCATAGTCAGCAGCAAGCTTGTTCAGCATAAGCTGAATGGTGGGAAGGAGGTCTTGAGGAGTCAGTCGTAACACCTGTTGCAAGAACGCTGAGCAATAGGCTGTGATTTGAAGTCGTTTCGTCGTAAGCTCGACCAAAGAGAAGGTCGTGCATAGTGCTGCGTATGGCACGGGATCGCCAGCTTTCCAGTCTGGATAAGGGTTCTTGTCGGTTGATTTGATCGTAGCTTGTATCTTTTCCACCTGTTTCTTATTGACTTTCGGCTCCTCGCTTTCGCTTGACGAAGACACCTCCTCCGGCTCCGAAGGACTATGCTCGTCGTCGGATTGGGCTGGGTCATCTGCTTCATTGCTGGTATTCAGTCCCTTCTTCTCCAGCGCAGCAGTCTCTGGCTTCCGTGTTGCACCATTTTGTTTCGTGGGTGACGTCTTTCTTGCGTCTCTCGAGCTTGATCTTGATGCGGATGTCCTTCTTCGCTTCTTGAGAACAGGTTGATCATCTGAATCCTCTTCCTCTTCTTCATCCCTAGAGACATCCCTGGTATGTTTTCTTTTTGGGGACTCGTCGGTTCCTTCTCTTGCAAGATCGGTTTCGGCGTCTATCATCTCCGCATCCGGGGAAGGATCATTTCCATTTTCCGCAGCTGGCTCGAGGTTTCCGGAGGCAGGTTGCTCTTTATTGGCTGGTTTCTGGCCGAAGGAAATTGTAGACTGCGATTTAGCCTTCGTGCCATTCTGGTTGTTCCCAAGAAACTTGCTGCCCACAGTTAGTGTTGCCTTGGAGGACATTGTTGAAGCTCGACTCACCCGAGAGTCGACTGTCTTGCTTGCGGCATTGTGAAGTCGTTGTGCAAGACCGGACGACTGACCAACGAACTAAACGATCGAGGTCGATGAAGACAAGTTGGCGAAAGAGTGGTGGGCGTGTGGAGTGCGGAAGGAGCAGTTCTAAGCAGACGACATCTGCTAGAAGACAAAGGTGAACAAAGTGCGGCCTGGCTTACTTTGGCACAAGTTTTGCGCATCAATTGCATTCAGTCGTCTTTTTGATCGCCTCAAAGACTCGCTTCCTCCAGTGACTATCAAAAATCAAGTCGCGTCACGGTCTCGACGCGCGAGGTCAAATGACGCAAGTAATTAAGCTGATTACGCTCCTGATTCGCTGGTTTGCCAAGGCTGCCACCGCAGCGGCCACTGCCTTAGCGCGTATCAAACAACGGCCGAAGCCCGAAGCACAAAATCATCCTTCTGACTACCAAGTCCTGCCGGCTGGCCGCTGTTCACCAACAGCTTCCAGGAGCACGTGGGAGACAACCCAAGGCTACGCTGTACTGGCTTGCATAACAGCACTGTCCACTGTGGTTACGAGTCACCCGGCTTTCGCATGTTGAGGTTGAGGAAATCAACGATGTCGTCCACACCTTGAGGCTCGTTCAACCAGTGACCCCCGTCCTTGTACTCGTGTACCTGAACGTTTAATTGTAAGGAACAAGGAGTACATCCCGCATTCGCCATCCATTCTCGATAGGAACAGTCTCATCATCGATTGAGTGACCGAGAAAGATGGGAGTAGACCGGAGGAACGGCGATAGTGGTTTCTCTGGGGCTTGGTGCCCGAAGTACATCTTGTGAACTGCACTTAAAAGCTGCTCGTCATCTGCACTAACTGTTTTGAGGTCGTCGACAAGATTGGCGAAAGGCATCCAGCTGCAAAGGCCGATTAGACCAGCGAACTGTTGGCCATCTGCGAAGAAGGTAGCCAGTGCCGTGGCAAAGCCCTGGCTGATTCCTCCCAAAAAGATGTTTTGTCGAGACACAAAAGTTTCTTCGGCTCTTATCACCTCAATGAGGGCGGCAACACTCTGCTTTAATCCTTCCGTCTGGATCTCGGCTCGCTCCTCAGGATCTTCGACTGACCATATATCGAACCATTGAGACATGGCGGTATCGAACCGTTTCGAGTGAAGTATCGGGGCTGTCGGGAAGACCCATCTGATGCCTGGGAACAGATCCGGAAGAGTACGAGGCTCCCCAGCATGCTCGGACGCCTCGCTCTCGAAGAACTCGTCCGCAAATTCTTGGCTATTACTGTCTCGGCCGTGGAGAAAGATGACCGTGTGCGTGTGTCTGCTCGTCTCTCTTCGAGTAACGACACTCATATTGGCAGAGTGGGTAGGGGTACTGTTTAGCACGATCTTGAGGCGGTGATGAAATGAAAAGTAGGAATGAGATGGACAAGTAGCAAATGATAGCGTGGAAAAGTCCAAAACTTATTACTGTGTATGCCCAAGGGAATCTGTCCTGAGTCATTCCTCTGGAGCCTTGAGTTCGGTACCAGAAAATCCTGTTCGCACTACATCCCGGTAGACTTTGCGATATACCCATTGAATGGTAATTGTTCCACCCAATAAGTACAAATGATGGACTCGCTTTGATTGGTGCTACTTTCAAGGTTGATGACGAGGTCATCTCCGTATCAAACAATAGGAATGCGACACATGTATCAAGTGCCAGCCAAGATGGCCAGAATGCAAGTCTCAAATGGTAGCCCTGGAGGCGAACATACTGTAGAAGGAGAACATCCATGTTGTGGACTCCATGCTTGATGACACCCTCAGAGTGGAAGTGATTGGCGAATCATTGTTGCTCGCCTCTTTTTGGCATGGTTAAGGAGGCTGAAGCGAAGCAAGGATAACTAGGACATGGCCGCTACTTGGACCAAAGTCAACGACGTTCTTTTCAATGAATGCTCTCTCGTATTAGCTATTCAGCCTATCTTCAGGCCTATTACAGCAAAAGCTGATGCGTTTTGCTAATGGGGTATGGTTCAATTAATCCGTACATCGTTAAAGCTTCAACCGGCACCTTGCAATGATAATGGTTCAGCCAATCGTGTCCCTTGTGCTGCATTGACCATTCTCTCGCCTAAAAGCGCTGACGCGAAGCAGTGCCGTCCGATCGTGGGGTATCAACAATGATTTTGCAAGCAAATTCGAAAAGTTCCAAGAGTGTCTCTCACTCTGCGACATTGTGGTGTCTTCTCTTCACAGCAGCATAACAGCAGCGAGACCTGCAACACCCACGAGACCATTGGCCGCCACGGTGACCATTGGTGCAAAGTTGCCAGAAGCAGATGAAGCAGCCGAAGAAGCCGCACCTCCAGCGGACGAAGTTGCTGAGTTACCGGCCGAACCAGCTGCGCCTGTAGCACTGGAAACACGCGAAGAAATCGAGCTGCCGACCGAAGCTGCAGAGGATGAGGCGGACGCACCGACGTTGGAGGCAGCAGATGAAGCGGACGCGGCTTGAGAGGAGAGAGAGGAAGCGACGCTGGAAGCCGAGGCGCTTGCACCAGAGGCTACAGAGGATGCACCTGAAGAAGCGTTTGAGGCGGCACTGGAAGCACCAGAGGCAGCCGAACCCTGCAAAACAATCAGCACGCCGTCCACCAAGGTTGTTGGGGTTCAACTTACTCCTGCACCTGCAACGACACTGAAGATGGTCGAAGTTCCAATTGCGCTCGTGATTGTGCTTCCATCAGATGTGAAGGTGCTGAACTGAGTCTCGGTGGAGATTGCGCTTGAAGAGGTACCTGCACCACCTGCACCACCAGCGGTGCCAGAACCAGTTGCTGTAGCCGAACCAGAGCCACCAGCACCACCAGTCAGGGTAGAGATACCACTTGCAGATCCAGCCGGGCCACTAGCAGTTCCAGATGCAGTCAGAGCGGAGGTTGCAGCGAAGTCGCCGGAAGCAGTAGAAGCAACTGCGTAGAGTCAGAAACTATGAGATGCTCATTTTGGGGCTTGGGCAGGGAAACTCAGAAACTCACCAGAGGCACAATAGCTGTTACCATACGCGATGATGGCAGCAACATTGGTATCCGGTGGGCAAGCCTGGTAGGAGCAGTCGCGAATTCCGAAGCCGAAGTTGTCGTTTTTGCACAGGCAGGCGACATCAGTTGCGGAGCAGCCCAAAGCTGCCGCCTGACCAAGCATGTTGTTGACGCAAGTTTGCTGCAGACGCGGTCAGTAAGGAAGATGAGAATGCCCAGATGAGATGACTTACACCGCATGGTGGCAGGTCGGAGAGAGATTGAGCAGCGACAATGCCAACAAGGGCAGCAACAGCGGCAAGAGTCTTCATGATGGTGGAGAGTTGAGTGGTACGCGTAGTAAAGGGTATTGCACTAAGATGCACGGTACGTGAGTTGTGGTTGAGGAGCAGGATGAGAGAGAAGGACAATCGATCCAAGCGGAGTGAGGAGTGATGTGAAGAAATGGTCGATGCGCAGAAGTGACAGAAAGGGTTTATGAGCAATTGCTGTGACGGAAGATCAAGGAAGTCAAGCTCCAGGTACGAGAGCGTGAGTGACGGGCAAGTGGAACCGGTCAAAGCAAGTGGGAAGGTGAAGGACAAGTGAAGGAGAGTCTGAGAGCCAATTGAGAAGCAGCGGTCAAGGAATCCAGCAATTCTCTTGCGTCAGTGCCTAGACAAGTAAAGTACTCCCGGTAAAGTCCAGCTGCAGGCACAAAGAAGAGGCTGGACTGGTGACCTTTAGGCATTTGTTTGGTGGTCTGCCCAGTCTGATCTTTAACAGCTTGACAGGCATTGTGGGACAGAATCATGGCCGGGGAAATCATGATGTCGTGTTGCAGTGGAGAGCCACCAATCATTGCTTCACTACCCCTGGTTCTCTCCCCCATAGTTCAGCCACATCTCGCTCGGCTCGCAGGACCCATTCCAAGCTTCAGAGCGAACAGGTGCAGCGCGTGGCGATCGCCCTCTCTATCCCCAACTTGCCCTAGCAGGATGCCATTCCAGCTGAGTGCTGCCACAGCAGATTGCAAGGTCAAGCCGTCGAACCCAATCGCAAGTGCTCGCCTGCATCACGTAAATCCGAGAATCCTGCTTCGGGCACTCGGCAGCCATGGCTACTCCCTCTTCTGCTGCATCGTGCAAATCACCTTCACTGTGGTAGGTCGCACATTTATCCAATACTGAAAGCACAACAGGCTGCATTGCATGCTCATCGTGGTAGATTTTGCGAAACCCCAGCCTGCAGCACCACCTGCCAGTACCACCACAAGACCTAATGGTTGAATGCCGGGAGTGACATAATAATGGTGCCGACAAAAGTGGGAAATTGGTCAAGGCACTACAGAAAAACTCCACGCCAGCCTGGTACAACCGACCACACAAACTGCGCGGGTAAAGGCTTCCTGGGGCAGCCGATGCAGCATTACTGCAAGAGACTGAGCGGCAGACTATTACTGGAGAAACAATCCGTACAGCTGGAAAGATCCGGACACTTGCAAGCTGATGCTGCATGTCGCCCAGTCTTCGGCTCCATGGACGCGATGGCTGACGGTGGACAGAAAATGCCGGGAAGCGGACAGCTGCAGACTTGCAAGACCAAGCATCAAAAACGACTCGACGTCAAGCTGCCAAATCATCAGGCCCTTGTCCTCACATGATAGCTACCTGGTTCCTAGCCTGCAGTGGCTCCGTCAAGCCTCACTAGCCCGTGCGTTGCCCCTGCCGAAGACCTTAACGGGAGAGCGTCCACACCAGAACCGAACCAACAGAAAGGCTGAATCGAAGCTAAAGTGCTTGCATTAACAGATCTTGGGAGCCAGCTCGATTATTGCAACCCCAATATATGCGGAGCTGTAGATGAATAATACTTCTACGGATAGCCTGATGACAATCAGACCGGTCCGAACTCGATGGTCACCCTTCTTTTCAGGATACTCTATCTCTTGCTCGGACTCGACAGGCAGAGAAGTGTTTTACATAAAACACAGTGCTGCTCCTGAAGCTCTACGGTACACACTTTCTTCCCGTCTCAATCAAACAGTTTGATTAACGGCCAGACTAATCAGCCTCTCAGATTAGGGGCCGTCCTTCCGCGACACCAAATCTGCTACCCGCCGTGAACTCGCCCCTTCAATTTTGCCATCATCACTTTCAGTGACCAGAAGACATGGGTGACTCTGAACAGTTCGATTGCGGCCCGAAAGGGGTTTTGGTTTTGAGAGCCGTAGCTAACATCAATTATTGAAAATTCGATATCCTAGCTTTGCGACTGTGACGAAATTTATTCATTTTCGACTTTCTGGTAAGATCGTACGGAGTATAGATCCACCATGGTCCTTGCGGCAGTCCACACATGTCCACACAAGCTTTGACTGCCTTTCGTTCCTTAACAGCCTCGACAGCATCATACAGTCAATGCAAAATCCTCTTTTTGGCGCATGATGATATCAAGCCCAGCATGGTCGCTGAGTCCTCTGTCAGCATGTTCCAGTTTGCCGGATACAGCTGTTCGGAGAATGTTGGATACTTTGGTTTCCCGCATTCACCAAATCTTTGATCGTGCCGATAGTCATGGCTATGGCTCGGCCGTAGGGCAGCCTCACAGCACTTCTGAGTCTTTCATAAAAGAAGATGGTACGGAGTATAGAGCAGCAATTCCATGTTCCCGCCATATTTTGTTCCTGGAAAGCCGCCAATAGCATCTGATCAGCCGTTCAATATGCCCCAGGCAGTCTGCTTGCTTCGAGTTGTGAAGGGTGATGATCGGGGTGGATAGGCCACTAAGTGCCAAGCCACATACAGTGCTGTAGTCACAATCAGGCTGTGGCTGAAGTCACCGGCAACTTTTCCTCGGATGCCGCTGGCTTCATCAACACCACACTTCGATTGACGATTTCGACAGGCCTAGGTATCGACCATTGATAACAATGCAATCCGTTACTGACGGTGCGGGTGACTGCAAATCCTTTCTGATGAAATTGCTAGTCTCGCCATGAATCCGTCAAGGCAACAGGCCTTTCTTCGCGTAAGGTCCTTCCGTTCTCAAGCCACTTAAAAGTCTTGCGCTGAAGCCCATTTAGCTGCGTCCACCATGCGTTGAGCTCAGCTCGGCCGCGCTGAAGTTCAAAGCAAACCAGGTCTCAGCCAAGGCAGTGCTGTTCGCTTTAGAACCTGTTCACCAGGCTTTGCAGTCACTTGCGGACGAAAATCTCCTGGATGAGAAATTGGCCGAATACGCCTTCTTCCCGTTGACTCACATTTTCAATCAGTCCAAACGGCTATCTTCGCCCATCTTGGAACTTGCAGTTCGGTGCGTGCACATTCTCGTATCGCGAGGATGGCGCGACAAGCTTCTTCCCGAGATGGCTAAGCAGCTGCTCATTCTGATGGGGCTATTGGTCTCTCCGAGCCCTAACCAACAAAGCGAACCTGCTTCAGATGAGCTCAAAGCTGCATCTTTCTCATGCATCTCGGTGCTCGTGATCCAGTCTGTACGGCTTGGAACGAACGTCCTCGAAGGAGTTGGTGAGAAGAGCATTGTGGATCAGCTCGTTTACCAATTGCTCGAATCATTGACGGAGACCCGATCTGACCAAGTTCAGATAAGTGCCGCTCGTGCTCTTCTAGAACTCAACAAAGCTATCACTGACCGGCCGTTGCTTGCGAGCTTGCTGCCTCGCACTGTCTCTACCCTCGTGAAGGTCCTACGACCGAGCACTGAAGCACGCCGGACACGAAAAGTCCTTGTGGCTTATCTTGACCTGTTATCGGTCGTTCTGGACAAGGTCCTTGCCGACATTGTTGCTCTCCGCTCAAATATGGAAAGCAACGATACCAAACAACCGAAGAGCGATCATGCCATCATCCTTGACGAAGCATGGCTCGATGCCACGACTCCTCAGATTGACATAGCGTTGGTTCAGGTTACCAAACTGAGAACGCATGAAGGTTCCGATGTCAGAAAGGCTCTTCTGGACCTTTGCCTTGTGATAATCGAGGACTGTTCGCAAACTCTAGCTCGCTCACTGCCTCTTATGATCGAGACACTCATTGTCCTTTGCAGATCTTCCGATTCTCCGGAAGCGGAAGCCGCTCTCAGACATCTAATGATATCAAGACCTGAAATTTCTGAAATACTCAGAGCTAAGTTCTACGACTGGTCCCAAGCACTGCCACGGATAATGCAGGGCAACGAAGACAGACCAAAACAACATATGCTTGGTCAAATTGCAACTTCATTCGTGGCTCTGACGGATGGTGTGGGCGGGACTAATGAGCTGAGCACAAAGATTGCGTCGGTCTTGGTTGATGGAATAACAGCTGCTATCGCTTCTACTACGACCCAAACCAGGTTGATAAATGAGGCACCGCAAATCAATACGACCGATCTCGTTCAGCGGTCGAGGGAGACGGATTGCGACTTTGTGGCTGTTCTACTGAACCACCAAAGTCAACGTGCTTCCACGGCAGAGATCAAAAAACTTGTTGACTCACTAAAGACCCATCCGTCCGCGCAAGCTATAGCGCGAAGCCTAGTCGACCACACCCAAGCTCCGGATACCAATCGAAAACTTTCGGCAACTTGGTTGGCCTTGAACTTTCTGCAGAGTCGTGGTGACGGCTTTTTGGACATGGACAACGTTTTCGATGACAATCCTTCAGACTTAGATCTGACACTTTCGCAGCCATTCCTCGTCTCTGACTTGTACGCGTCAACATTACCGTGGCTGCTAGAATACTCCGATTTCAACGACGATGATAAACCTGGTTGGCAACTTGTCGCACTGTCGCTAGAGTCACTCGTACTCCAGGCAACTCAGCTTGGCCAGTCATATCGGCCTGAGTTGATGGAAACTCTGTTTCCGGTTCTGACGCTACTTGGCTCTCGCAATGCAGTGCTTCAGCAACACGCAATGACCGCGTTAAATCTCCTAGCCAAAGCATGCGACTATCGTTCAGCTGCTCTGATGCTGATCGACAACGTCGATTATTTGATAAACGCAATTGCTCTCAGGTTGAATGCTTTTGATGTATCGCGAAATGGTTTGCAAGTCCTTGCTATGATGTTACGACTTTGTGGTGCAAGATTGCTGCCTTATCTTGACGATCTAATTGGGAGCATCTTCAGTGCCCTGGATAATTTTCATGGGTACCCAAGCCTCGTTGAGCAGCTTTTTGAGATTCTGAGAATGATTGTCGAAGAGAGCACCAAGGCTCCGGAAGTGCTTGCGATCGAGCCTGGACCTGCAACAGACCGACACTCCAATAAAGGATTTGCTGTGTCGACCGTGGAGGATATCGTACATGACGTGAGAGCCAGAAAAGAGAGAAAAAGCATGACCGATGAGCAACATGAGCAAACCACATCTGCACCACATCAACCATGGTCAAGTACCCTAGATAATACGAAAGCCACGTCAGAGGTGGAAGACGGCGAGGACGATGAGGCTGATTTGGAAGCAAGTCCACCCGCCTCGGCTGACAAGACCAAAGAGGCTCTACTGCCAAAACCTCACCAACTTTTGCTCAAGATCGCACAATCCGGCGTTCCACATATGTCGTCGCCATCTGCCAAGGTACGGCATACTCTTCTAGCCTTACTGCAAGAATTGTGTCCGCTTCTAGCAACAAACGAGAACTCCTTCCTGCCTCTGGTCAATGAGATATGGCCTTCAATCGTGGCTCGATTACTGATGGGAAAGGACGATTCATCGTCTGAGATGCCATACAACATTCAATCAGCGGCCGACACGATATCAGTCATCTGTCAGGCTGCTGGAGATTTCATGGCGAGCCGCATTGAAGATATCTTTTCAGATCTTGAAGCACTGTTCCGCAAATTCTCAAAGGTGGTACTCCCATTCGATAGGCCCCGAATTTCATCGACAGGAGTCAATGCAACAGGCACAAGTTTGACCACTTTGGATGAGAAGATACCTAACCTTGTTGGAAGGCATGAGGCTCACAATTATCTCGCTTCTGCTCTTTCGATGCTTGGAGCTACCAGGACTACTGATACTCAGACTTTCAATTCCCTGGTCGGCCTGATTCTTTCAATTTTAGACAACGTTCGAACCACTGAAGATAATATTGACAGAATCTTTGACATGCTGGGTCCAATTGCCGCTATACCTGGCAATGGGCGTGTCACAAGGGCATTGCTGAAACACAACGAAGATGCCGTATGGCTCATGGCGCAGCATGTGAATGATTAAGCGCGGAGACGGCAGTCAGATTCGTCGAGACGGACTCTATTTCGACCGGAAGCACGGAGCAGGCACGACCCTATTGAATTATCGCTCCGTTCCACCCTGTTTACTACGTGCTTGGTCTCCAGGCTCCAGCGAGATAAAAGTGCCGCCACCCAGCCGCCGCGCAACCGCGGCCAAGTGAAATTCCCCAAAACGGCTGGGTTCGGAAATCCCGGACTTAAAGAGTTTCCATGGGAGGTCAACTACGCCTTATCCAGATATTAAAAACACCGACCATCGCCATGCAACACCCTCTTCGGGATCCCGTCTAAGGTGGGACTACTGGAATCAAAAGTCGGAGATATGGTGGAATATAATTGTCGCAATGCGCGCTGGCTGGCGTTCGTGCGAGCACTCTTTCTTTCCCATCCAGCCAGACCCGGTCACCAGCGCCAGAACCGACCACGCTTCGCACGCTTCTTTGCACCAACATAAATTCGACAGTCCTAGGAACACTTTCGTCTTCGAAGTCTAATAGCTACTCCCTTAGACCAACATTTCGAAACTTTCTTCGATATGCCAGGCTACGCGCAGTTTCTCCGAGGCCAGATCCAGACACCACCGATGCCTCGAGTTGACTTGACCGGTCGTACGATTTTGATCACAGGCGCAAACTCGGGGCTCGGTCTTGACGCTGCCAGACTCTTGCTACAACTCAACTGCAGCACCATCGTACTCGTCTGCCGGACGATAGCCAAAGGAGAGCAGGCCAAAAAGGCCGTTCAATCGGTATGGAGCTCAGGCGGCCAGAAGCCACAAATCATTCTTCTCGAACTCGACTTGGGTTCTTTCTCGAGCGTGGCCGCTTTTGCCGAACGATGCAAGGATCTTCCACGACTGGATGCAGCTATCCTCAATGCCGGTGTCGAACCCTCCGAGTTCTCCCTGGCCGAGGGATACGAATCTACCATCACAGTCAATGTCATTTCCACATTCCTCCTCGCGACACTGCTTGTTCCAGTCCTCCGGCAGTCAGCGACAAAGTACAACATCACGCCCACCATCGCCATCACAGGATCCGCGGTCCACTTCTGGGCCAACGACAAAGACCTGACAACTCCGCCTGACGGCCAAATCCTCAAGACCCTCTCCGACCCCAAGAAGACGGACATGAAAGTGCGATATTTTCTCAGCAAACTTCCAGTCATGCTGCTTGTCAAATATTTCGCAAACATGTTGACTGCTTCCGCCGAACGAGACCCTACCGGCAAGCCATTGGTGATCATCAACAATGTTGCACCGGGATTCTGCTATACCAACCTCTTCCGCGATCATGGCGCTGCATACCACTTGTTGGTCAGGTCAGTTGCTCGTTCCAGTGAGCATGGAGCCAGGACATTGGTCCATGGAGCAACAGCAGGAAAAGAAACACACGGACAGTATCTGAGTGAATGCCGGGTCAAGCCGTATAGTCCGTTTGTCAAGAGCCAAGAAGGGGACAAGACAGCTCAGAGGCTGTGGAATGAATTGTCTGCGATCTATGAGGGTGTCAAGCCTGGTTGCACGAAGGAGTTGTGACCGTCTATGGAAGCTGGCGTCGGGGCGGGATGGGATAGTTTTAGTTGGAAAGAATGTAATAATCGATTTCAAATACCCCCCCAAGATACGACGGTCCCTTATCTGGCCATTGCAACGGCCTACCACATTCATGTCCCCAAGACAGGCAGACCGAATCTCTAACGATGCTTTAGGATGCCAGCAACGAATATCGTTCCGCCGTGGCAGATTGACAGACTTGACCTCTGTTTGACCTGTATACTTGAAGGCCCGCCCATATTTAGGCCAGATTCCCAATAGTCAGCTAATCCATACGTCAATATGGACAACTGGCTGAAGCATGTAACCAATTGATATACGGAGTTGTTCTGGTCGCGACAAGCTGGGCGTGATTATAATGTGGAGAATATGCGCTTACCTTTACTTATTCTATGTATAACACCCCAACAACGTTGGGCAAACATTCACCGCACTATAAAATCTACCAACAGCACCATCGACTAACACCAAGTCATCCGATTGCCTGGACACGATGGCAGCGGACTTCTCGTCGCTGACAGGTAAATTCCGCGCCAACCTCGACAGTCAAACCAACGGCGGCAACAACAAAGTCAGCAAACGAAACAGGCAACCACTATCATGCGCGCCGTGCAGATTGAAGAAATTGAGATGCGACCGTGGACACCCCTGCGAGACCTGCATCAAAAAGGGCGACACGGCCAGTTGTACCTACGGCAAGTCTCCTCTGATGACTTCTAGGTCGGAAGCCCTCAACAACGATGCCGCCTCTACCAGCAATCGAGGCAAGGCCCAAGAGCGTCTCCGTCATCTCGAAGAACTCGTCATGCGAATGGTCGACTCTGACACGACCGGCAATGGAATCGATGCGCCACAGTCAGCCGATGACAAGGACGACATGACGGCGGTGCCTGGAAACACAAACACAGATGCAAACGCGAGCATCGCCAGAGAAGGCCAAATGCAACACGGCAGCATCGAGTCACGCTACGCCGGCTCGACGCATTGGTCCGCAATCCTGCAAAACATCCAGGAACTCAAGTCTGCACTCATCAGCCCCGGATCTGCCGGTGAACCCTCCACCAACCTCGACCCTTCGCTCGACGACACCCTGGAAGCCGACGCCTCGGAGCGCGAAACGTTCTTCGGCTCCTCGTCAAGTCTCTCGCTGTCTCAGATCCTCGCCTCGTCCCTCCCGCCGCGCGAGCAAGTCGACCGCCGGCTCTCGACGTACTTTAACGCGCGATATATGGTGATCCCCTTCATCCACACGTGGCAGTTCCAGCGGCAGTACGAAATCTTCTGGAACCAACCCCTCGAGACCCCACCGCTTTGGATCTCGATCCTCTTCAGCATCTGCTGCCTGTCCGCCACCCTCTCCGATGCTTCTGGGTCTGAAACCAGCACGCCCGAAGACCAGCCCTCCCCACGTACAACCTTCCTCAGCGCGAGCTGCCAGTGTCTCCGACTCGGCGGCTTCATCCGGCCGAAGCGCTTCGTTGTCGAAGCCCTCGCCCTCTACACGCAGTGCGTGTACTTCCAAACTCTCGATCCCAGCGGCGAATCGGCCCTGGTATGGGCTATGCTTATCCGCCAGGCGTACCGGAGCGGATACCACCGCGACAGCAGCCACTTCCCCTCTACATTCAGCGTCTTTGAAGCCGAAATGCGCCGGAGAGTCTGGGCCATGCTGCGCCAATTCGATCTCATGTCCTCCTTCCAGCTAGGCTTGCCGAACCAGATCCCTCCAGGCAGCTGGGACACGCAGGACCCTCGCAATCTGCTCGACGCAGACTTTGACGAGCACACGACCGTCCTACCTCCCTCGAGACCCGAGACCGAGCCCACCCAGATCCTGTATTTCATCGTCAAGTCACGCCTCATGACGATTTTCGGCAGGGTCTGCGCGCATTCCCTGTCGTTTCGCGACGTCAGCCAGGCCGAGGTCATGGCTCTGGATCGCGAGGTGCGCTCCGTCCACGCCACTGTCCCCGATATCCTTCGCATCCGGCCGATGACCAAGTCTTTCGCCGATCCGAGCTATCTAGTCATGGTCCGAGTGAACTGCGAGTTTTTGTTCCAGAAGAGCTTGTGCGTGCTGCATAGGAAGTACATGACCGCGACCAACGCGAAAGGCGAATATACTCACCCGGAGAGCGTGGCGGCGTGCATGAATGCCGCGAGCGCGATCACGCGGCACATGCTCGATCTGCACAAGGAGTTCAAGCCCGGTGGGCAGTTGTTTGCGAATCGCTGGATGTTGACCAGTTTCACCATGAACGATTTCTACCTGGCGAGTATGGTCTTGTGCCTCGCCGTGAGTATGTGGAAGAGAAGGCACCCCGGCGAAAGCGTGGAAGGCCAGGCGGATGAGAAAACGAGAGAAATCCATGCCTTGCTCACGGCGGCGTTTGGGCTTTGCGAGGAACTTGCTCCGACTAGTACCGAGGCAAAGCGCGTCGCGGATGTGCTCAGGGTCGTGCTGGGACAGATGGATACAAAAGTGCCGTCGTCCAGTACGGTGGGAAGGACGACCACCGCCAGACAGGAGTCAGGAGCAGCAACTGGTGGAGGGGCAGGAGTGTTCGGTATGTTCCCTGTCAACGAACAGCGTGGACCGCCACATGGTCTATCCCACCAGCCCGGCGATGCGCCAGCTGTTTTCACGGAGGACCAAAACTTCAATCTCGCTCCGTTGACGCTCAATGACAATGGCCGAGATCCAGGGCCTTCGAACCTGTCGATGCAGGCGCAGGCGCAAGACCCGAATTACCACCTCGACGACTGGAACCCAGGACTCAACCCGTTCACTTCGTTCTTGCCATTCGCGCCGGCCTTCCAAAACGTGAACCCGAATCACTTGCAACCGCCGTACAGTACAACGGGCGGCGCGTCGTCGTCCGACTACCCCAGCGTCGGCATCGACACCGCCATCGACACCGACGGAACAGGAACAGGAACAGGAACCGCAACAGGCGGATCTTCGAACCTATCCGGTTCAGCGGTGGGACCGCAAGATATCGACATGACCGGCATCACTGGTATGAACGCGATGAATATGAATATGGACATCGACTGGGCATTTCTGGACCAGTGGATGGCCCTGCCGAATCCTACCAACGGGATACCCCTGGCAGAGAATCAGATGCTGTTCGACATGTCGAGTGTGCCGAGTGCGCCTTCTAAAGATTCCTCCCAAATACAACAACAGCCAGGGGGGGCCAGAGGGGGACTGAACGACAATGGCGAAGCATCCCAAATACTGCCAGGGGGGTTAAGATTACAAAACGACAATGGTGTAAATGGCTTGCTGAGTTCGAGCGCGAGCCAGCACCAGAGTACCTCCATGGGCCACGGGCTAGATCAGATGCCAGGCTATTGAAAGAGGAAGCCAGCCATCTTTTTTGTTCATAACAAATAACATTTTCCACATCTCAGAAGGAAAAATCCCGAAAAAGCCATCTGGGGTATCATATCATATTGCTTCCTTCACAAATCCCGGAGGAATTCCCATCCAGCCCAGATCACGACCATTTACGCCCTGCTGAAAGAATAATGTCCCCCTCCGTTATACCAGTCAACCCCGGAGATATACGATTCGATCCTCGCTCTTCCTTCCATCCTTTTCAGATTACCAATCTCATTTGCCTCCCGGTCTGGCACCCTGTTGATTCCTCGCCTTCCACGCCGTTCGGATCTCACCAGCGCTGGCCAGGAGATCATCCTCAGTGACGTGATCCTGAATAGACTCAATAACACTCGTATACGTGCTGACGTGATTGCCCTCCGTCTTGTCGTCACGAAACCGGTGGAAACGCCAACGTCTCGGCTCAGCGGACCCGTTCGTGCCGTTCATGCCACCATTTCGCCCGGACATGGGCATGGACGCCGAATCCTTGCTCAGATCCTCCTGAAAACACTCGACTATACAGTTCTGCAAAGGTCTAGCGCTGTGCTTCCATTCTTCCCACTCCGCGGGCTCAACATACATATCGGCAACACGGGCGTAGTTATCGTTGCCGTGAGAGATGTAGAGACCAAAACGGTTGGGAAAAGCCTGATAGTCGTCTTGAGGCTCCTGATCTGGTTCCTCAGGGTCCGGTTCGAACTGAACCCAATCAATATGCAATAAGAAATCCACCGTATTTTCTTGCGGCGGTTTCCATTTGAGGATGTGCTCGTCGGTGCCGAATTTATACGGCGTGTTTTTGCATGTGAAGATCAGCCCGTCGTTGCCATGCAGCTTTTTCACTTTGGGTATGATTTCCTTGAACATCTTTTCCAAGGCGTAACTGAATTCCGTAGCCTTGTCTTCGATGATGAAAGGTTGAACGATGTCGGGGTCTTGCTTCAACATTGCCTGATATGGTTTGAGGACGTAGGTCTTGCAATAGGCCAGCCTCTTGTCAAGGGGTCGTTGCATAAGGCTGTTCTTGTCAAGGACCAGACAGTCGAACACCAGGAATTTTATGACTGGGGGTCGGTCCGGATATATGTCCTCCACCAGTTCTCCATCGAGTATGGTGTCTTTGTGAAAGCGATGGAAGGTTGGGTCCTCGTGGTGTGGAAAATGCAGGCCAGGAACGTAGTAGTAGTCGTTTTTGCGGTCGATGAGGTAGTGGATGTCTCTGTCGCCATCTTGAGTGAGGTACATCAGATATCGCAAGCCATCTGTCTTTTCACACACGTAGTAGTCCTCTCTCTTCAGTTCTTGGATGTGCTTCGCGGCAAAGGAGACTGGTTGGGCGCCTGGGAAGGACCTGCTCTTGCGACCAAGCAACTCTGCGACTTCTGCCTGAAATTCGCGCTGAAGATCGCGTCCTGCCCACTGTCCACCGACTCTAGCAATGAGAGAGGTTGGGTCTGTATGAGGATCCATGTTGGAGTACGTGGCCGCAAGTGAAGGTATGAATCAAGGCATGGCACGATACATATAAGGCTGGTGTGAAAAGGTGGGTGTTGAGGGTGGGGGGAAAAAGCAGGGTCGGTGCTTTGGTCTTAGGTGAAAGGGTTCCGATCACTGGATTTTCAGCTGCCTCTGCACATGAAGGGTTCCTGTGGACAAGGGATGTTTGTAGAACAATGGACAATGGCTTGCGCCTGGGCCAGTTGCAGTTGCAGTTGCAAACCTTACGAAATGCAGATGCAGATGCAGATGCGGCGCGTTGGTCTTGGCGGCTGAAGCCTGCACCAGGTCACCAGCCTTGCTGGTTTAACTGCTCGGGGCTCGCGGGCGGCTCACCACGACCGTGCCGCTTTCATAGTCTCCTGACCTGGACTAGCCCTCGCCCGCCTCTCACCTCCAGTCATAGCAAATATCAAGAATGATGGCTTGTTTTGCGACGATTCGTATGCTCCTCGAGACACAGGCAGTGAGTTTATCCGCCCGCCATCCACTGTTCCAGATTCCCTAGAAAAGCTGAATGCTGGCGGACATCTGCAATGGTTGAGATGGGCGGCTCGAAAATGCCCTTCCATTATGTACATCCCATTCGTGTGCTATTCTACACCCCATTTCGTGTGCTAGTTAGTCTACCTCCCATTTGCGTGCTAGTCTGCTCCGTACATCCCATTTGTGTTCTATGTGCTACATTTACCTTGCTGCCACATTTTGACATTCTTGACCGTCAGACCGCGTTCGTTTCCCGTTCCCCAGCTCGGTTCCCACTCCGACCTGGCTAATTGATGTGTCAGCATAGATTGTGAGAGGTACTGTAACAGGTCACACTGGACTTACCGCCGTAGAAGTCAGAGGCTGCAGAGTCTCTTCCGTCAACCCATGGCTTGCTACCCACTCCGTCCCTGGATAACATGTGTCAGCGATGGTGAAACACAGAAGCAACGCTGCCAAAACGTACGAGAACCAGCCATTGCGACTCCCGACCGCAACATTGAGAATCAGGTAGAATTTTTGATCGAAAGGTGCATTCTTGTTTCCGCTGATGTACCAGGGCGACGTCAGTAGCGTGCCATTTTCGTATTCACCTTGGAAATGGCCGCGTTGCCAAAAATCCTGTTTCTTGAAGTCGACGTAGAGAACTTGCTGAAGTCGATTGTCGACCCATGTGTAAAGATAATCCTGTGACCACTCGAGCCCGAAGGTATGAAAGCCTTCGGAGTAGTCTGTTCTCTGAATCGTGTGTTCTTGTGTAGTTCTGTAGAACCTGTCGGTGTCCCACGATAAGCCTGACGTGAAAAAGTTTCAGTTCAACAAGGTCACTCTCGAAACCAAGACTGAGTTTCGCTCACCCCAATGGATCGTGCTTGAGACTGTCTCTCTTCCGCCGTTTCTGTAGCCACGTGCGTTACCGCGACTTTCCATAATATCAATCTCGCCACTCAGCGGCCAGATTCCATATACAGAATCTTCGGGCATCATCCAGATTGCCGGCCAGAGCCAATCGCCCTTTGGCACCTTGGCCACGACTTCGACACGGCCATACTGGATCGATTTTGCACCTTGCGTAGTAAGGCGCGCTGACCTCACGGGGTTTATGACTGCGTGTGAGGAAATGTTGGAGTTCCTGCTGCACTCATCGGCATAGTATTGGGCACTTTTGTTGGCTGTGCATGAACCGTCACCATGTTTTGTCTGGCCCAAGTTCAAATGGTAACTGATCCACAGGTTAGAATCTTTCAGCGGCCCAGGGCCCGTGCAACTACTGACCCATTGTGTATTTGGCTTTCAGTAATATCGGTTGTGGCAGTTGTGAAAGTGGGAACGATGTGAAGTCCATCTCCATCAGTAAAGGCGTTTCGGACATCAGTTGTTGTCCAGTCAAAGGAGCCCGTACCAAACCCGTCAAGTTGGACTTCATGACTCCAGATGGATTTATCGAGGGTGCTGAAGGAATCGTCTAAGACTAAACAATACTGCAAAGCAAAACTCGGTGTCAGTGAGCCACAGTCAGACGGAAAATGGGAAGCCGAACCTCGTGGTTGGGAACGCCGACCGCGATCCTCCAGTTCACAACAGCGCTGAGAGCTATCGCAAGGAGAAGCCCTCCAAGGATATACCAGTTCCCCTTGCGAGGCGCTTTGTATTTCTTGTCCGCAGTCCAAGGTTTCTCAATCCTGCTTTATGTCAATGATGCTCGAATGGTTAGATAGGGGAACAGAAGGAAGAGCAACTAACTTTCCGTCCAGCAGATAAGTCTTGAACTCATGGTTGCGCGTACCGCTCACCCGATAGCTGTTGAGGCCTCGGAAGGGATCCTCCTCAGAACCGTCTCGGGTACGATTGTAGCCATAGTTCTCTATCGATGCGACCTCGCTGTTGCTGTGACTTGGCCTCTGGGGACTTAGATGACTTGCTTGATACGCTGCATAAAGGAAGTCGGGGTCATGAGAGTTTGCGATCGGCGACGTCATCGTCTCTCTCGTCTTTGCCCGAGACTGACTGACACGCAAAAGCCGTAAAGGTGACTGCGAGACAATGATAATGTAGCGGCATTCAACTTTTGCGTAGAGCTGTTGTTGGCAGTTCACCAAAATCGATCGGCGTGGGTGGCGACTTTCATGTGCTCTTGCAGACTGTCCTCATGAGACACGCTCTAAATTAGGACTGGCTGAGCGTTACCGGTGTGCGAAACTAGCTCTGGAAACGTTGATCTCGCGTTACTGGAGGCGCATGTCCAGCCATGCCAGCCACAATATTACTACGGTCTCATGGATAAATCGTGTAATGTAACTCGCTTAACCGGGGTGCCAGACAACTGCCGCTTGAATCGGCGAAGCAGCAGTTGGCATCGCATTGAGAAGGAGGCCTTCCTGCCACACAAATTGCCCTCGCTGCTGTTTGTCGTCGAATGGCACCCTGGCGCTAAATTACACGATTTACCCATGAGACCGTAGTATGTACTCTCGGTGCGTGAACCCTGTACAATGGTCAATTGGGACAGTTCAGAAGTTGGCCGTGAAATTAAAACCCGTTAGCGAGGAACTGAAAACCAGGTTCCAACAAGATAGAGAAGATTCTTATCGCACATGAGGAAGGTGCTAGGCGATGTCGCCTGAGAAAGCAGATACAATCCTTGCAATGACTCTGAACGGTGCTGATCCGAGTTGATGATCCTCTGACTGTGAGATATTATTGGTAAAGCAGGCAGAGTCATGGTGGTGATAAGCGATATCGATGATGACCCTCTGATTTACCCGTGAGACCATAGTAGGTTTTGCGTGGCGAGCTGATGATGTGCTGTAACTGCTGTGTCGGCAGCCCAGAGGTCCCATGAATGGCCTGAACCAGGGTGTAAACCAGAGATTGTACTTCCGACACCATGCAGTGTCTCAGCCCAGAAAGTCTTAGCCCCGGGATCTCCAAGTTTGCGCTGCGGGAAGCCTTCTTATCCGGGACTTAGCACACCAAAGGTGGATTGCAGTAAGAACACATCCAATCCAACTGTCGTCTAAGCGAGATGCGCAACGTTCAACGGCTGAGCTAGATGCCCGCGACCATAGCCTTGAAATCAGACAATGCGGGACGCGACCATGGTCGAAGGCGAGCAGAAATCTTGCATCCGGACAAAGTGCGTAACTTACATGCGTGAAGTCCACGCTTCGCACTCAGGGGTCTCCTTGGATGGTAGCCGGTACGCGAGATAGCGAAAAGCCACCGTCTTTTTCTGGGAACAAATCTTCTCAGTTCATCTGTAGTTCATCGTTCTTATTTTTGACAAGGCTCGGTGCACTCGACATGTCAGGCTGATGTAGAGACCAAGCTTCTTTGCTTCTACCAACAAGTTACAACACCGATGGCTTCACTCTCGGAGGCAGGTGCCTCTACGCCTCTGCCGAGACCTCCGTATCTGCATTTTTCGCAGTCGAACTCTTCAGGAGTGTCCGTGTCAAGCCGCCAGAGCAGGCGCCTGGACAAAGCCAACTTCGATGAAGCACTGAGGCACAGAACGGTAAGAGCTTTCGCAAATGCTAGGAACGCTGAGCTAATCGAGTCTTAGATGACAAAGTTCCTTTATGGAAAAGGTGTTGCCAATGGTTGGTTCGATATCAACCTGCCAAAAAGGCCACTCGGTGTCCTCCTGCGTCAATCCAATGGCACCTACAGCGTCGAGCCACAGGACCTCGAGGAAACGCCGGTTCGCACGGTTGCAAGACTTGGCGTTCAGGCAGCTTTTGCCATTGCTACGGATTCCACAGAGGCCATCTTCGATGTCATTGGTGACGAAGATCATGGAATCATGCTTGGTGATGGCCTGGAACTCCAAGTCGTCGACTGCATGGCCAACCTCATGCGAATTGGGCTTGCTCAGGCACGAAGATTTCCCTACGCGGCATTAATCAGAAGCGAGAGAATTCTTCTAGTATGGCATGACGAAGTTGACAAGGTGTTGCAACAAGCGGTCGCCACGGAAGAGGAATTGATGAAACTGGTGAGTTCCGACAACCGAGACTGGTGTATGTTGTCTGCCAGCCAGAAGAGTGCTGACTGAACATTAGATATGGGGGGCTGCTTCTTTCAACGCCGCCCATAACACATCCAGAGCTCTGACTGCGAGTTCTCTAAGCGTGTGGGACAAGTCGAAGAGGGAGAGATTCACAACGGAAGTCACAGAGATCTCCGATTTGGAAGAACAAGAGCTCGAAAAAGAATCCCTCGACCGCCCAGTAAAGCTCTATGGCGCTATCATCATGGCTTGTTCGATATTCTTCCTGGTCTTCCTCATATTCGGCTACACCACATCTCATCTCGTCCTCGAGATGCTGACAGACGGCGATCGCATGCGATTCGTCTGGATTGCCTTCGAGCCACTAACCCTAATCGTGGCTATGTTTTTCTCTCTGTCTCTGATGACTTATGCCTTCCAGCTTTTCGGACCCATCACTGGCCTTTTCACCAACACACGATTCTTCTCAAGCAACAGACCGAACCTCAAGCAAGCGTATGATCAAGGATTTACTCCTCCACGAGTCACAATACAAATGGCTGTTTACAAGGAGTCAATGGAGCTGGTCATTATCCCAACGGTCCGAAGTTTGATGGCTGCGGTCTCAGACTATGAGTTGAAAGGAGGAAAGGCCAATATTTTCATCACGGATGATGGCCTCGGATACCTCCTTCATAGCGACCCTGCTGCCGCACAAGCTCGTATCGAATGGTACGAAGCCAACAACATTGGGTAAGCATCATGCACAGCTGGTGGCAACGTTGTCCTTTACTGACTTTCACCACAGCTGGGTAGCCCGACCAATGAACGGCGAGAACGGATACTTTCGTACCGGGCGATTCAAGAAAGCCTCAAATTCGAACTTCTGCATGAATTTTGCCAACAGGGTCGAACGAACTCTCACAAGACTCGTGCATGCCCACAGCCAAGTCAGAGATGGAAGCCCAGTCTTCATCGACCCGGCGGAAGAGGACGTTCTCTATCACCAAGCTTTGACCGAAGAACTGGCTAAGGATAGTCGAGTCAAAGCCGCTGGAAACATCCGTATAGGTGAAGTCATCCTGATGTGTGATTCCGATACTCGGGTTGTAAGTTCATGGACATCTGGCTGCGAGTATTGAGCTGATGTGTCCCAGCCAAAGGACTGCCTGATCAATGGGGCGGCAGAAATGTTCCTCTCGCCAGAAGTCGCTATCGTGCAGCACCATACGAGCGTCTTTCAGGTCTCCGGCGACTTCTTCGAGAACGGTGCTACTTATTTTGCCAAAATGTGTTATGCGCAGATTCGGTTCCAGGTCAGCAATGGTGAATGCGCCCCCTTCGTCGGCCACAACGCTTTCGTGCGCTGGAAAGCGCTCCAAGACGTCGCAATAGATACTGGGGATCCAAACTACGTCAGTTACTGGTCGGAACAGCATATTTCCGAGGATTTCAACATGAGCATTCGACTTCAAAGCGCCAACTGGGTCACTCGATACGCTTCCTATCATCAAGACGAGTTCAAGGAGCAAGTCTCTCTTACGATATACGATGAAATCAGTCGATGGGAAAGATACTCTTACGGCGACAGTGAACTCTTGTTCAATCCCATTTGGACGTGGCTCTGGAGAGGTCCTTTCACTCGGTTATTCAGGAAATTTTTGTTTTGCGATATGCATTGGTCTTCGAAGCTCAGCATTATATCTTACATGACTTCATGTGAGTATTGTCACTTGCGGATAGTGGACTTGCGAGCTGACACCCTTGTCTCACAGATTATGCCATCGGTAGTGGCTTCTTCTACACTATCGCCAACTATGTTCTGGTCGGCCTTTACTGGAATGAACTGGACAAATTTTACACCTCCTCATGGTCCATCTTTCTCTCCGTGGTCCTGGTGTTCTGGATCCTCAGCAACATCGCCCTAGCCATTATGCGATTCCGCATCGGCGAACGATCATTATTTGGTTCGCTCTGGGAAAATTTCAGGTGGCAGCCGATGTACTGCTTCTACTTCTATGGCCTCAGCTTTCACGTCAACAAAGCTTTGATCGCCCACATCGTCGGGTACGAAATGACCTGGGAGATGACCAAGAAGGAAGCCGAGAATTCAAACTTCTTCAAGGAGATCCCAAAGATTGTGAGCACATTTAAAACAATGTATCTTGTCATGATTCCACTCGCTGGTGGCGTGATATACATGGCGTTCTTTGCACCACTGGCATGGAGGATTACACAACCTGTGGCGATCCTACCAATGGCTCTGATGATTGTCTGTCATTGCAGCTTACCTTTCGTCCTCAATCCGCATATTGTCAGCGCCGTCGATCAGTATGCTGTTGACGACAAAAGCAATATCGAGAAGGTATGAAGGGTTATAATGAACGGCGTTACACGAATTGGGGTTTTCCATATACATACACGATATACGACTCGAATACAACTAGATGGCGACATCCAAAACTAATTTTGCGAAGGCTACATAGACAACAACAAAATATATAAAGTCGACCACACCTTGGCAGCTCAAGCAAACGTTCAATCGGTCCAGTATAGACGGGCTACTCTTCAACTCGCTGCCCCTACCTTACGGACTATACTCGTAATAGACACCCCAAAAAGATTCGGCATGAAAGGCTACTTCCTGCCCATGGCTTTCTCAATCTCTATGAGAGCAGCAATGACCTTCTCATCATAGTTCCGTCTTCCAATGATCTGTAAGCTCACCGGCGCATCCTCGTACTTCTCGGGCGAGTACATCTCGTACACAAACTTATCCTCCGCATTCTTCGGTACGTAATCTATGTCTTTCTTGTCCTTCTCTTGGTCGACTGTAGTCACGGGAAACACCACACCAGGGTAGTCCAAAAGATTCCAGTTCGAGGTGTAGCCCCAGTACCGCGACTGCTCGTGAGGTGTCGCTGCACCGAATGACGGCGGGCAAAGGATGACATCGACATCTCGACCGTCTTCTTTACCTGTATCTGTCCAAGCGCGGGCATACCGCTCTCGGTAGGCATCTCTTTCGAGACAAAGCTGCAAGATGTCAGGCTACAACTTGGGTAATCTCAATCACGGGAATGACTGACCTCCCATAATTCATGCATGTTATAGCTCTTAACGGTCGGCTGCTCGTGGATGATGAACTTAGTCAGGGGCAAGACAGGCTCACCAGCACCCTCTAATAGGCCAAGAACTTCGGCGCCGCCGTCTGGAAAGTATAGTCCCGCAGTAATATCCCATCCTTTCTTGTGGTCCAGTTTCGTGCAGTCCCACTCGACCACTTCCATACCTGCGGCCTTGCATGCATCGGCAACTTCACGTAATGCTCGAGTCATCGGCGGATGGGGCATAACGACACCGTCCCACCACTGCACCGCAATCTTCAAGGGCCTCGTAAAACGATATGGTGTCCACATTTTGGTGGTTAAACCAGGATCCAATCGCCATGGTTTCGCATCGAGAACAACTTTCATGAACAATTCAAGTGAGTCTCGATCTTTGGCCATGGGCCCGAGTGTCGAGAGTATGGTCTCTTTACCCAGCATATGGCCGCGCGTGCCACTCGTCGGCACACGTTTCGTAGTTGGCCTAATGGTCTGTCAGTAAGGTGGATGTTCCTTCCATATTCTCCTCGTACTTGTAGCCGTATATGCCGTTATGTGCAGAAGGGCACCGAATGCTGCCTCCGATGTCACCGCCAATGCCTAGTAAGCTACCACGGAACCCGATCAGAGCTCCTTCGCCTCCGCTGCTACCCCCAGGGGTTAGGTTCCGATTATAAGGGTTGACTGTCCTGCCATAAATGTTCGACTCGGTCTCCAGGTGCATGACTGTTTGTGGCTGCGTTGTCCTAGCGTAGTACACACATCCGGCGTCCCACAGGATGTCATATAGAAGAATTGAGCCTTGCGGCTTCCCAATCCAAGCCACGTAGGAGCCATTAGCAGTGCCATTCTTGGACTTCGAACCATGGTGTTCTTTCGTGCTGATGGGTAACCCGTGTAACGGTCCAACAGGCTCTGGTAGCGAGTCGAGATATCGTGCTCGCTCGATGGCCTCATCCCAGAGAAGCTCGGTAAGACAGTTTGTTGCATAATGCGCGAGAGCAGCCCGTCGCAGGAAGGCTCTCGTGACTTCTTCAGACGAAAGTTCTCTGCTTCGGAGCTTCGCTAGTAGTTCAGCCACGCTGTAGTTTTCTGTGATCTCGAGTTCCCGCGGTGTGAGCACGGATTTCGCAAGGCCCTGGGAGTTCTGGGGCAGTGTTTCTGGTAAGCCTTGTAGAGCGGGCTCGACACGTGCAACTGATTCATTGCGTATCTTCCTGGGCAGTTGTGCCTTTTCTTCCCATGACTGTTGAAACTCTTGCTCTGTAGCCATTGCACAACGTTTTTTCACCAGGAACAAGGCTTCTAGTCGACTTCCAAAATTTTGTCTCACGGTCTACAGGTGATAGTGGTGCACAATCCTACCTCACAGAACCTAGATATCAATTGCCAGGATTCTCACTTGTACGGATTTGGCCGACGTTCCTCGGTTCTGATTACGGAGACTGGCGACAGTGGTCGACTTTTAGCTTGTTTCCTTTCGCAGGCATCGCCGTTATGATGCCGAGTTCCGAATGCCATATACATACTTTGTCCGACGTGAAAAGTTGTCCACAAGCTTGAAGTCGATATTGCTACCAGCCGGCAGACACGGTGAACCGTGGTCGGCCATGACAATCCCAAGTAGGCATTCTTTGAGGAGATGTTTTGGAGGTCGAATCGCCTGCTTAAGGAACTAGTCCAACACCTCAGATTGGGTGCAGATAGTTGATACACGCACGGCCGTGTTTTTTTTTTTGCCAGAAGTCGTAACAATCCTGTCGGTCTCGAGTCTGCCACCTGCCAGGCTTGCAAGCCAGTCACCGACAGTGAAGCAGCCGAGCCTGTTTAAAGAAAAAGTGGCACACCAAAATCACTGTCTGACCACTGCATCTAGAAGACATCTTGCTTTCTACCCTTGATAGCGTATATATTTTTGGTGTCGACATACTGATAAACTTGTATTATTCGATAGAGCATCTCTCAAATAATTTATCTATCTCTTCAAAATACTATGTTATCATATAAAGTTGTTCGCAGAGGCATACAAAAACGTAGCAACATACGTTATGATCGTATATCCTACCAGTACCGTCTAGGTTAGGCGATCTATTCAGAGTCTCTATCACGAACTCAGAATGCTTCTAAAACACCGCTTTTCATTCACAAGCGGCTTGTTATGTTCGGGACTATCGTGTTGTTACCAAATATTTTGGTGTGCCACTTTATTTTTAAAGAGGCTCGCAGCCAAAACTGCAGTCACGTGCTCAATTCGGCAGACTTTCTCCATCTGAAATCCGTGGGGGAAGGCGACAATCGTTTATCGCAGCCTCGAGTCGCGACCCGTGAAGTGTATGGAGTACCAGACTCGACACCACGGCCCGCCATCAACAGGCTTCTTTGAATGCCGATCATGCTCAGAACCATGTATAAGCCAGGCTCTCTCATTCGATCCCGTTCAGCAAAATTTGCGCACTAAAAGCAACACCTCTTAAATCCCGACAAATGCTGTCGGGAATCATCTCTCCGTCACAACTGCGAGCCTTGTAGCGCTTTTGACAAGCGCTCTGTAACCTCCATCATGGACAGCCTGGTCGCCGCATCCGGCTACAAGTTCAGTAAGGCCGATAGGAAGTTGGGCAAAAAGAAGCTGAAAACGCTGTCTGGGAAGGAGAATGAGACGAATGGTATGGTCCCCCGAACGAGCGCATCCGACTCATCATTAACCAAGGTTACATGTGTAGGTCTTAAGAATGGCGTCGCCTCCTCCCAAGCGCCGTCACCTGTTCTGCCGAAATTCGACGAGGAAACTATGGCCAACTTTCCGGACGGCAAACAAGAGGCCCTCGAGACTCTGATATGCAAGCACTGCAAGAAGGTGGTGCTGAAGCGGACGGCTAAAGAACATGTCGCATTGTGTCTCAAATCCAAACAAGAGAAGGCTCGCAAGAAAAAGGAGGCTCGAGAGGCAGCACAAAGGGCTAAAGAACGAGCTGAAAGAGCAGACGAAGAAGATGACGATGACGACGATATCAAAGGAGGGAAGAACAACGGCGAAGGAGATGACAAGAAGAGCAAAAAGCGTAAAGCTGAGGACGACGACGATAGAGAGCCGAAAAAGAAAAAGACAAAGAAAGAAGAGGCGAAAGCGAAGGCGCCCAAGCCCAAGGGACCAGTCGATGTCGAGAAGCAGTGCGGTGTTACTCTGCCAAACGGTGCCCAGTGTGCCAGGAGTTTGACTTGCAAGTCTCATAGCATGGGAGCCAAACGTGCGGTGCCTGGCAGAAGTTTGCCTTATGATATGTTGCTTGCGGCATATCAGAAGAAGAACCAAGCACGACAGCAAAGTGAGTGGCCATGTCTTGCAAAGTATTCTGATCGATGTTAATATGTATGATTTACAGAAGCGGCGATCGACGCCAACGCCCCGGCTCTTCTGGAAGAGGATCTCGATCCAACACTAGCAGGACCTGTCGATTCTGATGAAGAACGCGATGCCGTTATGTCGGCCATAGCGAGAAGTCTAGCCAGCCCTCAGCCGCTTGTCACCGCACCCTTAGTCCCCAGGAGACGCAATTATCAGCTCATTCGCCTCAGAGAGACGCTGTCCAACGCCATGAGCGGCAATAGAGGTGCAGGATTGTTCAGCGTACCGGCCGACGCTGGTCGCAGTGCGGTTCCTCCATCTGCAACCCATGATGCTTTCTCGCAAGCCATATCTGCTTCACCAGCGCCGACAGGCGTTGGCATGGCTCAACCAGGCATGAGAGCACATTCCAGAAAGACATCCATTGACGTATCCTAGGAGGACGTCTCCGATACGGACAGCAAGGCCGAAGAAGACGTGCCGGAAACAGAGCAGGACGAACCTGCAGATGTTGTTGGCCCGCTCAAGTACGAATTTTCAACAACACCCAAGTATAAAGGCGCCGATAGCGAGTACCAGGACGAGACTCCAGTTCTCACGCCTGACGAAGATGACAGCCAGAACGAGGGTCGATCTTCAACAGTCACTGCTGAAGACAATGATAGCCTGCTGGGAGACTCTGGCAAGTCGGAAGTTGTGACCGATAGCGATGATGTCGTTGTTCCTGGTCGAGGCAAGACCATAGCGCGTACTCCTATTCGTTCGGAAGTCCGTCCACCTACCCGTCGGTCACAACGTTCCCGACGTTTCAATCCGCGCTTTAGCTGAAGTGAGTGAGCCTTCTCGGTCACAGACTAGCAAAGCTTGCGATTCTTGTCTTGCGATTCTTGTCAGCGACCCTGCGCACGCCAGTGCTTCGAAGCACCTCATTTCGATCGATGTCCAACACATCCTCCACCAATTGGTTATGGCTTGACGACCTCAAACGCATTTCTTAAAGCAAATGCTAGCATTCGTCCCGCCGAAACCAAAACTATTGGTAAGCGCCACTTGCACCTTTGCCTGTTGCGCAGTATTTGCAACGTAGTTGCAATCGAAGCCCTCACCACGCGAAAACAGATTGGTCGTGGGAGGCAACATGTTCTGGGGGAAAGTCAGTCTGGGAAAAGAGAGGCAGACATCCTATGGCAACCCCTACCTCGTTTATCGTTAGGATAGTGAAAAGAGCCTCGACAGCTCCCGCAGCACCTAGTAGATGGCCAATGGCGCCTTTGGTGCTGCTAACATTGATCTCAGAAGCTTTTTGTCTTCCGTGGCCTCCGAGCATCAAGGTCTTGATTGCTTGATTTTCAGCGGCATCTCCAAGCGGAGTAGAAGTTGCATGAGCATTGATGTAGTCAACCTCTGATGGACGAATTTGTGCCTGCTTGAGAGCCTTTTTCATGGCGAGAAGAGCACCGTTGCCGTCTTCTCGCGGAGCGGTGAGATGGTGTGCGTCAGCCGAGTTGCCGTAGCCGACCAATTCGGCGTAGATTCTGGCACCTCTGCTTTTTGCGTGCTCGAGCTCCTATACCAAAGCATGATTAGACGATGCCCGTCCTCAAACACGCGTAGTGACCGACCTCGAGAATCACGCATGCAGCACCTTCTCCGATGACAAAGCCTGCTCTGTCTTGGTCGAACGGCCTGGACGACACTTGTGGCTCGTCATTGAATGCAGTGGCTAGACTGCGCGATCTGGCGAACCCGCCTATCGCGAGTGGATGAATGCAGGCCTCTGCTCCCCCAGCGATCATGACATCTGCTTCGCCTGAATTGATGAACCGTGATGCGTCGCCTATCGAATGAGCTCCGGTGGTGCATGCTGTGGTGACGGCGTGGTTGGGGCCCTGAATTAGCCAAAGTCAGTATCATGCTGCAAGAGAAGGCGGAGGAGAGTTGTCAGACCTGGAGGTTGTATCTCATGGATATATGGCCGGCTCCCAGATTGATGAGGAGGCGAGGGACGAAGAGCGGATGGATTTTGCGGTAGTTCTTCTGTGGTCGTCGTCAGTCAGGAAGAAGATATGGTGGAAAGGTGGCAGGTGTACGTACCTCCTGGGCATACGCCACAGACGTATCGTAAAGCTCTTCCAGGTTGCCGATACCTGAGCCCAGACAGACACCCGTCATCTCAGGATCCAGTCCTTTCCCACCTTCAAAGCCAGCGTCCTTGAGTGCTTCTGCCGATGCCGCGAGACCGTACTGGGCGAATTTGGCCGTCTGTCTTAGTTCCTGGGACAATTAGCACCAGCCCGCCTGCAAGGACAGGTACGGACAGTAGGTGTGACATGATCCTTCGCCCGCCATGATCCCTCCTCGTTCGAGCTCACGCCAGTTGGCACAAGACCCGCGACTTGACTCGGGATGGCTTTGAACTCATCCCCAAGGTGTCTCGTTGAAACGATGCCACAGTCGCCATTGAGCAAGCGTTGCCACGTTCGGCGGACACCTATGCACCGGGATTTCGGTCAGCCTTGGTCGAAAAGCGTCCACAATTGGGTGTCAGGGTCATAAGTGTGATGAGGTATATCATACCAACACCTAAAGGCGTCACAGCCCCTAGACCCGTCACGACCACTCTACGCATCTCATCTTCCACAGATTTCCTCAAACAGGATAAGGCGTGATGTTGTAAAGCCTTAGGTAGACAGGACTGTACTCTGTACACCTAGCTGTAGGTCTCGTACATACCTAAGGTAGGTAAGAAAAATCCGGTCCGGACATATCCGCCGAGGGCCGGACATGTCGAGCATGTCTCGCTGACACCTTCATGATTTTCTCGACTTTCCACCTCCACCACACCGACGACCACCAATTGGATGCTCTACAGCCTTACAAGCCGTTGAATTACATAACTCAATCGACATGGCCGGTGCCTCTAAGAAGATATGATACAAGATCGATATTTCTCTACTGTAGATCCTTCATCCTTTTTCTGACCTTTAATAGTGTCTATTACCCGAGGAAAAGATCCTTTTCACCACAGTATCTCCTCCGGGGTGGAAGACTCTTGGACCGTTAAGATGCGGTTATCGGCCTTATCACTATCGACATGCTGCTTCTGCCTCGCCGCGCTCGTCCGGCCAGGTAGTGCATCATTCTACGACAACCCAGAGGTCGAGGTCCGTCCCGAGACGGAAATCCCGCTGGACGAGTTGAAGGCGAAATGGGATTTTGATGTAAGTCACCACCAGCCATCCTTTCATCTTTCACGTCGGCCCCAAAGGTCGTCAAAAGTGAGGTCGGCGCATAAGGATCCCCGGGAAGGGGGAAAACAGAGAAGAAGGCTGAGTATCTGAAAATCTCTATAGTGGTCCTTCTCAGGAATCTCCACATTCGGCCACCTCAAGCATGTCAAATGCCTGACCACACCCTACGAGCCGTTTGATATCGGCATTCTCGGGGCGCCGTTCGACACGGCCGTCAGTTATCGACCTGGTAAGCATTCATTTTCCTCAAGTCGTTAGACCTCGGTGTCGCTTGAGCAAGCATCCTCATCACGCAATACCCAATCCAAGTACACCCCACCGTCGGCCTTTAGGTGACGCTCACGGTCAATCTTTCACCTCATTCTTCCTACTCTATCCTCGCCTCCAGTCCTTATTCTTCATGCTAAACGATACAAGGCGCCCGTTTCGGCCCACGCGCCATCCGCGCCGCCTCCGCCCGGCAGACCAGTTTCCGAGGCTTCAACCACCGGGCGGCCGTTAACCCGTACCAATCCTGGGCCCAGATCCTCGATTGCGGCGACATCCCCGTCACGCCCTTCGACAACGCCCTGGCACTGCACCAAATGACGACCGCCTACACCGAGCTCATCAGCCGCCGCCCGCTCTCGTTCTCCAACCCGCCCAGCCACACCCACCCGAAACTCATCTCGCTAGGCGGCGACCACAGCATCGCCTTGGCCGCCCTGCGCGCTCTCCAAAAGGTACACGGCCGGCCGATCGCCGTCCTCCATTTCGACGCGCACCTGGACACATGGCACCCCGGCGCGTACCCGAGCGTGTGGTCGACGACGCCCACCCAAGCCGACTTCACGCACGGGACCATGTTCTGGGTCGCGAGCGAGGAAGGGCTCATCGCCAACGGGAGCTCCGTGCACGCCGGCTTGCGCACGCGCCTGTCCGGCAACGAATGGGGAGACTACGACAACGACGAACGTCAGGGTTTTCTGCGCATCGAGGCGGACGACATCGACGCCGTCGGCGTGAGCGGTATCATCGAATTGATCATGGAGCGCATGGGCACCGAAACCCCCGTCTATCTCAGCGTGGACATCGACGTGATTGACCCGGGCTTGGCCCCCGGCACTGGCACACCCGAGCCCGGTGGCTGGACGACGCGAGAACTGATTGCGATTCTGAGGGGCATTGAAGGCTTGAACGTCGTGGGCGCCGATGTGGTCGAGGTGGCCCCGGCGTATGATGGCATGGGCGAGTCGACCGCCTTGGCCGGCGCGCAGGTCGCGTATGAAATCTTGACCAGCATGGTCAAAAGAGGGCTGAAGGATAGAGGCGAGGAGGTCATTTTGACCAAGCCCGGCAGTCAGAAGATTTTGAGTAAAGCCAAAGCAAAGGCCAAGGCGAGGAGGGATGAGTTGTGATTAGAATCTCTTAGTTTGAGAGAAGAAAGGGGACATTACTAGTTAGTCGTAACGCCGCGCAAAGCGGGACTATACCAGGGATGAAGGACCGAGACTACAAAAATAGAGAATGGATATCAGACGTCCAAATATTTCCAACCGTGTGTCGGCAATGCCTGTTTCTCTACCTGGTCAAAACTTATGAGATCGAGGACTTTCGACCGCATAATAAACGGTTACGGTTACGGTTTCACTTCTGCTCTGATGTCTTATGATTTGATCACATACAAGCTGCCTTGTTCATCTTACACATACACTTTGATAACTCGGTAGGGATGTTCCTCACTATCATATTCAATATCAGACAGAGCCGAATGGGCCTTGTTCACCTTGATGATGACTTCATTCTCTAACATAGCCTCCCCAGTCGTTAAAAAAAAACAAAGTAACCGCACTCGACAGGTCCAGCATAGTCGAAAATGTCTTCAAGCCGTCAAATGCCACTGGTGGCGGATCGGACAAGATCAATTGCCCGACGAAGCAGCCCAAGCAAAAATAATGGTACCTCCCCAAAGTCTTGTCGTTTCCCATACCTCAAACGCCATGCTGTCTAGTCTGCAACCTTTTCTTGGATCGTGGCATCATTCGTCTTCTTACAATCACAAAAACCTCCCCAAATTATTCTCAGAAATTGTATCTCGTACCTTGTCTGGTAACAGGCTTGCCCTGACGATTGAGAACTGGCAGGGCTGTTGACGCGGTTCTCGACTCTTCAACTGCAGCATTCTTCTTGCCGCGTGGACGAGGCTTCGGAGGCGGATCAACGTGTCGATGGCCGAGCTCCGCAATAGCCGTGGTATTCCTCCATCGCAGACATCGGTGAGACTTGTCATTGAAATAGGCTTTTGTTCTGGTCGACATCCTTGCCGGTGGTTCTTCTGACTTCTCACGGGGTACCAAGTATGCTGCTCGCTTCTCCATGTGTTTGATGATAACATCTCTCTGCATAGTAAGTTCTTTCTGCAGCTTGACTTCTCGGACGCCTCGGGACTCGAGCCAGCCGATCAACATGTCCAGCTCTTCCGCTGTATCATAGAAGCCCCATTGTTTGGCATTGTTCAATCTGGTAGGACCTTCTTCCATGGCTTTTCGTTCAGCTGGTGTCATCTGGAATCGTCGATAATAAGCGTCCTGGTCCTGCTTGGGGATCTCAATAAAGCCTTCACGCTCCATGTCGTCCGGTCCTTGCACCCAAAGACGACCATTCGCATAATCTGCATCCGCAGTGGAACTGTCCGGCAAGCCACCGTGGGGCATGGCGTTCCGTTCAAACCACCAATATCGATTACAGAAGCGATCCTTACCCAGAACTCTCGTTCGAGGACAATCTGCTTCGCGCAAATCACCGTCGACCACGATAATCGCATCTTCAGCAGCCCGGACTTTTCCCCGTTCCTTTTCGATCTGCTTGAGAACTTTCTGGTACTCCTTGCTTCCTTTGTTTTGCTTTGCCTCGGCAGCCTTTTCTCTCCGTTCTTGCTCCTGTTCACGTTTTCTCTTCCGTTCGGCAGCACGGTCGGTGCCACGCCGCAGGGAACGCGTCAGGACGGGTTCTTCATCTTCCGAGTCAGGAATGGAAATGCCACCCTCTTCAGCCTTGTCAACCTCCATGGCATCTTCGAGCTCAGGCACGGGACTAGGAGACTTCTCAGGCTCTGGTGCCAGTAGTCGACGCTCAATTTGAAGTTCTTTCAACTTGGCCAACGCTTCTTTCCGCGCTCGTTGATGCTCAATCTTGGTCTTTCTGTATTGGGTCATGGTGTTGCTCATGTCCTCCAAGAAATCTTTCACTGTCTTCGTTTCGAGGAAGAGTTGGCAGATTATCTGGAGAGCTTCCGCCCGCAGGTTGATGTCCATGGTGGAATATTGTATCCTTGCAGTGTCTATTGTTGGCTCGGCGTCTAATGGGGCAAGATGTGTAAGGATCCTGACGCACAAATCTGTGAGCCGTGGTCTTCCCGCCAGCTGATGAAGCAGACCGACCATCACTAGCTCCCAGCCTCCATTACGGAAATCTCGCTTTCGAAGTCGATCGATCCAACCATATTCGGCAAACATCTCTGCTGCCCGGTGGGGAACAGTTTCGACTTCATCTTCCACAACGGGTTCTGATTCTGGTTCGGCAAATTTGACCTTATTCAAACTGCTTCGAGTTCGCTTCGCAGGGTACTCAGGCTCCGGTGTGGGTGTGGGCAGCTTGCTTTCTTCCTCCTCGGACTCTTCTTCTGACTCGTCGGGATCTGGCAGGTCCGGAAGAGAGATCTGTATAGCTCCTTCGTCTTCATTTTCCCCCTTGACCAGTTGCTTGAGAACCGCGCAGTGCACCTCAACGAACATCTCACAGTCGATATCTGCCGAAGAAAACAACATTGCCTCCACAAAATCGTCGAACGTGAAGGAATCTAATTTGAGCACCTGACAATATACATTCAGGGTATTCCAGGTCTCAAGGAGAAGACCAATGTTTTCTTCTTTCAGGCCTGGAATTACGTTCTCCATTTGCTTCTCATCGGAGCACTGCTCCTCAGTAATAAACTTCAAGGCTGGCCGATGCGTCCCATCTCGGACTGGTTCGACATCAAGATCATCGATGGGGTATTTGATCGGCGGCGGAGGTGGTGGCGGGATCTCTACCACTACCTGCTGCTTGGGAGGCATGGGTTGTGGCGGGGGTTGCGGAGGAGGATAGTAATGGCCATTGGGCGGCATGTACTGATTCGAGTAGCCTGGGAGGTAAGGGAAATACCCTGCAGGAGGTGGAGGTGCAAAATTTTGCATAAGCTCCTCCCATGAGCGTGGTAATAAGCCAGGGTCAGGATGAGGTGGACGATAGGCTCGTGCAGTCGGATTCATCTGCTCTTGCTGATGGTGTTGCTGACTTTTCCGTGCTTTGGGCGCAGGTTTCAGTTCGGGGAACTTATTGGGTTGCCAGATACCAAACATACCATCTTGTTGCTCCATACTGGCGTTCCTCTTCTCCGCCTTCTTCGCCGCCACCTTGCTGCTGTGCTGGAGTTGTGGAGGAACATTCGTGTCAATCCGGAATCGTTCAGCAATCTCTGGCTTGACCAGCCACGGAGCGCCAATCCATCCCTCGCGGGTGACTGCGTTCTTGATGAACGAACGAAGCATTTGCTTTGTAAAGACCTTCCGATCTCGGGCGATATGTTGATCATCAACCAGAGCCTCCTCATCCGGTCGGTCGATAATCCTGACAAAGTATCTAGAGAATGCACGTCTTGATACCGAGCCATCGGGTCCTCTGATCTCCGCAAACTTTGCCTTGTCTCTTACACGTCCATTGAGCCGTGAGGAGTCGTTTAGGATGATCGTGACCAGTTCCCCGGGGTAGAAATCGTTCTTGAATTCATTAAATACTTCTTCCACCAGGTTGTCAATGCGGGACGTGGTGGAGAACTGGACTCGGCGCAAGACGGGTTCGCGAAGAGCCTGAGGGAACGCCTCGTCAATCTCTTTCGAGCCTGCTTGTTCACTTCGAAGAGCATCGAAGAAAGTCAAGCCGGAGCGACCAGTGACCTCGCATGTAAATCTTTTGGACTTGAAAAAGTCCATGCGCTCGAGGTAGGCATCGTAGGATGTGAATACTTCGTTAGACTCGGAGACGACCCAGACGTCGCATTCTTGGTCGTCGATGTAGGGATGTGGAAGGTAGCGGACGGGTTTTCTCTTAAAGAGCACCATCCTGGCGGTCGCAGGGTAGGTCGTGCTCTCGAGCCGGGAGCAGCGGGCAACGAGCGTAAGGTGGTGCCAGGAACAGATTCAAGGGCTCCACGAGCTACGTATAGATGATCGTTAGTCTTCTGGACGTGTAGGCGGGTGTTTGCGGGCCTGACGCGGTGGTTGCAGGCTTTGCGCACAATGGTGTAGACCTACACAGGGTAGTGAAAACGCGTCATGGAGGAGATATGGTCGCTGGTGATTGAAGGTGCGGAGGGTGCTGGTCAAATAGCACGCTGTGGTTGAAGAGAAAACAAGACGGCAATTGGACAAACATGACCAAGAGAGAAGCAGGAAAAGAACAATGAGAGTCCAGGGCTGCTGCAGATGAGTTAGTATGCGGCAAAGAGCCAGTTACAGTGGGAGGAGCAGAGTGGGTGTTGGATGCGAATGTGGAGCCTCATTTATTCCGCAGGCTGAGACGGAAGGGCAGTCCTCATGAGGGTTTGTTTGCCGGCCATGCGGTCGCCTACAATGATGAGACCCATTCCGAGCTTCTGACAATCACCAGTGAGACACCCGGAGAGTTATGAGCAGCCCTGGGCCCCTTTACTTTCCTGGAGTATTGTACATGGCAGACGCTCTCGATCACAGTGCGCGCATGCTCGACATCATAGCCTTTCGCCGACTTAAGTGAAATCTGGTTAGTGCAGCCGCGCCCCGACAATCCCGCCAAGGGTCAACAGCGCCAAGACTTGCCCGGAAGTGTCCAATCACCGCCCCCCTTACCTCCCCTCGGCCTCACTAACCATGGGCACCCATCAAATCCCTTGCCTGGCATTCTCTCATGGCCATAATGGTATTCAATCGACTCCGACAGGCGTGCTGGATTCAACGCAACAGGTTTCAAGCTACCATCTTGTGATTCTGTCATGCGACGAGCCATTATCAGGAATTGGCAACCATCCTACCGTCTCCATGTCATGGATGGACACCGCTGACACCTACTGCCGGGACTCCAAACCCTTGTTGATAGTGGTCCACGAAGCCTTTCTATCAACCACTCGTGCGCGACATATGCGAAGACCGCGTACGCCATGTAGGAGAATTGCTATAAACCATTTTGAACCCGTCGATGCACTTAACTACAGCATTGAAGGCTTTCTATACAGTTGTCCATGAGACCATTCGAGCTGTTATGCTAGTGTCTCCGGTCTCGAATTATGCTGTCATGACAGATAACACACCATGAACCCCAACCCCGACCCCAGCACTCCTATTGCCGAGTACGTACTGATGAACATCAGTGGCAGGAATTCGTATCTGTCTCCAAATACTATGCCATGCACCAGTGAACAGTAGACCATCAGAGGAATCGAGATGGCAATGTAAAGCAGTGCGAATCGGTCCAAGAGAAACACTCTTCTCCTTGAAGGCGCCGGTGCCAGTTGATCAAAAGCGTGAAGGAAGATGATCAACCATGCTAATGTGTAGGCGACCTTGATCGGGAACTCAGCCGACGTAAACAGAAGAGGGAATAACGACACATGTCCAGCGACCGCCAGAGGCCGGAAACTTGCAAGATATGAGCGGTCCTTGATGGCTAGAAGACTGAAAGGTATGATGACCAACAGAACAGCCTTCTCGTGAACGTGCCATCCAAAGAGAAATGATGCATATCCACAAAGTGTGATGGCTCCCACAAAGGAGTCCCAAGTAGGTGAGAGCCACAACTTCGTCAGCGCGATGACCTGAAAGGATAGAGTGATGGCGAAACACTGCGCAGCTGAAATGTCCGGCAAGACGGCAAAGGCTGTGTCGCCGACCAAACCTCGAGTAACACTTTGGACTGCGTTTTGGTCAACACTCAAGCCTAGATAAGGCGCCGCCACTATCAATACTCGGTCAAGGAAAGAGTACACAGCCCACGCATTCGGTGCCCAATATGCGTGACAAAGGCCTCTTGCGAAGGGAAAGAGCCGGCTTTTGAGTTGGTCGAGTTGGCCCCAGGCAGCAAAGGGACCAAATGCCGCAACAAAGACGGCCACGATGCTGGTGCCGAGCTTCAAGATGTTCATCAACTGCGGCCGCAACATGTTGTTTGGGTGCAGACAGTATACTCGTGCAAGGTAGATGAAGTAAGCCGGTGCCAGGTACAGGTAGATGTGCTTAAGGCACAAGAGCAGTGCGAAGAGTATGCCACTGTACAGCATGGTCGATTCTCTTCTCGCGAGGACAATAGAGAGAATCAACAGTCCGTATAGGAAACCATTGTACTGAAAATGGATGTGGTCAATGATGAAAAGACCTGGAGAAAGTAGGATGGATAGCGCCACAGCATGACTTTGACGTCGCGTCGAAAGTGGTGATGTCTCCGTGTACCTACTTCTGTCAGCACCACGAACCCGACATATCACAGGTCCGTTGACTCACTTTTGCAAAGAGTATACTAGTAGAAGCTCTGTGACAATGACAGATGCTCGCTGAAAGCAGACTGTTGCCCACGAGTCGTAGTTCAGGTTCTCTACTTGGAGCATTGCAGAGTCTATGAGACTCGCTGGTTGTGAAAGGAGCCATTCAAAAACGGCAAATGCTGGAGGATAGTCCAGCGTCCACTGTGAGGTCGCCTTGACTTACAGTCAGGTGTACTGTGAGAGATGTAGGTAGGAGTCAATGCTTACCTCATAATACCATTGCTTTGCCGGTAACGAGTGAGTAATAGCCAGCCAATTCCGATGAACCTCAAAGTCTGTAGATTTGTAGGCAGGCAGTAGCAGAACCTTCAGTGCCGTGGCTACTACGGCTGTTTGGAACAGTGAAGGCCATTGATCAAGCCCAACCTGTCCTTTCGACTTCGGCTGCCGTGCTTCCTGTACGAGTCACATTAGTCCTTTGGCCATCTGATATTAGCGTGGATAACCAGAGCATACCGGGATGATAAGTGTCTTGTCCCGTAACTTATTGAGCGTTGCCGATACTGCAGAGGCCATCGAGACTGCTTGTGTACCTATCGATGCAGGATCAAAGGGAAGCCTTTCATTGCAGCTGTCGGAGAGAGGCTGGTCCACGGCGCGCTGAGTCTCCGCACCAAAAAACATGATGCCTCTTTTAGAACCTTAAGCTGCACTCGACCAATCTAAGCGCGCTGCTTTAGTCTAGTGCTTTGAAGACCAGGTCTTTGAGGGACAGGCATGGCCAGGGTACCTCTTGAGCAGCATATTGGTGACACCTTGTACTCTACGACCCCTTCTTCGGAGGTTGCTAATTGATGGACGCTTTCGAAGGGTTCAAACACCATGTTGTCTTCCAGAATTTGAACGTTCGGCATCTTGTCGAACCAGCTCCACTAACCGTCGACCTTGCACGCGAGATTCGCTACTGCGTCATTGCCATCTGTTGCAGCTGGGTTACTGTATCAATATTTCGCTCTTGGACAGCCAGCAAAAGAGGCTCTTCCTAGGACTTCTGCACCATTAGTCGTCCGTACCACACTTGAGACTCGTCTAGCTTCAGTGCTAATGCCATCTGCAGTTTTCCCCCTGGCACTACAACCATTTTCAACCACGACACGATGTTCGCCCTTCAAGCGGCTTGCTTGTCCATGCTTTGGGCTACCACGACCTACGCCCAGAATCTCCAAGTCCAGAACCCTGTCGAAGACCTCTCGTTCGGCCACAAGTCTACACTCTCCCCAAACTCCTTCGCTATTCCTGGCTGGTCCATGCTCGGTGAAGGACACGTGCCTCAACTCCTATCCGATCGAGTCATCCTGACACCACCCTACGGCGGAAATAAACGAGGGGCGCTGTGGTCAGAAAACAAACTGACATTGCAAGACTGGCAAGTCGATCTGAAGTTCCGGGCGGGCGCTACCGACCGTGGCAGTGGGAACCTGCAAATATGGTACGCGCAAGACGGCGAGAAGACAGTAAGCACATCAAACATCTACGAAGTTGGGAAGTGGGAAGGCCTAGCTATCGTAGTCGATACAGTTGGTGGTGTACAGAAGATTCGCGGCTTCCTCAATGACGGCTCAACACACTACAAGAACCATGGGAACGTCGACTCCCTCGCCTTCGGCCACTGTGACTACGTCTACCGCAACCTTGGCCGACCGTCACACATCATTGTGCGGTCCACATCCAGTGGCATGCTCGTCCAAGTCGATGGCCGCCACTGCTTTACTACCGACAAAGTCGCCCTGCCCACAAACTACAATTTCGGCATGACAGCCGCGTCTGGCGATCCCCCTGACTCCTTCGAGGTTTTCGCCTTCGCCGTCAGCAATGCGCCAGCCGGCCCCTCCAACCCGCAGCAAGACGCTCATCAGCACCAACAACAACAGTCCTCACCACCACCGCCAGCGCAAAACCAAAACCCCGATGCCGGCATGGCCCAAATGGACGACCGCCCGGCTTCACACTACACGACATCCGAGTCCCAATTTGCGGATCTCCACAATCGCCTGAACCTCCTCTCCAAGTCGATAACAAACCTGTTTACGGAAATCACGCGGCACACGCAGGCCGAAGAGGCTCGGTACAAGGAGATCCTCACTCGCATCCCGAACGAGCAGACCATCAAATCCCTCGAATCGCGCATCGGCAACCTCGACCGCGTAGTCGGTGACTTGGAGCGGGAGTTGAAATCGTCGGACCACAAGGGTCAATTCGCGAAGATTTCCGAACAAATCACACAGACGCATCTTGGTGTGACGGAGCAGGTGCCGGAGCGGTTGAGGGAATATGTCCAGGCACACACCCCACGGATTGGATTTATACTGTATAGTTTCATGGCGTTCCAGACGTGCTGTATTGGCGCATGGTGCTGGTATAAGTGGCGGAAGAGTACGATGCCTAAGAAGTATTTGTAGCTTGTACCATGGCTGTAGGTTTTAAAGATTCAACGACGACGTTGTCTGGAATGGGCATTCGACTATGGAAAGATCCATTTGCATAGGACATGCGTCTATTCTTTCTTTTCTTTGCCGTCTATGCTCCTGTCTGTGTCTTCAGCCACCTCGTGCATTCGTATTCGTCTGCATCGTGCCGACACCTTTTTGCGCATTTGCAGCGTCGAGCTACCATACATAACGCTCATCTCATTTCCAACCGACGAATTCCATCAGATTTCCAGTCAATCAGGGTGTGCATCTGTCACTGACGGATTCCATTCAGTGTTTTGGCGATCAAGGGGTGCATCTGTAAGCGAAGCGCGGGTACAAAGTACACTCTCTCACAGTCCAGCGACCACACATCCAAGCTAGGAACCGCTCGAGGCCGAGACCGTAACCGCCGTGCGGTGATGTTCCGTACCTAAAATGCGGAGATGTTAGCCACATGCTGCAGCTGGAGGGACAACTGAAAAGAAGGGCAGCCATTCCGAACTGGAGATCCAAATGAGAAAAGAACAGATGTTCCGCGCTGCAGATCCAAGGGGGAAAAGTAAGAAAGAGTAACGCACCGTCTCTGATCCGTATACCAATAATAGGGCGCTGGGTCGATGCCCACACGCTTATACCCCGCCATGAGCTCCTCGTAGTCATCGATGCGCATACTACCACCAACAATCTCACCCACGCCGGGCATAAGCACATCCACACTCTCCGTCACGCGCTTATCCTGGTCGTCCTTCTTCATGTAGAACGCCTTGATCTCGACAGGGAAATGAGTCAGGAAGATGGGCACGTTGAGCTCGTCTGTCATTTTGCGCTCAGCGGCCTCGGCGATATCATCGCCGAACTTATGCGGTTCGCCGTCTTCATTGGGGATCTCGTGCTCGATGAGCCACTGGATGGCTTCTTCGTACTTCATTCGGCGGAAGGGGCGATGGGGCGCGGCGAATTTGGGGTTGAGTTCCTTCACGTACGCGGCGATGACGGGGTCGGCCAGCGTGATGTCGATAACCCGGCAGATGACGTGCTCGAGATGCGCGAGCAAGTCATCGAATTGGATGAAATCCAGTTCCGCTTCGATGTGCATGTACTCGGACAAGTGGCGGCGGGTGAGCGACTTCTCTGCGCGGAAGGATGGGCAGATACAGAACACATCGCCGAGAGAAGCCACGCAGGTTTCGAGATACAGTTGCGAGGACTGCGTCAGGTAGGCCTTCTCACCGTAGTAGTTGAACTCGAAGAGAGTGGCGCCGCCTTCGACTTGCGTCTGGACCATGGCCGGAGGGGTGACTTCGAGGACGCGGGTTTCTTGGTATGTCTGGCGGAAAGCGCGGGTGACGGCGGCGCGGACTTTCATGATGGATGAGGCGTTCTCACCGCGCAGCACGAGGTGCCGGTTGTCGAGAAGGGTTTGGGCATCGCCGTCGGCTTGGACTTTGTTGGTGATGGCTTCTTTGTCGCCGACGGCGGCGCCGATGACGGTGAAGAAGTCGGCGTGCAGTTCACGGTCGAGCGGGGCGTGGGCTTTGGGCGGGAGCGAGCGCAATTCGCCATGGATGGCAAGCGAGGTTTCGAGGGTCAGAGTCATGGCGGCGTAGGCGCGAATCAATTTGCCGGTGAAGACACATTGCATTTGGCCGTAGCCATCTTTCAGCGTAACAAACATGACGTCCTTTTGGGAGCGCAGATGGTGGACGCGACCGAGGACCCGGATCCGGGTTCCTGGGCTGTCTGGTGTTCCGAGCTTGATCTTTGCTGGGTCGGTCTCGTCAAGTCGGATGCGGATGGGAGCGGGCAGGCTGGCGTCTTCCTCAATGATGACTTTCTTGGCTTCTTCGAGGACCTGCTGTCGTTTCACGGCCTCGGCGTTTTCACGAATGGCTAGTTCCGCTGCCTTGGCTTGCTTTTTCTTGTGTTGTTCAAAGAGGTTGGTAGCTTTCTTCAAGGCCGATTTGGAGGCTGGCTTCCATTCGAGGCGAACACCTTCGTCGCCATCTTCACCAACAGGACCTGTTTCGGATTTTCGAGTTAGATATGTCGTGGTGTCGGGAGGATGTTTAATCATGGCATGAAGAAGAGTCTTGTAGGGAGCTCCTTCGGTTCCGACTGCCGAGTCATCATCGCGACCGACGTCTTCGTCAATGTAGACGGGAGGAGCCGGCATGTTGTTATGTTTGGTTGTTGCAAGAAGGAGTTGGACAGGCTAGTTGATTGAAGAATCGATTTAAAGCTGGCACATGTGACTCATCCGATGATGAAACGAGGCTGTGACTGATATACCTGAATATGTCCTAGCGCTCACTTAGACCTCATGGACGAACCAGCCTGTGCAGATTTCCAGATCAGTCAAGAGCCACCAAATTGAGGACGATGGTATTACTGAACATGTATTTTAGACCAGGCCAAATCATAGATGAACTGATAAGCTTGGACATGGCCGAAAATTATTGTGCTTTCCGCGCGGCAGATAAGCCAATCAAGAGTAACCAGTCTACGCTTTCCTCAAGTAGGCTTAGTGTTGGATTAACGCATCTAGCCAGGAACGCTTCCGAGCCTGCAGCTGATGGCTTGAATGAAAGGGGCCCTGTCTGACATGCCAACTGGAAGGAAGCTCAGTGAGGCTTCTGTGTCAGACGGCAGGTTTTATGAAGCTCAATGCATGGCCAATCGACCTGACAGCTTCAAACGGTAATCAAAGCTGGCGCCACAGTCTCCGTTTCCACTTGACTGCCAGTTCCCACGGGCTTTGACGGAAGTGAAGCTTCAACATGCAGCGATGACATGGGTGACAAGCTCAGAGACTTGAACTCTTGTGCATCGTATCTCTTCATTTCTTGAATATCCAACCCTTCACAATTAAGCTGCAGAGAACCACCACTTGGAATTCTCCGGCGGCATGCCCAACAGCCACTCATGTAATTCCACCACCCCCTGCTAACACCCTTGTCCGACTTGAATCCACCTGCAGATTGGATCATCTTGAAACTCCATCTTCAAACCTGCAGGCGCGTGGTCTACGATCCCCCTTCGCGTGCCTTTTCGTGTCGATTGTACCCACGACTTTGGCACAGAGATACCAATGCACCAGAAACTCTTGGTTTACCTTGTACCTTGAGAGGAAGGCATCGTGATCCCATCCGGGCAGTATGGAGAGGATATCCCCTTCCCGAGAGACCCATCAGAAACCCATTGGAATTGCAGCCACACCCGCGAGTCCAAACGGCAAAGCACCTCCACCCCTTTTATTGATTCGTTACTGAATCTGGGAGGCCATCCACTCTAACTCATCCTCTGGCACTCTAACGTTAGTTGGTCCCCAATTCAACTCTTCACGACTTTTTGTTACTCTTCCCTTTTCTCTGCTTGTCTGCTTCCCTTCTCTCTCTTTTCTGTCCTTCTTTTACCTCTCAGCCATCATTGCACCCTCTATCTTTTCTTCAATTCCATCCTTTCGTTAACTTTTGCTCTTCTATTCGCTCGTTACATTTACCACTGTCGCTACCCCTTTCCGACCATTGTTCCAACACTTCGTATTCGACCAACCCCTTCGTTTTGTACAGATTCCACGAGAACAGATTCGTAGGATTGAAACTCCTCCGACTTCCAATCCACCAACTGCCTACCTTCCTTCGACTGTGCTGTCCTTGGACCTGGTCCTGAGGACACCAAACCTGGAGCCCCATATGCTCACAATGCAGAGTCAAGACGTGTTTGCAGGAGGATTTGGCAATCGATTTACGCCTTCAAAATTCGGGACAGATAATACTGGCTTCAGCCATGGCGCGTATCATTCGAATCAGACGCCCTTTCGTGGCGGATTTGGGGACCGCAACCAGCGGAAGGCCACCATGCCTGCTCTAGCCACTACCCCCAAGGAGCAGCCACAGTATAATCCCAATGAGCAAACACCTGGAGGCACTGCTTTCGATATGAATTTCACCCCACTATTGCCTTCGCAACTTCTGCTCGGCAGTCCTTTTCAACCAGGCTCTCCTAATGCATTTTCGTCACCGCAATTTCCAGGCTTCCATCGTTTCCCTCAACCAACCAATGCTCTCCACCAACAGACGCAGCAGTATCATCAAAATCAACAAGCTCATCTCGGTAGCCCTACTCAGATGCATGCTCAACCTTTGTCCCCTCAAGTATTTCACCCTGTCATGTCCACTGACGGCTACGCGGCACAATCGCCAACCGGCTTCTCCGCCTTAGGTGGTGCCGCATTTGGTCATTATCCGCCGATGCTGGGAATGGGCCAGTCCTGGATGTCAAGCACCAGCCGTACCGTGTACCTGGGAAACATTCCAGCAGACACATCTGCCGAAGAAATCTTGGGTCATGTCCGCAGCGGTCAGATTGAGTCGGTTCGAATGCTGCCAGAGAAGAATTGTGCATTCATTTCGTTCCTCGACAGCAGCTCAGCCACTCATTTCCACTCGGACGCGATACTGAAGAAGCTATCGATCAAAGGCCATGACATCAAGATCGGCTGGGGCAAGCCGTCCTCCGTGCCAACCTCTGTCGCTCTTGCTGTGCAACAATCTGGAGCCTCCAGGAATGTCTACCTGGGCAATTTGCCTGAAGACATCACCGAGCAGGAGATTCGGGAAGATTTGGGCAAATTCGGACCCATTGACACCATTAAGATGGTTCGGGAGAAGAACATTGGTTTTGTCCATTTTCTCTCTGTTGGCAATGCCATCAAAGCGGTCGCTCAGCTTCCTCAAGATCCCAAATGGGGTCCCCCTCGTCGCGTCTTCTATGGCAAAGATAGATGTGCCTATGTCTCCAAAACTCAACAACAGAATGCTGCTCAATATCTTGGTATCGCTCCCGGCTATGCACACGTACTCAATGGCGCTGACCGTGACTTGATCTCCAACGCTCTTGCACAGCAGTCGGTGGCGGCTGCCGCTGTGGCCACTACCGCCGGTGGTGTCAACAATCTTGGGAACCGTACGGTATATCTCGGGAACATCCACCCCGAGACCACTATCGAAGAAATTTGTAATGTGGTTCGAGGAGGACTTCTCCATCATATCCGGTACATTCCAGACAAGCACATCTGCTTTGTGACTTTCATTGATCCTACATCCGCTGCCTCATTCTATGCATTGAGCAACCTGCAAGGTCTAATGATCCACAACCGGCGACTCAAGGTTGGCTGGGGCAAGCACTCTGGCGCACTGCCGCCCGCCATCGCCCTGGCCGTCAGTGGAGGAGCATCTCGCAATGTCTACATTGGCAATCTTGATGAGAGCTGGAGCGAAGAGCGACTGAGACAGGACTTTTCCGAATATGGCGAAATCGAGCTTGTGAACACCTTGCGGGAGAAGAGCTGTGCATTTGTCAACTTCACCAACATCGCAAATGCCATTAAGGCGATCGAGGCGATCAGAGGGCGAGAGGAGTACAAGAGATTCAAGATCAATTTCGGCAAGGATCGATGTGGAAATCCTCCGCGCCAGAACATGGCCAACGTTAACGGCAACCAAGGTCGATACCAAGGTACCAACGATGGTAATATCTCGCCTGGAGCGATGAACGGCTTCGAGCATCCAGTGTCACAGTCTGGCTCCAGCCCAACAAGGTCGACCATCCCCGTCGGTCCCAAGGCAATGGCGTCCCAACCTCAAGCTCAGCGTCAACAGAGCCTTCCTGTCCCCACACCTTCTGCGATACTGAATGCTGGCAACAACAACCCTCTCACGATGTACTTGTCCCATGTTTCCCAACAGCAAGCTCAGGCTGAGCAGGATATGCGGGACGACGGCTTGTCATTCTCCACGTTGCAACAGCAACAAAATCAAGCCCTTGCAACTCAGCAGGCAGCGCTGTTCGGTGAGATGCCCAACGGTCACAGCGGACTCGATATCGCGGCTCCGGCACATGTTGCTCGACAGGGCAGCATCAGTGGAGGCTTTGGGTCGAATCCACTAAGCAACGGCACATCAACCACAATTGGTGGTCTGCTTGCTCCTACCAATACTGGGTTGGGAGCCAGCAGAAGTGCACACTCACGCGCTGTGTCACTCCCAGCATTCTCCCAAGAGATCTTCGGCGGGCAACCATCTACGCAGCAGGGTCCTTCATCGTCGCGTGGGTTCGGCGGCCACGCGCCCCAGGGTAGCTTTGGCGGATTTGGATCAGCCTTTGGCACTGGCTTTGGCACCAGCGGGTTCAACGGTCTTGGACTCACGAGTGATACTCGCGGAGCTCTCTCTGGCTGGGCTGAGGAGGAGATTGGAGCAAAATAAGTGATACCTAATTACGTTTCTTTTTTTCTGTCTGGGTTCGGGTCCGGGAATGTTCTTGATTTTTAAATGAGGTTCGGGTCATTTAAGAGATATTGTTGTTCTAATACTCTGGGTTTGGAAGTACAGGCTTTGATGGCGACAATTTTCGGCCTTCTGCTGCAGCTTGGATCTGCGCATTGTCTTATTATTGTGGCATTCAAGAACGAACCCGCGGGTCGCACCCACGTTATATTTGGATTGTATACATATGCGGTTCTGGACAGGAGCAGCAGAAGGCGAGGATGAGCATGACTTGATTCGGAGAGATGATTTCAGGGTAATATATTGTACCTCTGAGGATGCGCAAAAATGTTGGGGGGAAGGGAGCCTTTCCGGGTTCACCGGGTTCTAAGCAATAAGATTGAACTTTTGAGTAGCACATTTCGGATTGAAGTGATCTACAGCTAATCGGTGGAATATGCCACACGTACCATCAGGGGACGGTGATTGTTTGGGATGTTGACATTGCTTGACGAGATGGGCGCGGACGTTAGATACCACGGCCAGAACACGAGGGTGACAGGGGGTTGATCACGAGAGGTTCGTGTTCATCAAGAGCCTCGTCAACAGCTGTTCCTGGACGAATAGGTCGTCCCTAAAAGGCTCCCAGGAATGTGATGGACCATGAGACTAACATAGCTTGAGGTTGCTCCAAGACCTCCATTGCTTGGATTGATCAATAGAAATAACTTGCGTTGTTTTCATGGTCAACGAGGCGATGATAGGATCGTGGACAGGGTCGATGTTTGCGCAAGCGTTTCGCGTAGACGCCATGCCGTATCGAGACGCGAACAATAGCCACGAGTAGCGTGATTGAAACGATTCCAGAACGCAAAGACTTGTCTCATTCGGTACAAGCCTGAAAGACTCGTCAGAAAGGAAAGGCGTTCGTTGCTCGTAGCAGGGCTGCAGGGGCTGCCGACTGGACGGGGATAAGCTGAATGATGGGTGGTCACTGTTGGTGGGAAAGTCCTTAGGCTGGGGAGGCTTGTACCTTAGGCGGTGGTGGTGCGAAAGTCCTGCCTGCGCCATTTTGCCTCTACGCTCCATCTGCACCATCTGCACCTAAAAGGCCGCCGAGCATTCACAGCGCCATTCCTGCGAGGATCTGCCTGCTGTCCATTGTCCTGTCCACGTCTACATCCTCCACGTCCAAACGTCTGATCTGCTGGTCGACAACGTACACACGACTTCGACCGCGGCCCCCAATATCCATTCCCGGGTGCACTCTACATCCTCCCTTTTCTCTCTTTAGAATTATCTCCATCTCCCGACTCTTCTGCTCTCGACATTTCCGGCAAATGCTTATGCTCTTCTTGATCGATTGAAATACCCTTCTAGCTTGGACATATTATCCCCCTCTTGCTGGCCAATTCCTTCTTTCCTGGGACCGTTGACCGCCCTGTCCTACCCTTCCTCCACCTTTCATTTCACCATTGTGAGTGCCGATTAGAGTGAAAGAGACGGATCCAGGTGCTGATACATTGTGAAGCATTGATTCACCGCCTGCAATACCAAACAACCACGTTCAGAGTTAGAGTCCTTTCACTACACGGCCTTCTGACCGCCCTCACGGTGAGGCACAGTACGGCAGAATCCGCTACAATCGCCCAAGAAATCGATCTCGCGCGACCGAGCTTCTTCTCACGTTCACTTTTTTGGTAAGACGCAATCATGTGGTCAAAAATCAAGGCGAAAGCGCTCGACGCAAGAATAAAGCTGAACCCAAGCCTCCTAGATCCTGTCAACCGCCCACCTATCCGGAGGATCTCAGAATCCGATTTCAATTTCTCTCGCGTCGGCGACGAGTACGTTCGCACTTACAACGGGATGGTTGTGGCAACGATCAAGTGAGTCGCGGTCTACAGCCGATCTACCCACCTACAGACTCTGACTTTCGCCAGATGCGTGGTTGTCGGTGATGGCGCAGTCGGAAAGACATGCTTGCTTATCTCCTACACGACCAACAAATTCCCATCCGAATATGTCCCTACGGTCTTTGACAACTACGCCGTCACCGTTATGTGAGTTACAACCCGATCTCTCCATCTCGTTTGAAGAGAAGAAAACAATTTCTTGTTAGTCGTGCGATCGTGGGTTCTATCTCGAAAGGATCTGAAGACATCTTAGAAATGCGCTCGTTATCCGTTCTTTTGTGGCTTTTTACGAAATTACCAGTGACTGATTCACGCCAATACACATACTGACATGGACATGAACATTAGGATCGGTGATGAGCCATACACTCTCGGACTGTTCGACACCGCCGGACAGGAAGACTACGATCGTCTCCGACCTCTATCATATCCCCAAACCGACGTGTTTCTTGTTTGCTTTTCCGTCACTTCACCAGCATCCTTCGAAAACGTTCGCGAGAAATGGTTTCCCGAAGTCCACCACCACTGTCCAGGAGTCCCTTGTTTGATCGTTGGAACTCAAACGGATCTTCGAGATGATCCATCTGTCCGCGAGAAGCTCGCCAAGCAGAAAATGCAACCGGTTCGCAAGGAAGACGGTGAAAGAATGGCCAAGGAACTCGGTGCTGTCAAATACGTCGAATGCAGCGCGCTCACCCAGTACAAGCTCAAAGATGTGTTCGACGAGGCCATAGTCGCAGCGCTGGAACCTCCGCCAAAGAAGAGCAGCAAGAAATGCGTCATTCTGTGAGGGATGGCAAACCTTCGGCTATCTTTGTCTGTCAGCCGGAGGTTTATCAGGTTAGTGAGACACATCTGATGTCCTATTGACCACGCTAATTCCTGGAGGAGGCTTATTCGCTGCCAATTTTCCTTCGTCGGCTTTCCAGGGGGCAACATATTGGAAAGATTGGAAGTCTTCTTGGACACGAAATACAGTGACTATCGATCGGGTTTTTTCATTGACAGCTTTTAGCCGAGAGAGAATCACTTTTCTTCTTTAACAAACCGATCTTGGCGTTGGTTGCGGACCAGAAGGACAGTTCCACGGAGCATCAATGTACTTGCTATGGCTGGAGTCGATGGCGTTTTAAAGTAAGAGCTTAAACGACTGCGCGGATCGGCTGTTCCCTGTTTATATGCGAGTGTTCAGCCAGACAATGCAGCTCAGACCGGAGAACTCTTGTCGGGGTTGACATGAACAAGAACATGAATAAGAGCTTTGCCTTGCTCGAGTCGAGAGATACTCTTCACATTCGTGACCGGAGCTGGCACCGAACCATTGAAATTCCCATTCCGCGGACTCTCAGAGCCAGACTTGTTATTCAATGAAATACATCCACGTTGGAACCTGGACGTTCGTCCCTCTGGTCGTTTCATTTCCTGCAGTGCATTTTGTGACGCTGGCCGAATTAATTCTGTGTGTCTGCTGTGCTGACGAGCACCAAATAGATGCTGAGCCCAGCAGCCTCAACGACTAGGCGCTCAATTTTTCGACTCTCGAACGGTTCCGAGCGATCGATGTCCGCCCACACTCGTGACAACGTACTAGTAGTACCAAGATTAGAACACCCACACTGGTGAACATCATGGTAGGTACCTGTGGCGGTATAGTTTTCACTTTCACTTTCCCATCACCTCACATTACACCGCCTCACATTCCAGTGTCGTCCCGTTATGTCGCTTACTTCACAGCATGTCTGTCGTATAAGAGATGAAGGTCGATGTGCGGTACCCGGTACGCGGATCTTGCAGGGCAAGAGAAGACAAGACAAGACCAGACAAGAAGAGAAATACAAGCGGTCGGAATACTTACCCAGGTAACTAGTTCACTTGCATGGCCATCAGGAAGTACCGTATGGAGTATCTCAAGGAAGGTAGACAGGAATGTATGTCCTCGAGCTATCTCTCCCCCAGCTCTAAGTATAACTTCTACGAACACTAGAAATTAAATTCTGCAGAGCGGGATGATATCATGTTCAATACTCCGTATTTGCCCTTCAACTACGGTAAGGTGCTATGTATTTCTCTCAGGTCTCCCTCCAATGCGCAAGAGAGACGTGGCGAGGTGGGTGGCGAACCATGACCATGACCAGGATAGTAGTGCAGTAAATGAAACCAAATGCATGAGAGACTTAGGCACCTTACTCCGTACAGATTACAGGATTCCTGTTCTACAAATCCATTCAGGCTGACGCTCCGCTCCGCCGCCGTTGGCACTCACTCCTCCTCATGCAGCGTTCATAAGATATGCCATTAGACTAGACCGACTGATTATGTGCGGGCTGTTGTGATATATCATACATAGCCCATGATGGCCCCTATCTTCAACTTGCATTGCCTTGCCTTGTCGTTCAAGGCGCCTCAACTTCCTTTTGATGCCTGCGTCGTCGAGCCGTCGCGTCGTCGCTTATTAGGCGTTGCATGCTGTGACAAGAGCCGCCTTCCTGTCTTCCAAGCTCAAAATGGACCCCAACAGCACCTGCGGCCTGCAACCTGGAGAAAAAACACCCATGCCCAACAATACATTCTTTCTGGCATACCAAGAGATGATGGAGTGCTCCCAGTCTCTCAAGAACAAGTCCATGCACAGGGCAAAGACGGAAGATGGGAGTGCTGTTGGGAGGAGGTGAAAATGCTGAGACTCTGACACGACTTGGTACGCAAGCATTGCAATCATGTCGGCGTGGGAAGGAAAAGGATTAGAAGCTGGTGATACCTCTGTGGCGACATGGACTGATCAAGCTCCCATCTGACAGTTCCATACAATTTGCGACCTCGAGTTAGCGATGCCGAGCATCAAGGAGACAATTCCATCTCATTATCAGCATCATCTTCTTCTCTGTTCGCCGTGCCGTCCGTCGGACCATTGGTAAGGAATTTGTAAGGGCCACCGTTGAGCAATCCGTACATATCATCAAGAGCGATATCCTTCGGGGAAAGCTCTTTGCCGTTCTGAGCAGGACTTTGGCCTTCCGATGCAGGGGAGGGAGTTCCACGGCGGAGAACGGCAAGTCTTCTGCTGATTAGTTCTTGCAAGCTCATCAATCGATCGATTTCACTCTGTTCAACAGCTTCTACCACCTCAGGAGGAGCTTCGCTGACGAGTTGGTTCGTCAGTTCGGCCAATGCGTCGCCAGAGTAGCCGTTGAGACCCTTCTGCGACATCTCGGCTAGAGAAAGAACTGTTTGTTGTTCTTTGATTGAACGATTCCGTAAAGCTGCGTTCGCCTTTGCAGTTTCAGTGATGGCCAATGCGTTTGCACCGGTCCAGAAATCGGGCTCTGGGATCTTGACCTCAGTCTCTTGCGGCGGATGATGTAGTACAGCATTTTCAGGTCGATATTTCTTGCTGCGTATTCTCTTTGGGCCATCCAATATTCTTGGGAACGATTGATCTTCGTACCAGCTCTTCTTGACACGGTCAATGAAATCCAGGCGAATACCTTTCTCTGGGACTCGATAGATCTTGCCCTCCATATTGAATTCTCTCGTCTTATCCAAGTCAATTTCATCTTTCATCAATTCGACCTCGATGATACCATTATTTCTAAACCCGCGTGGTAGAGGAACATCCAATGGCACGGCATTTTTGGGTTTGCGTAGTCTTGGGACACGGCCCATGTCGCCAGGGGCAGCTTCGGCTTGACGACCAATAGCTGTCAGGTCTTGCTCGACATGCAGAGGACAACGCCAGGATGAGGTCGGCTTCCAGTCGGCACGTCGTCGTGGCGGCACCGCAAGTGGTGGGTCGATGCAGTCCAAGTGCCACTTGGCTGGACAAAAGTCGCAAGGGATGATATCGCGACCATTGGAGGTATGACCACACGAATAGCAGATGATGAGATTGCCTTTGCTGTCACGAGTCTCTTTGTAGTTTGGCTCTTCGATGAAACCAGCTCTGTTCATCTTGACCGCATTGTTTTGAGTCCGGGGCAGGCCGACGTCTTCATACTCGCCTTCCTCGCCGGTCTTGACGCCTTCAAAGTATTCCCGGACGTCCTGGGGCAGCGCGAATGCTTTCGGGATCGTATCATCAACTCGGCGAATGAGCGACCCGAGAAGGCCTGTCGGCTTAGTGGTTGATTTTGATCTCTTCGCAATGCATTGCGGGCAAAACCATTCACCGTCAACTTCCTGGTCGGCATCCAACGGTGGCTCTAGGCATGCGTGGTGGAACGAGTTGGTACAGCCATCACAGCAAAGAAGCTTTCCTTCGCCACCGCACGATGCGCAATACTCGTCGTTGTCCTGAAAGATAATAAGGTCAGCCGCTGGTAGGAAGTACATCAAACATTTGATGCAGCGGAGGCCAAAGTCGGCAATGCAGAATTGACCATATGGAGCAAAATTTGTGTTGGCAAGGAACAGGAAAACAAGGAATAGGAAATATCAGGAGAGAGAGAGTGTGTGTGTTAGAAGGGTGGAAGGAAGGGGGAAAGACGAGCCAATCGTGGGAATTGTGACACCCCGAAGAAAATTGGTTCTTGGGCTTACCAGCTCTGCCCCCGAGTCCGCACCGTTTCCGATTGCAACATCTCGCGAAGGCCCCGCACGTGAAATTCCTGCTGTAATTCCACCATTCTTAGGCTTGTTGGGTCTGTTGATAATGTTAGTGAAATACTCAGCATAGACAATATGTGCAGCGTGATTGTTGAAGGATTGCCGCGCTGGGGTACGCAGATCAGTGTGGCATATCCATTCTCGGCGCTGACAATGACTCGATCATGTCAAGGCCGCGGCATCTTAGGGATACCCAAGTCAGGAGCATGGAAGGGAAGATAAAGCACTTACGAGACCATCACACGTGCAGATTTTCGAATGCCCTTCTGCAGTAGCGGAAATCTGGTAGCTCTCGGGGTTGCACCTCGTGAGGCAGCGTTTGCCACGCCCGGTGGCGGCGGTGGTACCAGCGACGGACCCGGCGATGATGATATGGAAGTAGCAGTATCAATCTCGTCCGTGTCGATCTCATCGTAGACTCTCTTTCGTCCAGCCCCATTGATCAAGATGGTATCAGGCGGAGCCCGAGCGCTGACTGGTGATGACAGATTGGCGTTTGAGGTTGGTAAACGATTCGGATGAATCACTGGCGGAGGCGGTCTCTCACCCACGTCAATAAGTGTGGGATGACCATGAACCAGCTCCCGCTCGTTACTCTCGGGTCGAGGGATGGTGTTGTAGTCGTGAAAGGTGTCAAGGAGGAAATCACTCTTCCGCTGAGAAAGCTCATCAATGTCGAACTCAGGCTCAACAGGAGTTTTCTTCACTTTCTTGGATGCGACTTTGGCGGCAGTTGAGGATTCGGGAACTGGCAGTTTTCCAGCAGATTGATGATGTGTGGCACTTGCAGCTGAACGGAGTCGATTACCAGCTGTTGCTCGGCTTGTGGCTTGGCGCTGGTTGGCTGACCTGGATCGCCCACTGTTACCACCCAGCCGGGCGCGGGCCAAAAGAGGGCCAAAATCATCAGGAATTGATCGTGCCGATGAAAGTGATGAATCGCTTGATACACTTCGAGTTCGCTTCCGCTTGTTCGGTGACGTGGTGGGCAGTGGGATAGGTCTCAAAGCCGGATCGATGAGATCCATGTTGCGTGGCGTCGTAGATGGTGAAATTGTCGAGTCCTCGGGTTCGTAAGGCACTGGAGCACGGGAACGATTGAAGTAAAGAGAGATTCTGGGGTTTGAGACTTGCGAAGGAGCTTTCGCGTTGAGATCGGGCTGAGCCGATTTTGGTGAGCGAGGAGAAGTGAGGTCGTCGTGTCGAAGAGGAGAAGACTGATATGGACTGGCTGATATTTGACTCGCGCGTCTGTGTTGTTTGACGCCCGATTTGATGTAACGTTTGAAGATTTTGAACTGTGCGGCATTGGGTGACTGCTGAACCACGGCCTCCAAAACATTCCACAAATCTGGCATCGATTGAGCATCCTCACGAAGTCTCTCCAACCCAGGCACCAGATCTGCCGATCCTCGTTCCTGGGCTTCGTGGACAGCACGCTCGACGTGGTTTTGAAGCCGATCTCGGCGGAGATGCTCTTGTATTGATGGAGGTTTGGGCGATATGTAGTTCGTGGGGGTAAGGGACAATTTTGCCGGCGATGGCGATACGTCCACAGCTTGTGACATCTCCGCAACCTCTTTCCGTGGTGGTCGGCCACGCGGTGGACTCGAAATGACAACCGTATCTTCCCGTCGAGGTGGTTCAGGCGGTTGATCCGACAATATTTCCGGCTCCTGGGATGCAGCGACATCCATCTTTTCAGGCTCTGTGACCGTTGGCAGTACACCCTCGGGCTGAACGGGAGTAGGTCTAGGTGACGGCCGAACATAATTCAACTTCAGCTTCTGCAGCAGCCGCTGGGAAGGAGACACGCCCAGTGGTTGCATGTTTTCCAGCACACCCACTCTCTCCAGCCCTTTTGTGTCCTCGAAACTCGGCACCGCAGGACGGACGGGAGGCTCGATCCATGTGTCCAGGCTCGTCTGTTGACGATGCGTCGCTACCGGCGCCTCGACGGGCTTGGAGGGAGCATCCTTTTCACCAAATGTGGCCGGACTCGAGTAGCGGCTCGATCTGTGCCGTAATGATCTGGTAGCCATGCTGCTTCTTCTCCGCGCCGCTCGCGGTGACTGCACGAGAATTAGTTCAGGGACACGTCAGGAGATGGACGGATAGGACTTACAGTAGCCCGCAACAAGGCTCAGCGGGCTGACTGCGCAAGACGGAAGGTGTGGGAAGAAGGCAAAGTTGCTATGATGGAAGCACAAACGCAAACTAGCGAGATGCAAGAGATTCGGGCAAGGGGCGCCGGCCTTTGGATTTAGTGGGAACTCGGCTGCAACCCCCAAGGCTGAGATCTCCCTCCCCTTTTGTTGTGATTACAATAGTAATGGTACCTTGGTAACAATCCTAGATTCACTCAATAAGAACGCCACATGTCAATGACCAAGGTTTTACTCATGACTCTTTCAAACCATGTGAATAATTAGCCAGCATGCATCTTGCGTGATTGTATTCACTTACAAGCATCACTGCCAGGCAACAAGTACCGCAATATTGTGACGTGGCGAGATTTACGGGGCTGCCTTGCCCACCCGGGCTTCTACTCAAGGCCCTACACGGCCCTTACGACCACATGGGAAAATTTCATCAATCTCACTGTGGGCCATATTGTTGTGTTCATTTGTATTCAATGGCTTTTGGTATTTTGGTATCTCTTCTAATCCGTCCTATGCCTTCATTGACTCGATGCTCTTCAAGAGGATAGATGCCATGGGATCGTGTGCTTCAGCCCTAGCGGACATTGACCTGAAACACGCTTCCTCAGGTTGACCGAGGGGCGCATCGAGCGTCCAGCCACCTCATCGGCATCGGTTGTTCACCCATTTCCATGCTGGCAGTCATATCTGAGTGACGGTCTCATGCTTGGGACAACTCGGAAGCAGTCTGTTGATTAATGGAAGCTTGACTGTTCATTCGTCGTCGCTAGACTCGTCTGAATCGTCCTCTTCTTCAGCTGCAGCCTTCTTGGCAGGCTTCTTCTTCTTCTTCTTGTTCTTGCTCTTCGAACCCGTGGATTTGCTTGTTGGTCGCTCAAGGATCTTCAGAATTTCTTCATCCTCGATCTTCTTGTCGGACTTGATCGAGTCTAGGTCCAAAGCAGGAGGTGCTGCTAGACGCGTAAGACCGTTCTTTGTGATCGCTGAAGAAACAGTCAGCTAAATGTCAAGAACCATGTTCTGCCGCGGCTTGACTTACCAACAGTGGTAAACAGCCGCGAGACCGCAGATCCATCGGCTTCTGCGGAAGGCTTGTACTCGCGAAGAACGCCAGCTCTGATAGACTCGATGACGCCCACCTTTGCAGCTTTCTCGTCCTCCAATTGCCGCAGGCTGAAGGGAAATGTGCCGAACTTCTTGACGATTTCTGACAACGTTTGCCTGGAACTTGGCCGCTTTAGACCGTATGTTGTATTGGTTCGTCTTAGCAGAGTTGACCGCTTGTCCAATTCCTTGACTTTGCCCGATCCTAAACTCATGCCCACTTCGACACCCCAGACTTCGCCAACTTCTGGCGTGCCATCACCTTTCGATCCGTCAGCTGGGGCTAGGATGATCTTCTTCTTCCCTTCAATGTCATTGCGCTCAAACAGCCATGATGTAGTGTGTTGGACTACGTTCACTTCGTACGCTTTGGCAATCTTCTCAACGAGGGAGATGATCTTGCTCTGCGTTGGTGCTTTCTCCGCTGCAGCCTTCTTCTTTTCGTCCTCCGAGCCAGTGGCCAGCAGCCCAGGAGGGACCATCAGCCTCAGGAGAAGCTCATTGGCGTAGTGTGTAGCCAACAGCAAGTCCGCCTCTCTGCCAGTGATCTCGGCCTTCTTTCCCTTCTCTTGTGGCACGACAACAGTATCTCCCACAATTGCGCCATAGCCGTCAATCTGTGCTCCCAGCTGAATCTTGACGACTTCGCCCGCCTTGATCTTCAGTTCGGCATCTTCGGTGTCGGACTTAAGAGGGGTGAAGGGAGTAACAAAACTACTCGGACTGATCGTAACCGGGGTATTGGTGCTTTTTATAACGCTCTTTCCTTTGTAGACTGTCGAAAGATGTCCAGTCAGAGTTGTTCTGCTGAATAGCGATTTTTGCTTGACAGTCAAGCATTGCACTCACCAGTTCCGAGTCTTTTCTCTACCAGCTCGTCTCCACGCTCACACAGGTCGATGATCTTTTCACCGTCGGCCAGCCAACCTATTGTTCTGTTAGCACAAAGTTGGTCGTGTGAGGAAGAGGGGCTCAGTGGACTTTTGACTTCTTCTAGAACAGCGAGTGCGATCGAAGCTGCGGTGCGGTACTTGGTCAAAACATCTGGGTTCAAGACGGTATCTTCAACAGTGTCTGCCATGTTGACTATGAGTAGGAGACTGACTGTGGGAAAGAATGGATTTTTGGTCCAGGTAGCAGTTTGAACACTCGAGCAACTCAAAGTGTGCAGGCGCTCTCCGATCCTGAGCCTGGCGCGGGGTTGCCAAGCCATCCGGCAGCCTCGAGGAATTGAAGCCAGTAAGGCTGTGGGCTGCACTGACCGACATCAATACAGTACACCGGTCACCCACCAGTCACCCACCGGTCACCCAAGAGTTACAATAGCCGGCGACCCCTTACATGCCCACTATTTTATTATTGCTGATACCACGGGACCAGGACTTTCAGAGGGAGACACTCAGAGGCCGGGAGCCTGCCCCCGAGGGCCTTTTCCTGGACAACGACGGTTCGAGTAGAATGGCAGCCACTATTGGGACCATCAGGACTAACGCTGGGAATCTCGAAGCATGAAAAATGTGCATGTTGGAAAGGTTTTCCTTGTACAGATATAACGTTATGGAGGCTTAGCCTTTTGCCTGCCGCTCTTCCACATTGGATCTGTGCTGCCGGTTCTTCAAATGAGCTTCGAATCCTTCGGCTGTCATTCCTGGACCTGGCATGTAGGTTTTGCCCGGACAATCCCGACAACGAATGCGAGGGACGTACTTGTGCACAAACGACCGGTTCGCCTCGTTTGGTGTGATAAGCTTCTGTGTCTTCGGATCGATGGCCGTATGTTTCATGAGTGCCTCAAAATGGTCATTGGGATAGACCTTTTGAAGTCTCTCGATATCTCGCGCGAGCCAGTCAGGTGGCGCAGGCTATATGGTTGTCAGCGCATGAGAAGCATTGACCAAGACGAATACTTACTGCAGGATGCGACGGACCCGGAGGATGCCAGGTAGCATCAACAGCACCCGGAATCTCTGTAGGAGCTCCGGCGGGCGACGGTGGGGGAGGCATAACAGCCAGATTCAACGGAGCAGCCGGGGCAGCTGACACAGACCTTGAATGCGTCCCTGCCCGAGGACTACCTTGATTTGAGGCATTCGCGACAATGCCAGCCCTATCCCTCAGTCGCTGTGAACGCGCCCATTCACGGAGTTTGGTTTTCCCCATTTTCAGAACGACCACTAGTTTCTCTGGAGCAGAGTCCTCGTCGTCACTTTCCTCCTTGTAGTCCCTCTTTCTCGCTGAAGCGCGTCCTTCGTGATGTGACGGTGCGACTGATTCAGGCGTTGCTGACCTCACAGACGCCAGACCACTGAGATTGGATCGGATACCCGCTGTTGCCGTCAAAGCGGCGTTGCGGGCACTCCTGATTCGGGTCCCTTGTTGCAACAAGTGCGTAGGTATAGCTGGTGAGTCTGGACCAGATTCTTCGCTGTCTGAGTCATCGGAGTCCTCAAACCCATCTCGTTGACCTGCTCCTCGGGTCGATCGTCGAGTGGCTTTGGGAACCCTAAAGATTCGACTTTCTTCCATGCTGAATGCACCTCCCGGAATAACAGATGACACCACGAGCGATCTTATCGTCCGTTGGCGGTCTTTCAGATCCGGAAGAGCAGGGCCACCGCGCCTATTGGTCGACCGTTTCTGTCTTCGCTGCTCTCTTGAGATGGAGAGCTCTGTGCGTTCAAGATCCGCATCGTTGAGCTCGTAAAGATAAGGTGAGTAATCTTTGGCTGATTGATAAGGGCGAAATGTGACAGGTATAGGTGACGGTAGGAAGTTCTCTCGGAGATCGGGATCTTCAATAGGTCTACCGTCGAATGGATAGCCCGTGATATGTAGGGATTTAGAAAACAACTGACACTGTTCGCGTATCGAGTGCGCGATCGCGGTCGTAAACTCTCCTGCCAAAGACAGGTCGTTTGTCATTTGGCGTGCGAATTCTTCTGGGGAGTTGTAAGGATTGTTAATCTCCCACTCGAATTGATCGATAAGGGTGTTTTGACCAATGGTTATGTTGAGCTTTATTAAAATGCGCATCTCATCGTTCTTGTATGCGAAGTACGGTAGCAGCGGTTCCGAGGGCTCTTCGTCGGTATAAATCTGCGGACAGTAGTCGCTGATTTGGTCTCGCATACTGGTTGCAACGGCCTGTACGAGCGGACGACAATGCTGGACCTCGAGACTAAAATCCTCAACCAGTTTCTCGGCAAAGTAGTCCAGCGATGTTGTGCGATCATTGATGTTCCACGTAAATGTGTCACGTAATTTTATCTTCCCCCAATCGATGTCGAGCCGGATAGGGATAAGTTCTTCAGGTTGTTCAGCCTGGCCCATCTGGTCTTTCCTAGACACTTGGGGTGGCAGCGTTTTCCTTTTGCCCGGTCTTCTCTGTCGAGGGTATATGATAGGGTCGCGGATGGTTTTGTCGTCCGTTCTGGGATTGCCAAAGCCTTCATAGCCATACCCAAAGATGGAACCGGGGTCATGTTCGCGTCGCGGGCGCAGGGTCTGGTACAGTGCGAGCTCTTGTTTTTTCTGCTGTGACAGAACAGGGTGGTGAAGTTGCTCGGCTAGGAGGCCTTTGTAGTGATATTCGCGCTGGACGTACTCATCGGCTTGTATTCGTTCAAGAAGGGTTTCGCGTTTTCGCTTTCGGTTGCGGTTTGGACTAGGGCTGGCGCGGTGACCATTGGTTTCCGCAGGTGTATCATTGGTCGTGACATCGATGCCAGAGGCAGCCAATACCTCTTTGGCCTTTTCCTTGCCTTGGGCGATGGCGTCGGCATTGTTGGAGGTCGGAGTGGATGAATTCTCTACCGGCGCGGTCACCGTAGTCGCGCCATCAGGGGAATTGCTCATGGCGACAACATGTCACTGGGGAATCGCGGAGACGCTGGCTGGATGTGTATCGGCGCGCGGACGCGTTGCTGGTGATAGAAGTTAGCCATTGGGCCCAATATTGGGATGGAATTGTGGTAAAGGAGGCTGGGAGGTACTCGTTTGGTGGGAAGCAATCATCACCACATCGAGCCGTCCTCACCAGATCCTTCGGGAAAACATCGAAAACAATCAATCGAAGGGAATTGCATACCAAGTATCGCCTCGGTCTAAGTCGATGGGCAGAAACGTGTCTGGGATGGGATCATTTCTCGTCAATCCGCAAACTGCGCCGCAAGTTTCGCGTCGGAGCCAATCCCGCCGAATCAGGCTTAGCCTCGAAATCTCAGGAGCCAACCTCGATTCATCTCATGAGGGCGGCGGTGACATGCTCTGTATGTACGAAGTCATTGTCAACAGTCTACTAGTCCTGAGTCCTGAGTCCTGAGAATTCACTGGATATCTGCAATACAGACTTATAAGACTGGTAATCACTGTGTCGAAGATAGGCCTACTGTCCAGATCCCTGCCGACCTTGTGTCAGAGCCTTGTGGCAAATGTAACCCTTGCTTGAGACAACTTCCCGGCACGCCCTTGTCATATTCATTGTGTACTAATATGTAGTCCAGCGGAAGCCCAAGAGCAGAATGATGCGCTCCTAGAACCTTTTTACCAAAGTCTGTCTCTTCTCGCGGGTAATGCTCCGTCTGGCCATGCTGAGGACCGTTGAGGCAACAAATGACGCAAATGTGCAATCCTCATGTCATTTGAAGTTGGTCGTCTCGCCGTCTGGCTTGAACCAACTGTGACCAACTGTAGAACCTCTAGAATCCGTCTGAACCAGCGGCCGTCATGCTACATGTCTGTACTGAGTTGATTGTCTCTTTTATCGTCGTTTGAGTCTCCTATGCCCGATTTGTTCAAAGTTCCAGATATAAATTGCTTTGTCCGTTTAGCAAGACCTCAGCATCAGCAATCGTAAGATACCACTCGAAATGGGCGACACATCTCTACCGGACGTCCCAACCACAGCCCTTGACCACTCCGAATCTTCATTCAACCTTCTTCCCCTTAGGATCCTGACGCACAACATCCGATATGCCAACGACCATCCAGACGCCCACGAGTGCAAATGGCCGGAGCGTTTCCCCCATCTGTCCAGCCACTTCAAATATCACACCCGCACACACTCCTCCCCGCCATCAACAATAGTCTGCATGCAAGAAGTCCTGCACCACCAACTCCAAGATCTGATGCGCAACACCTTCAACTCCTCGCACCCTGCTGACTGGACCTCCATCGGCGTCGGGCGCGATGATGGCGCGACCAAGGGCGAATACAGTCCCATCCTCTTCCGTCAGTCTGCATGGCAGTGCACGCACTCTGAAACCGTCTGGCTCAACGAGACTGGCGAAGTCGGCAAGAAGGGCTGGGACGCATCGAGTGTTCGCATTCTCACCTGCGCCGTCCTGAAATCCAGGCTTTCCTCTTCACCGACGGATCCACATGACGGAGCGGGCAGCAAGACGATACTCGCGTTGAACACGCACCTGGACGATCAAGGTGAGGTGTCCCGTCGTGAATCGGCAAGATTGATCATTGCAAAGGCCATCAGACTCCAAGACCTGTACCACCCGGACTTTACGTTTCTTGCAGGCGATTTGAATAGTCGGCCCAGTGGAGATGCATATCGTCTCCTCAACACTGCTCGTTCTGGTTTCGTGGACACGCGACGGCTGATCCCTGACGACGGCAACATAGACGGCATGATCTATGCATATGGGAACGAGAAGACATTTACCGGATTCGAAGGCGACCCGGCCGCGGAAGGGAAGCATAGGATCGACTTTGTCCATTTGGGTATCTCGAAAGACGCCGACGAAGAATCGTCGGAGCTGGAGAAGGCGAAGAAGATGGTTCAAGCGTACGGTGTTCTTCCCAACAGATTCGATGACAAGGTCTGGATGAGCGATCATCGCGCTGTAGTTGTAGATCTTCTCATCTGATCTGGAAGTCAAGTTTGTTTCGGCGTCTACGAACCTGTTAGCATTGGCAGCGGAAGATAATCTAGTTTTGGAAGCATCCAAGGAACGTTGCGATCGTAGGCATTGTTTGCAATAGGCAGATCTGCATGTCAGAGTAGGTCCCCAGCCGTTCAGCCGCGCCTAGCGACCTGAGACCTACGCTGCGCCAGATGCACAGTATCAACCTCTCCATACTTCACCTCCTCCCTCTTGAAATGCTTACTTGCCGTACTAAAGTCACTCTCCTCATCCAAGCTCCCGATCCTTCCCAGCAACTTCTCAAGATGCCTGTAGGCCACGCCAGGCTGGTAGCCAGGGACCTCATGCCCGGACAGCTCCACGGTACTAAACGTCAATCCGCGGTCTTCGACCCAATGTCCCAAGACACCACTGCCTGACTGCGGTACAAGTCCCTGCGGATAATCTGGTACCAATAGATCCTTCGTTGGCGGGGCTGAGAACCCCTGTTGTCCGTTCCACGTGAGATTCTGCAGTGCGAGCAAGCTGCCATTGACCATGAGAACCATATCGAGCAGTCCGTGGCCAATTATGGTATTGTTCGTGCGCTCGATGACGGTCTTCAAGGGCCCGTTGTTGGCGGCGGACGGTGGGGAAGAGTCATACTGCTGGCCGAGTGAATTCTTCTTGAAAACCCCAGTGCTGCACAAGCTCCAGTCAAACGATACAGGAGCATGGATGGCTTTCTTCACGTCCGAACGGTTGAAGTATATCGCGGGCGACCCAGCTGCATTCTTATGATACGGATCGCCGATAATATCGCTTGGGTATTCGCAACTTTGCCCGATATAGTACAGGTCGAAGCAGGGGTTCATCTCTGTGGCTACTGTGGCATTTGTCAGTGGAACATACTCACATTGCGCAGGACAACCATATACTAACATGTCTCCATCAGGTAAAACAAGTTGCAGTCGCTGTTGTTGAGGTAGCTGCTGCTTGTACCGCCTTGCATGACCTCCAATATCTCTGGCACCGCGATGAGGCCGGTGGGCGGGAATGTGCTGGCTTGCTCCATCATGTCTTTGTAGCCGCATGTTTCCGAGATGTTGTTCATGACCTCGATGGTATCATCATCAAATGGAAAGCTAATGCATTGTCAGAAAAAATCTGCCGTCCACTTTCGATGGAGGGAGCCCGGAGTGAGACGAAGCAAAAGACTGTGTTGGGGAGCGGGGGTTCTTAAGGCAGAGTATTGGAATCTGGGGTCTGGGGGTGGTTTCGTGGTTTCATACAGGTTCTTGTTTGCCATGACAAAGTCCGCCACCGGTGCACTCGTTGTAACTGCCTCGTCACCCAGTATAGGGTCATAAATCAAGATGCCAGTGACATTATAGTATGATTCAAACTCCTTTCCAGTCTTATTGAGCATGGCTTCGGCGATATAGGGCACCTGCCGTCCCTCATGTCAGCGATATAATAGTAGGCGAAGAGAAAATCAGTGGCACAATCGAACGAAGGAAGCGGACACCAGCGGTCATTCCCGGAACTTACATAGTTTCCAGCGTAGCTCTCGCCAGTAATCGAGATTTTGCGCCCTTTCATATCGAAGGTGTCAATGAAATTCTTCCAGAACCCGAGGAATCCAGCGGCGACCTCGATTTCATTGGTATAATTTCCAGCTGTAGACATGGTCAGCAGCAGTCTATAACAGGAGCCTGTGTCAATAAAGGCAACGACTGGCATTGTCTGCCAAGATCACTCTAGTGACATTGCAGCAACAGCGGTCAAGATGTTCAATTGATGTCAGGAACTGCTCCTCTCAAACCAGCCACTGTCTCGCAGAATAGGTTCTTACTCTCCCAAAGATCCGTTTCTTCTGGCCGCAAAGCTAATCCATAATCGAGAAAGACTCACCTCCAGCGCTACCAGAAAACCCCGTGCCTGCAGGCTGCTCGACCCAGACCACGTTCGTAAGGTTTGTCCAAGAGTAGACGTTCGGAATAGGGGCTAATTGCCCTTTCTGCCAACTTATGGGTCCGTTTTCCTGTAGAAAGCCCATCAAAGACGAGCAACCAGGACCGCCGTTCAGCCATATCGTAATCTCATTGTCTGCCGCCGGGTTTTGCGAGGGTACAAACCAAAAGAACAATTCTCGGCCCTCTTTGTCCCCATGAATGGGGATCAGGCCAGAATAGCTCTCCCCAATGTCCCAATGAATGTCGGGTAGGTGCGCACCATCGACAGCATAGGGTTTCGTTTTGTTGGTCAGATACTGGTGGTTGACGGTGGCTCGGGCTTCATGTGGCAAGGCGACGATGCTCACTGGCAGGCCCAAAAGACCAGCCAGCGTGCATAGGAGAATGGAATGATACATTGTGACGACCGAGGACGTAATATGACAAGACTTCTCAGCCGGCTGCCAGGTCTACCCACCCATAAGTACTTTTCTTGGGTCCCAATAATGGCATTGTGGCTATTTCAAGAGATGTTGCCGCTTGGGGCAACAGTTCCTTGCTAGGACGTATAGAACTCGTAGAATCGGATCCTGCTGTGCTAGGATACCTGCAGCCTTCGAGGGAGGCTGCATCAAGCCCGGGAGAGGTGAGATCTAGTTCCTTCGGCCCCCAAAAAGGGTACAGGCTCTCTGTGGCTTGATTTTTATGATGCGCAATATATTGCTAGCTTCCAACTAGATGGCACGCAGTCAGATTATTCTAACGAGCCTTAACGCAGAGTAACGATCAACAGAGTGCTCAGACTCACGATCCAGGGCACCAGTTTCAACGCACGAGGTTTGGAGTATTGATGTGGATACGCCAGTAAATGGTGTGCAACCTGACAGCAAGAGCTTGGACCGCCAGCTGGCACGGCAGACCGCATATTGAGCTGTCGATGCACCATCTTTCTTTGGAACATTTACTCCACATACGGAGGACTGTAGTGTACTCGTATGAAAAGTTCGTCACAGCGCCATTCAGCCGCAGCCTGGGACGAAATGTTTGCGCTCCGTTTGGGGGGTTTTCACTCTTGTAGGAAGGCGCTAACAGGTGGCATGGTCAGACCAATTCTCAATACTTACTGAAAGACCAAGATTCGTATTCCTCGGAGCGTTCAACAGACCCGTGGAGGATATTATCGAATAGTTCGCCGCTGGATAGTAGCGTGCATCAGTAGTTGTCAACATGGTAGCGCCAATTGAAGACATTAGGATATCACGCTTCAATGCTCTTCGCCATACGCAAGACTCAGCAAGCAGCCAGGCTTGTGCTCCTGATGAAGATGAGAGACTGGGTGCTGGTGTCCGAGAAGAAAGGACACCAGAAAGGCCCCATGATGGCCGGGGCCGAGTCAGGTGTCTGTGAATCACTCCAATTGTTTGACTCGGAAAATCTGTTATGACCTTCCTGCGCCCAAACTTTTACAAACTCTCAACACTGACATTGCAGGCAGCCAACTATTCGAGTTGCTGTCACAAAACAACAGGCCGGGATATGTAACGACGCACTTGTCCTTCGAAGTCCCCAACCCCAGAATCCTCCAACCCCTGATGTTGTGTTACAGAGTGCCACTGCTTCTGCCACGTCCGTGACGACGAATGGATGGTTTACAAGGACCACTCAATGGGCTGAAGTATCATACCTCTACTTCAGGATAGCATTTGGCAAGCAAGACAGAGAGAAGAAAGAGCGGGAGAACCAAGGACGCCCGGTCTTTTGTCGAAAACGGGCTAGAAGGCCACAGCGAGTGTCTGTGAGCAGGGCAGAAGACCTTCTTGGTGAGATGGATACAGCTACGAAGCGTGATACAACCTCAGACGCTGTACCGACTGCGAAGTTTTTGCAAGGTGTGTCTCATCAGCGGCACGTCAGTGTCATAGGCGGCCTCCTTGCTGCCTCATCGTGTTCTGCCGATTTTATTCAAACCTGTGCACTGACAAGTATTAGCACGTATTACGGCACTCTCGACGACTCTAATCAAGAGACTGGAGAACATCTTCGCTGTTGCTTTAGATGAGACCGGCGCACCAGCAGCCGGTTCTGCTGGAGGCGATGCTCCTCTCCCACCATCGTTGACCGATACATCAGTTCAGCAATTCCAACTTGATGTCGAGTCTACAGCGGTGATCCGCGCAGCAGAAGAAATCACGATGTTGACCCGGACATTGAAAGAGATCTGGTTATTCGGTGGGCTGGATACGCTCGACAAAGATCACCAAGATGCCGACGATGAAGCCATGAAGAAGAGGATGGAAGAAGACATCAAGGTCGTAGAAGAAGGCTTCAAAAGATTCCTCGAAAGGTATGAGACAGCTATTGACCTTGACAGCAAAGCTGCTGAGGCATGATCTGCTATTCTACCTAGACAATGTGATGTGGAAGGTGCATTGAGCTGAACGCGAATCTTTTTGATATCCCATGAATAAACAGCCAATCGTGAGCCTCGCTCGATTGCTTCTCCTGGAGATTGTCCAGATCTCGATCTTTAACACGCTGTGATTTACTCAAAAGGATCGATCATGCGTTTCATGATTGTTTCCGGAGACGACAAAGTCCACACAGGTCCACACAAGTCTAAATGTTTCCGAAGACTGATATCCACTTGCTGGGCTCCAGAAAGCACCTCCACGCACCTCCCACCAAAGCGTCACCCTGGTAAACGCTTCTTTTTTTATTAGTACTTGTAGTGGTCTGACCCCCCAGAATGGATGGTCTAGAACTTCAGCATTTTTGCCGACAACACATCCTTTATCTTCAGCTGCCAAGGTGTGCGATCTATCGAGTCCAGAAACCCATGATACCAGCATCCTGGCATGTGCTGCATCATTCGAATTAGAAGTTGTTGATCTATTCGAGGTGGTGTCTGGCGCGCGTTGTCAACACGCTGTTATCCAGCATCAACCCACTGCGAAAGTACCGCGAACGCGAAAGCGACGCGCTTTCTATCCAACATCTACTTGTTCAAAGGATATCTCTCTGCTTCCAGGAATTTCAGCCAGATTTGAAATATGACCACAATACCGACGCCTCCATCGACAACTCTGTCAGAACCCCCCTCGCCAACGGAACGACCAACAACAGTAAGCTTCATTGACCCGTTTGAGGACGACGATGAGAACAAAATGTCTGCAACGAAACGCATTATTAAGACCACCACCACGACCATTACTCCCATAAGGCTGCATCCAAAACCTGTTTATGTGATAGTGGCGACCAGTCTCAACCCGCCCATGGGCATCGGCAATCAAGGCGATCTCCCCTGGCCACCTATCAAGGCAGACATGGCGTTCTTCAGGAAAGTCACTTCCCATATCGCCCCTTCAGAAGCAGCGTCCACCTCCCGCGCATTCAACGCTGTTGTCATGGGTCGGAAGACCTGGGAAAGCATTCCCGCCAAATTTCGACCACTATCAAACCGAGTGAACGTTATAATCACACGAAGCAAATCCAGTGATCTAGGTCGGCGCATCATCGAGCAATTGAAAACCTCTCAGGGAGAAAATGGCGAGTGGACTCTCCACGAATTTGCAACGAGCTCAAAACCTCGAAAGTCCAAACCGCTCGGCACGAACAACGCCAGCACCATTCTCACACCTCCTTCATCTACTCCGGCACAAGCTCCAATCCTGATCACACCATCGCTACCGTCAATCCTCTCGATGCTCTCGAAATCAACCATAACGTATAAACCCTCCGGCCCCAGCACCGAATCAACAGCCCAGTCGATCACAATCAACAAAATCTTCTGCATTGGTGGTGCCGAAATATATCGCCAGATCCTCTCAATGTCCTCGGTCTACTCTGACCGGGTCCCACTGAGCAACGCGACCAATCAACCGGACTCTGAGACCGAAACCGATACGGACGGCGAAGGAGAAGGCGACAGCGCCTTCGATGTGCGCATCCTGCAGACGCAAGTCCGCAAGATCCCGTCCCCAGAATCTACATCGTCATCGACGAACCTCTGCAAGCAACGCTCACCCGAACCAGACTTTGAATGCGACACCTTCTTCCCGGACTTGTTGCCGGCAGATCCGACGATCAAATCTGCAAAGTGGAAACCCTTACTGGCCCAGTGGCTGAACGAATGGATTGATGGGGTAGAAGTGCCGCAAGCACAGGCCCAGCGACAATCAGAAGCCGATGCTGACTCTGTGTCCAGTGGCTGGTACAAGGATGAAAAGGCCGGCATCGAGATTCGTGTGGTCGGATGGGAGCGGCGAGGCGCGAGGAGTGACTCTGTTATTAGCCTCCCTCATAATTTCAAGGCATGATCGAAGCAGAACCTCCTGGGACGCTTTGGGTCTGTTTATAGTAGGTGCTTATTGCGACATTGGGAGCCACTGCAGGCTATTTAGGTGCCTTGTCCATTGGAAAGATAATTTGGAATGTAACGGAAAGTCCGCGTGACCAGCAGTATCATGGATGTACCTTCGAGAAAAGGACTAGAGATAATCTACCAAGATTTGACCGAGTTCTTGGAAACGAACTACATCAATGAAGGTCCACTTCAAGATGAAATCAGGCGTTGCTCAAACAGCACCAAATGATGGTATCAATACTAGTAGCTTCATCATCCCTCACGTAAAAGGATCGTGGTCAAAGCCACTCCCTACAAAAGCTTAACATCATAGCCCTATTGGCTTAGTAGTTCTCCCCTCCATACCCTCCAGCTTGCTCTCTCTTCTCGGCACCCCGTTCCTTCAACTTTTCACTCTTGAACATATCACCGGCCTTCTCCATGAGCTTTCCGGCAGTGCTATCCTTCTTTCCACCAGATTGGTCATCATCGTAGCCCCCGGCGCCGTAACCACCTTGTTCTTGGCCCCGAGTGCGACCAGCGCCCATACCGTAGTCATCATCACGACCGGTAGCCGCGCCACCAGTTGCGCCAGCGCTGCCGTACGTATCATCGGCGCCTGTTGTTAGGTACGTTAGCCCAGGCCTAAGGAGCCCTCGAGAAAACAAGTGGAAAAGCAAGACATACCGAGACCACCACCAGTGGTACGACCGGACGATCCATAACTGTCATCGCCGCCATAGCCACCAGTACCAGTACCAGTACCTGTGCCCCGGCCTTCACCACGGCCAGAGCCAAGGCCATATTCGTCACGGCCACCCGTGGCACCTCCGGTCAAGCCTGAGCTGCCGTACGTATCGTCGGCGCCTTTGTTTCCAAGTCAGCAAGCTTCAAATAGGGTGTGGATTGACTCTTACCAAGACCACCACCAGTGCGACCGCTACTATAATCCCCTCCTAGGTCCCGACCGCTCTGATCACGGGTATAGTCTGGTCCTCCAGTGCGGCCGGAGCCCATGCCGAATTCGTCACGGCCGCTAGTGGCACCACCAGTTCGGCCACTGCTGCCATAGGTATCATCGGCTCCTTAAGAACTGAGTCAGACGATGGCGAGACCTTGTAGATCCTGGAAGGGAAACATACCGAGGCCACCTCCAGTGCGACCTGACGAGCCAAAGCTGTCGTCACCTCCGAAGCCACCAGTGCCTCGACCACTTCCAAAGTTGTCATCGCCAGTGCGGCCAGAGCCATAGGCGTCATCACCTAGGCCACCGCCCTGTCGACGGCCAGAAGACTGAAGAGAGTCAGAGAAATGAGCATAACAGGAAGAAACGCCTTCATCATACCCCGAAGTTGTCATCACCCAAGCCACCTTGACGTCCGCTGGAGCCCTGGTCCAAGTCAGAGGCGTGCAATGGAGAGAGAGCGCGAAGGATTGTTTACATAGCTATCATCACCGAAGCCACCGCCACGTTGCTGGACTATGTTAGCATGCGAGCTGACAAGGACAAGCGAATTGAGCATACGTTGTCATCGTTGTAAGACATCGTTGCTTTTGGGTCAGGTCGTATGTTCAAGTAGAGGGAAATAAGGTCAATATAGAATCTGATTTTGTGATTCCGAGATAGCAGTAGACGTTTCACTTCTCTTACTTCTCCAAGGCAGACAATGCAAACAATATATACGACCACGAGGAGGGCACTAACTTCACGCCTTGCTTCCACGATGCCCGGTCACGTCAGTTGCACCTCGTAAATCGCCAGGAACATCCAAGCCTACGTAAGTCTTCACGAGCTCAGCCAATGACTTAGCAAAACGCGGGGTCGTGGAACCAGAGACAGGCGCAGAACAGACCGAGATCGTGTTGAGAATCAGGCCTGGAAAGCTTCGTCATGGCTTTGGAGAGCTATTGGTCGTCGTGAGTGCCTCGCTGACATTTGAAGCTTGGATCGGGTGTCACCCTCAGACAGGTTTGTGTCGAGTAGTCGAGGAGTATGGAGAGGAGAGTTTGGCAGTGCATGGAAGACGGGTAGTGACGGCTGAATGGGACAAGCATGTTCAAGGTGGTATGAAAGTTGGTTCGGGATCGCGCATCATTTCCCCCCGCACTGTCCTCGAACTCCTTTTCTGGACGCTTATGACGTGGCACCTTTTATGTCAAAAGTCCAAAATCTTGGATATCTTTCTCGACCAGCTTTGTACCTGCTCCAGCAAGTTCGCCGTCATGGAGTGCTGGTGTGGCGCTTGACGGTACTTCCACCCTCGAAATCGAGCCCTGATCGACTGTCCTTTCACTCTCCCTCCACTCCCCCTCCTATGTTCAGCTCGATCACCCACCCAATTGGTCCGTCAGGCCAGAACAACTTCATCCTCAGCCTCCTGCTTCGTCTCAAGTCTGCATGATTCAGATCTGCAAATATGCCCCTGTCGAGGAATGCTTAGATGTGGCGTTGATCAACAGCAGTAAGCAAGGTTCAAGCCACAACAGTCACCCTTGCGGTGTGAACTGTTCAAGCTTAGTGTGTTCACCCTGGTTGTTGGCTGATTGACACCTGATGAAGCAGTTGTAGATCGAGATCTTCAGCTTGTAGACTGGTGAACTTCAGATGACGACTATGCCATAGAAGCACCGTGCGGATAGTCCAGTGGAAGCATGGAGCATCTCCTTGGGATTTGTCTACACTGGCCAGCTTTCATCATCGAACATATCTGGACTAGAAATCGGTTAGGGACCTGTAATTGTGGCGCATCTAAAATCAGGCTTACCATGAATTTTTTGTGAAAGTCCGATCGTAACAAGTCCTGTGCTGTGGTCAGCCTTGCGGCACCTTAGAAGGCTTGAATGGTACCGACGTTGACAAATTCCTTGTTACCCTTTTGCTCCGTGCCTCGAGCCTGATTCTTGAACACCACATCGTCGTCCCACCTCCGTTTCACATTGAAAGCTTTTGGGTTCAGTAGAGGGTTTCCGAGTGCGATGCTCTCTTCACGCTGCTCTTGTGCTTCTTTGGCCTGCTCAGCTTCTTCCCGGGCCTTTTGTTCTGCTCTTTCACGCTTGATATTTTCCAGTTGACGCATCAGTTCTGCTGTCTCGTCTTCTTCATCGCTTTCCTCTTCGCTACTCTCGCTCTCGCTTCCGTCAGAGTCTGCGTCAATGTCACGACTCTCCTCTAGTATTCTTCTTCGCTTCGCCTCGGGATCTTCGTCCTCATCATCGTTAGGTGGAGCTTCTAATTCGCGTTTGGGGGGCTTCGGGAGACCGCTTGCGGGTTCTGTGCTCTTTCCTTTCTTTGCGAAGTGTGCTGCTTCTGCGGCTAGTAGTTCTGCTCGTAGATCTCGCTTTTCTGGATCGGCTGCGCCACCTTGACCCGGTTGTCTATTGCTGATCAGAAATAGTCGTAGAATGAGACGTGGAAGATCACTGACCTGACTTTCAGGAGTGTATGTGCAGGAAGCAGTCTTTGATGGTATGCGACACCTCGTTGAGCTTCTTTGCCTCGAGCAGGGTCGAATGTTGGTCTATGGGCTTCACCAAATGTCAGTATGCAACGTTACCGGTGCCGTGTTCAAAGAACGAACCTGTCGTCATGTTGAGCTGCGCAAGTTGATACAAGGAGACAACTCCAAGGGAATAGAAGCAACGGCAGTATAAGGCACAAGACTTTGGAGCAGGTGCGGAAAAGAATCTCGTAGCACAACCAAAGTGACTGTGACCGCTAGGTCCAAAACAATGTTACCGTCTGACAAGTTATTCAATAATAATTGCACGTATTTCACCGTCTTTGTTGGCAAGCAAATTCGTCTGACAGTCCACCTTTTCATTCGACCAGGCTCGACTTCCAGACTTCTTCAGTTTTCAAAACTCAAAACCATGTCCCGTTCGCAAAATCATCTGCATAAATCACTCTCTGTCCCAGAATTTGACCGCGCGGGGGTTTCTAAAATGGTAGCCTGCGTCGCGCCTTCTCTATACTAAAGCGCAAGATCCCTCACATCGCTTCGAGAGTTGATTCATGCTTCCTGACGGCTCTGTCGGTGTGCATGGGTATGTCCCTTCTTGGGCTAGGATGCTCCTTCCACCGAACAGCAGACTACATCATGATCTGGGCCTCAAGTTCCTCGCTCCAACATCCCTGGTCTTCTCGCCAAAGTGGTAAGGAACAGCGTCTGCGGACAATGATGTGCTTCTATCTCCGAGCACCGCATTGACGCCTTATTTATGGCTCGGTGAACAGAATGTCGAGTAACTCCACGACCTCATCAAATAGCCCCAGTCCCTTGATACTGCGAAGTATTCTATTGGTGTGCTTGAGCATCTACACTCCTCTTCTCGATTAGCCTTGCGCGGACATACAAAACACGGTTAGTACATTGACCTGACAGCCTTGCTGGGAGGGAATTCAGCATAAGTCTGCAGCACTTTGATTTCGTTTCGGCGGGATAACCGCGCGTTCCTCTGAGGCCAACACTTCTGCACTGAGACCTTTGTGCCTAGCTATCTCCGAGCCTTCGGCCATGTCAGACCGAGGGTGGAATACTATGTAGTGGAGGAAGAGGAGGAAGAAGAAGAAGAAGAAGAAGAAGAAGAAGAAGAAGAAGAAGAAGAAGAAGAAGAAGAAGAAGAAGAAGAAGAAGAAGAAGAAGAAGAAGAAGTGACAAGTATAAAAAGCCTCTATAAAGCCATTCCTACTGCTTTGTTTTTGCGTTCATATGCGACGCCAGCTCAAAGTACCTAGGTCTTCCAAACGTCAATTGAGATACCTCCAGATTGCCTTAATAGCTATGGCAACCCAGACAGCCCTTGCTCTCACCAAGATAGGCCAACCTCTAACAAAAATCACGTTGCCCAGACCAGAAATAGTCGATGCCAAAGACATCCTGATCAAGATCGCCGCAGTTGGTCGTAAGTTACATTCCCTTTCGTCACACAAGATCTCCACGGACCTCATACTAATGGATTCGCGTAGTTACTCCTCTAGACTACAAGCTTCGAGACGACGGTTACGTATGTCTCCTTATCGGCGAGAAGGCGTGCACTCCTGCACGAGTCTCACGCTTGTTTTCTGTCATGCGCCGAACATCTCTCTGACAATTTGCAGTTCAACATTGGTGCCCGCCTCCCAGCGGTAATAGGTGGTGATCTCGTCGGTACCGTACTCACATCTGGTCACGAAGTCTCTTCGTCCTTTCCCGCTGGAGCTACCGTCTTCGCTCAATGTAATTTCTTGAACCCCTCGGCTGGAGGCTTGCAAGAATACACCGTCATCAATGGTGAATACGCTGGCATTGTACCAGCGAACATATCGATCACAGAGGCAGCCCTATACCCGATCAATGCAATGACATCCGCAGTCGCATTGTTTACGCCCGATGGGTTCGACTTGCCCTTTCCCGGGACTCCCGAAGCCCAGAGTTTCGATTACCCCAGTCAGACAGTCGTCATCATCGGAGGCGGCTCTAACACGGGTAAATTGGCCATACAGCTCGCGCGAATCGCCGGGATTGGGACGATCATCGCTATCGCATCGAAGTCGAATGAAGAGGTTCTGAAGAGCTACGGCGCGACTCATGTCATTGCGCGCCAGGACAAGCATATCGAGAAGCAAGTGCGGGATGTCGTCGGCGACGATTTGATTCATGTGCTTGATACGATTAACACCCCTGACCGTACACTTGCCTTGTCGATGCTGTCGAACACCAAGCAGGGCATCCTGGCACATCTCACGCCGGGAAGTAGCAGCGAGGTGTTGCGCGCGCAGAAGGAAGCGGGCGTTAGGGAGAGTGGGGTTCAAGGATTCTCTCATCGTTACCCAGAGTTCGGACGTTTGTTCTGGAAGATTTTCCCCGAGTGGCTGGAGAGTGGCAGGATCAAGTCTATCAATACAAAGTCATTAAGGGATTGGATGCAGACAAGATCAATGCTGCGCTTGATGAGTATAGGGATAACAAAGGCGGAGAGCGGTATCATGTCAGCATTGGGTAAACGGCCATGGCCAACGGAATAAGGGGCCGTCTTCCAAGGTTATGTGATGATGAGCCTTTTGATCTTCACTACAGTGTAGCATACGGAGGCCCTGTGCCGCAGGAGAACAGGTATATTGGCAATGTGGGAATATCGGTGATCTGAAGCAATACTATGTCAGATAGATGCTTCAACCCTACTGATAATCCGCTTGCCACGGAGCCTATTTTCTTGTATGTCGTAAGATCCTGGGATGAAGGAACGGGATTTTCTGGGTGCGATGGTGGTTCAAGAGTAAGAAGTTGTAATGTCATAGCCGCTGAGAAACAGTCCGCAGATTTGGCAGGGCCATCGAGGCCATTGCAAGGCTCAACACTGGCTCAATTCGCTTGGCGCAATAGAATGACCGTCATTTGTTCACGTCAAATTCTTCATCGTCCAAAGGTCGTATCAAGAGCCTCGCGACTCAGAGATGGAACTTGACAAGACACGTCTTTCGACTTAGATATCATTGATAGCAGAGAACTTCGATGATCTGGCAATCAGCGGACGTTAACCAGAATTTGTGGACGCTGGGCGAGCATGCCTCGTGAGGTGGAGATTTCCAACATCGAGCGAAATTTCATCCTTGAAGCCCTTGAACACAATGTCCGCGTTGACGGCCGGTCTCCTGATCAATTCAGAAGTCTGGATCTGGAGTTTGGAGACGAGTACGGCACTGTAACACTTCGACTGGGCAGGACAAGGTAAGCTGAGATCAAAATTAAACGACCAATCCTGCTTACGGCTTGCTAGAGTTTTTGTACAGATATCTGCAGAAGTCACAAAGCCACTTGAAGATCGCAAGTTCGAGGGATTGTTCACTATCACCACCGAATTGAATCCTATCGCTTCTCCAGCATATGAAGTCGGAAGGTTGGTCAAATTGCGCTTCCAAATTGCGCTTCCAAAGTGCTACGACTGGATCTGATATTGATGGCTTAGACAAACCGAGCAAGAAGTGATCCTGTCGCGCATGCTTGAAAAGGCTATTCGGAGGTCTCGGGCCATTGATACGGAATCACTATGCATCATCGCAGGGGCCAAGTGCTGGTCGATAAGGGCGGATGTTCACGTCCTTGACGCAGATGGCGGATTGATTGATGCTTCATGTATCGCGGTTGTTGCGGCTTTACGACATTTTCGAAGACCCGACGTTTCTGTTGATGGTGAGAATGTCACCATCTATACAATGGCAGAACGAGTGCCGGTACCGTTGAGTATCATGCATAACCCGGTCTGTATTACATTCAGCTTCTATCACGGCGGCGACGTTCTTCTGCTGGACGCCACACGGAGTGAAGAGCAGTGCCGTGAAGCCGAAATGGTTCTCACGGTCAATGACTTTGAGCTATGTCAAGTGGCTAAGCTGGGAGGAAGTCCAATCGATGCAGTCCTTCTTCTCAAATGTATCAACACGGCGCTAGGCAAGGGAAGGGAGATCAATGGCGTTATGGCGCAGAAGTTAGCTGAGGACGCCACGAAGAGAGATGTTGGGGGGTTGATTGCAGAATTGAGAGCCGAGAATGAGCGTTGACCTAGGTGTACCTTTTCTCATAGTTGCAGAAATTCGGGACACGGTCGACTGGCAGGTCGGGCGGTTCAGCAAGAGGACACATAATGCATCTCGCAAGGGGAAGCACATCGTAGAACTCCGTTGACTTCCTGATGGCTCCTGGGGCGACATCCCACATTATGATACAAAGGTGGCAGTGTAAAGATCGTCTCGAGACCTTATTTTTATCCCCAAGATGACGAATCACACCTAGAGGGAGCAAGGCTGATTCGCCGCGTAGGATTAAGTATGGGTACGGGAGACTCTGCCCAGCTCGAGAGGTGGAGTGCTTCAAAAGATCTCAAGTACCTCTAGGCAGCAAGGAATACAGGTATAGTACTCCGTAGAAGGGGTGGAAGTGCGTGCAGCAGCAGGGGTTCATCTCTCCTCGTATTTCTGTAACACTAGTGTCTCGGCTGCTGGCCAGGGTTCGGGGGCTCACCAGGCTCATTAGGCACACTAGGCTGCCTATCAAACTGTCACTGTCACCTAAACCACGGTCACTAGGCCAATCCTCAGTGGCTAGTAGGCTAAACTCGTACCTGCTCCGCTTGCGCCAACGACTGACACGCCGCATTGCCATCCTTCTCCAACAAGTAGTGCACGTTTACCCAAGCTGACATCTTTCTTCGAACGCCAATATCCTTGACGACGTTATGTTTACCACGAGCAAATACCTATCCTAGAACCCCCGTCGCATATACGAACGATCTCGCTGGCGTTGTGATGCTGTGCAATCTCAGATCATAAACATTGTGGCGCTTTGAAGAAGAATGGCCGGGCGGCCGAATGTGCCTGGAGCTTCGGACCATAACAACAATTTGCTGGATCTAGAATCCTCACAGCCGTACTACAACACAGGGCAGCGGCCTCCGGTGGACGACTCTCAACTCCTACGGGCCTTTAACATCGACGATTCCGACGAAGCCCAACCCAGACCTTCCACAAGTTACGATGATTTTGTTGGTGGAGGAAGACCGGGTGCACATCCCAGCAATGCGCAACCGGCAGCAGCATCTTCGCACCGTCCTTTCACAGCCCCATACATGAACGAACAGACACACAACTATTCGCAGACCTCAGATCTACAGAACTACGCAAAATTCGGAGATGACTTTGGCGAGGAGGACTCTGGCTACAAATACTACGATGGCGGAGGGCACGCATCAGACGAGAACATCCCCGGCGGCGGTGTCAAAGTGGTTGGCAGGCATCATGGGCATACCCGGAGTAGTCTGATGTCCATGGGTGGCATTGTGGACAGAGCTAGAGACATGGTCGGGCTACGAGACAGCAATTATTCCGATATGGCCCTTCCGTTGACAGAACACGGCATACAGAATGCAAGAGTCGATAGTGCCGGGACAGAGGAAGAACGTCCAGCAAAAGAGAAAAGAAGCTTACCAAACTTCGACGACATCAAGGCTATGTTTGGGAGGAAAAAGGTGGACCCAGCTACCCTTGGACCCAGAATCATACATCTCAACAACGCTCCTGCAAATGCGAGCAATGGATGGGGGGACAATCACATCTCGACCGCCAAATACAATGTCGTCACTTTCCTTCCAAAATTCCTATTTGAACAATTCTCGAAATACGCCAACCTGTTCTTCCTGTTCACCGCAATCCTCCAGCAGATACCTGGCGTGTCGCCCTTGAGCAGATACACCACGATTGTGCCTTTGGGAATCGTGCTCATGGTATCTGCGATCAAGGAACTTGTAGAAGACTACAAAAGAAAGTCTGCCGATAAGTCACTGAACGACTCTAGAGCACAAGTCCTGAGAGGGTCGGACTTTGTCGACACTAAATGGATCAATGTCGCGATTGGTGACGTTGTCCGAGTTGAGTCTGAAGAACCGTTCCCTGCCGACCTGGTATTGCTTGCAACTTCCGAACCTGAGGGTCTGTGCTATATCGAGACCGCAAACTTGGATGGCGAAACGAATCTCAAAATCAAGCAGGCTATCCCTGAAACCGCACATCTAATCAGCCCTGCTGAACTGGGCAGACTGACCGGGCGTCTGAAATCTGAACAGCCCAATAGCAGCCTGTACACGTATGAAGCCACTCTGACTATGAGTGGCACAAGAGGTGAAAAGGAGCTACCTCTGACACCGGATCAATTACTCCTTCGTGGAGCGACTCTTAGAAACACGCCTTGGGTCCACGGAGTAGTTGTCTTTACTGGACATGAAACGAAACTCATGCGAAATGCCACGGCGACACCTATCAAACGTACCGATGTCGAACGAATGCTTAACAAGCAGATTCTTATGCTTGTGGCCATGCTGCTGGTCTTGAGCGCGATCAGCACAATTGGCGACATCATTGTGAGATCGACCGCTGGACAAAAGTTGACATACCTCTACTACGACAGCTTCAATGCCGCCTCTCAGTTCTTCTTGGACATATTCACATATTGGGTCTTATATTCCAACTTGGTTCCGCTATCACTTTTCGTCACGATCGAACTAGTAAAATACTACCAAGCATTCCTCATTAATACCGACCTGGACATATATTACAACGATACCGATACACCTGCGGTCTGCCGCACGTCATCTCTCGTCGAAGAGTTGGGTCAGATCGAATATGTCTTCTCTGACAAGACCGGAACATTAACCTGCAATATGATGGAGTTCAGGCAATGCTCAATAGGCGGCATTCGGTATGCTGGTGTCGTGCCGGAAGATCAAAGAGCAGAAGGACCTGACGATACCAGTGGGATCCACGACTTCAACCGACTCAGGGAGAATCTGGGATCTCATCCAAGCAGTGACTCAATCCATCATTTCCTGACGTTGCTTGCAGTCTGTCATACAGTCATTCCGGAACGCAAGGACGAAAAGTCGGAGATTAAATACCAAGCCGCATCTCCAGATGAAGGTGCTTTGGTTGAAGGAGCCGTCAGCCTGGGGTACAAATTCGTCGATCGCAAACCACGCTCAGTCTTTGTACAAGTAGAGGCACAGGAGGTGGAGTACGAGCTGCTTGCTGTCTGCGAGTTCAACTCTACACGAAAGCGCATGTCGACGATCTTCCGATGTCCTGATGGCAAGATTAGGATCTACTGCAAAGGAGCAGACACGGTGATATACGAAAGGCTACACAAGGAGAATTCTGTTGCGGATGTCACGCTACAACACCTGGAAGACTATGCCACAGAAGGTTTGCGGACACTTTGCCTTGCCATGCGTGAGGTTCCAGAGCAAGAATATCGAGAGTGGCGACAGATCTTTGATAAGGCTGCAACTACGGTGGGCGGCAATCGGGCCGAGGAGTTGGACAAAGCGGCTGAAATCATTGAACACGACTTTTTCCTGCTAGGCGCCACAGCTATCGAAGATCGTCTGCAGGATGGCGTCCCGGACACAATCCATACCCTCCAAACAGCAGGCATCAAAGTCTGGGTGCTTACGGGCGACAGACAAGAGACGGCCATCAACATCGGCATGAGTTGCAAGTTGATTAGCGAAGACATGACCCTTCTGATCGTCAATGAAGAGAATGCTACAGCAACGCGAGACAACCTGCAGAAAAAGTATGACGCCGTTCAAAATCAAGCAGCGTCAGGAGAATACGATACTCTTGCTCTTGTTATCGACGGCAAGTCCCTGACATACGCACTCGAGAAGGACATGGAGAAATTGTTCCTCGACTTGGCTGTCATGTGCAAGGCTGTCATATGCTGCCGAGTATCTCCGTTGCAGAAGGCGCTCGTCGTGAAGCTCGTCAAGCGTCACTTGAAGGCGCTGCTTCTAGCCATTGGAGACGGAGCGAACGACGTTTCAATGATCCAAGCGGCTCACGTTGGTGTCGGTATCAGCGGCGTCGAGGGCCTTCAAGCCGCTCGGAGTGCCGATGTAGCCATTGGACAGTTCCGGTATCTTAAAAAGCTACTTTTGGTCCATGGGGCATGGAGTTACCAGCGGATCAGTAAGGTCATACTGTACTCATTTTACAAGAACATAGCCATGTTCATGACACAGTTCTGGGTGAGTCGAGAATCACTGAGGCACTAGCCAATACTAACATGGAAACAGTACTCCTTCCAAAACGCCTTCTCAGGCCAAACCATCTTCGAATCCTGGACTTTGTCTTTCTACAACGTCCTATTCACATTTCTACCACCATTCGCCATGGGTGTCTTCGACCAATTCATCTCCGCACGATTGTTGGACCGCTACCCACAGCTCTACCAACTCACCCAGAAGGGCACCTTCTTCCGCATGCATTCATTCTGGTCATGGGTTGCCAATGGGTTTTATCACTCTATCCTCGCGTACATCTTCTCGTCATATTTCTTCAACGACGATCTGGTTTTGTCGAACGGCAAGATCGGCGGTCACTGGCTCTGGGGTACGTCGACGTACACCGCAGTCCTGCTCGTCGTGTTGGGCAAAGCCGCGCTGATCACCAATGTCTGGACCAAATACACCGTCATCGCCATCCCAGGGTCATTCATTATCTGGCTCGCGTTTATCCCAGCGTATTCATACGCTGCGCCGAATATTGGGTCAGGGTTCTCGACGGAGCTAGAAGGGCTGATTCCCGTCATGTTCACTTCGCCGACGTTCTATGCGCTGTGTCTGGTCCTGCCCCCCGCATGTCTATTGAGGGATTTTGCATGGAAATACGCCAAACGCATGTACCTGCCGCAATCGTACCATCATGTCCAGGAGATTCAGAAGTACAATGTCCAGGACTACAGGCCACGCATGGAGCAGTTCCAAAAGGCCGTCAGGAAGGTCAGGCAGGTGCAGAGGATGCGGAAGCAGAGGGGGTACGCGTTCTCAGCGGGGGATGAGGGTGGACAGCAGATGAGGGTGCTGAATGCGTATGATACGACGAGGCAGCGAGGACGGTATGGCGAGTTGATCAGTGGCAGAGGTACTGGGGGATGAACCTACGAGTAGTTTGTACCTGCTTTTGGGGGGTTGGTTGGACGTGTTTTAAGACGTCTTGCCTTGCACTGGGAATGAGGATGATGGAATGAGAGGCGGGTAAAGTGCGTATCGTATACTGTGATGAATGCAATTTGCCTTACATGTTCGAAATGACGAGGGATTTCTTGTCGACATTGCCCATACTACCCATGCTTGACATCTGTGGATCTTTGGCGCCTCCAGTAGAGGAGCGTAAGCGCCAAACGTGACGACAGCGAAGACTCTTGATACCACACTGTCGCTGACCGTTCATGGACCAGGTGTCCATTGCAAAACGTTCTCAAAGTCCCCACGGTCTTTGCAAAAGTAGATTCTGAGATCTCAGCTTTGTGAGTCGGAAAACATGTCATGCCGCGCTGCCCAGGAAGGGGGGCCACCGACCATCTCTCTTCTGTGGCTTGTACTAGGAAGGTCTCACTGCGCGAAAGGGACCGGCATTGTCCTTATGTTTCCCGACATAACGATACAACGAAACGGTTTCCTCCTCATATGCTTGTCACTGGTATCAACCCTCGCTTTCACCTACTCGTTTACTCGCCACCAACAGAAAAAGGAGAAGGAGAATACGGAAGTCCATGCATCCCGCGTGCCCATCGAGCCTCGTTTCCGCTTTCCCACCACACGACCTCGCCTGCAAACCAGTCAAAAGAGTTGAAAGAGTATTGCTCTACTTCTCCTTCCCGAATAGTGCACCAAGCCCATCACCCTTAGTACGTGGGGTAGAACCGGGCACAACAACCTTCTTCCCCCAAAAATCATGGTCGAAGTCGTTCGGAACCGAGCTCGAGCCCGCGAGGTCGAGCGGGGGCGGGATATGTGGTGTGACCAGGTCGATGCCCTTTGCGTGACCTGCACTGGCCGAGTACAGTGGGTTCTGACGCGGTGGGAGAGGGCGCAAGTTGAACGCAAAGTCGTAGTGGCTGTCGAAGCTGGTTGACGCAGTGGTCGGAGTGTTACCTAGACTTGGCATTGGTGTGGTCATTGTGCTCAGGCTTGCCGTGCTCTTGTGACGCAGTGTCTGTGGCCGGTCCTGGTCATTTTCCAAGTTGTTCGGGTTCCATTTCGTAGTATCATGGAAACGCGAGAGGTAGCGAAAGGCCTCGGAAGCGCCAGAGACGGAGCGTGGTAATTTTGGCTTCCACTCGGTGGGGTCAAGATCCGATTTGAAGTGGTGGATGTCGCTCGGTATCCGGGTGGAGGGGGTGAAGTAGTCTGACGACGACTTGGTGTTGCGCATAGGTGTGGTCGCACGAGGGGAGAGTGGAGGAGAGGAGATGGAAATTGTCGAGGCGGATAAGGGTTTGGCAGAGTCTTTGCGGCGGCATCTAGAATAATAGGACTCAGTTTGTTGGGCGGGGAGCGAGGACTGAGGTGAGGGCACTGAGACTCACGCTTCGCTGCAATAGAGGATGTTGTTGGAGGGGTGAGAGATCTGTTTCTCGCACATGGCGCTGCAACAACAGTGTCAATAGACAGGTTCTATATGTGGCAGAGTGTCATCTTACCAGTACTGCAAGAAACTGGCCGCCATCTCTTTGTCTTTGGTGGACTTGTTGTCGGTAGGAATGAGGACACGAGGAGTTGAGTCACCACCAGCACCGAGCAGACTCCTGCGCTTTAGAGGTTTAGAGCGAGGAACCTTTCGAGCAGCAGATTTTCCATGTGTGGTGGATGGTGTTCTCGCTTCTGCAATGGGATCATCCCCCATTGTAAGCGGTGAAAAGGGCTAGGGATATGTGGTGATGAAGCGAACAGAACGACGCGAAGGCTGCGGAAGAAGTACACCGCCTGCCCGCATTCCAAAAAGACGGACCATGACGGCAGCCACGAAAAGCAACAACAATGCCCGCTGAGTGCCCGCCTGCGCCTGTTGCCGAAGCCTAGCGAGCCACCATGATGGCCCTAAACTGCTTCTAGACATGGTGTAGCCGGGGAGTCAATGATTGCCGCGATAAGGACAAGCACCTAACAAGTAGAGCCAATACCATCGGAAATCCACTCCATTCCACGCCCATTCCAGGCCTTTGAAGACTCTGTAACACAAACACCTCAGCCTCACACAGCCTTGGTCCTTCAGCTTAATCCATCATCAGCCAGGGCGCGTCGGGGATACATTTGCATTTGATTCAGATATTGATCTCGTGTCATCATGATCTCATGGTTCCATGGTTCAGCTCTACTAGTCGTACTCCCTGAACACTGCGTAGGCTGCCATAGCCGTGGAAATAGATAGGTGGCGGCGCTATTGAGGCCCTCAGACCACCGACTGGCGCCGACTATTGCCAATCATGACTTATCCACGAAGCCTTCTGGAACTCCACGGGCAACCTGTCCTCCATCGCGCCCGACATAGCAGCCTAGCATACTGCTCCAGATGAATTTGTGCTCTTTCAACTCTTGGAGTTTCTTGTACGCCACGACATTGGAATATCCTATACCGGTTGATGGGTCTCGATATCGCACAGGCAACGTCGTGATTGGACATAGCTCTTGACTATGTTTCACCGGTTTGGCTGTTTTCCGATTGTTGTAGAACAAGGCGTACTCTTGGCGAGCCTCATCGGAAAGCTCATCGAATTTCTCCAAGAAGACCAGGTTCCGCGTCGAATATTCCACGGTTGGTTCTGGTCGTGCTGCTTTGACAAAGGGGGACGCTTCTGGGGGCACTTCTAATTTGATGATTTCAATCTTCGGGGCGGACTCTGATGCCTGCGGTGTTTGATCGATCGGAACAGGTGTGGTCGAGGCATCAGTCGTCTGGTCCGCACCGGCTGACTTCATCCCGGGATTCACCCAAGATACTGCTGATGTCTGCGCCTCTGGGCCATGCTCCGACTCTATCACAGTTTTTGGCCCGTCGATCGATTGTGATGTTGTAGGTTGCTGTTCGGGGCTTTTATCCTGTTCGGCCGGCACGGTCTGCAACTCTGGCCGTGTTGGCTCTGGATTTGCTTGCGCATCTGGCTCCTTGTTGATGTTCCCGTGCCCGCCAGGCTCTTTCGGATCGGGACTGACATGGTTACTCTCTGCTTGCATACTAGCATATTCGTGAATGCCCTTTAGGAAAGAGTCTTCCTCAGTCGCTGGCGGCTCTCCTGCGCTGTTCGATGGCACGCTATCCGTGGTAGGCCCTGTGTTGATAGCTCCGTCCTGTAAAATCGTCTGGTCCTGCATCGAAGGCGACTGCGGCGCTGTTTGTGATGCATCCGTGGCCTCTGGTCGCGCGATCGTTGTGATTTTAGTCCCTCCCAATGGCGCTGGAAGAGGCTCCGTCCAGGCCATCTCCTTCGTCGCTTCCATGTCTCCTTTTATGTCTGTTGCTGGTGGTGCCTCTAGTGCCACGTTTGATTGTATTTGCGGCATTGTTCCTTGCAATGTTGTTCCAGTTTCTGCAGTCGACGACACTGTGAGCGGTAACGACTCTGCCCCCTTAGCTGCAGCCTGCTGTTCGAGGAAAGCTTTCGACTTCCTCCCACGTTTCTTGAGTTCTGGGCCCGCCTCGAGAATATCCCCGGCGTCTTTTGTACCGATTTTACTCAGCTTTGGCCCGAGCCAGGTAGCCTTTGCGCTCCACCAGCTTACAACAGGTCCTTGCAACTTCCTATCCTTGAGCGCTGCTAGCTTAGCAGCCTGTTCTTCCTGTCTTTTCTTCTCCAGAGCCTCCCAACGATTCAAGCTCTTCGCATTCTGTCTCTCAATCTTCGCCGCTTCCGCCAACCGATCAGCCTGTGTGAGTTCTTTGGGCGCATCCTTCGCTCTTTCTCGGTCTCTTTTCTCTTTCAGTGCCTTGAGTTTCTTGCTCTGTGCTTCGCTCTGCTTCAATCGTGCAATCGTCTCCGCTCGATGCGCAATCGTCTGCTTCCGTAGGGAACTTCGACCGGAGTCCGGATCATGTACCCACGTCACTCTCTCTTTCTTCTTAGACGGTTTCGGAGGGCCAGCCACAGCAGCTGGTCTTGTAGGATCTGTCTTGAGCTTCTTCCGCAGTCCGGCAACACTGGTTAATGCAAGGTCCGCTTTTCGCTTCTTCGTGCGTTCGACTTTCGCCTGTTTTTGTAATTCTTGTTCTCCCTCCAGATCCTCAGCCGCAGCGTTCGGTCCTTGATCTTCATCGTCACTTGACGACATGTCCGCGTCTGCATCATCCTCGCCACTCTTAAACTCTTCGTCTTCTTCCTCCTCGTTGTCCGCAAAGAGCAGGGTGACTTCATCTGGCTCGTCTTCATCGCCTGCCTCTTCTAGTATCATGTCTCTGTCATAGCGATTACCAGCAGTCTTTCGTCGCTCTCTGCCAGCGACAAGAGTCTCGATTTGCTCCTGTTCGGTTTCATCTTCACTCGTGTCTGTGTCGGAAAGTTGAGGGGTATTCTCTGCGTCGTCGTCTTCAGCCATGTTGATGTTACACTCGGCTGTCGTTAGCCGCTTGCAGCAGTCACTTTATTCAGTGTTTATCATCTGAGGTTGGCGATCAAAGGTGAGTACAGGCTGCCATTAGGACTGGGGGTGTGGACTGGGGGAAGACTTTCTGATCAAAAGTGCCGCCGTGGCAAAAAGTCAACCGAAGATTTACCGGGACCAGACTTCACGCGTTTCGCTGGCGCGTTTGGGGTGCGGTCGTCATGACTTTCTACTACATTGCTCGATTGGCAGGAAAGCTATGTGCTTCAATTCCGAGAGAGTATCCGGGCGACACAATGCCTAAGGCTCGCAGGGCCGTACGAGCCGGTGCTAGCGACATAGTTTCAGAAAGCCCAGCGGGCAGAAAACGCAAGCGGGCAGACCCAGTGCTTGCCGAGACGCAGAGTACCAGCGGCCCAAGTCCAAGGAACAGCAAGCGTACGAAGGCCGTCGATGGAACTTCAGACAGCCCAAAATCCTCTTCAGACATTCCTCGCACGAGCAAACTGGTCAAACTAGAAGAAGATCAGACCACAGCGATTCCTGCCCGGGCGGATGGTTCATTGGCCGTGAAAGAGAAGGTTGTCGCCGAATTCGAATTGGCGGAAACCCCACGGTCTAGTAAGCGAAAGGCTGTCGGGAAGTGCAAGCAGAAAGTCGACGTTGTGGCAGCAGACCACCTCGAAGTTGACCAGGAATTCGATGAACCAGACGCGGAGCTCGAGCGAGACGAAGCTCTTACGAAGCCACGACGAAGCCGCAAAAGCAAGAACAAGGCAGACGGCGATCAAAACCTCTGCCTGTCCGACGCTCCTCAGGCACCCAGCAAGACTGGAGGTAGACTTGCTGGACGCGAACGCAAGACCAAATCCGCAAAAGAAGACGCCGTGGACGCGGACCTGTCCCAGAATCTCGACGAACCCTCCCTTGACGTCGATACAGCCGCCCAATCTAAACACAAGCGCAAACGCAAGACCAAAGCCGAGCGGCTCGCCGAAATGGTGCCCCTCGCCATCCGCACCGCAAACCTGAAGATGTTCGTTGGCGCGCATACTTCAATTGCCAAGGGCGTCGAAAATGCTATAACAAACTGCGTCCACATCGGCGGTAACGCATTCGCATGCTTCCTCAAGAGCCAGCGCAAATGGGAAAATCCATCCCTGCAAGACGGCAACCGCGACGCTTTCCGCGCAGCCCTCCTGGAACACCGCTACGACGGCCAGTCGCACATTGTCCCGCACGGAAGTTACCTCGTGAACCTCGCCACCGAAGACCCCGGCAAAGCCGCGCAGAGCTACGACACGTTCATCGACGACTTACATCGCTGCGAAGCCCTGGGCATCAGATACTACAATTTCCACCCCGGCGGGGCGGGCCAAGCACCGTTCCATGAAGCCGTTGCCAGACTCGCCGGTAACCTGAATCGCGCTCTTGCCGAGACCAAGACCGTTGTTCCGTTGTTAGAGAACATGGCTGGCCACGGCACCTTGATCGGTGGACGCTTTTCGGACCTGCGCGATGTGATTGCCCTGATCAAACCAGAGTACAAGAACAGGATAGGCGTGTGCATCGACACATGCCATGCCTTTGCCGCGGGATACGATTTACGGACGCCGGAAGCCTTTCAAAAGACCCTGCGGGAATTCGATGAGACAGTCGGCATCAAGTACCTCAAGGCGATGCACTTGAATGACAGCAAAGCTCCGTTGAGCAGTCACCGAGATCTACATCAGAACATTGGCTTAGGGTTCCTGGGTCTCCGGGCGTTCCACAATGTCATGAACGAGTCACGGTTTCAGGGGCTGCCGCTGATCTTGGAGACGCCCTGTGAGAGGCCGGATCCGAATGATCCCAGTGGAAAGAAGATGGTTGACGATAAACACGTGTGGGCCACGGAGATCAAGTTGCTTGAGAGCCTGATTGGGATGGACCCGGAGAGTGAGGTTTTCAAGGGATTGGAGAGGGAGTTGGCTGAGAAGGGGAAGAGCGAAAGGGAGGATGCGCAACGGGCATTTGACCGGAAGATTGAAGAGAAGAGGAAGAAGGCTGAGAAGGAGAAAGTAAAGAAGGAGAAGGGCCAGAGAAGTTTGGTGGATATGTTTGGAAAGAATGGGACTGCGAAGAAGGGTGAAAACAAAAAGATGAGGAACAAGAAAGCAAAGGCCGAGGAGAGTGGCAGTGGGGATGAATCCAGTGAGTCGAGTAGTGAGTTGAGTGACCTGAGTAGCGACTTGACAGAGCCAAGCGAGGATGAGAGGCTTTGAATGAGACGAGGCCACGCTGCGTCTCGAAGATCTTGACGAAGACATGATCATGCTTAGAAAAGTAAGCGCTGTACAATATTGAGCCAGAAAACGCATCCCCATGTACGAATATGATCGAGCCAAGAGAGCATCGAAGCCTACCTAGGTAACCATGCGTCCCAGAATATGAACACGCTCCTTTCAAGTATATCGTGCCTCATAAATCATTGCAAGGACCTTCGATTGTTATCTCCCATCTTCCAAATCCATCCTTGCTCTCCTTGCGCCTCAGCTAACTGCCCCATCCACCTGCACTCTTCAAAAACACCGTTACCCCATTCTTCGGTCTCGCCGTAACACCACCCTTGATTTCAATCTCTTCATCCGGGTCGACCATCTTGAACTCCCACGTGCCAACGAAGGCAGCAAGCAAGCACGCAAACTCGGCCACGGCGAACTTCATCCCGATACAGCTTCGCGGGCCGTGCAAGAACGTCAGGAACGCATAGTTGCTCTCGGCACCGCCGGCATTGGCTTGACCGGGCGCCATCCACCTGTCCGGGTTGAACTTGTCCGCATCCTCGCCCCACAGCTCGATATTGTGGTTCACGGCCCACGGCGCGATGATGATCTTGGTGCCCTTGGGGACGAACTGGTTTAGGATTGTCGTGTCGACGGCGGTGTCTCGGAGCGTCAGAGGCACGGGCGCCCACAGACGCAGGGACTCCTGGCACACGGCGTGCAGATAGGGCATGTTGTCGATGACTTCGTGCGTGATGTCGTCGGCTTCGAGACCTCGCGGTATGTGCGCATGGATCTCTTCGCGCAGCCGCTTCTGGACCGCCTGGTTCTGGCACAGGCTGTAGATCGCCCATGTGAATGCCGATGCGGTCGTTTCGTGCCCCGCCGCCAGGAACGTCATCATGTTGTCCACGAGCTTCTCGTCCGTGAAGCCGCCGGACTCGAGCGCGACGGAGATGATGTCTGGCTCCATGGGCTCTTTGTTGGCGAGACGCTGCTTCTTCTGCTCGATAAGGCGCCGGCATGTGTTCCGGGCAACGTTGGCTGCGGCATGCACGTTCCTGTTTCGGGCGAGTGGAAGGTTGCGCAGAATAATGTGCGGAATGAAGAACTGGAGCAGGCCGAGTATCTGAGCTGCGCGGTCCGGTTGGAACACGGCGCGATACACACGATTCAACTCGTTGTCCGGGTCTTGCAGTGCATGGAAATCCTGTCCCATACCGGCGGTGCCGATTATGTCGAGCGTGGCCCTGCTGCTCCACTCGCTGACCTCCACGGACACATTGGGGTCGGTCGAGTTCTTCAGCTCCGTCTGGATGCATCGGACCATTTCTCGAGACTTGGACCAGAAAATAGGGTAGAGTTCCTTGATGTGGCGGAAGTGGAATGCGGGCATCAGGCTCTTCCTTTGAGCCTTGTGCTCATCTCCCTCGGCAAGAAGGACTCCGATGCCCAAGACTTGTCCGATACCCTGGGTGAGCAGCTTAGGCTTGACAAAGTCATAGCTTTTGGTGGTCAAGACTTCACTGAGTGCTTGAGGACTCGTGAGGAGGAGTCGCTCTCGGTTGAAGAGGTGCAGATACCGGATGAGACCGTTGTTGGGAATCTCATTTGCCCATCGTCGCGGAGGGATCCCTGACGGTTCTTTCACCAGGGCTGACCATTGACCGCTGAATAACGAGCCACCCGGTACCGATGGGAGATGCCGTAGAGGACTGACGAAATGAGGATAGATCAAAACGCCGTATACAAACCAGACCAGTTCGTGAAGCAGGAATAACACTGTCGCAGTCCAGAAGTATGATTGAGATATTGATAGAGACGGAGCGAATTTGACAAGCAGAATTGAGGTTGTCAACGAAGAGACCGCCCAGCAGCTATATGTGCTCATGAACTCTGGGAATTGTAACATCGTGAAATTGCTGGTGTCCAATACCAAAGTTGCGATTAATATTCAGCCACAACTGAGCAAAAAACTCGAAGCCTACTATGTAAAAGAGAGAGAGAGGCGGATAGAGAAAATATCAACAAGAAATCATCATGGACGGAGTGTTTGATGTTCCGAAAGCGACTCTGAAACAGGACCGACGGGTGAAGGTGATGTTTATCAAGGTGTGCAAGGTCAAAGAGCCAGGCAGAAACCAAACATCACCAAAAAGGACACGAAACCAAGATCAAAACCAAAACCGAAAGAGGCTCGTAGTGCGAAGAGGCGTTTTGATGTGCTCAATGCACTGGTCATGGCAGTCACCTACAGTACCAGTGGACCTCGGCTAATGTCACCCAGCTTGCGTGAATGCCTCCATGGGCCTCTATCAAACGTCGATGTTGCGAAACTTGGAGCCCTGATGAGCCCGTGAAGCCACTCATCATTGGTCGAGGATACGGCATCGCCGGCATCTGTATACGATATACGCGGCCATGTGCAGATGACATCGGCTTCGACATCATCACCTTTTCTGTATTTGACATTCATGATGTTATCGATCTTTGTATATCTACCCGTGTCACCCATCAAAATGATATACCATTCAGTCGTGTTCGTATACTCGTATATGGTTTTTGCCCCGGTCTTGTTGACGTTTCTCCTCGCCATCTCCGGGATTGGCATTCGGTACAGGCGCAGGACTCTTCGTCTGCGGCGGCTTTCTGCTCGAGAGAAGAATACGGCTCAGTCCGGTCGACTCGTTGTCGTTGTATTTGCAGTTGAAGATTGCGGCGAATGTCGATCACCGTTGCATTGTCCTTCCGTAACAGCTCTCGTGAATCTCGAGTAACTACTCGACCGGGACTGTTTGTGGGACTGGTGGTGAGAGAAAGAGATCCACTTGTTTTTGAACTGGTATCAGATTCGCTACTATCGCTGTCGCCTTGGATCATCCCAGGTACCGAAATCAACTCCACGTAACTGTTGCCTTTTAGGATCGCTCTTAGAGAAAGAACCTCCTCTTTGATGTCCTCTCCCAAAAGATATGTGCCGTCTAGTTCTTGCCATGCCCATGTAGAAGACTCTTCTGACCGGAAACCTGGATCTGCCATTGACCACGCCCAGTGATTTTCGGCCGCATATCCGTCTGGGAGCTTCATCTCTGCGTTATCAGGAGGTCCTCCTTTGCACGAATTCTGCCTGTTGCAGGGTCGAAGTGATAGCCCTTGTCTTGCGTAGGCCGTTCCTTTGAGACAAAGAGGTTATCGTCGAAAGGTTGCCAAACCGACCCTATGTACAAGGTATTCCCTCCCTGTATCTCTACAAGCCAAGCATTGCACAACACACATCTACCGGCAGCACGCGGCCAAGCGTATTGTGATTGTAGGTGATGAAGCAGGGGGGTTCCGTCACATATGATGTCGAATGACAAGAATGCATGGAGAACGCGCCGGTCGAAATGGAGCTTCTTCTAAGCCGGCTGAACCATTCCTGCGATATCATCGCTTGCAGGATTGGTAAGGCGAGGCGACTGTAACTTACCTACCTAGGTAATTGAGATGCGGTCTGCGTCTGCCCGCCAAAGATTGCAGAGCAGACGCCACTATCGACAGAGGAAGATGCTACTGTAGCCAGAGGCCAAGTAAGATGTTTCTTCATAGCTGTCCGTTCACAACATTGACTGCCTTCAAGCAGCTGGGTCTCGGTCGTAGTCAGCAAAGAAAGGAGATCATGAATGAATGAATAATCAAGGAATCCGGTGACGCCGTCGTTCGGGTGACTTTCCCGCTTCGATTGGCGTCATTTGAAACATGGCCAATGTCTTCCTGCTCAAAGCATCGAGGCCACAATCCCTTCATCCTCCTGCTGGCTTTCTCTATTCTTTGAATTATTCTACCTAGCCATACGCGCTGCCTACTTCTCCATCTATTGACAGCCTACCACGTGGGATTTGGATCTTGCAAAAACCCATATTGACATCTATGGTGGATGCTTCACAGCTAGCAGTTTGACACACTGCGCACTGCATGACGGGTATTCAACTTCTGCCCTCGCTATTCTCATAACCCTGTCTCAATGTCTACTACGACGATTTCAGCTATCTCAGGTGAGGTCATGGGTTCTTTTCCGGAAGGATCATACTCTGCTTTTCTGATTTTCATCACACCCCCGAGTTTGTATCACAGTATGATCAGGGAGAAGGCGTTCATTCCGCGTGGGGTCTTCGCAACAAGAGTAAGAAAGGGGGTTTTCCCGCGCGTCATTTACCCCAGATTTGGCTGGTTCCATGCAGCATTTGCGTCACTCGCACGACCAGGCATGAGGAGAGAGAGGTATTTGCTGAGGAAGCAGACATTTCACGATATATAAGTATATGCGGAAGAGTCTCTTGCTGAAAAGTATGCTATTCAAACTATTGCAACTCATTCCAAAGCGAGGGGTCCGGACATCGATCGATTTCCATCTCGGTTTACACAATCGGATTTGCCCAAGGCTGCGACTTATCACCAGCATGTCTACAACGGAGCCGCCCGAAAACAGCATTGGTTCAATATTCCAATCGAGCCCGATGCCAAACTACTACGACTGGTCGTTCGTGCCATCAGCCTTCCAGGATGCCGAATCCAGCCACATAGTAGACTTTTTCCTGGAATCTCTTGATGGCCAGAGCGCTCAAGCAGAACACATCCGCCGGGCATCAAGTGTAGTCGAGAGCGACGTCTCCGACAGCACTTCCACAAGCCGTCAGCACATGTCAGCCTCCTCGCACATCACGCCAAAGTACGAGACAAGTCCAACTCTAAGCGCAGCCTCAGCATCTCTTCACGCCCCTCTTGACAATGCTCATCCACTCCGTGGTGTCCTGGTCCCAGGCATGCTCTCGGAGCAGGACCGCCGCCACCGTCGACGCGAGCAGAATCGCAAAGCGCAGCACGCGTTCCGGGAGAAGCGCAAGTCTGAAGCCCGTAAAGTGGAGAAGGAGCTGGCGGAGCTGAAGATGCAACTTGCCGGCTTTCGTCACAACGCTGCCAGTGCAGGATGGACCATCTGTGCGAAGTGCAGGAACTTCTACCCTCCCAATAATGCCGGCGAAGATGTCAATGCAGACAACCCCAGCAGCAGCCCGCCGTGCTTCGACGAGTTTGCGTTCGGACACTAAAAGTGTGGACATTGGTGAACACGTGTGAAGGGTTTGACGTAAAAAATGGGAACAAACGATTGCGCGGCTGCGTCGGGGGCAACGGGCGAAATGATGTTCGGAACAAGAAGAAGAAGCCATACAACTGTCGCCCAGCAGGCATGTGGTCTACGCTAGTAGCACAAGCGAGCCGGCAGGGGACATGGGCAACGCGGCAACGAGAGTCAGTAACGCCGCGACACTATGAAAGGATCATGTGTATCCAACATATGCTCTGCTCTGTTGAGGTCTCACAATTCGAGCGGAACAAACATGTTTGAATGTGTGAAACGATTTTTTTCTGAAAGATTCAAATTAGGCTACCTATTCTGTATACCTAGGTGTCCTCCCTATGCGATTTATTTAACTCCTCGACAAACCATTCGTCGATTTCCCAATAGCTTTAGACATTAAGGAGTGACTATGTAGCAATTCTTTTCCCAAGATACCACCATTTAATTCATTTTTCATCAAGAACCAATCGGTCTTGTTCAGATGCCATCTCGATTAAGGCGTACAATCACCAGAGAGGCTTCGAGTTCATCGTACTATCAAGGACTTTAGTTTCCCTTCTTTCCCAACTCGCCGTTCTTCCAGTCACCCCAGCCTGCAGATGTGGTGCTGGTGACCCAACTGCTGGTGGTGGTCGTGGTGCTTGGGGTCGGTGTGACAGTGACAGTGATGTAGACTGTCGTGGGCACGCACGCGGCAGTGGTGCTGGAAGTCCAGTCGTTCCAGCCCTTGGAAGAGGAGACTACGGGAGCGGGAGCGACGGTTGTGGTTGGCTTAGGAGCAGGAGCTGCAGAGCTCGTCCAGTCGTTCCAGCCCTTTGAAGAGGAGACGACAGGAGCGGGAGCAGCGGATGTGGTTGGCTTAGGAGCGGGCGCAGAGCTCGACCAATCGTTCCATCCTTTGGATGAAGATACAACAGGAGCAGGAGCAGCGCTGCTGGACCAGTCGCCCCATTGAGAAGTGACGGCGGTGGTGGTTGGCTTGACAGTGGACGAGGTCCAGTCGTTCCATTGAGAGGTGGCAACGATGGTGGTTGGCTTCACCGAGGAAGACCAGTCGCCCCATTGAGAAGAAGCGGCAGGAGTAGTTGTGGTCTTGACGGTAGTCGAGGTCCAGTCGTTCCATTGCGAGGAAGCGGCAGGAGTGGTAGTGGTCTTGACGGTGGATGAGGTCCAGTCACCCCACTGAGAAGAAGCAGGAGTGGTCGTGGTCTTGACAGTGGTAGAAGTCCAGTCACCCCATTGAGAAACGCTGGTGGTGGTTGGCTTCACAGTCGTAGTGCTGGAGGTCCAATCCCCCCATTGAGAAGCGCTGGTGGTGGTTGGCTTGACGGTGGTAGTGCTGGAGGTCCAGTCACCCCATTGGGAAGCGCTGGTGGTGGTTGGCTTGACGGTGGTAGTGCTGGAGGTCC